TGGCCCTTGCTGGGCTGAGATGCCAATTTGGCCACCAGTTTGTGTGATGGTTTCTCGAGTAGCTTTATGCACTCTCCTAGCAAGAGTTGGCTTATTGAGACTTCCTGGCGGTCGACCTCGTCGCCCACTTGGTTGATTATCAGATCGGCTACTTGATGTAATAGCTAGGCTTTCTGGGATAACCTGCGCTGTATTCTTTGGCCTTCCACGTAGTGCAGTGGCAACTTTCGGGTCAAGAATTCGTCGGTATGGATCTTGAGATGCCGATTCCCGTAGTCGCCAGCGTGGGTGGACCTCCCATTTAGTGAAACGTGTGTCAGAATCTAGCTTTGCGTAGACTTTATGATAGCATGGGATTCCCAGCTCAATAGAGACCGTACAGTCGTCGTCGCAAAGTCCAATAGAGTCGGGGAAGGGATTCTTCCCCGTCGGCAGAAATTTGCGAGCAATACAGTATTGCTTGTTGATTAACCCAAGTCCTTTCGATGACATGGTTGTTCGTAGTTCACCAAGATAGTTTCCCATCGAACCTAGGTATTGTGGAGCAGTCAGGACATCATCCTGTCCACAGGCATCCTTAAAGGCACGTTCTTGGTCATGTATCATATCCTGCATTGCCTCGACGAGTCGGTAGAGGTGGCTCATGCCATTTAATAGATAGCTTTTGATATTATTGTTGCTTGCTTCTGTGCCGGACGTAACTCGGATTCCGAAGTTACGATAACGACGGATAAAGCAACGTGCCCATTGAGCACTAACAGGCATATAAGTCGAGTAGAGGTATTGTAAGATCGCTCGTTGGTCGTCGAACTCTTTACAAAGATCTCTCCATGCCTGCTCAAACGCTTCCTCAGTCTCGGCATAGAGAACCTTTTTCCACATTAAAACAACGCCTTGGTAAGTATGAGGAATCTTATCACTACTCGACCGATCTTCGATCAGATGCTTATCTGTAGTGCTCAACCCGCCATCCGCCTGTGAGGGAATGTCTTCACTGTCACTAGCGCTAGGGCTAGTAGTACTGTCCTCACGTTGGCCCGTCCACCTAGTCTTCGATTTAAGCAAAACGTTTGAAAGGATATGATGAATACAAAGCTGTTGCTGTGCATTTGGAAACTGATCATTAACGGCAGCTTTCATAGCCTTGTCGAAGTCTGTGATGATGACATCTGGTTCCCTGAGTGAGTGTTTTGTAATGAGCTTGCGAACACTCTCTGCAAGGAATTGGAACCCCTCCCTCCTCTCGTTATCTATTAAGCCAAATGCAGCATTGAACACAGTTCCAAGACAGGTTTGGCCAGTAGCCTGGAATAAAGGAAGCTTGAAGCGATTAGTGTTATATGTGTTATCAAAGCTAATAACCTCGGGGAAGCGCTTCCACATCTGTAGACAGTACGGAAAGGTCCAGACAAGACCAAGCAGTCTATCTGGATCATCATCGGCCCATTTCGCGATGTATGGGATCTTCTTCTCATCAAAGAGTTTGATCAATGCCGCAGTAGGTGTATAGCCATTTAGCTTCTCTCGGTTAATGAACGAACGGGCATTATAGATATCCTTCCGCAGGAGTGTTGTATCGGGGAATTGCTCCTCAACCATAGCAGCTACATCACTGGCTCGAATACCCGCGCGACGGCTTGCTGACTCGATGGTTGCTTTAACTGGTGTAGTAAGGCGGCGGTGGGAAACATGCGCAGATGGCGTAATACTCCGTTCATGGTTATGCTGGTGATGTTTCGGGTCTCTATGTTGTCGAAGAAGCCACTTGCCTTCCTCTAGGGCTTCAGCAATTATCATCCATTTGCAATCACACTTCCGAGACCTTCGGGTTCGAAGACCAGAACCCCCCGAGGCCCGAGATTGTCCAAACCGGTCGCATTGAATGGAGTACCTAATCAACCGTCCCTTATAGGAATATTTATTCCGCCGAATAATACCAAATCCGTTCTCCTTTGCAAATGCGTTGGTTGTTTTAAAAAGAACTTCGGCCGAGGGCGCTGGGTCGCCAGGGATTATTGGGTTCGGAATTGGCTCCGGGGCGGGAGATAGAGACTGTCGCATAGGCGAGGAACTAATATTTTCGGGCGTCGGTGATATTCGAGGAGGTTGTGTGGGTGACCTACGAGGTGGAGAGTACGGTGGAGGAGAGTCATATGCTTCGAAACTTAATGGTGACCATCCCCATCTCTCTCGCCAAGCTTGTACACGTTCGTATGATCGAGCAAGGTCTACAGTTAGCCTTCGACCTTCGCCGGTAACCTCTCGTACTATGCGCATTGCGGACTCGAACTCGGCTCTTGTCCTTGTTGGGAGATGCTGGGCGGATGGGGGTGATTCGGGAGGTTCAGAGGCGAATGGATCAAATTCTGGGCCTGGTATAAGCGCTCTGACTCGCTGGCTCCATCTTTTTCCACGGAAGAAGTCATTTTGAAGATATATCTCATAGTCAGATCGAAGGCCCCATGCAGGCTCATGGCGGCCCTGTGAACCATGGGGGTGTGGGAGACTTGAAAGTGTTTGCGGGAAAGAGGCGAACAGGTTATCGAGTGCATTTTCGTCCCCGAGGCCGTAGAACTGACCGATACTCGTAGCAGAGCTACTCGCGGACCGTGTAGCCAAAGTGTCATGCCCGTGTAGCAATTCCCTATTTAAAAGGCTATACACACTTTCCTGCGGAGTATAAATTTGCCACACGACCTTCACACAAGGACAGGACTACAATGACGAGATGTAGAGCATGGAGCTCACTGCATGATTGGGGAGTTCTCGGTCAGCATTCTCAGGATGCGTGCATTCATGGCCGTGATGTGGACTCGCCCCTTGCGTAGAGTAACAGAATGTTATTACCCAGTGCAGTAAACATGTCAAGACCCGGTGAATGGGAAGAGGCAGAGTAGCTCGAACTGTCCACCAGGCGGCATTGTTGCACCCAACCGAAACTACAAAATCTGCATCGTCAACCAAGCCAGCTAACAGTATGCAACTATGCACAAGTCTTGACCGGTTCTTTGACGGAAAAACTGAAGCCGTAAATGCGGTCTCTCTTATGCACGCACCTGTTGGTTGACCATGTTGTCCTCGGGCTTACGTGTTTGTAGCAGCCGGATGATATACCAATCCCTGGTTCTGCAGAGCTCTTGAGACCTACCGGGCAGCGATCCAAATGCCATCTCATGATTTCACCGCGTTGACTGAAGAGGCTCTGGAGCAGGAAATCACGCCACTCAGTCGGCTCTGCGGCAATGCTGGCGCTAAATTTCTTGGGCTTGAGAAGGCGTGGGAGCGTAAACGGACGTCACGCTTACGACTCTTTTGCTTTAGCAGAACAAGCACAGTTGTCTCGAGGTCCAGAACTAATCCGGCACGTGTATCCCAGTTCCTCCCACCCCGGGAGGCTTTGTGATCAATATTGGCCGTATACTCGAACCTCTCACCAGAGGAGTCTGCACGGCGATTACCCACCGTGTGATGCTGAAGCCAAAAGGTTTCGCGGGCCAAAGGTGGACCATCGCCGGCATCAATTGCCTTCCATCAACCCGTGCACCTTGGAGCTGCCGGTCTACGTGGGCTGTGGATATTCCTCCCCATATTGTAGATTCAGTCACGGGCCAACGGGCGATGTCGGACGCGAAAGAGATGTGTTCCGGCATAATCGACAATGGCATTGGGGATAGTTTCTTTGTCGACTTCCTCTGGGCGCTACGGCTGGCGTGGTCCCCGGATCTTGCTGAGCCTCGTTTGCGAGGTTTGGTTATCAGATGTCAAAAACTGAACTGTACGCAGAGGTATACACATTTCAGGGTATCCATTCTCAAGTTCTTACCCCAAGGACGAAAACGCCTCCCTTCATGCGTTATGTAATTTACAACTTTTGTTTCGGCTCTTTTCTACGCTCTTGAGTGACTACTTTGTGCGACCTTGCGCCAGAGCCAAGTTGCCCACGTATATGCTTGGCTCTGCCATGACTTGCTGCCGTCCTCGGGGCGCACAAAAGCCAAAATAGATGGAGATAATAGCCCCCAGCACCGTCGCAGTCCAACCAGCAAACCGCAGCATGACTGACACGAGGCTCACCAAGCTACAGCTTCGTGTCCATTTTGTCACGTTCCAGACTAGGGATAGCTCTGAGCAGAAGCGGCAGCCACGCCTTGACTGGGCTGTCACTATAAGAGCAGAGCTTGACCATGGAGTCGTGGCGGCCGGCAGCAACATCTTTTTTTTTTTTTTTTTTTTTTTGGCGCCGACAAAGGCACGCTACCAAGCCCGCGCGGCTGGCTACGCGAGGCGATTTACTTGGTGGGACGGGCTTTTATGAAAAGAATTCCCGTGGGTTGGAAACTAAGCAGCGGCTGAACTCAAAATTTTCGAGTTGTGCGCGGATGCTGCGAGTCGCGCCAAGTAGTGGCATCGGTCAAAACTCTATCAATATTCTGGGAGCTCTTGGGAGCTATAAATTTCTAGCTACGCTCTTTTGGAAAAAAGAGGAGGAGGGAAGCAAGGAAGCAGGTCCGAAGTTTGCTTTAACAATATGCAGCCATGGTTGATAAGATGACTTGGACAAGAGTCGAAACAAGCGAACATCAAGCCACCGTCTACTTGTAACATAAGAATATCACACTGGAAAAGAAGACCACACGGTCATGGTCACAAGTCCATCTAGCAGCCCTGAGGTGACGGAAAGTTGTCGGATTCCAACTACGCCGCTCTCTTCATAGTGCCCGGTGCCCGGCCTGTTTAGTTTATTCGTGGCGGCACCGGGGCGATATAAGATTGATAATTCTCTTACGGTTTAGGTTTCCTCGTCGGCTTGGCCAACGCCGGATCGTGGAAAGCGAGGCTCATGTACGTAATGGTGTAAAAAAAAAAAATTGAGGTATAAAAACCCAGCATCGCCGCCATCGCTCGCTTCGTCAGCTTCTTTTGTCTCATTCCCATCACAGCTTGAGCCGCTTCGTGAATCCCAGGCCAGCTACCTGACATCCCGGCATCTCTTTCACAAGATGCCTCTCCCCTGGTTCACGCCTTGGGCGATCCTGATGCTGTTGGACAGAATCTGGCGCGAGGAGGAGTCGCCCGAGGCGAAGCTGGACCATGAGCAGGAGAAGCCAGCCCAGCAGAAACGGTCGACCCTGGAGGAATGTGCCGACCAGTGCACCGTCCGGTGGCAACAATGCCAACAGGCTCCCGTGATGGACATGGCTTTTTGTGCGTCTCAGTACAAGCACTGCCTGGGTTACAATCCTTTCAGACACGGCTACAAGGTTCCCCTCGCTTGCAAGGTCAAGAGGGACTTTGTTCCTGACGGCCCGGCTTCGCTCCCTGCCGATGCCGCTGCCGCTCGTGATGGTCTTGATGCTCCTGGTGCTCACGACTCTCGTGACAACCGTCCGCCCGAGGCAAAGGCCGTGAACGATGCTCCTGCCGCCACGGAAACCCCTTCTGTCTGTGCTTCTCACTGCCTCATCGAGTATTACAACTGCAAGGCATTGCCCAACTTTGTCCACTGCCCGACCATGCTCGTCCAGTGCCTTGGCTACAACCCTTTCTATGCGGGCCGCATCAACGAGCATTCACGTATCCTCTCGTGTGCCAAAGACCCGAAGCCCACTCCAACGCCGACCGTCGTCCAGGACAAGTGTGCCAAGGCGTGTACCGACGACTTCAACGCCTGCATCAAGGTGCCGAATGCCTATAATGCATTCTGTGCTTCTCAAATCATTCAGTGTGTCGGTTACAACCCTTTCGAGGACGGTGGCTTCCAGGTTCCTACTACTTGCGCGGCGAAGACTACGGTTGAATCGACCTCTACGGTTGAATCGACCTCTACCATGGAATCGACCTCTACGGTTGAAATGACCTCTACCATGGAATCAACCTCTACCATGGAATCAACTTCTACCGTGGAATCAACCTCTACCGTCGAATCAGCCTCTACGATCGAGGTTACCTCTACGGTTGCGGTGTCTACGATTCAGGCGACTTCTACAATCGAATCAACTTCTACCATTCGCCCGAATTCAACCATTCCCTCAACTCCTACGCCCACCCCAGCTGCCCCAGCTCAGACCCCTCAACCTATTCAGGATGCTTGCGCCAAAAAGTGTACCGATGAGTGGAACGCCTGTCGTTCTGAGCCTGGAGCCAACCAGTCTCTCTGCGCTTCCAACTTTGGCAAATGTATTGGATACGCACCGTTTCTGGATCCTGCCAATTACACATTGCCCACGTCGTGCGTCACTCCGGCTAGGAACACAACGACCGAGGCTCCGTCCCCCATGGCTGGCTTTCCCAATTCAACGACCATGGCCATGTCCACCAATTCCACTACGCCTGGTCTGACCATGAGTCCTGGCGCTGTGGGCTGTCAGACGCCCTTTGTCACTACTTGGGTGCCAACATCTACTATCTCGGCACCCTTGACCGTCACTGCTGCCGCTGGTCAACTTGAGCCTGCAATGTCCCTGGCTGCTATGGCTGCTCTTGCTGCTGCCGTGTTCCAGTGGACCCGGATTCATCGACAAGACATTGCCGGCATTCGCTGAAACAGTTTCCATGATGAAGTGTTGGTTATGGATATTGAAGAGCGGGATTGCCATTGGTATTCAGCACTTCGAGCTAGGAGTTGAAAGTCTTTTATAGACATCTGCCCAGGGTCATTTGAAGGCTCGTTATTGTTTTTGTTGGATTTGATGTGAAATTTCTTCCGTGATGGATACGTCGCATCGGATGGTGACGAGCTCAATCGGGCTGCAGCAAGAAGCTTCGAGGTGTTGTGGAAGATCATTGGTGGTTGTTCAGGATTTCGTTATTGCTCGTTGGCATTACACGGCTTGGTCGCAAAGGCTGAAACTTGGGATTGTTTCCTTTGTCATACCGTATTCAATAGCTTGTCTAGTTATTATGTATGTCGGTCTTGTTTTTGTTTGAGCGTCCACGACGTGATGTGTCTGACTCGTCGCCGCGTCAAGTGGTGTCTGCTATTCCTATTCCCGCCCGCCCGGAAATTGGCAGACGAGACCCCGCATTTCCCCCAGGGTGGTTCCTTCCTTTCTTGCATGGATTGGGGTGACATGGCACCGCGCGACGCGGGAAAATGTCCGGATCCGCCTCGCACCGACATGCGCACTCTCCCAGCACAACTCTGCCCCATTGTGTTGTATCTCACAGAGGCATCCGGCATCCTCGCCCCCGGGTCCCGGACTCCCGACATGCAGAGCAATGTCGTTGCTCGGCGCACCCAGTTCTCCAGTTGTGACGAGTGCCGTCGGGCAAGGGTGGGCTGCGATGCGCTGAGTCGAAATAGTGAAACGGGCGACTCGTCTGCTTCTTGCACTCGCTGTCTGAATCGCCACCAGCAATGCACTTTCAAGGCATGTGATTAACTTTTTTCTCCCTTTTTTGCGGCAGGACAAGAAAAGAGATACTTTAATTCATGACCAAAGCCAGCTGACCTGCGCGTAGTGGATGAAGGAAAAGGGCGCTAAGCCAAAGCGCGCGCCTTTGGGCCGACGCAAGCTTCGCCGACAATCCGACGCATCAAGTTGTGTTGGTTCGAACATAGTCAATGACAGGCCAGATGACCCAACTCTCCCGTCTGCTCGTGATGACTGGGATCTTGTCAACTCTAGACAGGCCAGTTCTCCTTGTCCCGCAGTCACTAATTCGACGAGTTCCATTTCGGATCTGCTGAGTCCACCAGAGGATGCTTGGATTCATGTTCTTTATCGCGAGGGATTTAACGCAGTGTTCGGTTCGTAGATGGGTAGGGACGGCTGTCCATTCCTGTATAGTGCTTCTAGTCTCCCAAGTCTTTCGCGTGTTTTGCTAGTTACTCAATGGTTCCAGATTTGCCGAACACAACCTGGCAGGAAAACATGTCAACATTGTCGAGGTTTGCACTCGGCTCGACCGATGGGTTGCTGAGAACTCTGATGACGAATAGAATTCTTCTACTCGCGCTCCCGCCCGTGAGCCTGGAATAAGACACAGATTGATTGATCAGTCACTGCGAAGCACAATCGCCGCTTTTTCTGCCAGATAGCTCTACATTTCCAACCACCCTCTATCAATAACAGAACCACACCACCAAAACATTGTGCTTACTCTTTGGAGAGGTGCCCGGCGGGACATGCTCCGTGTAATTAACCGACCGTCATATCAATCCATGCTTTCCTTGTTCTTGTTCGCTCTAACGCCCATTCCCACTGGAATATCAGAGGATAAGGAACTTGATGGCATTTCAGGGCAAGCGTGTGTGCACGCAGCCCTGCAGCAGATACAAATCTTGCAAGCAAGGCAGCGCAATTTGCAATTCAGCGGATCAAAAGTGTCGCCGTCCACACCCAGGTCAAAGTCTGATCCTGCTGTCATCGGCAGCTCAGGCTTTATTGCAGCAGAGAGTATTGCTTACTGGGCGGCTTTAACATTCGACACCTCGGCGTCATTGACTCTTAACTGTCGCCCCTTGTTATCTTCTGGTCTGTTCGGCTTCAAGGCCGAGCTACCTTGGCGGCTAGTACGAACCGGTGCCAAAATGTTCCATGAAATAACAAAGATGTGGCGGGCTGATGGAGTCATTAACATAGTGGATAAACGAGCAGACCAAATCATCGCCAGCGGAAGTGCCTAGAAACTTCTCGCTTGGAAGTTGACATTCATCTTCAAAGAGGCTCTGCGCGACGGGCACAACGAATCTGAAGTTAGCAGAGCATTTTGTTTCGTTACTAATGCAATTCAACAGTTTAATAACGTTTATCGACGGCCTTTAGAGGCGTGCCAAAGGCGAATGCCCTTCCTAGGACAGCAAACAAAGCTCCGCTGGTGTATGTAACACGCAACGCGTCGTGGGGTACATTGAGCCCCCTTGCTAACACGCACAGCAGACTCCTTGACGTTACATTATCATCTCAGCATCCTGATGTTTATTGACATTATTGAGGCTACTGGGCGACATGACTTGCTAGCCAGCGTAGCCAAAACCAACGCCGACGCCGAAAACGCCGTCATGAATGCCCTAGTCTTTGGGCTTCAAAATACTTTTACCGCGACTACTAGCTCAGTGTCTAGTCCAAAAGATGCCAAGGCCTTAAGCGCGTCCGATCTATCATTCACAGTACCCATTATATCTATCGACCCATACCCACATCACGTCGTTGCAAGTGTCCAGCTCATACGTAAAGCAATCGATAGGGACTTAAAACAAGGCAAGATTACCGATGAATCGCATGCAAGTCTTCGATCTACACTAGAGGCAGCCCTGAGCCACCTTCCGCAGAGCTCCAAGTCCGTGCAGGCGGCACGGAACCGGTTTTCTGAGATGGGAACGCCTAGTGCGATATTGGCGCGTCAAGATCCGTATGTATTCTTGCAAGCACAGTATGCGGCATACCACGTACTCAAAGGTTGATCCAGCAGATGATGCAGTCGAACTTTCCGCTCCCACCCAAAGCCACAACACCTTGCAACACGATGGGTTTAGTCCGCCATGCCACCGCACCGGCTACGCGCGGCGTGCCTGTCTTGAAAGGTCATGGCTCGGTCCGGCTACCAATATCTGCATTGCTACTACCAATAAACCGATTAATAATTGCTCCGGCCCTGGTCAGTCTTTGCAAGTGTGGTCGACGGATCCGATGTGTTACATTGACATCGAACCGCCACCCCCGCATCGGATCCGATCATAATGGAGCTGCATCGACGAAAGTCCAGTTCTCAACAGTTGCAATGAGAGGCAAGGTCGGTTTTTTGTCAACATCCTATCTGAGGTTTGGTTGTGTCCTGTCGCGGCACAATATATCGTCAACATGCTTGCAACATTGGCACGATTGACGAGGTCATCAGTCACTGTGGTTGGAGCAGGGTTACAAGGTAGACGTCTGGCCTACATAGTACGTGACTAGCCTCTTCTGGTTGAACATCCAAATCTAATTACTTTCTTCAGTGGACAAGTAAAGGCAACGATGTCCACTTAATTGATGGGAAACCAAGCCAGCTCCAGGCGAGCATCGAGAACGTCAGTCAACTACGATCCCAGCTTGATCCAAACGGCAACTTTGGCAAAGTGCGCACACATTCTCCAGATGCCATGAAAGCTGCCTTGAGTCAATCATGGCTCGTAGTCGAGGTACGTCGCGCCATGTGTAGAACGATGAGATGATTGGTTAAGACTCTCGCAGTGTGTTCCCGAACGTCTGCACATGAAGCAAGAAGTCATGGCCCAGCTTGATGACTTGGCGCCAGAAGACACGATTATTGCATCCAATTCTAGCAGCTATCCGTGCTCTGAAATCGTCGCCGGGCTAGCCCTAAAGAATGCGAGGCGGATTTTGAGTGCTCATACGTGCAAGTTCGCCATCAGTCGGTTCTTGTGTTAAATGCTGACTGGTTTTAGACTGGCCACCGGAGATACCAGGTAATCGAAGATTGTACAATCATTATCAGGTTACAGATGTTGACAGAAAGCAGTCATCGAGATCATGGGGCACGAATCTACCGATGCGTTTTTGATCCGCACCATGATGGAGCGGTGCGCTGCACATGGGTTCTCGCCGTTTCATGTGAGAGGCACATCAATTGGATACATTTACAATAGGTGAGTCATTGACATCCTCGACAGACTACGACGTTGTACGGGGTCCGCTAATAATCGCTAGAATATGGGCTGCCATCAAACGGGAAGCGTTATTAACAGCAGCTGAGGGCGCGGGCACACCAGACGAAATTGATGCGATTTTTAGAGGTGTACTGAAGACAGGCAAAGGTCCATTTGAGCTTATGGATATTGTCGGCCTCGATGTGGTGTTCGATATTGAGGAGCACTATGCCGCTGCGAGAGGTCATCTCCCAGAACAACCGAGAAGCTATTTGGCCAGTTACTTGCAGAAAGGGCATCTTGGTGTGAAGAGCGGACAAGGATTCTACACATATGGCAGCTCTCCTTCGATGCGGCCAGAAAGCCCTCGGGAGACTGCACCTACTACAGCCTGTAAGATAGACACGAGCCAGAGCGCACCTCATATACGGGGGTAAGGACAGGACAGCGACATAACTCACTTCGAGTTTCTCAAAGTGGATCTGAAGTGTAACAAGAGGCTCCGAATTCGAACTCGAATGCCGCCGCCCCCCGCGTGATCAAACGGCGGCGATCGCCCAACAAACAAGCAACGCTTGAGTCATTTGCGGAGTCGTCGGCGACCATTTACCCGCTTCGGATCCGTCGCAGAAATTAAGTCTGCCCCCGGCACGCGGACGAAACCAAGAATCGAACAAATAGGAACCGAGACGAACTTTCCGGTCGCACCGCGGACCCAGGTCGGATAGCGGTCAACCCCGCGTCTTGGAAGCCACAAAAGCCGGGGAAGTCTAGAAACGTTGTGGGTCATGGTGATGGGAGACGAGACGGACGCATGGTTGTCCGGCTGTTCTGGCCTGATTATTCCATGGCCATGCTCGTCACGGTGGCGCCGTCAAGAGTAATGAAAATGGGGGCGAAGTCGTGAGCGAAATAACTCAAGCCTCGCTATCCGAGGCGTCATGCCCGCCAAACGCCAAACCGTTGTACGTCTTTCGAATCCTCAACGAGGCCGGTAACGTGGAGTTGCGGCCCGTAGCCAATGAGTAGACGGCAGTACTAACTACTTGCCGTGTCTCGGTTCCGATACACAGAAGCAATACACGGATGGGGCGTGCGTTCAAGAGTCTTACTGAGGCCCGTTTCCATGTAACATAAACATGGTGTCCGCACATAAGTGAATTAATAACCAGGTGCTCAGGGTCCCCCTCATGTCGAACTTGCACATTGATGATGCCGACGGGTTGCAAGGCGCTGTGCAATCTGGTCGATGCCTCACGTGTTCTCCTGCACCACCTTTATTGCACCTTCAGACTCAGAGCTTCTCCCGCCGCCCCTGACGGCCAAAATGAAGTCGCATTCGGGCGAATCGGCTGAAAAGGGCGCGATGCCGTCCAGCCGTGACGAATACGCAGACACCGACATGAATCTGGAGAACAAAGCCGTCAGCGAGACGGACGACATGGGCATTGGAGTGGTCGCACCACAGCCTAGTTTTGACCATGTCGATGAAAAGAAGATTCTTTGGAAGGTAACGACATGGCGCCTTGACTTGCCCATTTATTGCCGAGAAATGACACGCTTGTGCACCATAGATGGATATCCGATTGATCCCCATGCTGGCGCTCCTCTACCTCCTCTCATTTCTTGATCGTAAGAACCTTCCCGTCACGACGCCACGCCGGGACGTGTAACTGAGAGGCACAGGCGGAAACATTGGCAACGCCGAGGTCGAGGGTCTCAGCTTCGATCTCGGCATACAGCCAGACCAATACAACTGGTGCCTCACCGTCTTCTTCTTCACATACGCCGCGTTTGAAGTCCCCTCCAACCTGCTCCTCAAGAGGCTTCGCCCCAGTCGCTGGCTGCCCAGCATCATGGTGGCATGGGGACTCGTCATGACGCTCATGGGGCTGGTTCAGAATTACCACGGTCTCTTGATTGCGCGCATCTTTTTGGGCGCCACTGAAGCTGGTCTCTTTCCCGGTGTTGCCGTGCGTCGCGTCCTGTTGTTTTTCCTTCCACCCTCAAAGAGGCCCTCCTTTGGTGAAACTAACGGCCTCAGTACTATCTGACCATGTGGTACTGCCGACACGAGATCCAGTTCCGCCAGGCGCTCTTCTTCAGCGCAGCTTCCATTGCCGGTGCTTTCAGCGGCCTGTTGGCTTTCGCAATCAGCAAGATGGACGGCACGGCCGGGCTCCAAGGCTGGCGTTGGATCTTTATCCTCGAGGGAATCGCCACCGTTCTCGTGGCGTTTTTCGCCTTCTTCCTGATCCACGACTTCCCCGATACGGCCTCGTTTCTGACAGCGGACGAGAAGGCATTCGTGATTCACCGCCTCAAGTATCAGGGCCAGACGGCGGTGGGCGGTGGTGATACCGAGGCCCGGGCAAGCGGCCAGGTCGAGCAAGCCGAGGAGTTTGAGTGGAAGTACGTCGGGCAGGCGTTTAAGGACTGGCAGATTTGGGTGCACATCCTCGTGTACTGGGGTGTAAGTTGTGTTTCCGGCCTCGGTCTGCTCTTGGCTCGTTGCTACCCTGACGCGTACAATGTCAAGGCAAGCAAGCTGCTTCCCATCGTGGCAGATTGTCTGTCCGCTGTACGGAATCAGCCTGTTCTTGCCGACGATCATCAAGAACCTGAACTATTCCAAGACGGAGGCACAGCTTATGACGGTTCCGATTTACATCACGGCTGCGGTACTGGCTGTCGTTGTTGCCTTTTGCTCCGACCGAGTCGGCAAAAGGAGCCCGTTTGTGATTGGGTTCATGGCCATGATGTTGGTAGGATTCACGATGTGAGCGGCACCATGTCCGGCCATGCTGTCAAGGAAACCCGTCCGTCCGTCTGTCTATCTGGTGGGCTGACGAACGGAACCCCAGGTGCATTGCCTCGGGCAACCCCAGGGTCGTGTACGGCGGCGTCTTTGTCGCCGCCTGTGCCATTTACCCTGCTTTCCCTGGCATCATCGCCTGGCTGTCGAACAACTTGTCCGGCAGCTACAAGCGCAGTGCGGGCATGGCCCTGCAGATTGGCATCGGTAATCTCGGGGGGGTAAGTTTTCTCTACCGTCCCGACTCCTCACCTCACCTCGCCATCACGACTCTTGTTGACTGGGGGGTTTATTTTGCCGCAGGCCATGGCGGCCAACTTTTACCGCAAGAGAGACGCGCCCCGCTACTTCCTTGGCCACGGCCTCGAAATCGGCTTCATCGTGCTGGGCCTCGCCGCGGCTTTTGCTCTCGTCCGGGGCTACTGGGTGCTCAATCGCAAGAGGGAACGCCGCCTGGCGGAGGGCCAGGACAAGAACTACACTGCGGCCGAGTTGTCTGCGTTGGGAGACAAGGCCATGACTTTTAGGTACATGTTTTAGCATGTGCGGAACGAGCAGAGTGTCCCCCGGCTGTAATTGAGTTTTGGATTTCAGAAGCACGTTGGAATTCGACGCGACCTCTGGTTGACGCCGTGCAGGATCGCATCGGCAGTGAACAAGATGCTGTGTTGTCATGAGATGGGATTTCATCACGCCATCTAAAATACAAGAAGCCAGACAGTGCGCCTGCGAACCCATGATGCTTTACAACGTCAAGCCCGCACTTGCAGAATGGTGGTATCGTACAGGATGAGAGGGGTGGATTTGCCATGTTTCCCGTCACCGCGGGCGCCGAGTCAAGATCCGCCCTCGGGTCTGTGCAGCTCTTCGTACCTGGGCATATCCCACTCGTCCTGCTTCTGATTTGCCATGAAGCGGTTCTGGAGGAACTTGTGTATGTTGAGCCGGTACGCCAGTCCCAGAACCAAACGAGTCATGCGCACCGCCGCCCTGGATTCCGGATACAGGCACTTGACGACCTGCACGTTCAGGGCCTGCACCTTGTCGATCCACGGCCTCATGGCGGCATCGTACGCCGCAAACGCGGCCTTGACGTCGGTCCCGTTCCGGCCAAGCTCCCCGGCGAGTATGTAGGCGCCCACCAGGGCCGACGAGGTGCCCATCCCCGTCAACGCACAAGGGCAGAACCCCGCGTCGCCGAGGAGCACGACTCGGCCCTTGAAGTAGGCCTTGGGACGAACCTGGATGAGTTCGTGCGCGTAAAAGTCGGGCGTGGTGTCCATGGCGTCGAGCAGGCGCGGGACTTGGGCCCACGCCAGGTCCTTGAAGGCGTCGGCAAAGGCCTTCTTCTGCGCGGGCACGTCCCCTTTGAGGGCCTCCTGGATGTCGGCGGCGTGCGACATTGTCATGAGGTACGCTTGGCCCGCGTCGGGGCTGTGCCACCTCGTGAAGGCCAGTCGTTGCCGGTTGCCCGAGTAGCCAGTGGCCACGTTCTCGTCTTCTGGCGTCCGCGGCACCGTGTAGTAGCATGTGAAGAGGCCCAAGTGTCGCAGGAAGCGGTCGTCGCCGCCTTGGTCCCTGTGCAGAGCTCGCCTGATGCGCGACCCTTGGCCGTCGGCGCCGACGAGCACGTCGTATTCCTCCTCGCTGCCGTCGGACAGCTTGACCTTGACCACGTCTCCCGTGTCGTCGAACTCGTCTACCGACAGGCCAAAGCGGTACGTGGCCGTGCCTCTGGTCTTTTCGTGCAGTATCTTGGACAGGTCGCCGCGCATGATTTCGAATTCGCTCGTAAAGCCTTGCAGCTTGCTTCCGGCCTCTTTTCTGGGGAAAAAGATGATGGGCTTGCCCGCGTCGTCGACGATCCTGAATCCGCCTTCGTCGACTACGTGTTTGCGAACGTCGTCGGTGATGCCCATGCGCTTGATGGCCTCGATGCCCTGTCTACGAATGTCTATCTGCTGGCCGCCGACACGCGGGCTGTCCCATCGTTCCAGGATGGTGCACGCGTGGCCGAGACGATGGAGCCAGAACGCAAGTGCCGGTCCGGCAATGCCCGCTCCCACGATGAGGATGCGCAGTGGTTCTTCGGGCATTTTGACCGGCTTATTCGAGGAGGAGATCGAGGGACGAGGGACGCTTCGAGACACAACGGCAATGGGAGGATCCGAGAGACGATCTGCTGCTTTTGCACCAGCTACGTGGCAACCTTATATAGCCGTCTTCCGAGGAGGAAAAGGGACGGGCGAAACGGGCAGATGGTCGCGTACTCTAAACCCCGAAGTGGCGAGCGGAATAGCCATCCCTCCACCGGGATGCAAAGTGCCATGTCCGCGGGAGCTGCTTTTGAGCCGCTAATTTCGTTTACTTACCGCCCGACGTTTGGTATTCCTTGCGCTCCCTCGGTTCACGGTCGATTAGTATTACACGGCATGTCGGAAACCAGGGTGAAATACACTTGGTGAGTCATGCGCACCTGGTAGGCCAATGGCGTTTTCGACTCCTTGGGGGGTGAGGATGGGGATCCGGGACTCAAGCAGCCATCGACTGAACACCACCGGAAAATAACTAAAGCATTCGAGGTTAGTTCCCAGCCGGTTCGTGCACAACTCCATCTGCTTCGACGTCATCGAGGCCATGGGCTCGGCGTCCGGTGCAGTCCGAGAGGCCGAATTGCCCCAGGTTGGCTGACATGCATGATATTTCCGGTCCTCTGGACATCCGTGGAGGAGTCATTCGGCAAAGGAACGTATTCCGAGCGGTGACCGTCCTGGTTTTTATGATATATGCCGTCGTCGAAGCGTGGTCACGACTCACAACACATCATCCAGGGGTGGCGTGAGCGGTGGCTGAGGAGATGATGAGGCGGGTGGCTGTGCGTCGGCGGGGCTGCAACTCGGTCGTGGCTGAAGCTAGTCCGGCCTTCGTCATCGTGCTAGCCGACGGTTCTCCACCAATCATCCCGTACATCCATTTCCGAATGCATGGAAAAACGATGCAGCGAAGCATTCACAGAGGCTGCCAAGTCGTATCAACTGCCTGCATCGGTTCAGTTCGAGCTCCATACCGCAACTCTTCGGTTTGTCCCTGATACGGCCAAGTTTGACCTGGTCGTGTCCCCCGAGAAGTCGTGGACAAGTGGACTGCGGGTTCGACGACGCCATTTCCCGCGTACTCTCCCCGCAAGGCGACTATCTCGCCCCTGCTCGGGTCGCTCGAGCAAAGCTATACGACTAGTGGCGCGGCTTCGCTCCGCCCGGAAGCTGTACCAAGGTCCGAAATCCAGATGAGTTTCAACACAGGTCCAAGAATGTCCGAGGAACAAAGTATATCGCTTCGAGTTCAACAATTAGAACGCAGGAAGTAGAGTGGCACAAAGAAGTGGTATACGAGAGCATCTGGAGCCTCTTGGTGACTGTCGACTAGCACAACCGGGCGGTGGATCAAGGAAAGGGGCTCCCAGAGGATAGCATCTCTGAGATTCTAGTGACACCGCCGGGCGACGGGAGCCGGCAGAGTGAGCCCTGGGAGATGGGCGCATCAGAGGTTACTGGCCATGAAGCATTTTGTCGATGCCAAGCGACATCCAGACAAAGGGAGCAAACTGAAGCCCTTCGAGTTTGTTGGGTATGCCAACGAAGTCGCTGATACCTGGCAGGATGGAGAAATAAGAGAAGCCGCACCAAGCAGTTGGAAAAAGTTTTGCATGGAACATGAAGTGCTTGGCCGCACACGGTTTGAGACGGCGACGACTTCGAACACTCTTGTAGACTGAGTACTAGGTGTGGTCTACTGGACTTGAAGTGTGTACAAGGGCGAAACAGGGAGCGAAATGTATGACGAGAGTCTGTGACTTCTGCCTAGTTATAAGAGCCTCGGTTCAAAGGGTTCCGTATGATGAGGACTATGACAACTCGCCCCCGAGGCATTGAAAGCGGCGTTTGGGGTCGCTTGAATGCTCACTCGCGTGGCTGCGGTGGAAAAACAACAGGTGCTTTGCAAAATGTGCTGGGATTTGGACGCGACTCGCGACGACTTCACGCCAACTGGACAGGCTTGTCTCATTAGTCATCACGGTCGCGTGGGTTAGGGCTGAGCTGTCGCCCCAACAGATACAGTCGCCGCAAATCTACGGGTCTCCGAGGGTGACGCCGGTTGAGCCGCTCTGCCCGCCAGCCAGAAGCCAGCGTGGAAGGCGCGAGAGCCAGCCAGGGGAGCTCCACGTTAGCGGGCGGGCGAAGCTTGGTCCGCGAGCTGTCTCGGCCTTGCGAAGTCGCTCCAGCCAGGAAGCTCGTTTCGCCGTCCTCCGGAAAGGAAATTCCCTCGAGGGCGTCCGTTGAAGCCATCACCATCTAATCTGCTTCATACATCCTCCACCATCGCTATTCCTTCCCTTGGACCAACCCAGTGCTGCTCCTGTATTTTTTATTGCTCTTCCCCGCTTCTGTTCGTCGTATTTAAATTGCGACGACCTGCATTGGTGGCTCAGGGTCCAAGCACCTCTTCTTCGTTGCATTTATTTGCATTTACCTCCTCAACAAATTGCCACACACAGCGCAGATACCATGTCACGTATCCTTCGACCGGCCGCCCGCCTGGCGCTCTCATCACGAGCCGCTACCATCAGGCCTTCCGCCGCTTCCACCTTCACCCAGGTTCCCCGAGCCGTCACCACTCCCGTCTTCTTCGGCGCTCAACAGAGCAGGAAATATGCTGAGGGGGCTGGTGTCAAGGAGTATACTGTTCGAGAGGCGCTGAACGAGGCTCTCGCCGAGGAGCTCGAGTCTAACTCCAAGGTCTTCATCCTTGGCGAGGAAGTTGCTCAGTACAATGGTGCCTACAAGGTTACCAAGGGTCTTTTGGATCGCTTCGGCGACAAGCGTGTCATCGACACTCCCATCACCGAGTCCGGTTTCTGCGGGCTCGCCGTTGGTGCTGCTCTGAGCGGTTTGCACCCTGTTGTACGTATTCTGCTACTCCTACAATGGCCCTTGGGCCAGCTTGCTTTATTCAGTGCCGGCGTGGATCGACTGCCCCCCTTGGGACATCCGCATTGTGGGTGGCCCTACCGACGCTAATGATCAAACGTGACAGTGCGAGTTCATGACCTTCAACTTCGCCATGCAGGCCATTGATCAGATCGTCAACTCTGCCGGAAAGACCCTTTACATGTCCGGCGGCATCCAGCCATGTAACATCACCTTCCGCGGCCCCAACGGCTTCGCCGCAGGTGTCGCTGCTCAGCACTCCCAGGACTACTCGGCCTGGTACGGCAGTGTCCCTGGCCTCAAGGTTGTCTCCCCCTGGAGCGCTGAAGATGCCAAGGGTCTGCTCAAGGCTGCTATCCGCGATCCTAACCCCGTCGTCGTCCTCGAAAACGAACTCATGTACGGCCAGTCCTTCCCCATGTCCGAGGCCGCTCAAAAAGATGATTTCGTGCTGCCCTTCGGCAAGGCCAAGGTGGAGCGTGCCGGAAAGGATCTCACCATCGTCTCCCTCTCCCGATGTGTCGGCCAATCCCTAGTCGCGGCCGAGAACCTGAAGAAGAATTATGGGATCGAGGCCGAGGTTATTAACCTGCGCTCTGTCAGACCCCTTGACATTGAGACCATCGTCAAATCCGTCAAGAAGACCCACCGCCTCCTTTCCGTTGAGTCTGGTTTTCCCCACTACGGTGTTGGTGCCGAGATTCTTGCTCTGACCATGGAGTACGCTTTCGACTACCTTGATGCCCCTGCTCAGCGAGTCACTGGCGCCGATGTGCCCACTCCCTACGCTCAAAAGCTGGAGGAGATGAGCTTCCCTACCGAAAAAGTCATTGAGGATTACGCCGCCAAGTTGTTGCGAGTTTAAGAAACGTGATTGACGCAGCTTTGGAAATGCGTCGAGGTTGGAGAAATAGAGACACCTGTCCCGGCGAGAGAGCTCTTGGAGCAGCAATGACATGGGGTTGAGCAGCAGCTTTGGGATGATGCAGCACTATGGTCATAGATACATGCTGCAAAAGACCGCAGGCAGGAGTTATAGCGCGCCTTGAAAACTGCTTTACTTATAGACGGACGGACTCGGGGAAGGGGGACCTGTACTTGTAATTTGTTGCCTCATGTATACACCCTTTGCCATGCATTCGTCCATGACCAATTCCTTGTGAATACGCACTGCAATCGCCATGACTGGGTTCATTCGGTGCTACGCAAGCGGCCACTGCATCCTGTGAGCCTGAAAACAACTTGGCAAAGCGATATGGCTGATGTGAACTTTTCTTCACGAGCATGCCCTGCCGAAGGGAGCCCTGAATCAGTTGCCACGAAAAATGTCAAACGCGCATTGCTGAACCCGCACTCCACCCAGATGTGGGGCTGTCTCGACTTGGATTGATGAGGTCGAGCCGTAACCATCATCTTCGCGAGCGCCGCTACACAAACCCCACCATATCAACAGAGAGCATGGCCGGAATCGACGCCCTTCTTCTCGCGCAGAACGAGGATGGATTCCCAATGCTCCCGTCCGGAAACTCACATAATCTGGATTCCGAGGCTTTAAAGCATCAACTAGAAGGCAAATTTCTGACACCGTCGCGCGAGTTCTCAACCGAATGGCTCAACCTTCTGCAGCAACGGTGGGAGTTTGAAACCGACTACACGTCTCTATTCAGGCTGGCACCTACTCAAACACGTACCGTGACGAGGTTTCAACGCCATGGGCTGGAGGGCAGAGTCACTGGCTACAAGAACGTTACGGTACCTTCAAGTAGTGCCACGGCCAAAAACTCGACCAGTTTGCTTCGAAAACCAGCCAACCGAGCCGACTTTGTCCGCGGAGCTGCCGGATTCTTCCCTTTTGCGCCCGGTGGTCTCGATGGCATAGAAGCAACAGCTGCTCTTGAGGACCAGGTTCACACTGGGGGGGTTGAGGAGGGCTCCAGAGCCAACAAGCTTGACAGGGTTATTCAACTTGGCGAGGGTGGGCTGCTCCGGATAGCCCCCGGCCTGGATCGGGGCATCGATTTCAGTAAGAAAAAAGGCTCTCCTGATGTGGAAGCGGCAAATGCTCTCAAGAAAACTTTGGAAGAAGAGCCCGAAAGCGCTCAAGTGACGGAGGAGACAGAAGGGGAATCACCGAATGAAACACCGAATGAAACACCGCTGGATACATCTGATGCAAATGAGGGAAAAGATGATATCGACGATATTCTTCCTATTGAATTCCCGGCTCTGGAACCCCACGGTGTGTTAGCTGCATCGAGTTCCCGTAAGGCTGGCCGTGAATGGGCACACATGGTGGATATCAGACAAGGAATGCCAAACTTTCGAGAACTGGTCCCTGACATGGCTAGAGAGTGGGAGTTTGAGTTGGACACCTTTCAGAAGGAGGCTGTCTATCATCTTGAGAACGGCGACTCCGTCTTTGTCGCTGCTCACACGTCAGCAGGCAAGACAGTTGTGGCTGAGTATGCCATTGCTTTGGCGGCTAAGCACATGACCAAGGCTATATACACCTCACCCATCAAGGCATTGAGTAATCAAAAGTTTCGGGACTTTCGACAGACGTTTGACGAGGTCGGCATTCTCACCGGCGACGTGCAGATCAATCCCGAGGCAAGCTGCCTGATTATGACGACGGAGATTCTACGAAGCATGCTTTACCGTGGAGCCGACTTGATTCGTGACGTCGAGTTTGTGGTTTTCGACGAAGTTCACTACGTTAATGATTTTGAGCGAGGAGTGGTCTGGGAAGAGGTCATCATCATGCTGCCGGAACATGTTACACTTATTCTCTTGTCGGCCACGGTTCCCAATACGTATGAATTTGCGTCATGGGTTGGCCGCACGAAACAGAAAGACATCTATGTCATTTCGACCTCCAAGCGTCCTGTTCCTCTCGAACATTACATCTGGGCAGGCAAGGATGTTCACAGAATCGTCGACTCGGAGAAGAAATTTATTGAAAAGGGCTGGAAAGATGCACACGTAGCCTTGCAGGGCAGGGAGAGGCAAAATCATGCAGAGGCTGCCATGGCCACGCGAGGAGGCAACCCCCGAGGCGGACAACGCGGTGGCCAGCAACGTGGAGGGCCGCAACAACGCGGCGGACGAGGAGGTGGCCAACAACGAGGTGGCAATCAACAACGAGGTCGGGGAGGGCCACCTCGCGCCAGTCACAGTCCTGGCCACATGGGCCGCGGAGGTCGTACTGGCGGCATGACTTCTGCTGCCCAAGACAAGAATCTTTGGGTACATCTGGTTCAGTTTTTGCGAAAGAAGTCCTTGCTGCCGGCATGTATATTCGTCTTTTCCAAGAAGAGATGCGAGGAAAATGCGGATGCGTTGAGCAACCAAGACTTCTGCACAGCCCAGGAGAAGAGCCGCATTCACATGATAATCGAAAAGTCTATTGCAAGATTGAAACCCGAAGACAGACACCTACCACAAATTATTAGACTGAGAGAACTGCTCAGCCGAGGCATAGCGGTGCATCATGGTGGGTTACTGCCAATTGTCAAGGAATTGGTGGAAATCCTGTTCGCCCAGACCCTCGTCAAGGTGCTCTTTGCTACCGAGACGTTTGCCATGGGCCTCAACTTGCCGACAAGAACTGTCGTCTTTTCGGGCTACAGAAAGCATGATGGACACTCGTTCCGCAATCTGCTCCCTGGTGAGTATACTCAAATGGCAGGCCGAGCCGGTCGCCGTGGTCTGGACACTGTTGGTTCGGTCATCATTGTACCTCCAGGAAGCGCCGACGACGTGCCGCCTGCCGCTGAGCTGCGCAACATGATACTAGGTGAGCCGTCCAAGTTGCGGTCTCAGTTTCGTCTCACCTACAACATGATTCTCAACTTGCTCCGAGTCGAAGCGTTGAAGATTGAGGAGATGATTAAGCGCAGTTTCTCAGAGCACGCTACGCAAGCACTGCTCCCTGAACACGAAAAGGATGTCAAGCTCGCACAGGCTGATCTGGCCAAGGTCAAGAGAGAGTCATGCAAGGTTTGTGACACGGCCATGGACGGATGTCACCAGGCTGCGCAGGACTTCAAGCAACTCACACTTGAATTATACAAGAGTCTCCTTCGCATCAGCATCGGGCGCAGAATGTTTGGTCAAGAGCGTCTCATCGTGTTTAACTGGGAAGGTGTTCGGACAGTTGGCATTCTGATATCAGAAGGCCTGAGCCCGAAAGGCACCCTGGAAGACCCTGTTCTCCACGTTTGCGCTATCAAACCACTAAGAGAAAGACGAGATGCCACAGACCAGCTGCCCTTCATCCCTAGTTTCCGCAGATACTTGCACAAGTTACCTCAGGGCAAGAAGCGCCTGCGCGTCAAGAACACTCACGTACCGCTGAGCGACGTAGAGTGCTTGACCAGGTGGGTTCTCAAGGGCACAATCCCAGAGATCTTCCAGGCTGGCGAGGCTGGTCAACAAGCCATGGAGAAATTGCAGGCTCTCTGCTCGGCTTGGGACGACCGGTGGGACGAAATTGACATGGTCAAGATCAAGAGTCTGCAGATGCAGGAGATTGTTGAGAAGAGAATGCAGCTAGTTAGGGCGATTTCCACCTCTCCCGTCACTCAGTGCCCAACATTCCTGAAACACGTAAGCCAAGCCACATGTTGTTTTGATCTGCCAGCAATAGACGGCCTATGCTAACAAATTCTAGTTTGCCATGTGCCACGACGAGTGGCTCATCAAAGAGCACATCTCGCAGCTCAAGCAGTCCCTTTCCGACCAAAATCTCCAGCTCCTACCCGACTACGAGCAACGTGTCCAGGTCCTCAGGGAGCTCGACTTCATCGACGATGCCACGCGGATCCAGCTCAAGGGCAAAGTAGCATGCGAGGTCCACTCGGGCGACGAACTCGTCCTCACCGAACTCATCCTCGACAACGTCCTCGCCGATTTCGAGCCTGCCGAAATCGCCGCCCTCTTGTCATCCTTTGTGTTCCAGGAGAAGACTGCAGTCGAGCCGACATTGACAGGCAACCTGGAGCGCGGGCGGGACACCATCATTGCGATTTCTGAAAAGGTCAACGACGTACAGACCAGGCTGCAGGTGATTCAGTCAGCCGACGACTCCAACGACTTTGTGTCGCGACCGAGATTCGGCCTCATGGAGGTCGTGTACGAGTGGGCCAGGGGGATGAGTTTCAAGAACATTACGAGCCTGACGGATGTACTCGAGGGCACAATTGTACGCACGATTACCAGGCTAGACGAGACGTGTAGGGAGGTAAAGAATGCGGCGAGGATAGTGGGGGACCCCGAGCTGTATCAGAAGATGCAAGAGGCGCAGGAGTTGATCAAGCGGGACATCACCGCCGTGGCGAGCTTGTACATGTAATCGGGCTGCGATATATCATATGAAAGGGGGGCATGCACCGACATGTGGTCTGCCGCGGGAATGAGACATGGTCATGGGATTACGGGAAAACGAACTCTTTTACGCTGGTGGCCACAGTCACGGGGAAACGAACAGACGCACGTTGAAAGAAGGCTAGACACAACCGCGCAGTTGTGCCGGGTGCGTTCGCTTCCATTCCAAATGTAAGCCCAAAACGCCTAGCAATGACTTTATCCGACGAACAACGTAATGCGGTTTCCTTCCGGAAACATCCCACCCCAAAGCACCCAAAAACACCGTACGACAAAACAAAACAAATGGACAAATGTAAGGCCTGGAACTCAGGCTCGCAGGGCCCTCAGTCTCTGCTGCAGCTTGTCCTCGTCCTCGGGTGAGACCTCGCTCGCCGGCTCCGCCTCTGCGGGTGTCACCTCGTTCAGCTGCTGGTTGAGCTCGATGCCCGCATCATCGGCCAGCTTGCCGAGGAGTTCGTGGACCGCGTCCTCGGGCACCTGGGCGGAGGTGGACTGGGCAAAGGCATCCTGGTAGATGCTGTTTGTCATGGCGTACTCTTCGTTTTGTTCCTTGAAGTTTTCGAGAACGCCGAGGCTCTGGCGCGTTTCGGGAAGAGGGGATCCTGTCAGCACAGCTCTACCGGGTATCATGTCTGGGGGGCGGGGGACGGGGACGGGGACGGCTACGGCTCACCTTTGCGGGAGTGGCACTCTTCTGCGCAGCAGTCATGACCTTGGACGACTGTGCCATCATGTGCGTCATGCGGTTCATGGCGTTGTTGGCCTGGATCTGGGCGGCGCTCAGCTCCGCCATGTCGGCGACCTGGTCCATTTGCGAGGCGAGCGCCTGCTTGCTGAGGAGCATCTTTGCCTTTTGGTAGGCCTTTTGGGTCTCGCCCTTTTTGAGCAGCTCCTGGATCTGCTTCTTGAGGATGGGGTCCTGCTTGGCGGCCTTTTGGGCCTCGCGCCGCGCTTGCTTTGCTTGGAAGCGCGCTTGGAACTCGACTTGCATGTCGCGGGCGAGTTGGCGGTTCGACATGGTTTCTGTGAGGGCTGATGTATCTCTTGGACTAGAGGACGTGGGCCCGGGTTTGGGTTTGGAAGAAATCTGAGAGGATAGGATGGGTTGCGTTGGTGTTGGTGGTTTTCCCTTTTCCCTTTTCCCGAGACTGGACTTGTCGGACTGGCCGTGGGTATGATGTGAGGACTAAGGACTAGTGCGGGGCGCCACGAGGGGCCAGCCACATTTGAGCCACAGTTGGTTCTTGTTGCGAGCCTCGATTTCGCGGTCTACCCTGGACATGGCGCGGTTTGTGACGAGTCATCCATGAGTACTTGTATCGCGTACAGTGTTTGGGAGATTGATGATGCAGAACTAGTTTCACTCTTGGATGAGCGCGGCGTGTGTTGGTGTGATGTCCTTTGAGTGCGTCTTGTTTCTTGTCGGCTGCTGCCTGATGGATACGAGGCAATCCGTGCGAAGGGGGCAGGACTCGGTGGTAAATGCTTCCCCCCCCCCCGCGATCCCTGGGACAAATAATTCCCCACCAAGTTCAACGTGGTTGCGAAACAACTCCAGGAAAGTTTGGGCATTGTATTTCCTGCAGAAGCGTTCCTGTGGCGCAGGCGGATTCAACGAGAGTCGTCCATGACGACACCAACCAACTCTTGGACCGCCACCTGAAATGAACGTCAGTCAACCAAAATCCTGAACACCACATACACTGCGCTTTACATCCCGTAGCAATGGCTTCCAAACTCAAAATGAACGTTCAGAGCTTCCCCCGGCCGCCACGCCTCGAGAAAATATCTCGACATCTACAGGTAGTTTACAAGGGGCAAACGATTGCTGAGACACGAGAGGCATTTTGGGCGTTGGAGACTCACCATCCACCGAGTATGTCGTTCCCCTGAGATTGCCATTGCAGTCTGATTCTGAGGGCCCCCGGGTCTCACTTTTCTCTTTTGTTTTCGAGATCCCCCTCCCCGAGCCTCACCTTCAGGATTATTTCCTCCCAGCTGTTGACCCATATCGGGAACAGCCTACTATCTCGCGCCGTCTTCAGTTAAGATTCCCCTGACCAAGACCAAGAAGAGGACATTTTGCGAGTGGAAAGGAATGGCGACTTACTACATGATCCAACTCGGCGACGGCGAAACCGTCTGCAACAGGATATGGTCGTACGAGCAGCCGGCATCGCCATTTGAGCCCATCCGGGGGTACCTGTCCTTCTATGCCGAGCCGTGGGAGTGTTTTGTGGACGGCGAGAAAGTCGAGCCGCAACCTGGTGACTTTTACGGCGGATGGGTGACTTCCGAGGTTGAGGGCATCGTCAAGGGTCGATCTGGTAACTTGGACCCGGTAGTTTGAAGGCGCAATGCTGCCGCTTGGTGAGGTCAAAGACCAAAGTCGACAGTGATGGGGCGCAACGGTCGCCGTGCACGGCATGTGTGCTCTATGAGGAGCTGAAGGCACGGCCTCTTGGTTGCAAAAGCCTGCTATGCTATATAGTACTGTCAGTCCTGCTAGTTCTGCTTAGCTGTAGTTATACTACGTGGCACGTATTGATCGTCAAGAGTTTTTGGTAAACAACGCCCAGCCTTCCCGCCGGTAAGGACTTTAGCTTATGTACTTAACTCCGTACCTGGGAGGAGGGGCAACTTTCATGACTTGATTCCAATGAGGCATGTGCTGTCGAGTGCTCCTTCCATCTTCGATGTGGAGGCTTGCCTGGGACTCGATGGAGTGGTCGTCGCACGCAGACCGTCGCACCGTGACCTTTGTTTTAAAAAATTGCCTTTCTTTCCGTCACGTCGCGTTCATACCCTGCATCATCTACTTATTTAAAACGAGCGCATCATCCAGTCAGTATTCTCGAGTCTCGACAGATGGCCGGTAATGTGGCAAAACCTCGCTTGACTCTTTGAGCTCCTGCACAGCGCATGGCCCTCAGGCTTTTTGAGAATCCGAATATTCGACACTCATCGAGCGGCACTCACCGGGCGGCACTGGTCGTCATTTAAGAACCGCATGCTCACGATACTACGTGGATCATAATGCTACAGCACCATTAGCCACCTTGTCTGTGGCTGCGCCGCGGGGCAGCGGCTGCAATGCCGGAACAGAGTCCGTCGAGATCTGTTGCAAAGGGAATATCCAAAGTTGCTGCAATTGGGCAGTTTCGGCTAGATTCCGTCTGATGTCAAATGCCCCTGGACCTTCGTTCGTGGGGGCCGTCATAGTGGATGTGGATATGGCCGTCCGCCATGAGACGATTCTCTACCTTCAATGTTCCTCTGCAAGTATCCAATTTCTCGACTGCTTTGTCGGATGACACTGGTTGCTGGCTCTTTGCTGTACACTGAGAAACCCACTACCTGAAGTAGTTGTGAGCCCGCTGCTTTGTGCCTATTGGTACCCTCAAGACCACAACGACAGAGTCTCGACTCCCGTTCACTATTGATAGAATCATGGATTCTCTACACTCTGGATGTAGCAATAGTCCTCTGCGGACAATGCTGGCTCGACATATTGTCAGGCGTGGCCTAGAGTTGTCGTCTCCATCAACCAAGCAGCGAAGAATGGCAGCAACCGCATGTCGCTGGATGCCGCAGCAGCCTTAACAACCAACCGACGGCGTCGACAGAGCTATTTACGGCAGCATCATGACATTTGTTCTCGAGATCTTCACCATAACAGGCTTTTGGACAGTCAAGTCTTGTCTTATAGTTCTTTATAATCGCCCCACGGTGAACCCTTGGCATGATGAGGCCACGTATGCATACGTGGATGTGCTACGATCTCTGGCCGGGGGACATACTCTCACCAAGCAAAGGTCGCTGCGGGCTATTTTGCAAGTACATACCTGCTCGACATACTCCTCTTCTTTTTCCACTGATGCAGCCCGCGACGGCTTGCAACATATCACACGCCATCCTGCTACTTCTGATTCCTATTCCTATTATCATCAAACCCCGATTATCCGTTGAGCGAAAGACCATTCTTGTTTGTATCCTGGGACTGTGCGTCTTCAACGTCCTTTCGGCCGTTCTCAACCGATACTACAACTTCAGCACCCAACCCTTACGTATTCTTGTACTGGCATGTCGCTGAGATCGGTATCGCAATCTTGGTGGGGAATATGTCGTTGTGCGGGCCGGTTTTGCGAGCAATTCTCGGCAGCACCAGCACGACCGATGACCCGTCCTACCACGGATATACCATGACTGGCGGAGGCCGCAAGCACAAGAAACCAAAGGATATCCTGAGCACGACTATTATGACACCAACAGTGGGATGCATTGGACAAGCAGGAAAATGCAGTGCCGTTACCCGCGACTTCCGTAAGCATCAGTCTCGGTTGGATCAGGGAAACCAGGTCGAACTGTTTTTTGCAAGGACATGAGCAAGATAATCATCATCAGAACCATCATGCTGCCGCCAGCGTGAAGTCAGAAAAGACAGACGAGGTAGATGGAGCTGCAGTCACGCCTCCTTGCAGTAGCGGTAGTAGTCAAAAAGGAGCAGTACAGGACCAGATTGTGGTTGTCACTACGGCAGATGTTTCTTCAACCGCTTCCCAAGAATAAAATGGATTCTGTTGGCCTCAATGTTTGTTCAACTGGGCTCTAACTTGGGAATTATAAGGCGGTATGAGATCATTTCTTGTTTTCTTGCAGACGGCGGAATTTACCAGACGCACGATATGACTCCTTCATTCCATTGTCGACGAATCGAGGTGATATATTCCATTCCCTCTACGCTGAATTATGGTTCCGATCAATACGTGACCAATTTTCTCTACCTCTACAATTCGCCGATCTACTAGGTAGTTACCTAGTCAGGTGCTTAAGTGGGCATTCACCATGGTCTCAACACCAGGTGGTCCGTCAGCTGTCCAGCCCAAAAGTCTTCGGGATCAGGACCGGGAGGGAAAATCTGATGGCTGGAAGGGACCAGCTTTCGCCCCATGAGGTGACATCCTGCATCGGCAGTCACGGTGATGTTGACGGATGTGGTTCTCTTCAATTGAGGGGCGGACACCAGACGATTTCATCGCCCGGTTTGTCTTGGAAGCAGTTTGCAGACTCCATGATCGCAGAATCCGCGTGGCTTGATACGTCTGCGAGGGTTGCCACACGTCCAACGGGCATCGACCATCAGAACATCAGGCTTCTACGGAGCCACTGCCGAATGTGGCCAAGAGTTCCATGGTCCGCTCAGTATTGTCGAAAGGGCCATTATGGCGCGCTCTCTCCGCCTCCAACGGAGTTGGTTCGCAAATACACGGCCTGCTTTTTTCTATTCCCAACTTGGATTCTCACTACAAATCTGACCTTGACGCCGGTTGCACTGCATGTGCCCGTCTACCAACGCTGGTGTTCAACCATACCCAGTCCCCTCAAGTTGGCTCCCTTGGGGTCTGCTTTTTCGAGCAATTGCATGCCACAGCGCCTCCCTTCCTGCATGAAGCCTCGTGGCTCGACGCCGTTGACTTGACTTACACCTCGGCCTCTACCCGCGCCAACGCAGGTTAATTTCATCAGGCTCATATCCATTCTGTCAAGACTCAACGTCAACAGCATGTCATTCCCTCTGCGGCAGGGACCGGTTCACCGGGATGCTCAGGGACTTGACGAGGAGAAAATTCCTCACCCAAGTGCAGCCGGCGTTACAGACGAAGAAGGCGGCAATACCGTCATCGACCATCAGGGTGCAGAGAGACTGCCGGTTCTTCCGCAACTGAGGGATATTCACAACCATATAGAAAACCTGGCCGGCTTCGAAGCCCGCGGTGTCGCCCGGGTGCTGCCCGAGGAACGCCAGCCTCCGTCGTGGTCGAGCGATGTCCAAGTAGCCATCATGTGTTACAGCGCCAATATTTCTCCCAATAATCTCGCCGCAGCCATGCTGGGGCCCTTGGCTTTCCACCTGGGCTTCTTGGACTGTGTCATGTGTGCTGTATTCGGAGCCCTTGTTGGCAGCCTGACGACGGCGTATATGAGCATCTGGAGACCCCAGAGTGGCAATTGAACAATGGTGAGTCGTCACATCCACGACGCCAGCTTGACGCGCCGTGTTTCATTAGAAACGAGCGACACCTGAATTGAGGCAGGGGCAATTGCTGACGCACAATGATCGGTGGCCAGGTCGTTTTGCGGCTCTTCATGGGTTACTGGCCATCCAAGATTCTGTGCGTCCTCAACGTCATTCTCATGATTGGCTACGCGACCATAGACAGCATCATTGGCGGACAAGTCCTGTCAGCCGTCGGCGGCGGCAAGATGACCATCATCGTCGGAATCATCGTGGTCAGCATAGTTTGCTGGGTCGTTGTGGTCTTCGGCATGGCCCTCTTTCACAAGTACAGGAGGTACGCAGGTGCATCACCACACGGCGTCTCCATTCTGCCGAGGCCACTCAACTCGTCCGAAGCGGACTGCTAACGTGTTCAGATGCTCGTGGCTTCCGCAAACCGTCGCGCTCTTCGTCCTGATGGGCGTTGCCGGCCCGTACTTTGACGCCTCGGCTCCGTCCAAGGTCAGCGACGCTCTGCTCGGCGCTCAGCGCCTGTCCTTCCTCAACATCTGCCGGTACGTGCCCAACTCGTGGGCCGGCGCGGCCTCCGACTTTTGCGTCTGCTACCCGGAGAAGACGTCCAGGCACAAGATCTTCCTGCTCACTCTGACGGGCATCTGGACGGCCTTCATCTTTGTCTATGGGCTACTGGGCCGTGATCATGGTCCTGGTTGTGGCCGTGGAGCGCCAAATGTCCCGTGGTCGCGGAGGCTTCGACTGGTCGCGGTGGGAGGACAAGGAGTACCAGCCGCCGGGCCTTGCGGCTCTAGCAAGCTTCTTGGTGGGATGGGCCGGCGCGGTGCTAGGCATGGCCCATGCGTGGTATGATGGTCCTATTGCGAGGCTGGTCAAGGGCGGCGACGTCGGGCTGTGGATCGCATGTGGCTTTACTGTGGTTTCGTTCCCGCCGTTGCGCGCCTTGGAGTTGAGGATTTTCGGGCGATAGACGGTCTATGACACGACGGTATATGTGTGGACTTGTGATGCGACTCTGACATTATCTTGGCAACGAGGTGTAGCTAGCTGCTGGCAATGGCCTCGAGGAAAGGTAACGCAACGGTAACACTAGCACCGGAGGCAATTATCAAGGTTGAATCAGGTGTCTTCATGGCCGTGTTGTCGACCGTTGTCTGCCCTCGGTCGAGGACCAACCAGCCTTCAACACCACGGCACGCATCCAACTACTCCGGATCGTGGTCGCGGCCACGGGAACCACTGGTTCAGTGTCGCTATCATGATGTCATGGGATCGTGGGACATTGGGTTTGCTGGTTCCGGGCCGCCGGGCTTCCTGGCTGATGTGGTGCAGCAATAAGCTACTTAGTTAACGTTACTATTTGACTCGCTCCCTCCCCTCCCGAGCCAAGGAACATGCTGTTGAGTCGCGAAGCCGGGGGAGCCTTGTCCAGACTCAAACGCCTCGCCAGAATCAGGCCATGGTGTCGGCACGTGGGCAGGGTCTAACCACGTTGGGTCGCGACATCAGATCGGCCACCGTTGCTGGGCTGGCTTGGCTGGCTCTGTCTCAGCCGGCGGCCCCGGAAGCCCAGATTCCGATGGGGTTGCGGCAGCACCACGGCACTTTTTTTTTTTTTTTTTCAACAGACCAGCCGCCTGTGAATAAAGCAGCCTTGTCGGTGATGGACGGAGCAAGTCGGGCCTTGGCAGGGGTCTGCGACGGCCTGTCTGAGTACGTACCTGCCTGAGGGTTCCTACGCGTTTCCCGACAATGTGGGCATCAGTCACTAGTCACCACCTGCCGCATGCAAGCAAGTACATGCATTGGTTCCGTTTTGTGTCCTAATTAACCCCGTCTCTCTACGGGTGCAGCGCCATTCAACTTTATTAATCTTCTTTTTTTTGCATGCCGCGAAACCACTCTTGGCGGTGCATGCAAGGCCGAAATTAGGGGTTTGCCGTGCGGAGAGAGAGCGTCCGGCGTAGCATCCGGCAAATCAGCAGGCTGGACACGTCAGTCCCCCTCCCGATGGACGCAGTGCAACGCTGGAGAGCAATATTGGTCCCTGGGATGGACGGAGTTGGGCCGTCCACTGCTGCTGCAGAAACCGTAGGGACCGCAGAGGGTAACTACTAGGAGATGCTCTGCATTCCGTTGTACTGCGGGGGAGCGCATGCAAAGGCCTCAGAAGCAGGGAGCACACGGACACGACATGATGATATTGAGGATTGAGGCGGGCCTAGTCCGTACAGAGTGTGCAAGAACATGACGAGGTGGTGCTAGCGCCGCCTAGTGACCCCTGAGGATGCGGCCAGCTCGGAAAACAAGAGAAGAATATCCCGGCACGTGTGCCCCGACCAGACCCGTGCCGCTGATGAGGAGGATGAGGAGTCAGGACGAGCATGACTATGACGACGCCGCCCCCTTGGGCTCCCAGCCGGGCTCGGCCATTTCGAAGCCGGCAAACTCAAAGCCGGGCGCGACAGAGCAGCCGACGAGGGTCCAGTCGCCCAGGGACCGGGCGTGCTGCCACTGGCCGCGGTCAACGACAATCTGCGGGCGCTGGCCGGCCCAAATGTCCGGGCCGAGGAGCAGGTCGCGGACGGGCTGGGCGTCGTCGTCGCAGGACAGCGAGAGCCGAAGCGGCGCGCCGGCGTAGTAGTGCCAGACCTCGACGGCGTCGAGCACGCGGTGCCAGTGGGACGGGCCTGACTCGCCCTCTAGGAGGTAGTAGATGTAGGTGCTTGGTGCGCGGCCGTCAGGAGACGTGTTTGCGTCGCGGAACGTCTCGACGTAGTAGCCCTTTTCTGGGTGCGGTGCCAGGTTGAGGGCGGCGATGACGTCCTGCGCCGTCTTGTGGGAGTTTGCCATGGCGCCAGGGCGGGCCCGCAGATCTTTTTTTTTTTTTTTTTTTTGGTCTCTTTCCCCTTTCTGTGTCAGTTTCAGTTTTTGGCGAGAGAGTGAGAGAGGGAGAGCGGGAGCGGGGGAGAGAGACGGCAGAGAGGCGAGGGGAGAGAGGAGAGCGAGGGGAAGGGAAGAACAGAATGGAGGCGTAGAGAGGTCTGGATGCACGGGTTTATGGGGTCGACAATCCCGCAGGATCGGAGAGGCACGGGGGCGCTTCTCGTGCAGTCATTTGTTTCCGGGGTCATCATGATCATGTGTTCATGTTGATGAGGAATCGGCACCAGCCAGGCAATCAATCTGTGTACTCCGTACGGCCTCCAGAGTACGTAACGTACCAGGCAGTTGCACAGGCAGATAGGCGAAGGTGATCCCGGCACCTGGTTGGCGACTGGCTGGTCGCGGCCCCGCCCACGCTGCAACTGTGACAAAGGGTGCAGCGGCGTGCCTGCCTACTCCGTAAAAAAAATAATTAAAACAATCACCTCATCAGATCAGGGTAATTAGCCGCATCGTCTACGGAGCACGTACATGGAACATGGATCGTCTGGCAACGTGCCGTGCGGCCCCCCCCCCCTGGAGTGGTTGCGTTGCCCAACCCCAAACATTGTCTTCCCCGGCCGGTGTCGCATAATCGAAAAGCTTGGTTTCCAACGCTGCTTGTAGGGATCCCCCGCCAACGTGTTGGCGAGAACCCGGGGATGCAAGACAGATAGATAAGTGAGCGCCAGACCCTCGGTGCACCTCGTCCTTGGCTCGGTTGGCCTCGATCGACCTCGATGCAGAACCCATACGCACACGGGCGGACCAGCGGCCTCGAGACACGGACACATTCTCGACACTCCTTCGACTCTTGTGCAAAACAACCCCCTCGCACCGGCAGTGCAGCGAGGCACGTCAGTATGAGATAGGAAAAGAGGCTGGGGGGAACAGAAAGGATATATACACATATTTGTATATATTCACACATACACCGCCGCGACCATGGAAGACATTCGCAAAGACCTCGTCACGTCCATGACCATGGCCGCCTTCATCGGCATCGCGTGGTACGTCGGGGTCGAGGTCAACGCGTCGCTCTTCCTCCTCTTCAAGCGCCGGCGCGGACTGTACTTTTGGTCGTGCGCCCTCGCCTCATGGGGCGTCATCCTGCAGCCCGTCTGCATCATCCTCGCCGACTTTGGCGTGTGGAACGACGCCGTGCCGGCCATTGTGCTCATCTACCTGACGTGGTTCATCATGGTGGTGCCCCAGAGCTGGGTGCTCTACTCGCGCCTGCACCTGCTCATGCACACGGCCAGCGCGCTCGACGCCATCAAGTACGTGCTCATCTTCAACTCGGTCGTCTTTGCCGTGCCCACCATGGTCATTGGCACCCTGGCGGTAAGTCTTGTCGTCGACGGGGGAGAGTGAAGAGAGGAGAGAGGAGAGGAGAGGAGAGGAGCCTGCTCGTGCTGACTCCGTCACGCCCTCGGCAGCAAGCCACCACCGTCAACCCCAAGCTGCCCGCCTTCAACCTCGTCTGGGACCGCATCCAGCTCGTCGTCTTCTTCGTCCAAGAGGCCGCCCTCAGCATCCTCTACATTGTCCAGACGCGAAAGTACCTGCGCGGCCGGGCGCCCCTCGTCGAGCGCTCCTGGTCCGCGTCCACGGTCACGGCCGCGGCCACGGCGACGCCCTCGCTCGGCCGCCGCGCCTCCTCGTCCCGGCCGCAGACGAGCGAGGAGCACTCGGTGCTCTGGCACCTCATCTACGCCAACCTGCTCATCCTCGCCCTCGACGTCGCCCTCCTCGGCATCCAGTGCGCCAACATGTTCCACCTCCAGGGCGCCTTCAAGCCCTGCGTCTACGGCGTCAAGCTCAAGCTCGAGTTTGTCATCCTCAACCGCCTCCTGCAGACGGTCCGGAAGCCGGCCAGCCCCTCCTCCTACTCGTACTCGTACGCCGCGGGGGGTGGCTTCGGGAGCGGCGCCGCCAGCGCGAGGCGCCAGTCGAGGGGCCACAACCTCGTCGGCGTCGCCAACGGCGGCAACGGCCACGGCCACGGCCACAGCCTGTGGCACAAGAAGCCCTCTGTCGTCGAGCCCAGCGAGGACAGCGACGCCGTCCAACTCGTCGAATCTGTGTCGAGGAGCGCGTCTGCTTCTCACGGCAGCGAGCACCAGCCTCCTGTTTATGTTGGAGGCTTCAGGTGACGGCGAGGCGTTGCGTTGCGTTGCGTTTTGCTGCTGCTACCACTACTGCTACTCCACCACCACCACCACCACCACCGCCACCGCTCCTAATGGAAGATGGGAATCCTGTCTGCCAGGATTCAAGGGGGACAGAAAAGGAAGGGAAAAGAGGCCCGTCAAGACCCGCGCCAGAGGGGCACATCCCACATCCCACATTCCCCAAGCAGCACCCGCTCCCACCAATACTATGTGCCCCCCTCTCTTCCCCTTTCCCCCAACATCTTTAGCAGAAGTGCCCCACGCAGAGCGTCGATTCAGCACAGCAGAGGGGGAGACGTTCCAGTCGTCAGGACGCACGACGCAGAGGGTGCTAGTCGTTTGATTGCGAGTATCAGGCCACGGTAGACCATGACCGGCATGGGCCGCTTCCGCTTACATTCTTCGTAGCTATTCGAGACATGGGCATGTAAATACAAAGACTTTGCTTGACTTGTCGTGCGACGACAACACAGACACCAGGGACGTTGCCCCCGTGTCTTTTGCCAGTGCTGGAGGGCTATGCTACGGTAGACGCGCAAAAATCAGCTCGCCTCACTAGTTACATGTATATACGCAGACGTGCGGCGTAAAAGCGAGCGAGGAGAAGACTCGGCAGAAACGACGGCGTGCTGGCGGGTCCAAGCTGGGCTGCTTCTTCTGTGTCTCACACTGTTCCGAGACGTGCTGCGTGGTCACGGACGCAGTGAGTGGCAGGAGTCGACACGGGCGTCGTGGACGTTTCGTGGTTCACGGTTCGAGTCGAGACGAGACGGAGTGGCCTCGGTCAGATTAGATTGCATTGGCGGGATGCGGCGTGTACACGAGGCACGGGGCGCTGGCTAGTCTCGCGATGCGTTGACGGCGTGCTAGCCACGTCTCCATGCTATTTACATCATGTCAATTGTCGAGTCGCCTCCCTCTCCCTCTCCCTCTCCCTCTCGCTGCCTTGGTCCGCCGCCGACGCGTGCCGCACAGTGCGGAGCGTAGTGAAAGAGGATGGAATAAGAGGACAGGAAGGGCGCCGCATTGGGCGGGCACGACGGGCCAAGAAGGCGCCGTCATCACTTGTTCCACGGGGGGTCCTCCTTAGCAGCACTTTACTGGCGGCTGGTGGTCGTCGTCGGCGAGCACTGCGTTCTTTTCGGAGAAGCCAGGCGTCACTGTGAAACAGACGTCCCGTTAGCCCGAGGGGACCCGGGGGGAGGGAAGAGGGAGTGGACACAAGACTTACTCGTGGTGCCAACCAGGGTCCAGTCCCCGAGGGAGCGCGCACTCTGCCACGTGTCTTTGGGAATGACGACCTGCGGAGCCTGGCCGTCGAGGACGGCCGGCCCGAGGGTGTGCTTCTCGCAGGACGCCTTCGTCGTGCTGTCGTTGCTCAACAGCGACAGCTCGAGCGGCGCGCCGGCGTAGTAGTGCCATATCTCGGGCGCGTCGAGGATGTGCCAGACGGACTGGCCGTCTTCGTGCGTGAGGAGGTAGTAGATGGCTGTGCTGGCGGCACGGCTGTCTCCGCCGGTGCCGACCTTGTCGGGGTCCGCGTACGTCTCTCTGAAGTAGCCCTTCTCGGGGTTCTTGGTCAGATTGAGCTTCTGGATGACCTCGTCGGCCGTGTAGTCCGGCGAGGTCGGACAGCCGGCGCCGATGCCGCTGGGCAGGAGGGCGAGGGCGGCCAACGCCGCGGCGCACAGGTGGTGCGGGTGCGGGAGCAGGAGCATCGCGGCAGCGGTGACAGTGACGATGTCGTCTGGTCGGACGCCTGGGCTTTGCAGAGGGTTTCCCGGGCGAGTCGTCTTTTTGGACAGCTGAGACACAAGGTGTTTTGGGATGAGGCCTCGGCTTCGGGGGGGCGGTGTTTTATGGTGGTCGTCGGGTGGCGCCGGCGCAGCACGCGATTGCGACATTTATCGACTTGGAGAATCCTGTTCTGGTGGCCCTTAGCAGCTTGGCTGTAACGGTTGCATCACCAGATCTGGGGGCGCTGCTGGCTAGCGGGCCACGAGCATATGTCAAGGGAACACGGCATGTCTCAGATCCAGGTCGATCATTGCCCGGGACTCCGGACCGAGGCCGAGTGTACCGACTGTTGTCGCTACTGGCAGTACGATGCCAGGTACCTACTGCGTACCTGGGAAGCGGTTGGCCATTTAGTTTAGTTTTCTGACTCGGTGGGGAGTCGGCCGACCAGGGAGCCCAAGTTTCTAGAAACTCAAGCGTGTGCGTCGTCCATCGTCCGTCGAGCGCGAAGGATGGCGCTCCTCCGGAAACTTGACCAAGTCGTGGGCCCAGCGGTCGGTGGGTTCCTGTTGCCTTCTAACATTACTCGCGGCCGCATCAAGGTTGGGGCCAACGGTCATGGCATCGTCGCATCCGTGTCCTCATCGGCCTGTCTTCAGCCCACAATGTAACGACTCTCCACTTCGTCTGCCAGTGGCAACGGCTAGAAACTCGACAGCCTGTAGTCAGTAGTCAGGTTGGTTGGTGCTGGACCTCAACCGTACCCTCAGGTCAGCTGCGTATATGACGGTGTTTGCATTCGACGCCTGGAGATGGAGATGCTGCAGGGTATGCTGGCCACTTTGTTGGATCTGGGTGGGTGTCTGGTCTTTTCCCCCAGGTACGAGCCGTGCGACGCGTCAATGGGAGAAGCTGCTGGCCTGCGCACACCAGATCTCGAACTGCGAGAGACCTCGAGCTGCGAGCATGCGTGTGCCCCTAGCGAGAGGGAATCCATGACTTGATTCCGGAATAGCAAAGCAGCAGACTTTACGCCCCTGATACCCCCGACAGGACCGGTAATGGCACCTCTCGCCTCTCACCTCTCACCTCGCCTCGTCGCCCCATCTTGGAGAATCATGTGCGCGGCCTTCTCGGCAATGGCGTACACAGTCGCCTGCAAATGCGCGCTGATCTGCAGCGGCATCACGCTCGCGTCCACAACCCTCAACCCCCTGACGCCGTGTACCTTCAGCCTCTCGTCGACCACGCCCCCCTTGATGCCTGCCCTTCCGCCCATGCCACACGTCCCGACAGGGTGCCAGTCCGTCATGGTGTGTCGCCTGACCCAGTCCCGCAGCCGGGCGTCGTCGCCCACGACGTCTTCTGTGGGATTTGCGGCGGCGCGGATGATGCCCGCCAGAGGCTGCGTCTGGGCAATCTTCTGTCCGAACCTGATGCACGCCCGCATGACATGGGCGTCGAGCTGGCCGTGCGGGCCGGCGTAGTATGCCGGGTCGATGACGGGCTTCGCATCGCCCGCGGACCCGGGCCGGGTGTGAATCGACCCTACGGAGAAGGGGTGCTGGAGCATCTGGAGCATGGTGCCGTACTTCTTGCCCGCGTCCCCGCTGAACGTGGTGCTCCAGTTGCCGAGGTCAAAGAGGTACTCGACCTGGCCGAGGGTCGATGTGCCGTCGAGGCGTTTTTGCAGAATGGAGCGTTTTTGCGCATCGTGCGCCGTGACGTTGGCGGATTTGGCGTGCATCTCTGCGAGCACGTCTGGCGCTACCGTCCGAGAAAACGGCACGTATGCGAGTGCGCAGGGGAGAATCGTAAAGGGTCCTCTCTGCTCGCGTATGTACTGCTCCCTCGCGGCCGGGACGATCGTCTCGTCCGTCAAAAGATCGTCCGGGTTCGGCAGCGAGGGGTCGACCTCAAATATCATGGCCACCACTGCGGCATGTCAGCACGTGTCCGCGGCGGGTACCAAGCGTGTAATATGTAGGGCAAAAGAAGAGAGACGGGGAGAAAGAAAGGCCACAAGATACTCACTGATGTGGTCTTGCAGGTTCTCTCCCACCATCGGGCTGTCGACCTTGGTAGCGACACCGGCCCTTTTCAACACCTCTGGCCTTCCAATGCCCGACATCTCCAGGATCTGAGGAGACTGCACCGTGCCAGCTGACAAAACCACCTCCTTTGCCGCATTGACCACGTACTCTTTGCCGCCGTGGGAGAATCGTGTCCCGGTCGCCACGAAGCCACACTCATCCCCGGCGCCATCTTTGCTGAGGAGAATCTCGTGCACCGTGGCTTCTGTCAGTATATGCAAGTTGTCGGGCTGCCGTGCCCTGCAATAACTAGTGGAATAGCTTCGAGTAGCCGTTGTCGGGTCCACGGTATTCACATTCGTCCACACTCCGACATTCGACCCCGCGAGATGGGCGGAATTGGTCTTGATGCCCAGGGCATTGAGTGTCGAGTGCCACAGCTTGTGAGAGGGCGAATAATCAGGAGAGTATGAGATTTGAATGGGACCGGTCGTGCCCAAGGCCTCGGGTTCGTGGGTGGCCGTGTATTCCTCTCTCAGGGATTGGTTTGGCTGGTGGAATGTCTCTGATTTTTTGAAGAATGGGCTGTATGCGACGCGTCAGTTTTGCCGTCTCCAGCCCGCACGTACATGATACATGGTGGCGTGCAATGCCGTCTTGTAGAAGCAAACCCGGGTCCGACATCGAGTCAGATGCATCGTCAAGGCTCGTCGTTCACGGCCCATGCCCATTGTCGAGGCGCATCCATCCTTCTCCCAACCTCAACTCCGCACGTTGAGCCGGCCGGGGAGCGGAAACTCACAGCAAATCATCCCAGGCCCAGCCTTCATTTCCCAATGCCGCCCAGTCATCGTAATCCTCCCTGCTGCCTCTCACCCACGTCATGAAGTTCAGGGCACTGGTTCCCCCCAACACCTTTCCCCTCGGCCACCGAAGCTTCCTCCCGCCCAAACCATGCTGCGGCTCCGTCTCAAAGGCCCAATCCAACGGACCACCGAGGGAACGCCCGTAGAAGGCGGGGACGTCGACGTTGTCTTGGCCGGTGGCAATGCCGCCAGCTTCCAGGACGCCTACCCTGAGGGATGCATCTTCCGCGAGCCGACAGGCAACAGCCAGACCAGCAGTGCCGCCGCCAATGACGATGTAGTCGTAGGAATGCGTCAGGAAGGACTCTAACATTGAGGGCGACTGGTTGACGGGGCCTGCCCGTATTTTGCACCAAGCTGTCAGATTGAAACCTGTTCCTCGTCTACTATCCTGTCGGATTTTTGTTTAGCCGTAGCTGCTTGTTGGTGGAATTGACAGGCGATGGTCCGGGCTTGCATCATTGGATCACCTCATTGTTGAGACATGTTGCAGAGCTCAGTTGTTGGAACTCAGGGTTACATCGCATTCGTGAGTCTCAGTCGACTGTGTCTACGGAGTATTGGATGGCGCTGTTTGCGTCTTGAGCCATCTCACCAAGTTGCGTGAGGCGAATATTAACTATAAACACTGGACGACGGGTTTTATCAGCACCCGGGTCATCTCCCAGAGCATAGGGCACCAAAAAAAAAAAAAGAAAAGAAAAAAAAGAAAAGAAAAGAAAAGAAAAAAAAAGAAAAAAAAGGAGAAAAAAGCCCAAAAATTCTAGGGAAAACACGGCGTCAGTCAGACCCAGGCGCCAGAAAACCCGGCCGTGTCGAACGTCAACACCAACAGCAGACGATGAAAGTGTGGCACGAGCGACTATGAGCCTGAGAAACGAGAATACGTAACATGGCCGGCGGCGGTACGGGACATGTTCAAAACAGGAATCCTGACTGAGTAAGTTGTTTGCTGCGCCCTTGCGGTGGGTGAGACACATCGTCAATTGATTGCTTTATCAAGTGAGACCGCCCACCCTTCGGACGCCCCTTTGCACACCCCAGAGGCTCCTGCAAAGAGCGAGCGCTGCTCGATTCCTCATTCTGGCATCGACCGCGATTCAAGTGCGTCGGCTTGGGCGAGGTGCGAAGGAGCACAAGTCATCAAGTCGCCAGCTTGGTGGTGCGTGGTCGGTCTCGGCGAAAAAAATATAATATTTCTTGTGCAATCGGCAAACGACCCTAGGCCTTGTGCTCGGCTTCGGCTTCGGCTTCGGGTCTTGGGCGTATTCCATACAGCGGATTCATATAAGTTACTACTCCGTAGATACGTCCGTTGCGTTTCACGGCTTCAAACCTAATGTTGCATGGTATTGCGGCGTGGTGGTAGCCCATGACGCTCATGCTAGATCATGCCACTGTCTGCATTTCTTGCACAACATCGCATGCCGAGCCAATCTATTTGCTCATGCCCATGAATCACAAATCTTGACCTTGACTTGGTGACTCAAAGCTGATACTGGTCCACTCGTGTGGCATAGATTAGACATGCCAGCACGTGCTAGTCGTGACTCCAACTTGAGCATTCCTCCTGCGCAGATATTCATGCCTTGTTTACTGACCAAGGGCGCTGGGCCTTGAGGCGATTGATTGTGCGTACGTATCAGATTTGTTCCCTGTCTGCCGCGTAATGCAATTCGAGCCAGTTACCCCTTTCTACTCCGTACCGTCAACTTGACTCATTTCCTCGTCGCTCCCCACTCGCAATTACTACAATCATGCTCTAATATCGTACTTTGCGCGGAAGCTTAAGACCATTTTGCTGTTAAAGGCTCCATCAAACACATGGACCCTTTGCTGGGACGGCGGAACCATCCAACCGGAGAAGCAGCTGTGCCACTAGTAATAACGACCCCGTCATCCACCCTAGTTGGCATGGACCGCGTGAGTTTGATGCTTGGTAAACCAGTCGTCGGATTCCTCTATTCCCCGAAACGCCTTTGTGAATTTCGACAGCCGAATGAGCAATGTTCCAGTGGCAAAGTCGCCATCCTGCCAATGTGAGGTGCGGAAGCACCAAGGGCCGGCTGCGCTGGTTTATGGTGTCGCCTCACTTTCCCTATATTAATGTTACAGTCGATATCTCGTCTTGGCTACTTCTTGGCATCTTTGCAGCTCCGGTTTTCGGGCATCATCTTATCTTTCGGAAATTCACACAGGCTTTCGAAGAGCGGCTACTTTGCTTTTGCGCATGTGAACTTGACACCGCCAGTACAAATTCGCGATCGGTGGCTTACTTGAGCTGGAGGATACTTTTGGATAAAGGCCGTATTTCCACCGCACGTACCGTATCAAACTTGGGGGCGCCGGCGGCTGAACACTGAAAGGCGTTGGCGCTGGATGGTGGCAAACCTTGCCGAATCTTGTGATGGTACTTTGGATTCCGGACGACTTGCCGACGGCACCGAGTGGGAGGCAGCGTCGACCCATGCGAGGAGCGCAAGACGCAAGGTTTGCACCCCGTCGTCGTCGGTATTAGACCGAGTGTCGTGCAAGTACGCATCGTCCTTGTAAGCGGACGGCAGAACCGTGATAGGGATCAAGGAGGCGTCGGCGGACCTGGCCCACTCTGCTGAGGCAAAGACTCGCGAGTCGCGACCTTGCCGTCTGTTTCCAGGCAAGTTTCGTATCGCCGTTTGACCCCTGCCGTCCTGGCCACCCCTTCTAGAATGGCCTTGTGGCCTCAGGCACCAGCCCCTGGCCTCCTCTAGCGTGACTTCCAGGATAAAGAGGGCGCTTGCCGCACCACCAGTCTAGGGCCGCCACTGCGTTCGGTCAAGAGAACACCTGTCCTCAACAATTGTTCGCATCATCACATCACTACCATCTCGTCAACTCCTCCAATCACCTGACTTGCAGGCAATATCCACTTCAGGCTGACTCACTACTCTTGCTCGTTGCCTGTCATGCCTTTGGCGTATACTTGCCGTTGAGGGAACAGGCCGCTCCCTTTCGTCTTCACCAGCTTCATCCATCTTAGGTGGTGATATTCTTGAGCCTTTTTTCCCCCCCAAGGTGATCAAAGGCTGCTAAGATCATAGTCAAGATGACTGTCCAGCCAGAATCCCCAGTGGTCAAGTTCGAGGCCTCCCCGGCCGAGTCGTTCCTGTCGGTGCCCGGTGACAATTACCCATCGCTCTTCGCTCCCAGCACTCCAACATCAACCATCAATCCCCTTGATGTGATGACTCCCAAGTCCTTCTCGGAAGACAGGCAGACCCCTCAGTTGCCTGCCGTCTCGGAAGAAAACGCGGCCACACCTGGCGCCGAGAATATCCCGGCATCATCAGAGAAGAAGCCGACCAAGAAGAGAAAATCATGGGGTCAAGTCCTACCAGAACCCAAAACTAACCTTCCTCCGAGGTGAGAAACAATACTTGAATATTCGGAAATGAGCTCCCTCGCAATTACTGACATGGGCCCTCCAGGAAACGAGCCAAAACGGAAGACGAGAAGGAGCAGCGCCGTGTCGAGCGTGTTCTTCGGAATCGCCGCGCTGCCCAGTCTTCGCGAGAGCGCAAGCGCCTTGAGGTCGAGGCACTAGAGCATCGCAACAAGGAGCTCGAGGAGATGCTCCTCAACGCACAAAAGGCCAATCTCATACTGGTGGAGGAGTTGAATCGGCTCAGACGTGAATCTGGCGTTGTCACTCCATCGTCTTCGCCCTTCAATTCCCATCTCCGTGACGCTCTGTCACTATCACAGGAGCTTTTCAGCTCACAAGATGGGCATGACCCCTCCACGGACCCGGCCGCCAATTTGGTAGACCAACTCATCAAGTCGACTGCAAACCCTACTGTTAATCCAGCTTCACTGTCTCCTGAGCTGTCACCTGTTCCCGAAGGGCCCAAAACCGATGAAGCCTCAACGGAGGCGCAGTCTGATGAACAGAACCTGGCCACCTCTCCCGACCTGACACAACATCCTGCTGAGATGTTGTCGGACCTGCAGTGTCACAAGTCGGCGAAGGTGCCCAAGTCGTTCCAGGACTCGCAGACTCCGATGTCGCTGTCGGTATGGACTCTGCAGCTCAGAATGATACTTCTAGCAGCCTCGGCGACTCTTTCCGCCTGCCAGAGACCCTTGACACAGATCGCCATGTCCTCCAAAGCCACCTTCTCGCTTCTCCCATCTCCTCAACTATTGACGACCATTATCTGGCTGGTGACTCTCCCATCTCGGAACAAGAAGACCTCGACTTCAACATTGACGACTTTCTCAACGACGAGGCCAACCATGTTGCCTCTGACATTATGGCAGCGAGCGACTTTGCCGCTGCGGACCACGGCTTCGAGTCCAAAGTCCACGAACTTGAGATTCAAGTCCCTTAAGAAAATCCTATCCTGCAGCCCTAATCTGGCGCGTCCCTTGATGGATGCGACGATGGAGGCATTGCGGTTGGTTTCTGAGGGATGCGACTCTCGTGTCGGGGATATTGGGAGCGAGGCCAGTCCGACGCGCGATCAAGTCAGCGAACTGACACGATGTCTGAGGGGCATCGTTTTACCGTCACGAGAGGTTTTGATGACTCTCCTTTGGATCCTGAAGCTCGAGGAGCACATGATGCAGAGAAATCATGAACGACCCCAACTCGAGAGCGGCACCCCACAACACCAACCAGTATCTGAAAATAAGACATTTGTCCTAAAAGTATCAGGAGTAAAGCGAAGTAGAACTCGTTTGGATGGCAGGACGGCTAGTAAGCGATTTCGCCTGGCATGAAACGTATTTGTGTGGTTGATTTTTTATGCCTTTTTTTTTGGGTAGCGGACGGGCAGAGGCGCTCAGTACGGTTCCCGGTCTGGATGGGCCCCGGAATATATGGCTGTACAATAGTCAAATACAAACTAACGTGACACATTTGAGTACTACAAAGTGTGATGTCCTGGAATGCCATTCACGACGCTAATAGCTACCCGATGCAAACAAAAAACCCATCACCAGAGACCGTCCATTTCTTGCATAGCAGCCTCCTCTTCTGCAAAGTCTGATTTCCTTATGTTTGCAATTATCGGTCTCTGCAACGCCGTTTGTTGATCAACAGCCTCTGCTTCCGTAATCAGAGCATCCAGATCGTCCTCGTCGTGCGCGCCTGCTGATTGGGATTTTTGCCTGCTGTCTTGCCCCTCCGCCTCGGCAATAAGCGCATCCAAATCGTCTTCGTCATCTCGCTCGTTTAGTTGCGTACGCATGACCCTTGGTGTTGCGCCATAGAGATCCTCATCATCCGGTACGTCGTTCCCTGTTGGTGTTTGCGGTCTTGCGTCTCTAGACGGTGCGCTCTCGACGGGAGCCCCAGCGGCATCAGCGGCATCAGCGGCATCTAAGCCAAAGTCGTCGTCTCCTATTGTATCCTTTGGTTTTCCCTCATTGATCATCTCGGATCTGGCCGCCATGACGCGTTTCTTGTGCCCTGCCTTCTCCACCATGGCCAGCGCATCGAGAAACTTGGCTTTGGGGAATAGATCGTCGAGCCACATCTGGTAGAAGGTTAAAATGCGGGCGGCGTCCGAAAACTCGTGCCCTTTGCCCTTGATTTTCAGGTCGCGTGCTCGTTGGCGAAGTTTGGGGAGCCCGGCTGGACCTAATAGTCTGAGCTTGCGTGTCAGCAAATTGACGCCGTGCGGTCTTTTGCGAGAGGCGCAGCGAATTCTGGGGATCCAGGGGACGCGTTACCTGTCTTCGTCGAGCTTCACGGCCGGCGGTCTCGCGCGTTTCTGGACGGAAACCTCCTCGTCTATACCCAAGTCTTGTGAGGGGGCATCCTTGCGCTTCTTCGATGAGGCTGGGGGACTGGGTGACGCGAACGGATCGTCCGATAGGTCGTATTTGTCCAGATCATCGTGGCGGTTGGGTGGTAATTGACCAGCTGAAAGTAATGTCGACATGATGTATTGACGGGTGAAAGAGAGCTGCAGCCATGTGAAATGTTCCTCTTAACGCGTCGCCTGGTGGGAGACGCGCCTTGTGGAGTTGTCGTTTGCAAGGGCGGTACGTACCGCCCGTCAGCGAATCATAATCCACGTGATTGAGCAACACGTGACTTCTTCCGTCTGGATTCCAGCTTCAGAGCTTCGGGAGACGCTTGTCGAGCCAATTGACAGATTTGGGGCGTCAAGAACCATTTGCAAAATGGCTGAAACCGCGACCAAGCAGGCGCCCTCGACCTATGTCGGGACGAGCAAGGTCGTCCAGACGGATTACCCAGTATGTTCGGACGCACGCGGCGGTTCAATTCGGACGTTAATGCTAACCGGGATATTGCAGCTCATCGATAACGATCCGTATGTTCTATTGCTCATTCTACCCGGAATCGGTTCCCCGAGTGGGCAGTGGCCTCGTCTATCGAGAAGGCTGCGTCTGGTCGTTGAGGACGTTTATGGGGGGCAAAGAACAGGGCTAACTTCAGGAGATTAGCCACTTCAAGCGAGTTGTTGGATATGCGCGAACGTCCGACTACGTCGCTGGTGTTGCAGCCGCCGCGTTTGCCCCTGGCGCCCTGTATGCCCTCGAGAAGTTTGCCCCGTCATACGTCGGCAAGGGCGGTTTCGCCAAGGCTATGCGACTAGCTGGGGTCGTTGGCATTACCGGTGGTTTTCTCTACTTTTATCAGCGATCATGCCGTACGTTGGCCCGAGATTGCATCGACTATTGACGGCAAATTGAACGTGGGAACTGCAGCAAAAGCTAACATCATGGGGCTGCCAGTGCGATTCTACGGCGCCACCGAAAACGCCCGCGAGATCGAGATGGACATGCGAGAAATGGTGGCCAAGGTCAAGGCAGGCGAGCCCCTGTACGGTGAGAGCCGACTGAGTCCATACCTACAAGGCGTTGCAGCCCGACAAAGCAGATACTCGGCGCTCTTCTTCAGCACTGTGCCATGGTTCAACTTTGTCAACCATAGTCAGCATGGCGTGGACACGGCCAAGTATTATCAGCAAGCGGAGCGGGAGCTGGAGGCAGAGCGAGGTGCTAAGAGCTCGTAGGGAACAGGGAGACGGGGGGATTGAAGAGCGAGGATTCGGTCAGTGTGGATAAATGAGGCGGAGGGGGTGATACAGTCGTCTGTGTATATTACGCTGGTAAGGTGCGACTTGCCTCGACGGCTTGGTAACCTATTTTCCTGAGTAAGGTTTTGAAAACGAACAGTGATTTAAACCACCTTGCCCGGGACCGGCGGAGGCTCAGCCTGTGGACCTCAGTGACCGGCCCGCAGACTGCCAATTACTATCATCGACGGCGACTCTCTCATACCACTGACTGAGAATCCAAGGAACGGCGTCTCCGCCGTTGTTGAGAAACCTCGGCAGTTTAACAACGAAAGATAGCGCCATTGAGTGACGGTCATTACTAGGTCATCAGCCAGAGTAGTTCAAATGGGAAAACAGGCATTCGCAAGGACGGGATGAAGACTACGGACGAAAGTGCCACAGAAGGGTCTCTCAGACATGACATTTGTTTTAATCCGGAACTAGAGGATCTTGCTTTGTTGCCACGACCTCGACTGGCAGAAGGACGTCAGGATCCCCTCACTCTGTGACGGAGTACAATCTTCAGAGACGACAAGGCCTTCAATCACTGGAGCACAGAACTCAAAGGCTTTTCTCATGACCGCTCCGGATCTGCACAGTCGTAGCAGTAGCGTGATGCTTGAGCTCGTCGACAAAGGGACAATACAAACAATTCTCCGATAAGCCTACCCTAGACGACTCCATACCCGGAGAGAATATTCTTCTCGTCAATACTTGTCTCTGTGACGCCCGGCCAGCGACATGTTTAAACCTGGCTTTCATTTCCCACTCTTCTGCCCTGGCCGACGGCATGCCGATAGGCCTAGCGAGTCCTCAACTGTGAGTAATTCAAGCTCTCCTAGATCAGCGGGTAGAAGAGGCCCGTTCCAAGTTTCGCAGAACTAGTCGGCAGTCAGGGACCAGCAATCAAACGATCTAGGAGCGTCAATTGCGACAAGTTGGAGCCCCTTGACGCGATAAGATTGAGACCGTTACAATTCCAGCGAGACGGCCACGCATCTCCATGCTGGCAGTAGCACGCACAGCGCTACTTTCTTCAAGGAACAACATCACGGCCTTGCGTGTTCCGGGAATACACTGCTCTCCTCGGCGTCGTCTCCAGAGGCCTCGCCGCCAAAGTCTATCTTTGGCGAAGCGGCGATACATTGCACTGCCCAGTTTCATGGTCTCGCGTGGGGAAGACAAGATTCCAGACTGGACGCTGTCGATCCGCGGACGCCATAGACGACGCTGCGACGCGAGCAGCACGTCTGGCAGAAGACGGCACGGAAACGCTCTCCTCCCCCCTCCTCCTCCCGGGTGGTGACATGGGCCTTGCCATGGTCGAAATGCAAGCCAGATGGGGGCCGGCAGTGCCAAAGTCCCTCGATTCAGCTATATGCCACTCCGTACCCCGTACTCGGTCGGTTCTACCGTACTTCTACGTGCTCTGATACGCCTGCCCTTGACGGAGGCTACGCAGCTGACGGCTCGGCCGGACATTGACGCCGTGCGTCTTCGTCGGGGCAACTGTCAGCCCGAAGGCGCCCGCCCTGTGGTCGATGACCTGTCAGATTCTCCGTCTTGGCGAGGGATTGATGATTGGGCCGTTGCTTGGACGGGGACGCGGAAGCCCTCTCTCTGCGTCTGCAACCAACACGAAGTCGATAGCGTGCCGTGGAAGCCCTCAGGCCCCGACTCCCGGATCTGCATGGACTCAGGGCGAGATCAAGCAGCGGCGCCGAGAGATGGAGAATGCTGGGGCAAATCCTTGCAAAAGTACCTTGACGCTGCAGCGGCGCCCGTGTCTCGCCAAGCAAACAGCGACCTGGAGAAAGCTTGCGGGAAGCTTGGTGAAAGCTTAATCTGCAGTAGTGCCGGCAATGCCAAAGCTGTTCGAAGACTCGGGAGTACTGGCGTCTTGCCTGCTCGCCGCTCGCCGTACATGCGTCTTGGAGGGGATGTTCCTTGACGAATACAGGGATAACTGGAATCCACGGTTGGTCGTTGGGACAGAAGCGCCAGTCTCGGAACTGCAGTCTGGTTGGGCGTCAATCTCTCGCCCGTAGCCGAGCCGACTTTACGGCGCAGGTATCGTAACCAATGGCATGATATGGCTACTTCGTGGGAGGCAGGGAGGTTCCCGAGAGAATCAGAGCCATCCATCTACGCTGCTGCAAGTCTGTGCTGCGAACTCGGAGACACTCTTTGCAACTGGAAGTTGAGGCTGCGTCAAGATGGCCCCGGCGTGTTGCACATGGTGTTTGAGGGAGACTATTTCCAGCGGACTCTGTATACCCGCGGCATCACCGACATCAAGAACAAATGCGAGCAATTACGAATTCCTTGCTTTCCTCCCACGACCCACGGGCACCGGTTGAGCTTCCTTCCAGCAGACAAACAAAGGGACTCACTCGCTCGCCTTCACTGCATGGGAGTGTGGCGCTGCTCGATTTCACGCTTGAACTCGTGGCCGACAACGATGCCGCCTTGGCTGCCCCTCGCGGCATGCACGGCATTCACATCCGCCATGGCATACGTCTCGACGCAGCTACCCTTGGTGGGACTCGACGGCGACGAGTCGGCGTCGTCAAGTTTGCGGCCCGGAGAGACGTGGCGCGTGACGCCGTCCACGGAGCTCTTGGACGAACCGGGCCGGTGGCTGGACCCGAGGGACACAAAGGTGCGGATGCTGTGCAGCACACGATCCGGGGGGATGCCCGCGACGAGGTACCACAGCGACGGGCCGTTGATGGCGACGATGTTGAACGCGGCTTCGAGGATGCCGTAGTACACGATCCGGGTGTTGCCCTGGTAGGTATCTCTGGCGTTCCCGGCTCTGCCTCTGTGGACGATGCGCATCATGATGACCAGCCGGGTTGTGCTTGCGCCCAAGCCGCTGCGCGGAAACAGCCGCAGCGTCAGCACAGGCGCGCCTGCATCAGTAAGGGAAGGGAGGGAGGGTATTGCCATACACGAGAGCGATCAGAAAGACGCACGAGACTGCAATCTTGCGGACGGTAGTCATGTTGAGAGACCAGATCTGAAGCGAGCGTCAGCCAGCTGGAGTCGAGACGTCGGCGCAAGCCGCGGAACGGAAGAGGCCATCCAGACTGCATACCTTGGGGAGTGGCAGGACGAGAACGGCCACGTCCAGGATAAAGTCGGAGACGGAAATGCCCTTGAAGTAAGCGTAGTGGTCGCACCGCGACGCATGGCGGATATCCCACTCGATGCTCCTGAGGGGCCCGCAGAGATTCAGGGGCACGACAATAAAGGTCACGGTCCACGCCGAGACGAGGAAGACGAAGACGGCGGTGACGAAGTCGAAGGCGTCGCCGCGGGGCCCGACGCAGAAGATGCGCCGGTAGAAGAAGAGCGCGCTGAGCTTGGTCAGGCCAAACGTCGTGGCCGTCAGCACGGCAAAGGCGATGAGGGTGCGCGCCTGCGTCAAGGCCACGGCCTCGACGGAGGCCCTGTCTCGCGGCATCTCGTAGCCCAGAAACCCCTTTGCTATGCCTACATGAGCCGTCGTCACGGTTAGCCGGCGGCCCAAGTCCGAGTTGAGCATCACCTCAGAGCGCGGCGTGGGTGCTGACTGACCGAAGAACGAAAGGGCCGTGAGGCCGACGAACCCAACCTGGCGCCCGTGGCACATGATTTAGACACCGACTCGGATACGTGACGGCGGAGTGATGGACGGTTTGGAAGCTTGGGGCCGGAGCTCACCCACGCCAGTGCCATGGTATGGTCGTCCATCCAGACTCGAGCCTTTTGCCTGGAGCGAGCTACGAAGCGCAACACGACGCTCCCGGCGGCCAGGACCAGGAAGGTGCCGCTCAGGGCCGCGAGCCCGTCTGCCTCGACGTCGAGGCCCATGATGGTGCCTGATGGGGGATTCTGCCAAACGAACACGAAGACGTCGGAACGGATGACTTGGTTCGCACAGCTGCCTTGGTGCGCATCAGATGGACAGGACTCGGGAGAAATGGCGTGGCCACGTACGGCGATACTATGATATACGTTACCAGGCCGCACGGCACCGCGGGGGGTCGATCCGAGACACAAGAGGGAGAGAGACAGCCATGAGCTTCCAGGTGTTCCGGGAGCCCAGGGGTGCAGGACGTGGCGTCTCGGAAGGACCTCGTGCCATGGCCCATGGCCCATGGCGATAATCGCTACATGAACGAGCACGACGGCCACCTGGTGACCAGCCAGGCCGCACAGAAGAGTCGGGAGCCGTCGTGGCTGGTCGCACAGCGTCGCATCACGCACTCCCTCGACGCGGAGGCTGCTGACGCGCCCTGTGCCGCAGCGACGGTGAATGCCACTGATTGGCTCGACCGGAATGGAGTTTGAGCTCGTCTTACTCGCAGCTCTCCTCTGCACGTACTGACGTATTGACGTATTGACAGGATGCGGGCGCACGCAGGGCTGTGCGTAGGGCGTTTCCACGCTCGCGGCTCGAGGGAACACGGGAGTATCTGACGGGCACGGGCAATGCTCGGACCTGGGGTCCGGCCTGCTCGCTGCTCAAACGACGTCCTGAAGGCGTCGAGTCGAGCAGACACGAAGTCGCCTTTCATATAAATTCGAGCCTGCAGATGCCGAGTTACATTGCATGTGTGTACTGGATTCCTCCCCTTGACTGCTACATACCCCTTGATCGTACCCCGAGACACTCTCGCACACCACACAAGGACGGGCCAGAATCGACGAGACAACGCAGCGGCAATGAAGACGGTCTCTTTCGTCCTTGTTCTTGCCATGGTTGCGCTGGCCGTGGCAGCTCCCGTGCCAGGAGGGGAAGACTTCTCCCTCAAAAGCACCTGGGAGGTCAAAAGCGAGCACAGTGAGTAACTACTTGCCAGCCCGTTCCGGCACGCAGCACGCAAAAGGTAACCCGTCCCCCCTCGCAGACGGCAAAGAAGATTGCGTCCTCGAGGTCGGCCACTGAGCCGCCGTTGCGGAGGTGTCTGGGAAAATCTGCCGGAGTCAGCGACGGACTACAGGGAGGAGCCGTGCAGTTTGGTGCTGGGGAAATGACGGGCTTGGACTCTGGAGTGCTCTTGTCTAAGTTGTTTCGACTTGTGCTGCTAGCCCGGCTTTGCTCAATGTGTACGGAGTATGCACGTCTCTGCTCTACAACCCGTGGCACGACGTACGTCGCAGTCCAGCACGCGACAGCCTGGCCCCCGGTCCGGTGACGTGCGTGCCGGTAGACAAGGGCATGTTGGTCTTTCACAGAGTAACGTACATTCGAAAACACCTACGGACACTGGGCAAACTTGCACATGAACAACACGCAACCACACTCCCCCGTGATGGCTCGACACGCCCCGACAGCCCCGTGCTACGTTTGGCCGCTACACGCTCACGTCGCCGCCCTTGGACCGCGTCCTCTCCTGCCGCTCCTTGTCCCCCCTCCCCTTCTCCCACGGCGTACTCCCGTCCGGACACCTCTTGTAACGGTCCAGCAGCGGGACGTAGTGATCCGGCGGACGGTAGTAGCAGGCAGAGTTGTCCATGGCGTGCCGGCGAAGCTCGTTCCAGTCGCGGCACATGCGGAGCTGGCCTATGCCCGACTCGACCACCGTCTCGTTCTCCTGCGCGTGCAGGCGCCCCGTGTAGCGAGGGGTGTCGTCGGCGGCACACACGACGTCCTCGCGGAGGACGTGTAGGCAGTGCGTTACGTGCCCGTACGGCCACGCCTGCGGCCTGCGGCCGTGGTACTGCATTATGGCGTCGCGCAGCACGAACTGCGCCGACGACCGCGTTAGACTCCAGCTCCAAGCACGCCGGGGGGCCGGGCGAGAGCGGGCGAGAGGGCGAGGGCCTACCGACCACGCAGTGCAGCGAGTGGAAGCCGTGCAGGATGTAGATGCTCCTCGAGCTGTCCCAGGGCCAGCGCATGGCTGTAGGCAGGCCCTTGGACTCGGCCTCGTCGTTTTGCAGCGCCACCCATCCCAGGTACCAGTCGTACTCGGGGGAATCCCACATGGCGTCGTCGATGGCGCGGCCGTCGTGGGCTATGGCCACCGGCACGTCGGCTCGTAGGTCAACTGCCACGGGGTGCGTTAGCTGCCTGTTCGGACGACGTGTTGCGTCGAGGCTCGTTGCTCGTTCGCCTTACAGAAGCTGCTGGGATCCGGGGAGCACGGCTGTCCGCGTCTGGCCACGAGCAGCACTGCCAAGAGGACGGTGGTGAGCGCCAGCACGGAAACGAGCACGTATATAGTCCTCCGGGCCCTTGCTAGGGCCGCGTCCTCCGCCGGCCGTGCGTCGTCGTGGTCGAGCTGAGCGTCGCCGTGGGAAGCGTGGCGGCCGCCTTGACGGAGCGGTTTGTATCTTTGCCGCCAAAGCATGGTTGCGAAGTGCCCGCGGGGAGCTGTGTCTCGCGTGCAGGACAGGACAGACAGACACCGCGAGCCACGTACGTCCTTGCCGTGTGGGAAGCGCCATAAATAGGAGTCGGATGGACGGAGGGATCTGCTGTCAAGGTGAAGCGACGCGGGACCGGCGCCGCCCCGTCTGGGCGCAAAGTTCAGACGAGCCAACAACGTCAGACACGCCATGGCCGCGAGGATCTGGAACTCGCTGGACGGGCTCGACCGCACGAGGCAGCCTCGGGAGTCAGAATTGCTCCACGAGCAGGCGTGTGTCCTCGCCCACAAACTCAAACGCCCTCCATCGGTTCCCGGCAACCTGCCCAGTACGGGTAATACGAAATCATCCGGGCACCGTTCAGCTGCCGCCACCAGGTCCTGAGCCCGTCACAGCCCTGTGAGACCCGTGTCAGCTTGGATGCGGGCGTGACGCCGCGTTGGTTGAAGCCGAAGCCACTGCCACCACCGACGCCAAAGCCAGACCGTGTTTCGAGGTCGATCGAGGTTGACGGCGTGTGCCGCTGCATCCCGGTCGTCGCCATCTGCCCCGTCTTCTGCAAAGCGCGGCCATCTGTCTCTCATGGCCGTACCGAGATGTGGCCTTTATCTTCATCGTCACGCCCTGCAATAGACAGCCGGCGACCCGCAAGACACACAGCATCGATTCTCAAATCCCCGGCATGGACTTGGCCAACGGCACAGCTCAGGTCCTGGGGCAATACATGCACCCTGTTGTCGACCGTGACAAGTCGGAGCGAGGAGACCCCTGGCAGCGAAACTACGGCGCGCCTCCCCCCGTGGGCGAACTCGTGCCCCGGACCTCGCCCCTGATTGACATCCGTCCCTTGCTTTCCGACCCGCGGTACACCGTCGTAGGGCACCTCGAGAGCCATGGCTTCGGGGTGGTCAAGCACCGCTCGGCGGCCCTGCAGGCATGCTACACGGACGAGGGCGAGGTGGACGAGGAGGCCGTGGCGAGCGTGTATTACCCCGAGGTCAAGGAACTGGTGATGCAAGCGCTGGGTGCCAAATCCGTCCACGTCACGCACAGCGTCTTCCGCAAGGGCGCCAGCGCGCCGGAACCGTTCCGGATGCCGACGGGCTTGAAGCCGTTGACGCCGTCGGCGTCGGCAGCAGCCTTGACGACCAAGCCAGACCACGGCCAGGAGGCAGCCGCAAGACCAGCAGCTCCGGGCAGGCCGGCAGAGCAGGCCCGGCAAGCCAAGCCGGCAAGCTACTGGACGTCCCGGCCGCGCATGAGCACATCCACGCCGGCGCGCGTCCCCCATCTCGACTTCACGCCCCTCTCCGCCCGGCGCACGCTCCGCCACCAGAGCCGAGACATCTTCGAGGCAGCCGTGGAAAGGGGCATGATTGCAGCCGAAGACGGAATCTGCCAGAACCACCCGTTCCAGCCGTCCGCCAAGGAGTCGGACGCCCTCATCGCGGAGCAGTACAACCACGCCGGGACGGGCCAGCTTGGGCCCAGATACGCCGCGTACAGCATCTGGCGTCCTCTGAGAACGGTGGCCCGCGACCCGCTGACCTTTTCGCCGCGGAGGGAGGTGCCCGCCAGCGCGGTCGGCAACATGGTACACTGGCAGTACGAGAACAAGGTCCCCGGGCCGCCGGAGCTGGGCGGCGACTGGCTCAAGGAATTCGCCATGCTCGGCGTCACGGCCAGGGAAGAGCCGGCGGAGCAGAGCGTCTCGCCTGAAGGCGCCCGCCCAGAGTGGTTCTACCTGTCGGCGCAGGAGCCGGACGAGGTCCTGTTCGTCCAGCTCTTCGACAGTGCGTCCTTGGGCGAGACCTCTCAGCACGCAGGTGCCCCGTGGCACGCGAGCCCCGAGATTGGCGCTGCGGCTGGCCCCGAGCCCAGGCAGAGTATAGACGTCCGTGTCGTTGTATTCTGGTAGCGAGGGAGGGCCGGGGGTCCCTGGGTTCTCTTGGTCGGCATCCAGCAGCCCGAGTCGCGCCGGCTGGTTCCCACCGGACCCGGCCATGCCCGCCGACGGTCCCCACATCGGCCGGCTCCGAAGCCCGTCCCGCTTCCGCCCCAAGCGACCCCGGCAAGGAGACGAACTAGTCGACGGCAAAAGTTCCCCCTCCACACCAATCACCACCATCCGCATTGATACATCTTTCTCCCCCTCCTCCGTCTCCATCCCTCCGCGCCGCGCCGCGCCGCCCCGTCATCATGGCAGACCAGATGAACCTCCCCATTGTCGACCTGGACATCTTTCTCAACCAGGAGCCGTCGTCGCCCGCCGTCGTCGCGGAGTGCGCCAAGGCCGCCGACGCCCTCATCACCTACGGCGCCCTCGTCCTGCACGACTCGCGCGTGTCCCCCTCCGACAACGAGTCCTTCCTCGACCTCCTCGAGGACTACTTCGCCCAGCCCGAGTCGGAGCTGCGCAAAGACGAGCGCCCGGACCTCGGCTACCAGATCGGCGTGACGCTCGAAGGCACCGAGAAGCCCAAGTGCGCCGTCCACGAGCCCTGCCTCGACGTCATCAAGCGCCTGCACCCCTCCCAGCGGCCCCTCGACATCTCCGCCCACCAGCCCGACCCCAAATGCAGGTTCTTCTGGCGCATGGCCGAGAGGCCGCCCTACCAGACGCAGTTCCCGGGCCTCAACGCCGCCAACGTCGTCCCATCCGCCGACGGCATCCGGGACCGCTGGGCCCCGACCATGAACAAATGGGGCGACTGCATGAAGAACGCGTGCGTCTATCATCCCCTCCCTCCCGCGCTCGCCGCGAAACCTCGAACCACGCCCAACTGACCGCCGCAGGGTCTCGAGGCTCTCCGAAATGACAGCCATCGGCCTCGGCCTCCCAGCAAGCTACTTTAGCGACGCCGGCGCATACGGGTTCGTCCACCCTCCCTCGCCTCTTCCCCCCTCCCCCCAAGCTGCGAGGATACAGCCGAGTCCTGACGTGCGCCCCCCTCGCCCCTCTCCAGCCCGCATCTCCTCGCGCCCACAGCCTCCAATCTCGAAAAGTACGGCCAGAAAGACACCATCCTCGCCGGCTTCCACACGGACCTCAACTTCCTCACCATCCACGGGCGCTCGCGCTACCCAGGGCTCAACATCTGGGCCCGCAACACGGGCGACCGGCTGGCCGTCAAGATCCCCCCCGGCAACTACCTCCTAGTCCAGGCCGGCAAGCAGCTCGAGCACGCCACGGGCGGGCTCATCAAAGCCGGCTACCACGAGGTCGTGGTCAACGAGCGCACCGTCGAGGCCGTCGAGCGCCGCAGGGCCCAGTTCCCCGGCCGGCCGCTGATCCGCATCTCCAGCACGCTCTTCTGGCACCTCAACTCCGACTTTGACCTCGCCCCCGTCCCCGAGCTGGCCGCCCGCGCGGGCAGGCTGCGCGACGAGCTGCGCTCCCTGGGCCGGGACGAGGGCGAGCCGCCCGCCTACCCGCCTACCAAGGTGGGCTTCCAGGTCCAAGAGTGAGTTGCGGAGCCGCCGAGCCCGTCGACGAGATGCTGACCTTTGCACAGGGAGTTGAAGCACATTGCGTTGATGACGTAGACCGCCCCGCTGGCCTTGTATATATGGTGTATGTGCTCACGACGAGACGACGCCGGGTGGCAGACAAAGTGCGCGCCCACCCTTGACCACCTTGTTCTTTGGCTGGTTCTGGGCGGCGGAAATGGAACTTTGCCGTTTCTCAGGGGGCGGTTTTGCACGCCTGTGCCCGAGTATGGCTTCACACGCAGCTCGCTGGCTGCGTTGGTTGACGACAAAAAGCCGCTGTTTTACCTAGAGTACATACATGTGCAGATGGAAATGAATGGTTCATTCTTTTGTTCGCCCATCTCTCGCTATATAACCGCCCAATGACTCCATTGCACAAAAAGTATCGCACGTCCATGACATTTTGGTCCCATCAAAACGGAACACGGAGCTCAAAATTCAAACTCGCATAGCCATTGCATTCATATCGCAAAAAGCACAAGGTATCCAGCCCCCCCACCCCCCAAATCAGCTCTTCACCTCTGGCCCGGCATCGTCCGAGCCCTGCTCGTCGGGCCCGAGCTTGCTCTGAACAACAGCACCCCCCGGGGGCGGCGGGTCTTGCCGCCAAAAGTGCCTCTCGCCCTTTGCCAGACGGACCAGCCAGGGAGGGAGAAAGCCGCCGGGGATGCGCCACGTCCAGTTCTCCTGGTCGTCCATGTTGGACGGCGTAAGGCGCCCGCGCGACAGCTTCTTCACCAGCCACACGGCGCCATTGATGATCGCGTAGGAGAAGACGCCGCCGATCAAGCCGTTGGCGATGGAGTACGTAAAGGGCATGAGGCAGATGGCGAGGAAGGCGGGGACGGCGTCGCCCATGTACTTCCAGTTGATGTCGGGAACGGCCCTGGCCATCATGGACCCGACGAGGATGAGGACGCAGCCCGTGGCCCAGGGCGGGATGGAGGCGAAGATGGGCGCGAAGAAGACGGCGAAGAAGAAGCAGAGGCCGGTGGCCATCGAGGTCAGGCCCGTCTTGCCGCCCTCGGAGATGCCGGCACCGGACTCGACAAAGGCCGTGATGGGAGGGACGCCGAGGACGGCACCGACGGATATGCACAGCGCGTCAACCATGTATGCGATGGCTGAGCCCTCAAAGTCCTGCGTCACGGGATCCATGAGGCCGGCGAACCGGGCCATGGAGTACAGTGTGCCGGTGGCGTCGAGGATGTCGACGTAGAGAAAGGTGATGAGGGCGAGGCCAAACTGCCCGCCGTATTCCGAGACGTTCCAGTCCTGAACGTTGAGCGTGTCCTGGATCGGATGGAAGGCCACGACCTTCTTGAAGAAGTCAAACGAGCTGTTTCCGACGTCGGTGTACGGAAAGTAGGTGACGGGCGTTGTGCGAGGCCACGAGATGACGCTGACGAGGAGGATGCCAATGATAATGGCGCCTTTGACCCGGAACATGGTCAGCACGACCGTCAAGATTCCACCGCAGAAGATTCCAATCCACATTGCAGGGTGGCGCATCTTGTCCCAGCTGGGGCATGTGCCGTCGGCAAGGCGGTTCTCCGGGGAGCACCCAGCAAGTTGCACTGGCGTCGCCCTGGCTCCGACGACAACGCCAATGCCTTCACTGTACGTGAGTCCAATCAGAGTCAGATACAGGCCGATGCCAACGCCCGTGGCAACCTTGATGGAGTGGGGAATCGCTCTGGCGAGCCATTGTCGCAGCCCGAGGATGGCAAGTGTGAGAAAGATGAAACCTTCGACGAAGATGGCGGTGAGGGCTACTCGGTATGGGACCAGCCCGGTGCCGTGATAGCCAACTATGTGTGCAACCAAGTCAGCAGTTGCACAAGCACACGAGACAAGGAGTATCGGATTCTGCTCCACTTGCCGACCGTGTAGGCAAAATAGGCATTCAAGCCTAAATAGACGTCGCGTTAGCATGCATATCAACCTCGACGCAACGGACGGATTGGCCTCCGGTGTCTGAGTGCGAGGGCAAGTCATGTATACACACCCATTCCTGGCGCCAAAGCAACCGGCCTGTGTATCGTGGTCAGCGGTGCAACGGTTACCACTTTGGCCTCTCCAATGACGTACAAGTTGGCAAAGAGTCCCATGCAGAAGCATGATAGTGCTGAGATGGCGGCAGTGGCCGTAACAATGTCGCGCTTGATGCCCTGGGTGCAGAGCAAATAGCTTGCATCTTGATCACAAGTAGGATCCGCGGCCGTGTGAGGGCAAACGCAGGTACCACCGGAATCTGATACGATGGAGGCATTGACGGCAATGATATATGCCATGGCGAAGAAGGTGGTCGTGCCGGCTCGCAGTTCAGTGAGGAAAAATGATCCTTTTCTTTCTCTAGGCTGGAAATGAACACCATTGTGAGCAAAAGCAAAAAACGTCTGCAAACGTGGATGATATTATCTTGAGCTGTCATGTATAATTAGGAATCGCAACATCTCATCTCAGAGCATGACCCCAACCGTCGGGAACCTGCATAGGGGGCCCCGAAATGGGAGACATGAGACGCCGCACATTGCCTGATACAGAGTAAAAAGACAAGAAACGCGTGGCTAGGAAAGGGAGAGGACCTACATGTCCGCTGCCATCGAGGCGAAACAGTTTTCCAACAATGCTCGTCGCCACCGCGGCGTTGACGTTCTCTATCCAACCCATGGCGTTCGTGAAAGGCGAGTGAGAATGAGATGGATTTGGTTGCAATAAAGCAAGCAAATGCGCAGCTTGATCCACCCGGCAGACTGCCAGACTCGTTTTTCGATGCAGAGAGGAGGAATAGAGAAAGGGAAGAGGAGAGTGAAGTAGCACTCAGCACCCAGGGTCTAAAGATGGGTGGCAACTGAGGGCGCGGAGTTGCGATGGACGAATGTAATAGCTGAGGACCATGGGCAACATTTATGGACGATTGAAGTATTACGATTGAGTCAAGGTTGAAAAGAGTGGTTTGAAAGAGAGACTTGGAATAGCATGTGTCATGCAACTAAGTCAAGTGTGTGAGGGTGCAAGGTCGGCCAGCTCATTGCTGGTGAAAGAAAAGTTCCGATACGAAATGGGGCGTGTGGATGATGTGCGGCCGGCGAGCAGGAGGACGCGCTAGTTTCGACATCGTATCTCAAAGGGTTTTCCGGCTCGATATCCATCTTCCCCTTTTGTGAGATCCACTGTGAGACTGACTGGGACAAGGCGGGCTCTGGGCAAGATGGCCACGCCAATCATCGCAAATCAGCTACTGATTCAATGTCATGTCCCGGAGGTCGGGAACACGATTTCTGCAAGGCGACGTGATATCTGGCATCCTGTATCACAGATTCACCACCAACCAGCCTTTCGGCACGCTTGATCGCTTGTTGTCTCGCCCTTCGGTTTGAACGTTTTCATGACACTTCTTATTCAAGGCCTCAATTGCGTAGCCGGCCTCACCGGATTTCCGATGGTCAAAGCTCCTTTTGCATGTGACTCGATAAGTGACAGTCACGTCCGAGAATCGTTACTGCACGGATACTATCATGATATCGGCTGCGAAACCCCATCTCGAGCTCCACATGCCCGCCACGCGGGCAATCAAAAAAGCCCCTAGGGACGTGAGGCGTCGAGTCAGAGCCTCTGTATAAGCTGTTGGGGAAGAGGAAGTTTTGTTTATCCAAAGCCTGGACCTACAGCCCGTTTCCCGCAATTAGCCAGCGCATTGGCTTAGACACCAATTGAAGTCCGCCATCGTGAGGGGGCAAGATGCTCCGACGGGGACGCCTCGCAGTCCAATCGGCCGTGGGTACGGTCCGCCGGCGAGGACGTTGGGAACGAATTCAGGCCGTCCTGCTTCCGCCGCTAGCGATATGAGGTGAGTCGTGACGGCGTAGAATCAGTTACCAAAATGGCTGATGTCTTTGCCGCCACATTATGTACCCCGCGCTTTCCAGGGCGCCGAGATTTCGTGGGCCAATCCTTTGATCTATATATTATGACCAACATCAGAAAAGGCTTGTGTGGAGGCGGGAGTTCAACCTTGGTATCCTCGAAACACGAGATGGCGGGTGGTCTCGTGGCAGTGTACAGTCTGGTGAATTTTTTGTAGGACTTCGGCGGCTCCCGATGCTGCAGGTGCGACAAACGTTCGAATCTGGGGGTGGGCACTGATGTCGCGGGAGATCAATTGGACCTTCGTACAGTCTGTCAAAGAGAGAACTATTAATGCTCGGGGTGGCCTCGGTATATCTGTTGGCTATGTTGGTGGCTGTGCTCGACTGCAGAATAGCCGCTCAGAAAGGGAAATTATTAGACCAAGATAGTTACCATGTTGGAGTTGCGCATGGGAAGTTGATGAAAATGTTCAGCTGTGGTTTGATGCTAAAAGTCACTTAAGGAAGGTGCCGCCGCGCGCCTTCCGTTAATATCGCATCTTCACTTACCAGTCGACCGGTTGCAGCTCGGAAGGTGGCAGCGATTGCCCAAGCAAATCTTGCAAGATGGAGGTGAGAAGTGATGGTCTATACCGATCTGGCACGAAGGCGCGACGGTGGAGTTTTGCGCTCTGAAGTGTTGGTGCTCGTTACCCCAGGCACTCATCTCGTGAACAACTCTAATCACACAACCAGGGGACGAAGCCCTGCAACACTACGGCATCGACCTGAGCTGGGCCACAAGAGGAACCAGACATGGAAGACGTCAGTCACGTGTTTCAACACATTCAACTGAAACCGAAGAACAAGAATACATCGGTATTCCTCGACAAATGGACGGCTGATGTAGTATCCCTTGGCAGAATGGGAAAAGGAAGAAAAAAAAGGAAAAAGACCACTCGCCGCCGGACAGTGCCATGGACACATGTCGATGATTGCCATTGGGTGGAAAAGCCAAGACGTTGTGGACGTACAAGGGCTAGTGGTTGTGGCAATTGCCACGCCAGAACATGAATGATTTCAGGAAAAGCGCCTTGATATTACAGTTGGAATACTCAGCAACACGTCCCTCTCGTAATGATGAAGCTATCCTCCGGGGAATCAAGTTAGCTGTCCCAGCCAGGCGGGACGTCGCGGACGGCGTAAATCAGAGCCGGCTCGGAATTATGCCACGCAGAGCTGCGTTTGATGACGGGAGGCAGAACAGGCGGTCTCAGGAACGCAGGGAATGCCAAGCGTGTTGTTGAAACTCACTGGCGGCCTGGCGCAACTGCTTGTTGCCGGCCCCAGCGGGACTGTCAACGGATCGACGGACTGTGAAGGTGAATGGAATCACCGAGTAGAGTCTGGAGCGTGTCGTGCCATGATTTGTCAAGGTGATGCAATCTGGCAGCAAGATCGGAGCAGGAGGCGAAAAACGCCAACAGGCTCGCCGTGCTCGACGGCGCATGATTGAAACACCCGCGCTGCTCCCCCCAGGCCGAACAATCTTGGGACACTTCTGGCGTCACGACTCACCGTCGCGCTGAGGGCCAGACAGCTCATTGGCTCCAGTGACGTCAGGCGGCCTCTCCCCCTGAAGGATGAAGGCCTGTGGCGGATGCTGCCAGGCGAAGTGCACAAGTGCCAAGTGCTCGGCGCTCAAACGGCGAGACCTCAAGTGCGGCAGGTGGGAGCACCAGCGTGATCATGCCACAGCGGAAGGGGCCAGGCGTCACATCACCGGCGACATCAGCTCCTTCTCAGCCGCCGCCCAACTCCCATTTGCGCAACCCCCGATCCCATCAGCCTTGTCGACCAACAAAAGCGTGGCATGTGGTGCCTGGGTGTGCCCTTGCCTCCTTGGCCACTCGCCCCGTGGATCGCATGATGCTAGCCGTCGTCGATCGGCCTCTGGAACGCGGCCTCGACCCGTGCCTCTGCGGTGTTTATTTACGCAACTCGCTGTTTTGCACATCTTACTACTACTTCGTCTTCTCATAACCTTCTTTTTCGGGCGTCTCTTCACACATATCAACCATAATGGCCTACTCTCGTCGTGACCGCTACGACGATGGGTACTATCCCCCTCCGCCAGATGATCGATTCACGGCGCCCCCGCCCCGACGACACAAATCCGAGAGACACCGTCGTCGCAGCCCCGACGGTATCCCCAACTACGCCCAAGATGCGTACCCCCCGCGACGGGGCCATTACCGCGGGGATGGCCCCGAGCCAAGAGGCATGACGCAACCGGGGAGCAGCGCGCGGCGTCCGAGAAGCCCTCCCCCGTATTATTCTCCAGAGCCGCTCCCTCGCGAACCGCGCAAAGACTCGCGGAGGGACCCTCCTCGTCACCCTAGACCGGAGAGAGACGCGCCGCGAGGCTATGCTCGTGACTACCCCTCGCCTCGGGATTATGCTGGCTCCCACGATAGGCCCCGCCGCCCACACCGCGACGAGCTCGAGTATCGTCCTCGACGGGACAGAGCATCGCCGCCGCCCGAATACAGATCCCGCGGCCGAGAAGGTCGCCCTCACAAGTCTCGACCCGCCTCGCCGGAACCATTGCCCCGAGCTCGAGACTTTCCCCCCTCCGGATACGGCAATGACGACAGCAGGCGCCATCGCCAGGCGCGATCTGACGATCGCTCCCGCAAACGAGGCGTGAGTCCACCCGTCCGTGGTCGTGACCGCGGCGTCGGTCCCACGAGCAACTCCTCTTCATCTTCTCGCCGCAAGTCCGCTCCTGCTCCGACGGTTGAGAAAGCCAAGAAACAGGCTTGGTGGCAGAATCCTCTTATCCAGGCGGGTGCGCGGACAGCCTTTGCGGCCGGAGCGCAGGCAGCGATGCAGAATCGCAATGATCCCAATCCGTGGTTGGGGTCCAAGGGTGCCAAAGTTGCGACGGCGGCGTTGGGGGCCGCCCTGATGGATGGGTTTGGCGGGCGCAAGAAGGACTAATGGGCCATGACTTGATGAGGTACCCTGGAAATTGAATTTGTAGGCGACAGATTGCAGTTTGGACTTGGCTTGGCTACTGGATGTGGATGTGAATGTGAATCACGGATGCGATACACGGTTGTTGGAGTGCTTGGGGTTATGCGGATCCCCCCTCACCGAGTACAGATATCATCTTAGTCGATATAACGTAGACTTGACCGCACCGAGTGCGGGATAACTCGAGGATTTGCAAAACGCGCAGTGTTGTTTCTTTCTTTTCTGTTTCCCTCATTCATCGCAGTCCCGCGCCAAGTCAAGCCAAGTTTGACCCATCACGCCCACTATAACTTTGTCGACGTCCAATCTATTAACAAAATTCACACCCCTAGCAAATGCTCCTGATCAAGCCCCAACAAGAAACACCCGTCCCTCGAAAGGCGACAACACGCCTTGTTTGGCCTTGCCGCCGTGCGTGGACATGACAGGCACGAAATTGGCGTGCTGCACGCCAAGCTCCTCCGCGCTCGGCATATCCAACCTCGTCTCGTGGGTGGCAAAGTTCAAGACGACAACAGCTTTACCGCCCCCGTGCGGACCCTCCTTCACAAACACAAACAAGTCCTTGTCCTGGGGTCGCAGGTCTCGAAAGTCGCCGTACACAAGTAGGTCGGCGTGCTCCCTCCTGAAACGCAGCATCTTGCGCCAGAATGCGAGCACGCTGTCTGGGTCGTCCAGCTGCGAGCCGACGTTGATCTCGCCCGCCAGCGGGTGCGGCTTCATCCACGGCTCCGCGACAGGGAGTCCTGCCTTGTCTGCGGCTTCCGAGAAGCCCCCGAACTTGGCCTTGCCGTCCCACGCCATGGGAACGCGCGCGTGGTCGCGGGCCAGATGCTGCAGGGCGGAAAAGGCCTTGTCCAGCTCCTGCTTGTTTTCGGCGCCGTAGAGGTCCCGCGTCATCTTGACGAAGAGGCAGCTGTCGATGTCGAGGTAGTTTTCCAGGGGGTACGTGTCCTTTGGGACGTTGACGCAGCCGATTTCCTGGCCCTGGTAGACGTACTGCGTGCCGCTGAGGCACGACTCCATGAGGGCGAGCAGCTTGGCCCCGCGCTCGCGATGCTCGGGCCCGTCGTCGGTGAAGCGGGACACTGACCGCGCCTGGTCGTGGTTCTCGAGGAAGACGGTCGTCCAGCCGTCGGAGCCGTGGATGAGCCCCTGGGTCCGCGAGACGGCGGCCTTGAATTCGGGCAGCGCGTAGTTCTTGGGCGTGGTTTCGTACTTGTGCGTCTTGCCGAAGCCGGTGTCGACGACGTCGAATTGGAACACCATGTCCAGCTGCTTCTCCTTGGCGCTGACGTACTTCAACACCTTTTCCATGTCGGGCGTGCAGGGCAGCTCGCCGACGGTGATGGCGCCGTACCGGGCGAGAATGGCGTTCATCTCGGACAGGAACTCGTGCATGCGAGGCCCGTTGCAGTACAGGAGCCAGGCAGGCTGGAAGGGAGCCTTGGGGTCCACGACGGGCGCGTCCTGCAGGCCCTCGGGCTTGCTGTACATGTTGACGGTGTCGACGCGGAACCCGTCGACGCCGCGGTCGAGCCAGAACTCCATGGCGGTCTTGTAAATGGCCTCTCTGGTGACGGCGTTTTCCCAGTTCAAGTCGGGCTGCTCCGCGGCAAACAGGTGCAGGTAATACTCGCCAGTCGGCTCGTCCCACTGCCAGGCACTGCCGCCACCAAAGCTGGAGCGCCAGTTGTTGGGAGGAAGTCTCTCCCCGGCGGGTGAGTACTTGGCGGGCCTCCAGACGTACCAGTCTCTCTTGGGGTTGTCCCTGCTCGAGCGAGACTCCTTGAACCAGGCGTGTTGGTCCGAGGTGTGGTTGATGACGAGGTCGAGCATGATGCGCATGCCGCGGGCATGGGTCTCGCGGATGAGCACCTCCATGTCCTGAACCGTGCCGTAGGGCCCGTACACATCTTCGTAGTTGGAGATGTCGTAGCCCATGTCGACCTGTGGACTGTCGTACATGGGGCAGATCCAGATGACGTTGACGCCTAGGCTGGCGATGTAATCCAGCTTGGAGATGATGCCGGGCAAATCACCGATGCCATCGCCGTCGGAGTCGCAGAACGAGGCTGGGTAGATCTGGTAAATGACGGCCTCTTTCCACCATTTTCGCTCGCGGGAGGTGACTGTCATGATGCCTGTGGCTGTGAAGCTGACGAGACGCACAAACGCGAGAGTTGTGTGCTTTTCTCACTTTCTTTTTTCCCCGGAAAGAGGCCGCTTGAGGACCGAAACAACAAAGTATTCAGAATGCTGACATACAGGGTCGAGAATGCGAAGATCAAGTCGAGCACCAGACTGGACGGAGGCCGTTTCCTCTTTAAATCCCCGAGCAGCGCGAACTTCATACTCACAATGTGGAGAAAATGCGTTATCGAAGTGAACCAACGCGACAGACGACGAGAGATGCGACATTGTGAATGACGGTCGGTGCCACAATTACCGCCCTGGCCTGGAGACTAAAGAGCGTAATCAACGTTTTCGCCGTGCCGCTTCTCCTGGATGGCGCTTGATGGCTTCGTGGGCACGAAGTAGTCGTACAACACGCCCCTTGTCGGACGGCGACCCTTTCAAGCAGCCAAGGGGGGAAATCCGGCGCGACTTTCACCATCCGACACGGACATGTTGACAGTTGCCTATCATCACCTGAGGCGTTGCCCAATTCGGCAATGCTAAACACTTCGCGGCTCACTACTGGGCGTTTTGGGTCGAGAAAATGTCGTCTCATGATGCACCATACAGAGCCAGGAACCCGCGGGTCAACGGTCCAAATTGTTTGATTGGCACGTTGTCGGAGCGCCGGCGGTTGTCGGCCCGACACTCATGCCTCGGACGTGTCGGCTCTGTAGATCAAAGCCCTAACTCAATCGCCACGAATGTGTTTTGGCTCTCATTTCCCAAGTCGGCCCGTCCATCCCGCGCAACCCCTCAACGCCATAACGCCAATGCCGGTCCCTGCATCACATCCGTGACGCTGCGAGCGATACGGAACTTTCCTGGCCCCTGGGCCCTGGCTGTGGAAGGCTGGGCATAATGGAATACATTGTACATGGCAGCAGCCGGACCGCCAGGACGACAGGTCTGTTCGTTCCATGCATGATTCGATACCCGAATGGATCATGCAGTTGTTTTCGTCGATCCTACCAAGACCTCAGGGACCAGGGGCGCCTGCTGCGGCCGAGAGAACCGCCGTCAACGATATAGGCTGAGTTGCGCTGCGCGCTATCGTGTACAATCCTCGAGGCGCCTTCTCACGCAGTTCCAAGACTCAATCTTTGCGGTCGTGGCGGCATGTACCTCTTCTCCCAGGCAATTAGGCCATGGGGAACGAGTTTCATGCATGCAAAGACTCATCAGGGACCATGATGCTCCGGGGCAGAATGATGACTCGGTTCGATGGCTCCTATGGATCGAGTGGGGGATAACTCGAACCATCTAGAAAAACAAAATTTTGCCGCATGACGACATGGTAATATTGCAGTATTATGGACACGAGGGCCCATTCTCGCATGCTTTCGGCAACCTTTCGGCACAATCCTGCGCCAAGCCATCTGAGAACGAAATTTCTCACATCACCCGGTCGGACCGACAACTGCCAGCGACTGTTTCTCACAGCCAGGACTGTATTAATCTCACGGGAAGATGACAAGCTTAATTCTCCAGATCCACCGGAATTGAACCGTCATCCCCATGGGGAGGTCGATCCGGGGATGGAGGAAGCCAACTCATCTAGAACATCTAGCACTACTCCGGACTCCCGGTTCGAATCGTCATTTGGCGATATCCCATGTCTCAACATCGTCGTGTGCGACTAATGCGGTGGACCCAAGCCAAGCCCCCCCCCCTCAGGGACATGGTCGGCTGATCACCTGGGCTAAAGAGGCGCATTGTTCACTCCGCGAGAGAAAAACAAGGAAACACAACAATTCAATCGAATTCATGGTTGTAGTTTGCTCAAGACGGCCGGCCGAGACACCCTTGTGAGGCGGCGAGATCTTGTACGTTTTTGTACAGGGCGAATATAGTCAACTTTGAACGCATTCATCTCAACAGGCCAACAAGACCAATTCTTGGCCAAACAGAGTCAATCACACGAGTCGATCCACCGTCTAACTAGTTACCATCTCGGCTAGTCCGCCGCAACTCTTGACCTTGGTCCTGCGCAGGGATGTGTATGGGTCCTGGTAGCTTCAAACCAGGAGCTACCAGCAGCGAAGGAGCCGGCCTTTTTTGTCTGGGGTCTTGTTTACAGGTGGAATGGACCTGCCAGCGAGACCGCCGCCCGGCTTCATTAACTTTTCAACTAGTTTAACCTTCAGTTATGACGAGCTATAAAGAGGGCCTGGTCTGTTGCCGGATGTCACGGAATTGATTCACAGTGGTATAACCGGTCATGGCTGCTCCATTCCTACAGCACCTGTAGGGGTTTCCCGTCTTCCAGAGTTCAGACACCATTTTCTTTCGCTCCTCCCTTGAATAACCACGGTATATAACTACTCGGGGAGGCATCTGTCTAGTCAATCCACAGCACTGGTTGGGAAAATCAACGAGGAGCAAAGTATATCCAACATGGGTCTTCCCATCCAACACCATGACAAAGACCAGCCTTGCAAGGTCTCGGTTGACAACGGCAACATGGACAATGATCTTGCCCATGAAGCAGCCACTGCCGCCGAACAAGAGCAGAATATGGGGCTTTTGAAGTCTCTGAAACTGTACAGGAAAGCATGTCTGTGGTCCATCTTCTTGTCTACCTGTATTGTCATGGAGGGATTCGATACCGTCTTGCTCAACACGTTATTCGCCTATCCCCCCTTCCAGGAGAAATTCGGAGAAGAACAGCCTGATGGCACATACCAACTCACGGCGGCTTGGCAAGCGGGCCTGAGCAATGGCACGCTCGTCGGCCAAATCTTTGGTCTATTCGTCAACGGCATCATTGCCGACAGATTCGGATACCGCAAGACGCTCATCGGTGCTCTGGTCGGCTGCGCCGGCTGCCTTTTCATTGTCTTCTTCGCGGAAAGCCTCACGCAACTGCTCATCGGACAGATTCTCATCGGCGTCCCATGGGGCGTCTTTCAGACACTGACGACAACATACGCCTCCGAGGTGTGCCCTACGCACCTGCGCGCCTACCTTACAACGTACGTCAACCTCTGCTGGGTCATTGGCCAGTTCATCGCCTCTGGCGTCCTGCGAGGAATGATTTCCCGGGACGACAAATGGGGCTACAAGATCCCCTTTGCTCTGCAGTGGATGTGGCCAATCCCTCTCATCATCGGCATCTATCTTGCCCCCGAATCTCCCTGGTGGCTTGTTCGGCGCAATCGTATCGACGACGCCAAGAAGTCTCTGGCGCGGTTGACAGCACGCAACAGCGGCGTTGGTTTTCAGCCCGACGAGACCATCTCGATGATGATTCACACCAACGAGATGGAAAAGGAGCTCACAGCCGGCATCTCCTATGCCGACCTCGTCCGGGGCAAGGTGAACCGCCGCCGAACGGAGATCGTCTGCGTGACGTGGATGATCCAGACGCTTTGCGGATCCACCTTCATGGGCTACTCGACTTACTTCTACCAACAGGCTGGCATGGCAGTGGCAAACTCGTTCAGCATGTCTCTGGGCCAGTATGCACTCGGTGCCGTTGGGACCGTCTGTTCGTGGTTCCTCATGGGCCGATGGGGCCGACGAACCCTGTACTTGAGCGGCCAAATCATCATGTGCATCCTGCTGCTGGCCATTGGCTGCACCGCGTTTGCCGGCAAAGAGAATCCGGCCGCGCAGTGGGCGATTGGCTCCATGCTCCTTGTCTACACCTTTACGTACGACGCCACCGTCGGGCCCGTCTGCTACTCTCTCGTCGCCGAGCTGACCTCGACGCGTCTCCGGACCAAGTCTGTCGTCCTCGCCCGAAACTGCTACAACATTGCTGGCATCGTGACCAACATCATGACGCCTCGGATGCTGAATCCCTCGGCCTGGAACTGGGGTGCCAAGGCGGGCTTCTTCTGGACTGTCACCTGCCTCGCATGCGCCATCTGGACCTACTTCCGCCTCCCGGAGCCCAAGGGTCGCACCTACGGCGAGCTCGACGTCTTATTCGAGAATGGCATCAGCGCCCGCGAATTCAGCTCTACCCCAGTCGACAGACTCGGTGTGCGACGCGAGGGCACCTCGGAAAAGGACACCGTGTCAGAGGTCATGGTTGAGAGGGTCCGTAGCCATCGGTCCTGACAATACCAGGCTGGAGCGCGGTAGCCCACTTTGTTTATGCATGATGTGATGGATTTTTTTGGTCGGGTTTCGGCTGGAACTTGATGCGACGATACGCGATGAAGCGATTTGTGTTTACCAGAAGCGTTTGAAGGAACCATGCCGATTGGTAGATAGATGATGGAGAAAAGAAGAACAAAGGCGCCAGCCAATGAATGGAAACCAGTTGACTTTGCAATTAAACGCGGCACGCTCTCCGTATTCGTGACAGGGATATCCTTGATAAACCGTACAGCGAGCCGCAGTTGGTAAGTGGGTTTAGTCGCATCCGAGCAAGGTGATTGCCTCCGCGTGTGCTTCTACATGGAAAGGTATGGTCTGGAAAGTCTCTTTAGAGAAGGGGCCAACACCAGGTCCCTTGTGAAAGACCATGCCCCCTCAAACCCGTCTAATGTGGTCGCTGGTTCCCGGCATGCATGGCCTTGTGTCTTGCGGCCGTGAGCCTTGGGCCGGGCGTTGTGCGAGCACGCGCCTCGGCATGATGATGGATCGTTCACAGTCGGGCCGTGGTTGCCAGGCAGGAATGACATATGAACACCAGATGCTTACTTAGTCAAGGCTTTAGGGATCAGCAGGGTTCCGAAGGCGTCACGTTGCGTTTCGCCATGGCCCATGACGGACGAACGCCTCGTTACGTTGCTAACTGGCTCTACTCCGTAGTCATCAGGCAACTTGCGCCACGGACCGCACCGGTGAGGAAGCAGTTCAGGTCCATGCTGGTATAAATCCACAACTAGGCACCGCGTCCAAGACCTCCCTTCCCCTGCCATAGCCTCATAGGCGACAAAGCGCTCGAGCAGAAACCACAGCATGAACCCGCCTTGGGCTACTGCAGGCCCATCCTGGCGGACGAGCGGCCTCTGCTGCAAAGCACAACACACTCGAGCTGAAAGCTGAAGGCAGGGGAACCATCCACGCCAGGCCAACGCGCCCGCGATGCAGCATCAGGGCAACTACCCCCCATGCCGGGAGGGACCCAGTTGTTGTGCCCGGGGCAAAAGCGGTAGCCCAATGTCCATATTTGGGTTTCCTGGCCCTTGACCTGCGTGTTCATGCCCATGTGGCTGGGACGGCTTGGCTGGCTGAAGGATGCGGTGCAACGTGTCCGCTGGGAATGATGACAGGGCGCATACGGAGTACGTATTGGAATCAATAATCGACGGGGAATAGGCGCGTCGCGTCGGTTCGTCGGCGCAGAGACGTGCTTGGTTTCTTTCTTCCTTCGATTACGGACTACGGTTCCGCACCACGGGATGACGGCTCGACTCGCTCCTCGTCTTGCCCATGAGGCATCCCATCAGATCCTGCATGCAGGGCCCCCGCGGCGCACACGTGGGAAATAAGCAGAACTATCCGTTCCCCCCGGACACTTCTCAGAAGTGACAAAGATCAAAGCCGGATTCGGCTCTCCGCCCATGCACCCTGGCTACGCGGTGCAGGCCGAGCGAGGAGGCCCGTCATGCAAATCTCTGCAGGTTTCAGCGTTTGCAGTCAGTGTTGCCACGATTTTGTGCATTCGGTATGTCGAGACGACTGCCGGTGCAATCCGCCCGTGTCAATCTCAAACCTCGAACTGGCTTCGAAAAGCCTCTTGGCGCGTTTATTTCCTTTCTCTCTTTTAAACAGAGTATACTGGGCCTGGATTCCCCTGCCGAGTTGAGCTACTACTCGGCAGGTTCTACTCCTCAGTCCATGCCTAGCCGTCATGTATGTGTTCTAAACAACACGCGCTGATAGCACTACATCTCCGCAGTTGAATAAGACGGACCATGGCTCGGCTCTGCACGGACTCACCCTCATCCTGATCTTCACATCTGCCGCCTCCCAGCACCAGCCCAGCATGCCATCAAGATCCGGCGGTATGCCCTTCAAGCCCACAGCTGGACCGGCCCATGCAAACGGCAAACGCTGACGACGAGCAGGCAAACCTGTCCGCGGAAGAAATGGACAAGGTAGATTCTCCAAATACACGTCTACACCACGTCCTCGCTCTTGGTCCACTCACAACTCCTCTACTCAGCAGGCGGCCCCCAAACTGGCTGTACGGCAGGCAGGCTCGCCACGCGCGGTTCCTCTTCTCAGCCTTGGCAGCCCAAGTGCCATGGCATGGCATGCCTTGCATATTCTGTCACGGAATGAAGACGTCACGGCAACAAGATCCGCCAAGGCCCAGCTTTGTCCTCCTGCCCAGACGGGCACGCCGTCAACGGCCTCGTATCCCAGCTCGTCGGGTTCAGACCCGGCGTCGTGTGTATGGGATCTGGCAGAGATGAGGGCACCATGAGAGGTTGTCATCCGAACTAAAAATACCAACGACAACATCATAACTCAAACATCCCTGGCTCCCACGACTGCCAGCCAGCTCCGGCACTAGATGCTTCCTGCTTGTCCTCCAAAAATCCGGTCTCGCCCTGTCTCGCCGACGTCCGCAGCGGCCAGTGGCTTGCCCACGGCCTCCGTACTGGGGCGGATTTGGGCCCGGGCTGAAAAGGACAATTGGATGGCGCAAGAGAATGGTGCTTGCGCAAATTTTGGGCTGTTGCCATCTGCACCGGACGGCTTGTAGTGGTAGTCAGACTCTTGGGCGACGCCGAGGCAGGGGGGGGCCAACTTGCCAACGGCCCTGATGCAAGAGGCGGCTTTTTTCTTGAACATACCCGGACGGGGGAGGGGGTGACGGCAGCCTTGCATTTTTCGAGCATGAATGCCACTGAAGCTGGGGACTTTGGCAGTTTTTATATATTACACGACCACAGCCTAGTTGCCTCACGGTAAGCTTGCTTCTTAGTTGTTGTGGTGTCATTGCCTGTCCGGCACGAAAACCGTCTTGTCCTCTTTTGAAACGACGAGGGGATCGTTGTTTGAGTTGTCTCTACATTCCCACTTGCTGGTTTCCACCGCCTCTGAACGATTCGAGGGTGGCCATGTTGTCGAATGCCCTGCTGTATTTCTGGTTGGCGCTGCCAGCAGTGGTAGCGTGGTTTGCGGCAAGCACGTACTATGGATATTGCCGATTGAAACACATATCTGGACCCTGGAGCGCCGGCTTTTCTATCTTTTGGCTCCTCCGGTCCACTCTTGGCGGCAGGACACATCTAGATTTATATGAAGTGTGCCGGAAATACGGTGCGGACAAGCTTTCCCGACCTGGACCCCTTTGCCGCGGACAAGAGGGGTCGGTGGCCAAGGAGAAGACGGGACAGGACAAGACTGACACAGCTCTCAAGGGTCGATGGCGAGAGTCGGGCCCAGAGACGTAGTCACCAGCGACCCGAAGCTCGCCATGCACATCCTCGGTGCTCGCTCGCAGTATACACGGTCGTCCTGGTACAACGGACTTCAATTCGAGCCCGGCAAGAACAACATCATCTCCATGAGGGACGATGCCCTACATGCCGTGATCCGGGCAAAGATGGCTGGCGGGGTGTGATTGCCTCCCTCCCCCTCTCCATCCGCCCCTTTTCTTATCCTTCCAGCGAGAGCGCTAACGGGGCCTTCCTTAGTACTCTGGCAAGGAAGTCGAATACCTCGAGTTCAAGATTGACAAGTCTGTCGGCAACTTGGTGAGTCTGCTCGAGTCGTACGTGCGTGGCAATCGGCCGTTCGACCTTGCGCGCAAAATACAATACTTTGCCCTCGACGTCATATCGGAGCTGGCATTCGGGGAGCCCTTTGGCGACCTGACCGCCGACTCGGACGTGCACAACCTCGTCGAGGACATCGAGACGTACTTGCCGCATCTTATTGTCTCCACCGTCATGTCGTGGATGATTCCTGTCCTTTCGTTGCCGATTTTCAGGCCCCTCATGCCCTCGGAGCACGACGTGCTCGGCGTCGGCCGCCTGGTCGGGTAGGTTTGTCTGTCTGACCCCGAGCTCAATGCGCCCCTTTTCGTCGCCGGCTTCGTACTCACTCCTTTGGGGCCTTTCCCCGCCGTGCAGAATTGCCAAAAAGGTGGCGGCCGAGCGATACGGGCCAAGCAGGAAGATTCAAAGAGACATGGTCGGGTCCTTCGTCGCCAGGGGTCTGACGCAGGAGCAGACCGAGAATGAGATTGCCGCGCAAATGTACGTCAGACGGCAAAACGGCTGGGACAGCCACGGGCTTCTTGACCGTCTTACATTGCTAACACGGCATCCCGACTGCAGCATCGCCGGGTCCGACACCACCGCGACCGGCATCCGAGCCACCTTCCTGCACGTCATGACCAACCCCCGCGTCCTTGCCCGGCTCCAAGCCGAGATTCGCGACTCGGAACTGAGCTGGCCGGCGGCCACGGATGCCGAAATCCGCCTGATGCCGTTCGCGCAAGCCACCATCAAGGAGGGCCTGCGCGTGCTGCCCCCCGTGGCGGGCTTCATGTCCAAGGAGGTCCCTGCCGACGGGGACTGCTGGGACGGTCTCTCGTTGCCGCCGGGGACCAGGGTCGGACTGTGTATGATGGGGATACTGCGCCAAAAGCACGTGTTTGGCGAGGACGCGGACGAGTTTCGGCCGGAGCGGTGGCTCGACGCGACGCCCGAGATGGAGAAAACATGGGGTCTCGTGTTTGGCTCGGGCAAATGGGCGTGTCTGGGCAAGGAGATAGCTCGGATGGAGCTCAACAAGGTGCTGGTCGAGGTGGGCTTTCCCCTGCCTGATTCTACCTTTTCCCCAAACTGTCGACCTGCTGACGCCGCCGCTCTTTGGACAGGTCCTGAGACGCTTCGACCTCACCTTGGTCGATCCCATGAAGCCTTGGAAGTCTGTGAATTGTGGCGTTTTCCTGCAGTCTGAGTTTTGGGTACGCGGTCATGCACGCCACGACACGACGCCCACGACACGTTGACGAGCCGGGTCTGGACAGGTGCTGAGGTGTGAATTTTGTTTGCTGCATGGCGTGGGCACCATCTTGCGGTGCGCTGTGGTAGCATCTTATTTTACTTTTTCTTAATGGCAACTCAAAAGTCGCCATGTCTCGAGTGAGACATCGTTGTCGACGCCGAGTGTCCAAGAACTGCGAGCGTTATATAGCGCTGTGCGAAGTCTCTCCAGGAGCTTGGATTTGCGGTCAGTCATGGACCTGATGCCCGGAATGCGGAATGATGCTGCGGCTGACGGGGGAAATGTAATGCCTTGATCCCTCCGCACTAGAGATACTTGCTCATCTCATATCCGCTTTGCGAGAATAGCGTGTCCACTGCGCATCGATACTCATCGAGATGACGACGACTTGGGCGGCCGTGTTCCCAAACGAGCTGTAGAATGGTCATTGACACGACTTGTGCATTGAGAAGTCCAGCCTCTGGTATTGCGGGCATTCGATCAGCAAGTCCCTGAACTACTGGCTTAATTTGTGGAAGGCCGGCCAGCCACGCCACCGGAGGTGGTTGGACTAGAAACCCAAGTGCCCGGTGCTAGTTGCTGGCTGCCAGTCACTAGTCGAATCTTAATACATGTCCTGCGGTGTTGCTGTGAGCACAGCACAGCACAGGTGTCTGGGAGACTGTTACGAGGAAGCGGCAAGACAAACGAGCATTTTCGACATTCGAGGAGCACTCGGCCGCTGGATATGGCGTGTCTCCAGCGGCATTGTAAGTGTTGGCTTTGGCTGCCGAGCGTTCAGAGTCTCTCGGCACGCAGCCCGACTCTGCTTTCGCGCAAAAGGTCTGCAGTTGTCATTGCGATGCGTAACATGGCCAGCGTCTTCCCTGCGAGGGCGTGTAAGCCGAACCCCGCAGGTCTCAGTCTAATGCTTGAACACCGTCATTGGATGGTTTGATTTCCTATTCGGCATCACCAAGATGAGACCCATGGTCCATCTCGAAAGCAGTCAAGATGTCAAGAGCTCGCGTGTTGAGGGAGGCGTTGATGGACGTCATGGCCCGTGGCTAGCGACAAGGGGCGAGGTATATAAGGATGCAGCCTCAGCACCCCTGGGAGCGTACGCCGTCTGGCAGATTCCCGAATCCAATCACATGCTCCTTTTCTCTACCTGCTCCCTTGAAGCCAGTTGAACAGATGCCAAAGATGATCCTTGTTGCTGCCGTCACCCTCCTCTCGGCCATGGCGCCCGCTGCTTCAGCGCTGTCGGCCATCCCCTTCGAGGGCATTCCGTCGTTGGGCGTGCTCTACACCGAAGATGCCAGCCATCACATCTGCTCCGCCGCCGTCGTGAACAGCAAGACGAAAAACCTCATCCTCACAGCTGCCCACTGCGTGCACGGCGACGGGACACACCTCCGCTTCGCGCCCGGATACCGTGACGGCCTCACTCCGTACGGGACGTTTCCCGTCACAGGGGCCTTCGTCGACAAGAAGTGGAACAAGGACTCGAGCGTGAAGCACGACTTCGCCATCCTGACCGTCGGCAACACCATCATCAACGGGACGTCTGTCCCTGTCCAGAACATCACCGGCGGCAACCCAATCAAGTACAGGGCCAGCCACCGCAGCGTGGTCCACGTCATGAGCTACAACAACCACGAGCCAAGGCCCGTCCGCTGCCATGTTTCCACCTACAAGGGGCCGCACTCCAACCTCGCCTTCAACTGCCGCTCCTTCAAGGGTGGCAGCAGCGGCGGTCCCATGCTTGTCGACTACAACCCGAACAAGAAGCTCGGAAGGATCATCGGAACCATTGGCGGGTTTCAGAGCGGAGGCTGCACCGAAAAGACTTCGTACTCGCCATACTTTAGCTTCGGACTGCGCCGCGTGTTCCTCAAGGCTATGAACGAGACTGGGACCACGACGAGCGGCGACGTGGTCAGGGCCGACGTTCCCAATCGGTGCTGAGAGGCACGGCGGACGAGGTGGCTTTTATCTGGCTGTTTCTTCAGACTACATCAGATGTGGAAACTTGTTGGTGTGTGCGCTTGCGGTCTGAGCTGTAATTTTAATAGCATAACTTGGCTTTCCAAGACTTGAGCTTGACAACATGTGTTGTCGGCTGAATCTGTATTTAAAGATGATGTAGCTTCGCTGGATGTCTCTAATATTTTGCTTTCAGGAGCCAGAGGCTTTTACTACTGCAGTGCTATTCAAACGATGAAAGTGGTGTCTGGGACAACGCCAAGGTCGTGTCTTGTGCTGGCTCCCGTCGGGTACGACTGCGCCGGTCGAGGTAGTGCTTCTTCAATCTCTTCTTCCTCCCCTGCTGCTTCTTCTTCTATTCATTTGTCGTCCTTTTCCCTTTTCCTCACTTCTAGGGTATCTGCTCCTCTACCTTGTTAATCTACAACGTTCAATGGGTTTGTTTCGGGGCCCTGGGTTGTCTGGATTGGCCATGTGCCGCTCACCTCGGCATCTTGTAGCGTGACACCACAGCTGGTGGGAGTTGGCCACTGTCAGTCTGCTGTAGCCGGAAGTTGCTCTTAGAATGAGTTGACTAGTGTTGCTTTGGTCGGGTCCTTGTCGATACGCTTCTAGGAGACATGCTATTGCCCTGTTTAGGCTTTACTATCTTCTTGAGTCGTTTCCTTGAAGGATAGAAGAGTGCCATCCTGAGGGTGGAGAGTTGTGGCACTTTTTGATCTGTTTCTCCGCGATATCTAGGTCGATGCATGGGCCCCATTTGTTCTGCTTCTCGGGGACAAGCTGCTGAACTTTCTCTTGTGGGCCACAGTTGCCCATCCTGTACTTGTTGGCTTGATGTCTTGGATGTCTAGGCGCGGCCCGCGATGGTTGTGATTTAACTTTTTGGCTGCGGTGGGATGCACGTGCACATCATCCCGGGGGCCTGGAGGCTGGCGTGGCTGGTTGTGAGATGATATACATGTGTTTATGTTTACAACTTTACGAGTAGCCCCATTGGCAGACGCCCAGATTTCTCACTCAACCTCGGAGCACGGCGTGAAATCAGGTTCCACGGTTGGCGTCAGGGCCAGGGGAGGGAAAGGCAATGATTCAAGGCACAATATTGCAGGAAGAGTGGCCGAATGTCCCGCCCCATTATCTTCTGATTAAACACAGTCGAGCACCAGGTATAATCGAAGGAGTTGGAACCGCACTGCGTGACAACATCACCCCCCGCGGCGTGGAGCCGGCTCAGCATGACCTGGTAGATGGAAACTCGGCCAAGTTTTTACTCCTTGACGGCTTGTAGCGTATAGGAAAGGGGCAATCGCCACGGTCGATCCTTCAACGAGTACTCTCCTGTGAAGAACATCAGCGTCGTGTCCACGACATCTCTTCAGCCTGCGGCTCACCTCGTTCGTCAACATCTAGTTCCGGTGACGCGCCCATCAACGGCGCGCTCTGATGTTCCCTCAGCATCGTCAGCCTCATGCCCTCATCCAGCAGCGCCTGCACAACGTCCCCGATGCCATGGTTGAACACTGCGCGCCGGGTCGATCTGAACGCATAGTCCCCCGAGTCGACATAGGTTCCCTGCCTATCCATGATGACGGGTTCCTCTCGCTCAAAGTACGGAAAATTAATCACCAGCTCATCTGGCTTCCCGTGGTCCAAGGACAACAGCACTGGGTGGAACTCGCGGACAAATAGCCGTCCGCCCAGTTTCAAAAGTCCAGACACGACAGCAGCCCACTCCCTGATGTTGGGAACATAGCACAGAGAGCCGATGCTGACGAAAACGAGGTCGAATGTACCTCGCGGCAGGACCGTCAGCCCTCGCTGCACAGAAGCCTCGACGAACTTGAGCTTCTCACCGCCGCTGCCGGCCGTCGCATCAGCAAGCTTTCTTGCCGCTGTAATCGCCGCAGCAGAAAAGTCTAGCCCGGTCACTGACGCAGCCCCGAGGCGAGCGAGGCCGAGCATGTCGGTTCCGATGTGGCACTGCAGGTGCACACAGTTGAGGCCAGTGAGGTCGCCGAGAAGCAGACGGTCAAACTGAATCACGTTGCCGATGAAATCAGCATCGGACATGTAGTCCTTGACCTGGTAGTCTGAGGAGGCGACATGCTTTGGGTGGTCGGTCAGTTCGTATCCAAAGACGGGGAAAAAGCATCGACATACCAATGGAACCCGCTCGTCCCAGGCGGCGCGGTTAATGGTTTCGTAGTCTTCTGCGGCTTTCATTTGCGCTCTGTCTTTCTTTCTTGCTTTCTTTCTTTTTTTTTTTCCCCAACTTGAATGTTGGCAAGGGTGTGGATTGTCGCCGCGCCGCAGAATGCCGTGAAATTCGTATTGTCGATGCCAAACACCCGCTCTTATGTGCCTCATGTTTTACGAGCGCTGGTGAAACAATATTACTAAAGCATAGTAATAATCCTTCAAGAACCACCTATCAGCAGAGGGCTTGGGCTTCTGCGGAGCGTAGGTTTGACGATTTGAGACGTGCCACCGGCTGTGACCTTGGGCCGTTTCCATCGCAGCGCATATGCTATTGATGCGTGTGCAGAGTTACAACATGAATGGACATGGGGTTTGTGACCAGGTTGAGGCGGTCGCGCATCCACGGACCGACTCTTGGGTCGCTCCGATGATGATAGATAACCCGAGGTCCTGGCGCGGACTGTGTGTTGAGTTCCACGACGGCGCTGATATTAGGCAATATAGCCTGTACTTTTCGTGTGCCTTTGTCTCGTGCTGTGCCTCCGTTTCGCAGGCAATACGGAGCACACGATGTCAACATGTCGACGCCGCATATGCGAGGCAGTGTTGGCTCAAAGCGTTGGCGGTGAGGGGGCGTTAGGGGTCAGGTTGCATTCAGCCCGTGATGGTCCCGAACCGTGGGTGAAATACTGAGAGGACTTTACTTGATTCGTCACAGTATGAGCTGAAAGCATTGGCGGTGAGGGTAGAGCCGTTGTCTTACATTCGGAAGCCGGCTTGGCCCTGTACATATCGAGGACAGCGGTAGTATCAAGGTTGATGAATGCCTTGGATTGGTGAGCAGCACACCTACTGCATACAGCCAACCAAGTAAGTTGGCAGAGTGAGCAATATGGAATAATCATTGTACGTCGGGTAGTTATATCATCATGTATCTTGACGTTCTGGGCCCAGGTAGTATTATATCCCGACCCAGGAAATACGTGACCAACCGTGCCAGCCCTTGATATACCATCTCACGGACTGATTTTTTCATCCGTTTCTCGGGTCATGGCTTCTCACCATAATAACCTCTCGGTGCCGACAGAACTCACCCAGAAACAGGGCAAGCAAAAATGCCTGTAGGACCCGTCTCTCACCATCTTCTGTTGCATGAAATTTTAGAGGAGCAGGCACGGCGGACGCCCGAAAATGTCGCCATTGAGTTTCACCCAGACCTGACTGTGACATATCACGAGTTGAACAGCCAAGCAAACCGGTTGGCGCGACATCTTGAGAAATGCAAAGCACAGAACAGGGAGGTGGTGGCGGTATGTTTCGACAAGAGCCCACTGCTGGTAGTCGCCATTATTGCCATTCTGAAGGCGGGCATGGCGTGGGTGCCAGTTCCAATGGATGCTCCCCCAGCCAGGATCTCAAGCATCCTCGGCGCTTGCGATGCAGGATTTGCCCTGTGTTCGGCATCAGCAAGACGGATCGTGCAAGACTTGACATGCTTGATTGTGCTCGATGACCTCCTCAACGACCCCGACTTTCTGGCATATCCAATTACAAATCTCGCAGGCCACCGAAAGCCCTCTGACCTTTGTCATATTCTGTTCACGTCCGGATCGACCGGGTTGCCAAAGGGCGTAGCGTTAGAACACCGAGCCGTGATGCACTGTGTTTGGGCAATGGTCCAAGAGTTCGGTCTCACGGCGGAGACTCGGACCCTTCAATTTTCAGCAGCGACATTCGACGCCTTCTCCCTCGACGTATTCATGAGCATTGCTTGCGGTGGCTGCCTGGTGATGGCGTCGCCGTCCACCATGGTAGCAGACATGACGGCGTTTGTGCGAAATTCTAGAGTCACATATGCACATCTCACACCAACTATCCTGGACATGATTGATCCTCTGCGCGTTCCCGACTTTCAAACCGTTTCAAGCACCGGAGAGGCATTGTCCGAGAGCCTTGCAAACAAATGGAGGAGAAGAGTGCGTCTGTTCAATTCCTATGGCCCAACAGAGACGATTGTGTGCACCATTCAATACCTCGGAGGAAATGAAGTTGATGCCTCTTGTATTGGGAAGGCAGTCCCGGGACTCGATGTTTGTCTTCTCGCCCCCGGAGAGCTAGACGAGGTCGCCGCAGGCAAGGTTGGCGAGATATGCGTAGCTGGCCCTCACCTCTTTCGAGGTTACGTCTCTGCGGAGAAGCTGCCGGAGCCTGAGATGAAAAGGAGGGAGTGCTTACGAAATGGAGTTCGATACTACCGCACCGGGGATATGGCGAGGATGGAAGCGTGCCCAGGTGGAGGGGGACACACCTTGCGATACCTTGGTCGCCGTGATGGCCAGGTCAAAGTCCATGGAGCTCGAACCGATCTAGGTGACGTGGAACAGTCCATTTTGGCGTGCGAAGCCGTAAGGAACTGCGTCGTCATCCTTCCGCGCTCGGGGCCTTCGCAAGGGCGACTGTGCTGTATTGTCACGCTGCGTGCTTCTCCAACTGCAGGGACCAACGGGGGATCACACAAGGCTCAATTTATGGGAGACTCGGTGGAACTGCTGAGTCCCTGCCGAGATGTTCTGTCGGCTCTCGAAAGAGGCAGAGACGTTGCTGCCGCCAGGCTGCCGACACATGCACTTCCTACTTCTTGGTGGGCTGTGAAGGAGTTTCCACTCACTTCGAGCGGAAAAGTTGATCGGGTGAGGCTCCGATCGCTTGTTGAGAGGATGGAGAAAGGTTTTTACATTCAGCACATACGTGATTTTGCTGGCAGAGCGCAGATCCAGACCAGCCCATCCAGTATTGTCGAACAACAGCTCCAGTCTCTCTGGGCAGACGTGCTTGGTCGTCCATTATCCAACATTGACACGACGGTCTCTTTTATACAACTTAGGGCGGATTCCCTGGACGTGATTCGGTTCATTGCCAAAGCCCGGACTAGAGGAATAGAAATGGATATTCCACAGGTCTACACTGCCAAGACTATCCGACAGCTTGCTCGTACCCAGCAGCCTCCCTTGGAACATCGCGCTTCGGCACAAAACCTAGCGTATCGACCGTTCAGCGCAGTTCCGATGGATCGACCACTGGGACAGGTTATGAAAAATGCAGCAACCGTTTGCCATGTCGGCGTGGAAGAAATCGAAGATATCTTTCGGACGACTCCGTACCAGGCCGGCCTGATGACTTTGGACTTGAGATCGCCAGGGTCTTATGTCTGCGCATTTAGCTGGACACTGCTCAAGGGTATTGACATTGAGCGGTTCCGAAGTACCTGGAAAGTATTGCTTGCTCATGAGGCGGTACTCCGCAGTCGTTTGATGTGGGATGAAAGTCGAGACGACCTTTGGCAGGTTGTTGTTCGCCGTAGGGAGGTCGACTGGTCGGAGGAATATTTCGAGGCTCCCATGTCGATTGGGACTGATCTTTGCCGCGGATTCATAAAGTGGCACGATGAACTGGAAGGGTGGAAGTTTTCCCTCAAGATACACCATAGCATCCTCGATGGCTGGTCCTTGCGGCTGATACTCAACCGCCTCCGATCCATGTACTTTGGAGAGGAAGTTCAGTCTCCACAAAGCCTTTCGTTTGCTGAATTCATGTACCATCGCATCGACGAAGAAAACTGCAAGCAAAGCGCTTGTGCGGCATTTTGGAGCAAGTACTTGGAGAGTTCCACGCAGTTGGACTTTCCCCCGTTGCCGTCGGAATCTCACGAGGTTCATGCCACGGAGCACCAGTCAATACAAATTACAGCATCGCTCCAGCAAACAGGAGCATCATTTGGAGTAACTCAGGCAACGCTGCTCTACGCTGCTGCGGCATTATTGTTAGCCGTCAATGCCGACAGTCAAGATGTCACATTCGGTCTCATTCTTGCAGGACGAGAGTCTCCGCTGGATGGAGTTTTTGACATGATCGGTCCGGCATTCGCTATTTTTCCCTTCCGGACCAGAGTCAACCGTCGTATGACGATGAAGTCGTTTTTGCAACGCATCCAAGACGACGTGACGAACATCATGCCGCATCAGCACTACGGCTTGCAGGCAATACGACAATGCGGCGAGGGAGCCTCAAGGGCATGTGACTTTCGAAGTCTTGTCATAGTCCAACCTGAAGATGAAGACCTCGGCGGACAAGGGTTATGGGAAGAGGTCCATGGCCAGACCACTGGACGGGCAGATAGCATCCCTTTAACCATTGAATTTGTTCCGGACGACGCTAAGATTCTAGTCAACTGCCACTTTGATCCTGCGTTTCTGTCTGGTCAAGATGCGGGTATGTTGCTGGGTCAGCTTGGTCATGTCCTGAAGAGTCTCGGGAGCTCAGCCTTTCGCACTGATCTTCTGGTATCGCAGGTGAAGCTTGAGGGCCAGGATGAGCAGTCTCTATTTTCAGACTGGGTCAAACGCCATGGAGCCCCCGTAGAGTCGTGCTTGCATGAGCTCTTCCAGGACAACGTGGAGCGGTATGCTGATAGCACCGCAGTCGACGATCAAGGTACACGGCAACAAATCACATACCGGGAGCTGGATGCCTGCTCGAGCAGGCTGTGCAACCATCTTCAGTTACACCATCAAATTGCCCCAGAGACCATGATTCCCGTGGTATTGACCAAATCATCACTGGCAGTCATTACAATTCTCGCTGTGCTAAAGGCAGGCGGTGCTTATGTTGCCATCGATCCAAGCTGGCCCATTGGGCGAGTCCGACACATTTTACAGGAGACGAGAGCATCTGTCCTGCTACTGTGCTCTCCCGATGTCAGTAGAAAGTATCACGAGGGTACGGGTACGGGTACCACCGTCGTGATGGATCTCTCCGACTATAGCTGGAACAAGGAACCACTGCGAGACGGAGAGGATGGGGAGGATGGGGAGGCGGACGGACGAAAACACCGAATAGTGAGAGCTGCCTCGAGCACTAATCTGGCTTGCGTTCTCTATACGTCTGGCAGCACTGTAAGTATTGGCATCACGCTGGCTACAAAGCACGGCGTCCAGGACGTTCCAGGATACAAATATAGACGCTAACTGGGACACGTGTATGTGCAATAGGGTCTACCGAAGGGAGTCATGCTTGAGCACGGCGCCCTGTGTACCAGCATTGCTCACCTCAAACGGGTATTCGAAATGAAGCCTGGTACACGTCACTTGCAGTTCTCTTCATTTGTGTTCGATCTCAGCGTGGCGGACATCTTTGTCACTTTATTTGCTGGAGGATGCGTTTGCATTCCGACGGAGGAAAATCGCCTCAACCGCCTCTCGTCAACGATGAGAGAAATGGCAATCGAATCGGCCATTTTGACTCCTTCGCTTGCGGACCTGATCTCCCCCGAGGACGCCGGGCCTCTGCATACGCTCATGACTGCTGGCGAGATGATGAGGTCTTCCTTGATTAGGAAGTGGTCGCAAAAAATACGCCTGCTCAACGCCTATGGGTTGGTAGAAACGTCAATAGTGACCTCGGTCTCCGAGCCACTCTCCTCCGATGCCAGCCCTGCCAATATTGGACGGAATGTCAGCGCGTGGCACTGGATCGTACGACAAGACTCGACTGGCGCACTATATTCGGTTCCCAGGGGCTGCATTGGAGAAATCGCTGTTGCGGGCCATACCTTGGCCCGCGGCTATGTGAATAACTCTAGCCTGACCGAGAAACGCTTTGTCGAGGCGCCCGATTTAGCAGCCGGCCTGACTACACCTCGAATCTACCTTACTGGTGATATTGGCAGGTATACGGCGGACGGAAACATTTGCCTCGTGGGACGCAATGATCATATGGTAAAGGTGAACGGAATCCGTGTCGAGCCTGGCGAGTCGCAGAAGCAGCTTCAGCAACAGGGAGGCCTTTTCGCTTCTTGCGTGGTTCAGTGGCTGCAGGATGAACAATCAAATGCAAGACTCGCAGCATTTGTGGAAGTCGGCCCTTGCAGTTCCGGCCATGTATCTGGTTCAAACGTCATCGCCGTTGAAGAATTTACACCGGCATTCCAGGAGAGTTGTCGTCGTGCTCAGCTTTGTCTGCAGGACCTGCTTCTTGTGCAATACATCCCCACGCTGTTTGTACCGATTAGACAGATGCCATACACAACATCAGGCAAGGTGGATATGAAACTGCTCAAGGATGAGGTGCAAAAAATCCCGAGCATGGTAGGAGTCTTTGGTGTGAATAAGGGCGTGAAGCAGCCTCGTGGAGAGCCCCCCGTCACTCCGTCAGAAATTGCGCTCGAATCATCATTTCGCCAGATCTTTGCGAGTGAACAGCAGTATCATACAAATGCGGACTTCTTCACGCAAGGGGGAGATTCGTTTTCCGCTGTGAAGTTGGTAAGCGCAGCGAGAAAGCACGGCTGGGAAATCTCCGTTGAACAAGTCTATCGTCATCCGCGTCTTAAAGACCTCGCTGCAGTAGCTTCTCCTGCACAGAAATGCATCAAGCCGTTGCGGGCCTTCTCCATGGTCGACGAAACTGATCTCGACTACAACATCTCTCTCGCTGCTGAGAAGTGTGGCGTCAGAAAGACCCAGGTTTTAGATCTCTATCCGTGCACCGCAATGCAAGAAGCGCTCATGATTTCGTCAGCAAAGTCATCAGGCGGGTTTTTCAACCAAGAGGTCTTTCAACTCGCTGATGGGACTACGGCGTCAACTCTGGGGACTGCTCTGCAATCCGTCTGGGCCAGGCATGCCATTTTACGGACACGTATCATACTGGACAACGAATATCGCAGTTTTCAGGTGATTGTTGATGAGAAACTCGAGATTGCCGTGCTTACGAAACAAACTGTCCAAGAATATCTACAACAGGATTCTGCCCTCGTCCCAGGATATGGAGACAGGTTATGTCGGTGTGCTATATTAAAATGCACCTTGGGCAGCTACCTGGTCATTTCACATCATCATGTCGTTTACGACGCTTGGTCCAAGAATTTAGTGTTTGCAGACATCGAGCAAGAATACTTTGCGACAAGCGTTTCGACAGAGACGCGACCAACCTTCTCTTCGTTTGTACAATATGTCACGGAGCTTCGCAAAGCACCTCAAGCAGAGAATTACTGGAAACAAAGTCTAAAAGGTGTCTCTGTGACAGCCCTACCACAGATCAAGATGGCAACACATTTTCAGGCGAATCAGAAATATTCCATGGAAGTTCCGCTGCCTATTGATGACCGTTATCCGTTGGCTACGATTGCCGAGGCGGCCTGGGGCCTTCTTCTCTGCCGTTATACCGGACGTGAGGATGTGACCTTTGGATGCGTTCGTGCAGGGCGTACTGCGCCGGTGGAAAATATAGATTCAATCGTGGGACCAACAATCGTGACCATCCCCAGGCGGGTTTTCGCACCCTGCGGCCAACACGTCCGCAGTTATCTTGAAACTATTGAGGCTGCTATGATCGACGCATTACCGTGGGAGCAGTTCGGGCCCCAGAATATACGCAAGCTTAGTTCTGATGCACACAATGCCTGTCAATTCAGCTCGTTGCTTGTCGTCCAATTATTACCTCCCGAGCTTGAAATGCTTACAAGCAAAATACTCACTCCACAAACAATTGGGGATAGTATATTCAAAGACGATTGCCTGAATATAGAGTGCCAGCCGCGAGGGAACCAGTTGATAATCTCAATCATGTACGACGACCGTGCCATTACCAGAGAAGAAGTTGGCTGGATCTCCTACAACTTCTCCCGTCTGCTTTCCGAGCTAGTTTTGAAACCGCGCCACATTCTTCGAGAGCTGGACATTATTGGCCCACGAGGAACGAAACAGGTACAGATGTGGAACAGTTCTGCCCTTATGCCGAGTCCAACCCGTGTTGACGAAATATTTACCTTGCGAGCTCGCGAGTGGCCATCGTTGAACGCAGTCCACGCCAGTGATGCTCTACTTACATACATCGAGTTGGATAACTTGTCTTCAAAACTTGCATTTAAACTTGGAACGCTTGGAATCGAAAGGGGCAATACCATTGCCCTTCTCATGCCGAAGAGTGCGGTGGCAATCGTCTCCATGCTTGCCATCCTCAAGGCTGGCGCTGCTTACGTGCCACTAGCACCAGACTCGGTAAAATGCCAGCTAGAATTGCTCAGAGGCAAGCTAGATATAGAGCTGATTCTCTGTACACCTGACCAAGCATCGAAACTTTTGAATCACCCCGTCAAGGCGGTATGCTGCACTATCGAGAATCTCACGCTAGAAGATAACTCCACGTTCCCGTGAGTGTCACAACGTTTGTTTCCATCTACTGAGATTTATCCTAATAGTGGAAAACAGTTTAATACAAAGTGCGCGGAAGTCTGAGCGAGTATTAGAAATGCCACAAGCTGCGCTTCAGTCAGATCTTGCCTATGTGATTTTTACCAGGTATGTTTGCAGATTCTCTTGGCGTGTTTCTTCCGGCTTCTGTAGTCGTACAAGATTACTTATTGGCCATGCCAACATGTACTAATTGACATGTCGTTCTGCAGTGAAGATAGTGGGAAGCCGAAGGGGGTTCTATTTGACAATACTGCACTATCGATGGCAATACTGTCAATCTCGCAACGCGTGGACTATGTAAAAGCTACAAGGACTCTCTCATTCTTTTCTTATACCTCCTACATCAGTGTCCTGGAGATTTGGCTGACTCTACTACATGGGGGGTGTTTGTTTCTTCCCACCGAGGAGCAACGAACGGAAGATTTACGCGGTTACATGAATGAAAACAAGATTGAGCTTGCCTTACTGACATGCCCGGTAGCCGCAAACGTCTTACGAGCCCCCTCAGAAGTCCCATCATTGAAAACATTGTACACGGCAGGGGAATCGTTGTCGCAAACCGTCTTGGAGCGATGGAGCCCCGGGGTCCGTTTGGTCAATCTATACGGTTCCGCGGAGTCGTGTGCGCATGCAACTATCAATGAGCACATGACAACGGTAACCGATCCAAACAACCTGGGCTTTCCGTCGTTGGCCAGTCGCGTCTGGGTCGTGGATCCCGAGGACTACAGCCGCTTGGCTCCTGTTGGGTGTAGGGGTGAGCTTCTAATATGTCACACGATAGCAGTGGCACCAAGCTAGATATCACTCAGATGATGGTTAAAAGCCTTGAATTAATCTACAAAAGAGAGAATTATATGCGCCCTTTAAATAAGTGCGCCTGGCTCCACGCTTTAGGTGCGCATTAACTTAATCCTGTGCGCGTGTGTGTCTATTAGCCCTAGGTGGGTATGCTAGGGCGCGTTTAGGCATGCTGTTGCTGCTGTTGCTGTGCAATATACCCCCTAATTAAAGCTGCATTTAAAGCTATTGCAAGCCTTAGACTCTGCAAGCGTGCGCTTAATAAAGCGTTTAATTAAAGCTCTTGTATACCTGCTAATGCCTTTAATTTGCTCTAATTCTATTGTTTTATATAGTGTAGCTACACTATTATTTAGGTAAATTAAAAGTAAGCACTATATACTTATTAGCTAGCTGCTCTTTATATTTATATGCACTTTCTAAGAGTATTACAAGCTCTCTTTTTCCTTCCTTTTGTAACTGCCTTTATATAATTATAAGCTTATATTTTAATTATTGCTATTATTATTATTATTATTATTATTATTATGCCTCTTAGATTAGGCAGAACTATTTATGCTAAGCGCTAGCAGCAAATACTAGTAAATTTAGATATATCTATATCTACTATATTTAAGGAGCAGCCTAGTAGTGCTGCTTCTACTCTTAATACTAAGGAGGCGCTAGTAATGCCTTCTTTCTCTGCGCGTTATTATCTCTTACAGCATGCTAGGCCTATAAGAGTGCAGAGAGTAAGTTATACTTAGAAGCGTTGCTCTATAAGTCTTACACGCTAACTATTAGACTAGATCTCTAGAGCTAGATATACTATATAATATGCTTTATAAGGAATACATTTGTACAGCTATTATAGGCAAAGGCAATAAAGGTTGCTGCTTTAAGGTAACTACTAGTTGCTCTAAATAATACTACTTATATAAGGCAGGCAATTATACTTACTAGCCTTAGTAAGCTTAATTTTGCTTCTCTAATTAGCTAATTGCTAATTATATATATAGTTATACTATATTAATCTTTATTGCTAAGCAGATACTATTAGCACTAAGTATAGATAGTAAAGTAAGCTTCTAACGCTCTATTACTTCTAATTCTATACTTAATTTTAATACTCTAAGCTATAGATATATAATAAGTGCTATTAAGCACTTTAATTATAGCTTAACCTTCTTATAGAGTCTAACTCTATATATAAAGAGTCTACACTTAGTATTAGGGCTAATAATACTACTAAAGGCTTATTAGCAGCTAGGGGAAAGAAAGCTTATATAAAAGCTTTACTTAACTAGGTTATAGACTTAGTTATTAAGAAGTAAGCTTTACTTTTATTATTTTATTATATATATATTTTAATATAAGCAGCAGCTTGCTTTTACCTATAGGTATTTTAGCGTTTAGTATTTTAGTATTACTTTATATAATTTTATTTGCCTTCTAAGCGCGCTTTACTTAGAAGAAGTAAGCGCTTATATATTTAAGAAGCAATTAATTTAATGCCTCCTCTTAGCTATACTCCAAAGGAATGTAGGCGTAAAGTATATTAAATCCTTATATGTAAAATGCATACAAACGTTCCTTATAGGCAATTTGTGTGCTGTAGTTATTTCCCTTGTTTTTATAGGTGTTTTTTATAGTAGGCATCTTAGCTGTAGGTAAATATATAACTTTAAAGCTTTCTTTTTTATATTTCTATTTTAACTATATATTATAAATATTAATATAGTATAGATATATATTAATTTGCTTGCTTAAATTAAGCATAAGATAAATTATCTACTAATTATTATATTAAATATTATAATTCTCTCTTAAGTTAAAATAAATATTATAAAAAAAGCGCTTTAAGGCTATAATCTTCTTTACTACTTATTATAAAGCAAGTAGTTTAGCCTCTATTATAAATATAGTTACTATATTTTAGTGTGTAGCTTTCTAGATAACTAGACCTCTAAATAATATAATAATATATCTTTATAATAACCTTTATATACTTAAATTATCTATATATAAAGCATTACTTATAACTTCTAATACTTTAATTTCCTCTATACTGCTATAATAAAGAGTAACTTTACTTATTAAGGCTAAGTATTAAATAGCTTAGTCTACTGCCTTTTAATGCTTAAGGCCTAGGTTTGTTAGAAATTGCAAAAGCTTAAAAGCAGTATAAGCAATATTTAGTTTTATTATAATTACTATATATAATAGAGAGCTAACCTTTTCCTAGTAGGCCTTAATTTCTTGCTTAATTGCTTTACTAATGCGCTATATAAGCTTTATTATAGAAATTAGTATAGTAGAAAAAGTAGCTTTCTATACTTAACTAAACTTTTAACTAATCTTTTCTATATAAGCCTTATAATAAAGGAAAATTTTATAGTATAGTCTGTCCCTAATAATCTAGATGCCTAGGAAGAAGCTTAGTTTGCTTTTCTCTTCTAGATTATATACTTACTTTAAGCACTAAACTATATAATTTACTACTTGCCTTACTTCTCTTTCCTTATAAAAAGTAAGTATAATATTATTTATAAAGAATATTAAATAAATATTCTAAGCTTTATTAAAGAAGATATATAGCTCTTCTTTGCTTAAATTAAGCCTAGCTCTCTTAAGAGTTATACTTAGCTTTTTAAACTATAAGCTTAGCAAGTCTTATAGCTTATATAAAGCTTTAAGTAATTAAATATACTTCCGTAGTATTTTATAACTATTAGAGAGCTTATATATTACTAGTATTATATACTTGCTATACTTTATATATAGAAAGGCATTCTTAACATTAAATTATAGTAATTCTATATTATACCTAGTAGCTAGCACTATTATAATTTAAAATATATATACTATAAGTATTACTATATAAGTTTATTTAATTATAAAGTAGTTCTATAAATTGCTATATATATAAATATATATTTTGCATTTATTAAGATAACCTCTCTTATTAAACTTATAGATATAAACCTACTTAAGAAGCAGCAGCCTAAACTAAATATTTATATACTTAATTTCCTTCTAGGTGCCTTTATTATATAGTATAGTAACCTCTATAGATATTGCTTTTTCTTATTAAGCTTTTAATAAGTAGTTTTATATCTTCTTCTAGGACTTAAGCACTTTAACTAGATTAGTTAAGTAAACCTTCTCTAGATTAAGCTGTTGCTAAAGCTAAGCTCTATTTTCCTTATTATATATTATATTAATTACTATATAAACTATTATAAAGCTCTATATAGCTTTTGTATTTATATTCTACTAATTAAGCAGAATATTCTCTAGTAGCTGCTATAAATATTATATTAAATATATATTAAAACATCTTCTATATAAAGCACTTTAATCTTAGCGCTTCTTTCTAGCTTGCCTTACACTATAGCGCAGAGCTTCTATACTTTATAAGCTCTCTATTTTATAGTTATTAACAGCAGATGCCTCTATTAAGACTTAAGCTCTCTGCTATATATTTAAGTAAGTAGCTAACTTATTTAGCACTTAGTAAGCCTCTAGCGCTAATATACTCTACTTTTATTATATATTAGTTAGCAAGATTACTTAAGTCTTATCTCTAGTCTAGGCTAGTGTATTTATATTTAAGGAGGTTGTAACTTAATGCTTAGTTAAGCTTATAGTATACTAGTTAGCTGCTTAGGCCTGCTACTAGTATTATTATTTATATTAAATGTGTAATTAGGCGTTTAACGTAGAGTAGGAAGTTCTATATATATTTCTAGCTCTACTACGCTTAGTTCTTTATCTTTAGGGATTATTTAAGCTTCTACCCCTAAGGTAGAATATATATTAAGTTTTACTATAGTATTATCTTCTGTAAAGGAAAGTAAGTAGTTTACTTCTTTATCTAGTTTATTATTAATTTAAAGAGCTGTAAATTAAGCTTTTAATTCTAGTATAAAAAGCTTAACTATACTTTCTATATATATATTATTAAAGATAGACTTATTAAATATTATTAATTTAAAGAGCTATAAATTAAGCTTTTAATTCTAGTATAGAAAGTTTAACTATACTTTCTATATATATATTATAAAAGATAGACTTATTAAATATTATATTTCTTATTATTATAACTTTATTAAGGCAAGGGATTTATATTTAATATATATTAAAGGTAGAGTATTTAACTAGATACTTAATATAGCCTCTAGAGCTTATTTTAAAGTACTATTTATTATAGCCTGCTTTATAATTTCTTTTAAGTAGATATATATAGCAGCTATATATATAGACTTTATTTTAATTAAGTCTTAAGTCTACTATATACTCTCTTATTAGTAATTAAGCATTATTATAAAACTAAGTGTCTAGAGTTTACTATAGTAATTTCTAACTAGTAGTTTAGTAAGAGCTTATATTATAAAGATATACTATAGCTTATATACTCTCTAACTATAAGTTTATTAGTAGGCCTATACTTATAAGCATCTTAATTAAGTATAGTATAATTAATTAGCCTGCTCTTTTAATACTACTATTAAATTTATATATATAAGGGGGAGAGTTTTTAAGCTTAATTCCTTATATATATACCTAGCGTTAAAATATAGATTTGCCTACTTGCTAGATTATAGCACTCTTATTATCTTATATAAACTTATATATTAACAGCCTAAATTACTATATAACCTAATACTTATAGTAAAAGAGCGTGTTAAATACTATTTTCTATGCTTTATTAAAGAGTAGATATACTTATATTATCTTAGAGTATTTATCCTTAAATACTAGGAGCTAATTTATGCTATTATAACTAGGTAAGTAATCTTAGAGGTCTTAATATATATACTAAAATAAATATAGTAATATATACTCTCTAGAGCGCCTAGATATAACTTAGTATATAAGCACTTAAGTATAAACGTTATAGTCTTTATACTTAATTCCCTTTATATATATATTTCTAGCATTTAAGTAGAGCTTCTTAAGCATAGTTTTACTAAGATAGCTAGCTTATAAATACTATAATTTAGAGGTATTTTCTCTTAGCTTTAGAGAGTTCTTACTAAGCCTCTAGCGCTAAGAGCTTTATATATATATATTCTAAGTGTAACTACTAGCAGTAATAATAATAGAAGAGCTTAAAATTATAGCATTTCCTTAAGAGTTCTTTATATAGTTATTAAGAGGCTTATATTTAAGAAAGGTTAGGCTGAACTTTTTAATAAGCTAAGCTAGCACTATACTTCTTTCTAATAGTCTATAGTATGGTATATAATTATAACTATAAAGCTAAGCTCTCTTCTTATATAAAAGATCTACTAAGATAATATTAATATAGAAGTTCTTAATAAAAGCTATATTACTAAAAGTAAGGTCTACTATTTTAGCGCTATTATTACTATATAGAAACTTTCTAAGTATATATATACTTCTTCTAATAATTAAATAGCTTATTACTTCTGCCTTTATATATTCTCTTATTATCTCTCTAAATAAGCCTAGCTTAAGCAGATTAATATTATTAATAAGATATATAGCACTATAGTTGTCTAATAGTATGCTTAAGAAGAGTAGATATTTAGCTTATTTAAGCGCTATATAGATTCTAAAGTATTGCCTATATAATTAGGTAATTTAGGGATTTATAATAGCGCTATTAAATCTCTTATTAAAAAAGTATAGTTTCTTATTAAAGCTCTAGTTATTTTATAAGCTTAGTTCTATGCCTTCTGCTAATAGCTTTAAGTATAAGTTCTTTTATTTATTGCTATTATAGTAGTTCTTTATCTATATAATCTCTTTCTTAGTTAGGTATATATAAAGTTTAAGACTCTAGTTTTCTATAAGTATATAGTATAGTCTTCTATATTTCTAAGCGCTCTAGAGATAGAGAAGAGAGGAATTCTTAGGTATATAAAAGTACCTCTTCTTCTTTATATTATTCTAAGCATTATTCTAATTATTACTACTATTGACTACTATTGCCTTAAGTATTATTATTAGTATTATTCTTATTATCTTTATAATTTAAGTATTTGCCTAAGGTAGTATAAATACTCTTAGCTTTTAACTTGCTATACTTATTCTAAGTAAGGTAGCCATTAAATATATTGCTAAAATCCCTAAGTATATAAGTCTTTAGTATTTTAATACTTTTATTATTTCTTATTATATTAATTAGAGTTTTAGCCTAGCTAGAATTATAGCAAGATCTAGCTGCTTTAAGGAAATTATAAATAGTAATAATACTCTAGATCTTAGCAATATTTTCTATAGTAGTATAAGTAAAGGCCTTACTCTATTAGAGATACTAATTCTTAGAATTTTAATTTATATATTAAGCATCTTTAAGAACTACTCTATAAACTTTATAAGCTTCTATATAAATACTTAAATTATTTAGAGTAAGCTGCACCTTTAGCGCCTTAACTAGCTGCTTAAGAGTAAATTTAGAATTTATTCTCTCTAGCTTAACTATAGTTACTTAATATATACTTAGTTTAATTAAAACAGTAAACTAAGTATATATATAAATTATACTTTTATCTTTATATAGCTAGTTAGCATACTAATACTTATAGTTCTTTTGCATTTAGTTATATACCTTAGTAACTATATAAGTTAAATTAAAATAATAATATACTTTATAAAGAACCTTAGCCTTTACTATTATTAAGCACTTAAGCTTAAGAAAACTATTAAACTTCTGAGGTGCGCATTAACTTAATCCCGTGCGCGTGCGTGTCTATTAGCTCTAGGTAGGTATGCTAGGGCGCGTTGGGCATGCCGTTGCCGTGCGACATAATATCAGGCCCAACGCTTGCTTGTGGCTATTTGGAGGACGACGAATTGGCCAAACCAGCATTCATCGATGGGAGCACATTCTCGTGGGTATTACCTGGCGAAAGTCGATTTCGTGCTACTGGAGATATTGTGAGGCAGAATTCGGATGGATCGATCAAGTACATTTCACAGAAAGGCCACTGTCCGAGGCTGAATGGGTTTCCGATCGAACTACGGGAGACTGAGTATGAAATAGAGCGATGTGAGGGTGTCCTTTCCGCCGTGGTGGAGAAATTTGGCCAGTCCGACAATTCGTCCGAGTTCTCGGTTGCATTTTTCACCTTGGCAGCCACGAATAACACGGGGGGACAATGCAAGCTCCTAGACACGACAGATGATGTTGAATACATTATCCAGACCGCTTTCACTCGCGTGTCCGAACGATTTTCTCCCGACATGGCTCCACGCTTCTATCTACCAATATGCACCATTCCCCTGGCCACCACCGGAAAAGTGAATCGCGGAGCACTCCGCCACATTTTTAACGAATGCTCACAGGATGAATTGGCCGTGTACCGGCCGGGAAAACTTCAAAAGAGAGAGACACACACAAGCGTTGAAAAAGTCCTTCAGGGGCTGTGGGCAAGAATCTGGCTCTTGGATCCCAGTCAAATCGACCTGGACAGTCAGTTCCTTGCTCTTGGTGGAGATTCTTTAACAGCCATCAAGCTGGCTGCCATGTGTCGAGAGATTGGATTCAGATTAGAAGTTGCTGATATACTTCGGAACCCCAAATTTGAAGATCTGGCTAGACTGGTGCAAGACAGGCAAGATTCTGCCCCCAATGGCCTCCCATGTCACGAGGAAACCAACGGCAAATCAATTACCAAGGACCAAGTGTTCCATCAGACACCAACGATGCTTACCCAAGCTGCGACTATATGCCAGGTCGAAGCATCCCACATTGAAGACATCTATCCATGTACACCGACCATGGAAGCGTTAATCGCCGTCACGGCTCGGATACCTGATGCTTACGTTGCGCGTGAATTGTTTCAAATTCCCTCAAGTATAAACTTGCAACGCTTCCGCTCAGCTTGGGATCTTGTACGCAGAAATAATCCAACTATGAGGACGCGCATTTGCTCGGTTCTGGCCAATGGCGGGTTCAAAAATGTGCAGGTGGTCTGCAATTTGCCTCATGATTGGAACGAATCAGCAAGGGACGAGGCATTCCATGCGAGTATGACAATGGGCAGTTCTCTTTTTCGATACAGGATCCGGGATTCTCACAAAGGGGCTGTTTTCGAAGTGCTCAAACACCATGCTGTTTTCGATGGATATTCCTCCACGATGCTTTGGGAAGACTTCAAGTACGCCTTTGAGTATTCAAGTCCACCTCCACCCAGGCCGCCGTTCAAGAACTATGTTGGCCATATCCATGCTCAGAATGAGGAGGAGGCCGCTAGATTTTGGGAAAGGAGTATTGGTGACTTCCACGGAGAGCATTTTCCTGCTCTACCATCTTCACAATACACTCCTACGACATCCTCGAGTCATCGAATTGAGACATCACTGAAATGGGCCACCTCTTGCCAATTTACATTTGCGACTGTGGTGCGGGCTGCTTGGGCCATTATCCTGTCGATGCGTAGCAGGTTGTCAGGCCAAAGCAAAAAGGCCTGCTTTGCAGTCACCACTTCTGGACGTGGCAGCGCGCTTGCTGGAATCGAGAGGATGGCCGGCCCAACGATCACAACCGTACCTGTGCTAGTAGAGCTGAACATGGATCAATCTATAGCGGAATACCTGTCGCAGATCCAGGAGCAAGCCATATCCATGATGCCCCACGAATACTATGGACTAAGCCAAATCCAAGAGGTCAGCGTGGCGGCTCGAGAAGCATGCAGGACTCCGAACCTTTTGGTTGTTCAGCCTTCGCACTTGGAAGACGACGTATTGCCTCTGGGGCTTACACGTGTGTTGGATGACCAACCGGGCATGGTCGACTCTTTCGGTCTGGTGACAGAATGCTGGCAGAATGACCTGAAGCATACCATCTCATTGTCCGCTCTTCACGATCCTGCGTTGCTGCAGAAACAAGAAGTGGATTGTATGCTTCAGCAACTTTCGTGGGTCATTTCATATCTGAACAGAAACAGTACCGGCCGTTCCACTATCCGATCTACAATATGGAGCGTAGCAGAGGAGCACGACTTTTCTCGGTTACTGGCTTGGAATAAAACACCACAGTGTTGTACCGAGACGTGCCTTCATGAACTGGTCGAGATTTCTGCTGCGGATAAGCCACATGATGTCGCTGTCGAAGCACATGATGGAACGCTGACATATGCCGAACTGAACACGGCAGCAACTGCTGTAAAAGAGACCCTTGTCAGGAGACATGGTATAGGGCCCGGAGATCTCGTTCCGTTGTGTTTTGAAAAGTCGGTCTCAATGATCGTTGCAATGATGGGGGTGCTCAAGTCTGGGGCTGGATATGTGCCTCTCGATACGTCTCATCCCATCTCCCGCCTAGAATTCATCATCCAAGAGGTCAAGGCGAAAGTCGTCATTGTCTCCACGTTACAGTGTAATACCTTGAGATTCTCTGTACAAACTCTAGCCCTTGGGTCCAAGTGTCATTCCATCGAGCCCACTTGGACTACTCAGGCAGCACACGAGACTCGACTGGTTACTCCTAAAGATGTAGCCTATGTCATCTTCACGTCAGGAAGTACAGGGCAGCCCAAGGGAGTGGTGATGGAACACGGTGCCGTAAGCTTGAGTATCTTGGAGCACGGCAAGAGGTACCAGCACGACCGACGCGGGAACAAGACTCGCGCTCTTCAGTTTAGCTCATATACTTGTGATGCCAGCGTCCTGGATATCTTTGCAGTCCTGGCTTATGGTGGCTGCGTGTGCATCCCGTCCGAACAGGATCGCATCGGTAATCTTCAAGAAACGTTTGTCAAGATGAAGATAAACTTTGTCGATCTGACGCCGACTGTTGCCAACCTGTTGGATCCAGCCGCGTTGCCCGCACTTACTGGTCTAACTCTTGCGGGTGAGATGGCAAGTCGAGCCCTGATAGACAAATGGACTTGTCGCGAGCCACCCTTGGAGGTGTTTGTCAACAGTTATGGCCCAACAGAAACCGCTATCAGCTGTGCAATCGGAACCATCAGCCCGGAAAAGCCAGTTGGACACGTGGGGAAACGTCTAGGTGGCTATCTATGGATCGTTGACCAGGAGGATCACGAGCATCTGATGCCGATAGGCAGCGTCGGGGAACTCGTCGTTTCTGGACCGACGCTCACCAGGGGGTATCTCAACGACGCAGAGAAAACGAATGCCGCATTCGTCAGAGATGTTCATTGGATTGCAAGGGAAAAATACAATGTCCTGTACAAAACTGGCGATCTGGCGCGGTTTGACTTCGACGGCAACGTGGAGATACTGGGCAGAAAGGACGATGGACAAATCAAGCTAAACGGTCTGAGGATTGAGCTCGGAGAAATCGAGAACGGGATCGAATCCTGCCCTCAATTCTCAGAAGCCCGGCATGTTGCAGTCGCAAAAGTCAGCATTGGCGGCAACAATACTTTGGCTGCTTTTCTTCAGCTACCAGACTGTCAGGCGGCCTCTCCAGATTTACTCCTCGCTCATCCATCAAAAATGTTCAAGAAGGCGATATCCAATGCAGCACACGTGCTCCAAGATCACTTGCCACAATACATGATTCCAAAGCTGTGGATACCAGTTTTCTCGTGGCCTCTCAATGCAGCCGGGAAGACGGATAGAAAACGCCTCGTGTCAGTCGCCGAGGCCCAAACCCCAGCGAAGATAATGGAGTATCAACGAACCACTAGGGGTTGCAGCAGTGATGAGACTGAGGTGAAGACTGAAGCAGGAAAAGTCCTCGAAGATGCTTGGAAGCAGGTTCTGAAGAGGGAAGATGGCGTGACATTTGAACCGCACGACGATTTCTTCGGACTAGGTGGCGATTCCCTCAGAACCATCATGCTCATCTCTTGGCTCAAGGCCAGGGGATTACATGTCACTGCGCAGGACATCTTCAGAGCCAAGAGTTTGAGGAACATGGCAAACATGATCGAGCGCAAAAACCCTGGATACGCCTGGGCACGATATGATGCCACGTCAAGGGACAAAAACATCAATCATGGACAGCGCGGTCCGACGACAACCGCAGCTGGCATCACTGAAGCAGCGAATGAGAGAGAGATACCGCCGGCCTTGGCCATTGAGAGCGGAATCGAAGAAGCCTACCCTGCGTCGCATATGCAGCTCAGTTACCTTATCGAGGGACAAAAATGGTGCCGAGCCTATTACTGCTGGTTTTTCATCGACGTTGGTAAATCACGTATTCCTCAGATTCAAGCAGCTTGTGCCACCGTTGCGCTACGACATCCAATACTTCGAACAAGTTTCCACCTGATCGGTCAGGAGTGCCATCAAGCTGTCCGAAAGATTGCTCCCGACTTCAAAGTCCTGTTTTCAAACTTCTCCCCGGCGGATTGGTGCGAGCAGCTTGACAAAGACGTTGCTCGCCCTGTGTGCTTTGGCGAGGTCCTCACCAGATTTCGTTTGTTGATAGACGCCGAGACGGGCAGACAGGTCCTCGCTTTGGGACTTTCTCACTCTCAATACGATGGTTTCTGTACGCCAACAATACTAAATGATCTCGGCTTGGCATATGCTGGGAAGAGTTGGGAAAATCCGAGTCCACCCAGGTACAGGTACTTTATCGAGCACACCATGCGTCAGTGCAACGACGAGGCCGATTGCTTCTGGAGAGAGAAACTGAAGGGTTCTACCCTCACCAGCATTGTGAGACCTTTCGGAGGCAACGCTCGACCCATCATGTCTCGAGGCTTGAAGCGCACTATTCCATTTGAATTCAAGCATTCTGGGACCATCAGTTACCCTGCGATGCTCAAAGTTGCATGGGCAATTACTTTATCCCAAATATCCTTGTCGTCTGACATTACCTTTGGCAATCTAGTCTCAGGGCGGTATGCCGCTTTCGAAGGCGCACAAGAGGTGGTAGGACCATGTCTGAATGTCATTCCTTTCAGAGTACGCATTGATACAAGCCAACGCTTCAGTGGTCTTCTCAAGGACGCATACGACCGGGCCATCGATACTATTCCGTTTGAAGCAACGCCCTTCAATCGTATAGCAGCCCAGTCCCCTTGGCCGGGTGAAACAGGCTTCAAGTCCATCTTCCAATTTCAGAACATTCCAGGGCGAGAGGAGCAAGACCAGATACTGGCAGGCTCGGGTTGGAAAAAACTCGGAAGTGCGGTTTATGGAGGGGGCTTGCTGCAGAGTGGTGCGTGCTGGTTAACCGCATGGCCGACTGTTGGTGGGACAGCGCGTCTTCTCTTGAGGTACTCGGAAGAGACGATGGAGACGAGGGAGGCCGAGGCCGTGATGGACCTGTTCGTTGGCGTCCTGAGGCTCATCAGCAACGATCCAGATGCAAGCGTTGCATCTGTTTCTGCGCTTTGCCCATCGGCCACGACCATCCAAAGCCATTGTTCGGTGCCTCTTCAACCAGGCCAGCCCTCCTCATCGTCTCGCAGTCAACCGCCCGCCCTGGCCCTCGCACCGATCGTTGAGGAGTTTAGATCGATTTGGAAATCAGTCCTCGGTTTTGACGGAGAAATCCATCCCGAGGACTCCTTCTTCGATCTTGGGGGAGACTCGATCGCGGCAGCCGGGATGGCTTCGTTATGCGTCAAGATGGGCATTGGATTAAGTATGCAGGATATAATTGATTCTCCGTCACTCATATCACAGGTCGAGCATGTAACTGGGAGGGCTGGAAATGCCCAAAAGCCCAGAGAGGAGCTAAAACTTGTGTATGAGGATAGTTATGAGTTTATCTAGACTTTTACATGGCTTGCTAAGAAACCAATCATGCAATCATGTACCAGGCATATATGAACTAATTGTTACCGAGTCTGTATAGCGTTTCATCGCCATCACCCACGGCCGTTGGTTCAGACACCAGCGTCCTATACGCCAACGTAGCAATTCTCGGTGGGCAGTAGGCAACCGCAATCCCACCACACCATCTTCGGATCTCCGTCCTCTAAAAACGGACGGCACACCCTCTATTTCTGGAAGACTCTGCTCTATTTACAGAGGCGTTGGGACTGCGGCGAAGAGCTCAACGGGATCGTGAGCCTTCTGGAGCCTGCAAGTACACGTACTAACCAAGGCACCAGGACAAGGGTACTTGTATGTACGTACAGAGCGGCCTGGTCCGTGCGCAGTACCTGGGTCCTGCATCCCAGACTGCGTTTAGCTGCCGATACGGAATCTCGGCTGTCTCCCCTCCCCTCCTTTGATTCCCTCTGCCGTGTGATGTTTCAACGGCGCCAAAAGCCTCCATTCACGCGACGTACTCGCTCAACGCAACTCTGGGGGGGACTTGCCGACCAAAATCGGTCTCAAATCATTCAGAAGTAGGCTGCGCTGCTCCAACTCGGGACACCGACTCAAGTGACAGCAGCCAACGCGCTGGTGCATGCCCGGTCGAACCATGGGAAATTCTGGACAATGAAATGCCACAGGCCGCATTGTATCACGGTATTCTGCAGCTCCCGGAAAATCAGCCGCCTCCCCGCTTCATCCGCACATCACCGTCCATGTGGAAGAAGAACGCCATCGCGGGAAAGGTTTCACGCGCCTGCGATGCCTGTCGGGTCCGAAAGGTAAAATGCAACGGTAACCAGCCATGCGCGCCGTGCGCTCATCTCAGCTTGGCCTGTGTATTTGCACCACCCCCCCCAAAACGCAAACCGGGCATTCGAGGCCGTCTCGTTGCCCAGCTGCGCAACAAAACATCGACAGACGGACCGACCGGTTCACCGGCAGCGTCGCCGCCATCAAACGCCCAGGCTGGCGGCTATACCGGCAATGACAGTGACCGTTCATCGACGGGCCCGTCGCCTGGAGCGGGCGCCGTCCCGGTGACTTCAATCGCAGGTATAGTCGATAACCCGACGAGCAGTCCGCGCCCAGAACCGCCGTGTACGATTGGCGGATGTGGCTTCTCGGCCGACTTCTTCCTCGGGCTGCTCCCCGAGTTCGAACAGCTTGTATATCCCGTCAACCCTGTCCTGACGCCGGCCGAGATGCGGACGGCCATTCACAATATGCACAGCAACTTTGAAGATGCCGCCCTAGTACACGCCTATGCGTCCGTGACCATCAACCTCACCAAGACGTCGTGGACAATGAATGGAGTCGGCATAGCTTCACAAATGGCGACTCTGATGCAGTACTGCTTTTGGGCGCACCGGAAAGCAGAAATGGCCATGGAGAGCGACGGATATACCGGCGGTTTACAGAGCGAGATGCCAATCACGGTCAAGCGCATCATGACGTGTGTCTGGCTCGAAATCTCCCTCATGGCATTCAAGCGATTTGACAGAAGCTACACCATACTCCGCGAAGCAATCAGCATGGTGCAAATGCTCAACGTGCACCAGTACGGCGAGGGCGGCCACCGTCTCAGCCGTGCAGAGACGGCCCGGCGCCAGAGGATGTATTGGGAGGTCTACATCCACGAACGCTTCTTGTTCATCATGTCCGGGTATCCATGCACCATGGCTCCTCTGCGCACCGGACTGCCCCTCCACGATGACACTCTTCCCGCCCACGTCGCAGTCGGGTGGAATCGCCTCATCCTCCTCTTCCAAATCATGGACGATGCCTTTCTCTCGTACTGGGCCGCACAACAAGTCCCCAACCCCCACCTCCCCGAACCAACGTCGGAGTGGATAGAAGGCAAGCAGGCACGGCTCGACCAAGACGAGGCAGACGCCCTCGGCGCCGAAGAGGAAATGGTAGCCGCCGGATACGGCACACTCATCGAGCTCCAACACGTCGACTTGTTCGTCACCCGCCTGTGGCTTCGGACCCTAGTATGGCAGCTAGCCCTCTCCCGGGGCCTGCTCCGCTCTGCGCCAACACAAAACACGCACGAAGGCCTTTCTCTCCGTTTCCCCGCGCAACGGCTATCCGCGCAACTTGGCAGCCTCGTTTCCCGCCTGAAGAGCGTGTCTAGCGTCGTCTTTCACGGGAGCGGCATCCTCCAGAAACTATTCGAGATTACAAGCACGGTAGCAGACGTGCTGGCGCTTCCGCACCGAGGTGGCCACGCGGAAGCAGAGTCCCGAGCGAGATTAAAAGACTTCTTCTACCTCGTCCAGTTCTTGTTCGGCTTCGAGAAAACGCAGCAACATCAGAGGGATTACTTGAGAGAGAAACTCGAGGTATTGGAAAAGATGTACACTGTCGTGGATTTCAGGGAATTGGCGGGCGCGAGCCCTCTGTCTGCAAGTTCAACAGGTCATGTGTATGAGTCGATGCCAAAAGCTAGCTGAAGAATATAATGTCAAGCGACGAGTGAGAATTTCAAAACACATGCCATGCTAGCCTCCCCACAGGCTCGACGACATGGGCGAGCGTAGGCGTCAAGCCGGAGTTGGTGAGATCATCATTCCGTGCTGGTGATGGGGCTGGTAGGAGCATCTTGCACACCATGAACCAAACTCCCGCCGCGTTTACCTGCCTTGTTACTCCGTAGGCGTGCTGGGGCCAGAAGGGGGCGGCACAGACAGGACCAAGGTTTTTGACCCAAGATGACCGCAGTGTTGAATCATAAAACCGGGTCGGAAGAGGAATCAAAGGCGACGAGGACCCGGATGGATCGGATCAGCCATGAACCACTCACTGCCTCTGGCCTTGCTCTTACCGCCCAGATAGCGCGCTTGAGCTGCGTCGTCCGTCCGAAATACTAACGTTACCTTTTTATTCAAGCATAGGTACTCCGTACTTGAACGTGATACGACGTCGCAAGGGCACGCACGGATCTGAGACAAAGGGCCCAAGGTTGACTCGGAATCATTCTCGACGCAGCAGTGGGGACCGGCAGAGAGGGATTCTTGGCGTGAGAACCTTGATGGACAGCTCCAGATCGTATTAATGCCACGACCGGCCCACGTCATGGCACACCCTTTTTTTAAAACTGGACAGAGTCAAGTCGACACATTTTCAGAAATGACCGTGTTATAAAAGACTATTGTCAACTATGTTGTCTAACTGTACACAAGAATTGCTGCTGTTGATGGCTACCGCAACCACGGACACTAGGAGCGCTGGTGTGCCACTGGTACAGTCCCTGCCTCGCAATAGTTTGTGTGTGGAATCTCAACGGGCGAAACTTCACCAGCGCTGATACCATTGAAGGGAAATGAAAAAAAAAAGGCGCACCAAACACAGTACTGGACACCGCCGGCAAAGCAGTCAGCCATCAGTTGAAGGTGTCGTCATATCCTGCGATACAAAATCGTGTATCAGTCTCCGCAAGCACCCCTTGTTCGCCGGCCCCTGGCGAGTGTTGAACGGCCAGTGACTTTCCTCACTTTTCCTTTTGGGGTCTGAACTCGATCCATCGCCTTTATTCTCTCTGGGCCGACGCCTTGGACTTGTTCAACAACATGGTCATCGCCGCCACGATGACGGGAACAACGCTGACTATCTCACCCAGGCCGGCGTAAGCTGGCGGGATGCGAACCTTGACAAGGGCACCAGAGGCCAGGAGAATGGCCAGAACGTTGTACACTGCCGACCACGCAAAGTTGAAGACCATGCGTCGGAAACTGACGCGACTGATTTCCAAGAGGAAAGGAATCCCTTCAAGCCCATTTAAAAGAACGACGTCAGCGGCCTTGCCAGTGACGTCGCTGGCGGACAAAACACTGCCGAGCTGGACACCAACATCTGCTTGCGATACGGCAACGGCGTCATTGGTCCCGTCCCCGACAAAAATGACGCATTTGCCCTCCTGCATCAGGCCGGCCACGTAGTCTCGCTTCTCCACAGGGGTACATTGCGACACGACCTTGGGAATTCCCACCGCAGAGCCGACCATCTCAACAGCCTGCTTTTGGTCACCAGAAACCAGGTGTATGGCAATGTTGCGGCTGGTCAATTGGGACACAACTCGAGAAGCCTCTGCACGGATATGAGTGCCAAGACCAAACAAGGCGATAGGCGCTTCGTTCTGTGTGATGACCAAAAGTGTCATGCCTTGGTCCTGGAGACGAGAAACTGCGTCATGAGAAGCAGTCTTGGTCCATTTTGGATTTCCGGCTCGAAGAGAGGCCCCGTCCAGCTTGGCCTCTACTCCTGCTCCAGGGATGACTTGGACGTCGGTTAGCGTTTCGGCGGGGATACTTTGGCCCTCCAAATGCTTGGCAACAGCCAGAGAAACGGGGTGTTTGTTGCCAGCGACCAAAGCCTTCGAGATGGATATCGCTGCGGCATCATTGATGAGAAGGACTTGTTCCTTCACATCCAGGTTTTCCTCAGTAATGGTGCCGGTTTTGTCGAAAACAACATCCGTCACTTTGCGAGCTCGCTCTGTACTTTCCGCAGACTTGATAATGACGCCGTTGCGCGCGGCAATGCCACCCGCAATGACGAGTACCATGGGCACGGCCAGACCAAGGGCACATGGGCAGGATACAGCCAAAGTCGCAACAGCGTATGTGATTGCATTCGAGATGGACTTGCCGGTGTTGTAATTGCGAACTTTGAGACCGACAACCAGCCACACAATCACGACAATGATGGCGACTGAGGTGACAACCGGGACGAACCAGCTGGCAACCCGGTCTGCGTAGTCTTGGATTTTGGGCTTTGAATTTTGTGCTTCTTCGACAAGCTGAGCAATGTCCGTCACGGTATTCTTGCCGGGAAGTCGGGTTAATTGAGCGATCAAGACACCGTTTTTGTTGACCGTTCCGGCAATCACCGCGTCGCCTTGCTTTTTGGACACTGGAACACTCTCTCCCGTGAGCATCGACTCGTCAACATCGCTTAGGCCGCTGAGAACGATACCGTCGGTGGGCACGCCTGAGTCGGGGCCAATCTTGAGTTTGTCGCCGTATTGCAGCAAGCGAGCATCAATCTCTCTGTCACTATTATTCTCGACAATGACAGCCATTGTGGTTTGGAGAGATCGCACAGACACAGCTTCAACAGCTCGGATACGTGCAAATGCAGCCACAAGTCGACCAAGGATCACGAGGGTGATCAAAAGAGTACTCGTCTCAAAGAATTCCGACGTCTCGAGCGGCGCGCCTGCCATGCGAAATCCAAAAGCCACAACCGAGTACGAATATGCCGCAGTGATGCTGATGACGACAAGCATATCCATCTCAATGGTGCCGCTGTGGATGAGTGCGCCAATGGCTGGGCGGTAGAAGTCAGGAATGGCAATCATCTGGACCAATGTGGCCAATATAATGGAAACAATTGCCCGCTTTCGTTCGCCAACAAGGGAATCTCCCCAAGCCAGAACCAGAACAGGAATGGTAAAAACAGCAGCGAGAGTTGTCTTGGCAAGCTGGTCGTAGAGCCTCTTGCGGCCACTCGAAACGGACGGATCGTCACGAGGAGGAGCGAGGCCCTCAATTTGGCCTTGAAGCTTCTCGAGCAACTCTCTTGCCCCAATCACCGTTGGGACATAGCTCAAGCGAACAGTGCGCTTGTTCAAAATAGTGGCACCTGTGACACCATTGATGTTGCAGTCCAAGAGTGCCTTGGCCGATTTACCCAATGCCAATACATCAAGAACCTGATCATCGGTAGCCATCCGGTTGCAACGAAAGTTGGTTGCTCTCTCCGCAGCACGAACGACCTCGGTTACAGTAGTCACTGACGTGTCAAGCTCGAATTCCGCATGACCCATGACGAAGTTGACCTTGACGGACGAAACACCAGTGATCCTGTTAAGAGTGTTGGCCATCTTGTTGCCACATCCCGAGCAAGTCATGCCATCAACGAGGAGCGCGACATGCTCTAGACCCTCGGCCTTTTCCACGTCTCGCTCGACTGCACGACACCCGTGAGAATTGGCATTGTCAGCGGGCTGAATGGCGTCATGGCTCAGCGCGTGGTCGCCGCAGCAATCAGACTTGACCGGCTGGCAGCAGGGGTCTCCTTCGTTTTTTTCGTGCTTGGACATCTTTCCACGGCGCCTAATTTCGTGGTGATGATGAGGGCCGTCGTGTTTATGAACCTTTCGCCCACTGGCATATATTCCGGGCTTGTCGACGCAAATGTTTTCGACACCGTCAGAGGGGACTTTCCTGGGTTGATTAGCACAGCATGTTGTCGACCAACCTCGCTCGAGAATACTTCGACAGATGCAGCGAGCAGAGTCAAGATAAGCGCTGTATTGGTTAAATGCTTTTTCGAGGTGGGAATTGCATGCTCCGGAGGGATGGTGTCCATTCGCATCGTGCTGGTGTTCATGTCCCGCGGCAGCTGTTCAGCAGTTGCGAAGTGAGCAGAGTGCAATGCGCAAGATCAATGAAGAAGCGATCGAGGCAATGAATTTCTTTTACAAAGGGGAGAGAGGGTGTTGTCGACATACTGCTTTGCGTCAAGTTGTCTGTTTCGCACGTCTTTTCGCACTCCAGTGCAGCCGCTGCAAGGATACATTTCTCTATGGCTTTCGGTCAGACGTGGAACGGGTTCTCGACATCGATCACACGGCGTCAACGTACCATCGCAATGTTCGTCATTACTGGAGCAGCAGGCCAGAGTCTCGGACAGGCTGGAATCGCCGCAGCAAGATTCGTCATCACAGCACTCGCCCTCCTGTGTGCAGGGCTCTTCAACCGCGCAAACGTCAGAGTCATCTCCATTGTCATGATTGTGCGCGTGGTCCTGGACTTGTTGATGATCATGACTGTCATGTTGGTGGCTCTGTTCCCCGTGGTGATGATTGTCATGGTTGTGTTCGGGACCAGCTGCCGGAGTGGCATCGTGGCAGCCTCCGCCAGAGCAGCACTCTGTGCCCATGACTGCGGTGGAGTAGAAAAGGGATTTCCAAGGGCAAAAATCTTTGTTTGTTGGGACGAAGGCCACGATTGGACGCAGTCGGGGCCTTTGTGGTATTGGAAGCCGGTTTTGGGCAGGAAAGAATCAGAACAGAGAGAGGCGAAGAAGGTGCGGCAGGCAATCCGGGACTCTGGGAGATACGACGGTGTAGAAACCAGTGGGCGGATCCACGCGGTCTGAAATAAGGCAGAAATTTGACACGGTACCCGAGAGAATGAGATGGGACGAGGACAAAGCGAGGCCATCCCTGCATGCCAGATTTGGGCTACGGAGTCGGTTTCGGCACAAGCACCACCATCGCCAACATCCTCGCGAACGGGAAGGGTCGATGGCGTCAGCGTCTCTGCTGCTGGATTGATTGACTGATTGATTGATTTCTGGCGGGATGGATTGTCGGTCGATCCGAATTATGGAGCATCGTCAGTTTCACGGGCTGGGCAGGATACAATCACATGGGTGTCGCCACGGCCCGAAACTCTCGACGGAGTACAGAAGTGGCGCTTCATCTGTTGTCCGCGCTCACTTGTCAATGCGTTTGTACGCTGGTCTTTTTTCCTTCCTGTCCTTGTCCGACGCCTCCCTTGTGGATCATCAACTCCACCCGTTGCGTCCCACCGCCGTCGACATGGAGTGTGGAAAAGCCAAATCCTCGTCAAGTTTCACCTCAATCACAGTTCTTGCTTGGGAGTCCAACTTGTTCATCAGGAGGGTCGGATCGCCGTCCAAGGTGTGGGGTGTGGCGGGTTATTCGCGACGTCTTTACGGGCGAACGCAACATCGGTAACCGACGACGCCTTTCGATGCCAACAAAACGACCGCTCCGCCACGAGCCGGCCACCACCACCAGTGACCACCGGGTCCCAAGTCCAAACAAGCCTGCGGGTCGCAGAATAATCCGAACACGCTGCCCGAGTAATCGAGTGATGCGTGCTCGGTGTTTTCTGCTACCCCCTCGGCGACCTACACTAGCAGCTGCGCTACACAGGATACTGCTAGTTTGCTGCGTCACCTGGGCTGCCGAGCCGCCCATTGGCCTCCGCGGCTTGAACGTCGAGGCTGAGCATGGTCCCGTTGCGCGATGCAGTTGTACCAACGCAAATCGCCAGGGATACACGAATCGAGTTGGGTGAGCGAATCCGCACTCTCCGGCCACGGAGGTGATGCCCGGTTCCCTCCCAGCTGTAGCGGTACTAGTTGCGGAGGGACGACTGGGACACGTGCCCGCGTTGTGAGAATGCAGATGACGTGTTGTGCAGTCGCGTTCCAACTTGCGCGCTCCCCACGTCAAGCTGAAGTTGGTGACTCTGAACTCAGGGGCTATCCGTCGGAGGACCAGACAACGAGTGGCGGCCTCTCTTGCCCACAGCAAAGCACATGGTGACAACAACACATGCACTGCAGCTCCAGTGGCCTGCAGTGTTCAAAGACGGCAATCAAAAGCCTCCTCGGCCGTCATCAGTCTCTGTATCAGCTGTGCTACAAGAGTGCGGCAGGCAAAGCCGCACCATCCAGGCATACGGAGTACGTCAACAGCCCGCGCTTTGTGAGACGTGATGTACCGAATCAAGCCTGTAGAGCCAGCTCCCACGTAGTCTTCGCAGCGAATCCTCCTCTGTTCATCATCGCCGCCCCCCTTGCCGTCCAGACCAGTCCACAACCCATGAAAACAACGGGTGCCCGTCCCTCCGGCGCTGGTCGGCCGTGTGCGTCTGTCTAGCCGTCAAAGACGCCTCTCCATGTCCCGTTCGGCTTCTGCGTCCCAAAGCAGTCCTCCCGCGCTCAAATCGCTCGCCGGCGCCACGACCACGCCGTTCTGCTCGCTCCACTTGGCATTGAAGCCGTACGGCTCGCTCTGCGCGTTCAACCCGCTCCTCCGCAGGTCCTCCCTGTTCGCCGGGTCGCCGCTGAACACCTCGCCGGCGGTGTAGATGGCCGCGGCCGATGTGAAGCCAGCCAGTCCAGCCGTCGTGCTCGACGTGCTCGACCGTGTCGACGCCGTCGCAGGAGTGCCGCAGTGGTCGCCCAATGTCGAGCGATGCGGCCGATCAGGACGAAGTGGATGCTTTGTGATTTCCAGGCCTTTATGTCGGCGTCGAGGGCCAACTGCGCCCACGAAGCTACTGTTGGAACGGGAATTTGACTTTGCCACGCCGTCTAATCACGACTGGAGTCAGCCCTGATCTGATCGGACTTTGTACGCGGAGAATTCTGCCAGCGATTCTGCGGAGGGGACCGGATGGCTGCCACATGTACACATCTCTTTCGTAGGCAATCCATCTAGCTTTCTTCCACGCATACCATGGATCCTTCCATTGCTGTACACACCATACAGACTTATACGCGCAGTCGCAATGGCCTGAAACCATCTCCCCATTGATCAGGCTGCCGGAATCAGTCTACAAGGGCGTCGTCGACAAAGAGACCCGAGAGAGTCCACTGGCCTAAACCTAGAAAGCACAGCTGGGGCCTTTGGTCGGCGAGTGTGTGCTACACACGGAATCTACATGAGGGCCAGCATCCCCAATAGCCCGCCTGCTTGGGTAGTCCGGCCGTCTCCCGTGCAGGGCATGGCGATAGAGGATCGCCCAAGAGCCAGTCTGGATCAAACTGGTCCCGATGGAGTACCGGATGCCATTACCACGTCGCTTGTGCTGCTCTGCTGGCACTGCGAGCGTGTTTCCCACGTGGTTGCGACGAAAGCCGAGGGTGCTCCGTACGTGATCCGATTCGCACCACTTCATGCGTGAACCGTACCTTGGCAGGAGTCTGGCATCCATTTGAACGACATCCGTTTCGCTTGAGATTCGGAAACCGTCATCTTCTGACAGTCTACCGGACAAGGACGACGTGGTATATCTGAAGTATATCGGAATCCTACTACTGGCATACGCCGCTTACCATGGGGGGCTATAACGGAAGCTAATAAACAGTACTCCATGTATAATTTAACTCGCTTTACTTTGTATGTGAACTATACCTTGACAGGAGGAACGTGGTATCTGTCTGAACGACATCCCTTGAGAATTACAGACCATGATCGTCTGACGGTCTTCCTGAGATGGAACAGGTGGTATATCAGAAGTACGTCGAAATCCTACCACAGCCGTAAGCCGCCGACTATAGGACGACAGACTTCACTTCACATTGGCGTCACGACGACGGTCACTTGACAGAGTCGCCAACTTCTCACTACGAGCGTCCCCTTGATCGCGAAGCTCTCAAAGGAGATCGGCACCGATCCCACGCGTTCCCGAGCGTTTTCTTACCCGCAGTTCGGTTCGCTCCATGCCTCATCTATGCTGGAGGCACGAGAGGACTATGAACCAAGGACTCGGCTCATGCACCACATAAGCTTATACCGACAAGGATGCAGTGACGGGCACACCTCGATGGACAGCATCACGCCCCAAATCGGCTCGGCATGCTATTCCGGTGCGGTACCCATCTCCTCTCGTCCAATATCTGAGACATGGCTGAGGTATACTTCTCCACCCGGAAACTCTGGCCGCTGCCTGGCGCGGAATCGGCCACATGCACAATGACGCTTCCTGTCCGGGCCGGGCCGAGTCGCGCAGCGCACCGTCACGAGGTCGTCGACAGCGTGATGGCGGGAAGGCGTTGCACACCCAGCAACAGGTCTACTTTCTTTTTCGAAAATATCCCAGGGTAGCTAGCTGCACTTTTGTGTACGCACACTGGCTGGTCGAGGGGGGCAGCTGCAACTAATCGTGCCCGCCCCACTTTATGTGGTTCGGCTAGCAAAAGCCCTCACCACCAAAGGTGTGGTGAGGGCTTTTGCTAGCCGAACCACATAAAGTGGGGCGGGCACGATTACAGGGACAGATTTGCACTCGAGATGTATTCCAAGTGCCAACCCTCGATCCCAAGTCCAAGTAGTGCTTTTAAGCAGAGCTACACTTGGATCTTTGAAGAAGAAAGCAAAGCTGCTGCTAGATGTGCCCTGCAACTGCCGGCCGCAACAATGGGCCGGGACCGAATCCCATCCCATCCGCGGTTGTTGTGGACAAGGCCCATCGTACAACTGTATTGTATGCAGGGTAGATGTGTCCCCTTACTTTGCTTCCGAGGCCGTACTTTGGCTCGCCACGTCTACGAGGCGCACGCAGCACGGTGTGAAGACATGAGGAGAAACGGCGTCTCCGTCGGGTCGCTGCCTCTCTGAGCAGTGGTGGTTTGTTCGGGCTCTATCCGCGGGTCGGCAACTCCATTTGGTCAGGAGAAAGTAAGAATTCTTTTCATTGCAGTCCCGCTGGATGGGGAACAGCAGGGCGTGTGCTCATGGACAAACATGTCATGTATTATCTACAGCTGCACATGCTCTTGGTCCATAAAAGATAAAATAACCCTCTGGGCACGCACGCGTCTTATACGGGCCGTCTCTGGCGTCCTCCACACGCCAGAACTGGACGAGTGTTGCAAGAATGTTGGTGACCCAAGAGCTTCTCTCTTGGACACGGGCCGACTGGGGCAGAAGGCTGCTGCAAAAACAGAAGCCTCTGGCCACAAGGACCTCTGATACCAAAGTGTGTTGCATGGTTTCTCGGGGCAGTGGTTCGGGTCACTGAACGGGTGGTCTGTCGGTCAAAAAAAAAAAAAACACCACAAATAACAATGGCGTGGCCGCGCCACATATCTAGCGTAGGCATTCCGATACTTATTCACATAGCAGACGCCTGGCACTGGCCCCTTTGGTCACGAGTCACGGCAGGAAAGAGGACGAAAACGAGGCCGTAGACGAGAATGATGATGACAAAGCCAGCCCCCGTCGGCGAAGGCGTTGCTTCGGCTCCGGCGACTCGGCGGGGGTGGGCGCCATCCCGGACCACGAGTCCATGACGCAGCATATGAATTACGGAAACATCTAGTCAGGCCATGCATGGCAAGACTAGATGGCCAACTAAATGCCTCGCCTTAATGCCAAGGCTTCCAAGTCGTCTTCTGGGCGCCGTGCTATAGTCGGTAGCTATGAACGAGCATGGACGGAGCTTGATGCATAATTTTGCTCGCGAGTCACGTGCAGAGTAGATGGCCAATCACGCGTTCCCGGCTGAGCACGAGCAGCGGTTTTTGGCTGGTCAGATGAATCGCGCCCATTTACGGAGTAGAGAGTGTAGATAACCCGACCATTGCTCGCCAACCTGAGCTGACCTGACTATTGCTAGTGGAGACTTTAGTGGAGCCTTAATTTGAAAAAAAAAAAACTGGTTAGGGTTAGGGTTAAGGTTAGGTGTTCAGGTTAACCCAGGATATACATTACCTCATTAGGAAAGAGCAGTGGTCAGGTCATCTGCATTCTCACTCATCGCCACTGACCCGAACTCTTGGGATTAATTGCCACTCCCCCGTCACGGTAGTTCATAATCCGCAATAAAAATAAAGAGAGCTCTTGGCAGCACGGATAAATAACCCTGCCCATAACGTGACGTGAGCCCCACGGGCCACAGATGTCCTTTTTCGGTCGATGTCACCTATAGGTTAAAGTTATGGCTAAAGCTTGCAGGGGCCAGGTTCGCAGGCAACATAACATACCCTCTTTGTTACTCTGCCACCAAGACCGTGACTGCACATATCCTGAGTCCTGACTCCTGATATAGATGGACCCGCCGACTTCTTAAAGGTGGCAGACCGACGTGAAGTCAGGCCATCATCCGGTGAGGGCTGACTCGGCGCCAAGTTGGGTAACAGTGCCAGGGTCGGCGACAAGTCTGGTTGACAAGATAGCCGCCGCGTCACCAAGATATAAAGGACGACCGGGCGCCCGTGTGTTCCCCGTTCCATCCTACCAAGCACTCGAAACGCTCCTCTACACACGCAAAGCAAAGCAAAGCAAAGCAAAGCAAAGCAAAGCACTCTTCCCAGTCTCAATCATGCTCCTGTCTACCGCCGCCTTCCTTCTGCTCGGCGCCTTGCAGCCAGCCCTCGCTGAAAACAACATCTGGAGCGAGTACCCTTTTTACGAGTCACACTATGTCACGTTTGAAATCGAGAATCCTGGATGCCCGGCTCAAGACGTCTGGGCTGGTGTCTGGAACGTCATCAACAACAAGTTCGCCGTGTCTGAAGCCAAGGCTAAGAAACAAGTGGACCTCAACAAGTACTATGTTGGCTTTGAAAATGCTAAGGTCGGCATCGGCAACTTTACAGTTGGCTTTTGGTGCAACGGTCAGCAAAAACCCTTTTTGACCTCGAAGAAGACGTTTGAGATTGCCCAGCCGGAGCCCGAACCAGAGAACAAGATTCTCGACCACGGTCAGGCGGGCAACAACTACATATTCCAGATCGAAATCCTAGATGGCATGTGCGATGGCAAAGCTATTCGGGGGGGCATCTGGAGGACCGAAGACGTCGAACTCCCACTTCAACAAAAGGCCGACTTTCCAATTCTACTCGCGAAGACGTGGGCGTGGGTAGATCTCGACGAATTGGACAGTGCTGTATTCAACATCACCAAAATCCGCAAGGACTACATGATCACGGGCACTTTCAAAGCGGCATTTTTCTGCAATGGTCGATATTCCCCCCTCCTGGTCTCGGAGGCGTTCGAGATCAAGTAACATGTCACGCTGTCCTTGGGCTCATCGCGTGGGCTGGCGCCGCCAGGCCAACGAAGAAACACCTCTTGTGCGGGAGTATTTGGGCTTGAGCTCCCGGGTAATGTTGCACCAATGGAACTCGGGCGCCTCCCAGTAGCGTCAGCCAAAGGCTTTGCTACCACGGGCTGATGGAGTGTGGGGGAATGAGGAAAAGTACGCCATGTGATATAAACAGAGTGATTTGTTTTTAGTGTCCTGTCAATACAACCACCTGCCTCTAGCCCGCTCTCTGTCGTCTGGCAAGTTGCTGGCTTTTGTATCCCTCAGTGCAGCCCATGTTCGAGTGCGGCAGCCATTCACAGCAATCGCATACAAAGAAAGCAGAAGCGTACACGTGACATGACATCAATGCCGGAAATACGGTGAGAGATGCTGGAGATCTTGGGGCTCGTGGTTCTAGGTCTACGCGGTGTCTATTGAGAGCGCAGCTTTTCGCGTTCAACGATGACATGTCTCCCTAAATCCACCGCTTATACAGTACTAAGTGTTGACCTAGAGCAGGTCTCGACTTTCAAGCAAGAAAACGTCAGAAGAGGTGTGAAGGCTCAAGTAGACCACAAAGAAAGAGACCAGGCAGGGCTCCGTTCCCTCTTTGACAAGGAGCTCTAGAGGACTTGGAGGCCGCAATTCGCTGTAATTGACAGACACATGGGATGGTCTACCGGAGGACCGGTGGACGGAAGCCGCCCGCGTGAATTGGCAACTAGGTGCGCTTGATTTTGCGTCGGAATAGGCATAATTTATTCAAACCAAGCACTTCAACTTACCAATTTCCTGCAGGAGTATGCTGAATCCTGTTGCCCTCCTAAAATCGCCCCTCCCTGGCGTTATAGACAGGGGCAAGTTGACCAACAGGTCTTTAGCGGGCGGAAGAAGAGAATGAGTTGACTTTGTACAAATATGAATGAATCTTGAGGACAATCGAGCACATACGACCACAGCCGCTAGAGAAGCTCGGGATCCCGTCCGATCTCCTAGGAGAAACTAGCGAGCGCCAGATTAGTAGTTAGGTCGGAGACGACTAGCGAATTCCTGGTGTTGTATGTTTTGCTTTTTTTGGTTCTCCCCCCCCCTGCTTCTATACACATTTAAATTTTTTCCATGCACATCCACTAGGATAATAATCTGTAAACAGGATGTGTCGGTGTATCTATATCAAGTCCTGGACTTGAGCCATGTGCGGAAAAACGAACCACGAAGCGCCCCGGGCGACCTCAACGCCCAAATGTCGTCAACCGACTGGCGTCTGTTGACTCCAAGTGAGGCGGCTGACGGTAGAAACTCCTATTTACCAAGGCGGAACTCACGTCTGAAATTCGAGGATAGCTGTATATGATTGGGACGACAAGCGGCTGTGTCGCCCATATGAGCAGCTCAGCTCGTTGGAACTGTCCTCGAGCTCGAGGCGCGCTGGACTCGACGCCAGTGGCAAGCAGCTTTCTCGGCCTTCTGCTGGCCTACAAAGGGCCTCGTTGTGAGTGCCCGAAGCGTGGCACCAATATTGAGCAGATACGCGCGAACATGGAGGGCTGGTCATTACACGAGTTGAACCCTCCGTTCCAAGCGCTGTTGCTACGGCCCTGGTGACACATTGTGACATTTCACGGGCCAGGCTCTCACAAATGAATCAGCATTACGCATCCATGACACTGTCCGCATTGGCTTCCTCGGCGTACGAGCTTAGCAGCGGCGACTCCTGCTCTTGCTCGAGGATACCGGTTACCAGTCGACAAGGTCGTGCTAGATGGCGAAGATAGAGGATGAGTGCAATATCATTCCATTGCATGATTGAATTTGCACAGCCTCGTCCCACTACCAAGCTAGCAAGCATTTTGCCACAAAGTCGGGCCGAAGCTCACGAGTCGCGGCAAGAATGAAGAGAACGAGACGGCTTCGTGACTCGTGACGAGAACGTGCGACGAGTCGTGTGGCGGCAGTAGTCTTGCCTCTAGAGTGTTTTGACGGCCCAAGTGGCCTACGGAACTAGAGCCGCAACGCATTGCATTCATACTTCAAGTCAAGTTGACCAAATGTTACGACTCGGCCATGTCGGTGAGCGAAAAGTCCAATCTTTGAACGGAAGACGAGTGGTATGTGGATTGATCGGGAAGTGCATGGATGCGTAATGAGGCTGTGTGCGAAGCCTGCCATCCCTCGAACCCCTCCAGTCTAGTATTAGCAGCCTTGACAGTTTGCGTGACAAGGCGAGAGAAACGAAATAGGAGCAGGGACGGCACATCTCCCAGGAACCACATTGTCGTGGGAGAGGTGGTAGACGCTTGCTCGACTCTTTCTGGTCTCGTGCGGTTCAGCTCACAAATCGTGCCAGTCCATACCTTGCAGCCGAGCAGACCATAGGGGCTTCAACAGCACTCAAGAACTGTACACAATGAGTCCTGGCCCCCCAGGTAACACGGCTTGCTTGATACGCAACATGGCCCTTGCGTAGAGACTGCGACTGTTGCGCCGATAAACTTGCCTTCTGCGGCCCAGGCATCGAAGCCCTCGAGGCCAGACAGACAAACGGCGGCTTTGAACCTCATCGGCCTCCACGTGTCATGTCCGTTGTCTTCCTCTCCTCGCAACCTCTCGTCGCCAGGCTCATGGGGGTAGCGTCAGCCAGGTGGAACAAGACGACGGCACGGCCACCAGCGTCCCGTAGCCGGATACGGTGACACGCTGGATCGGAGCAGCTTCAGCCGCCTCTGGACGATGCTGCAAGCATGCGTGCCTCACGCCGGCCGTCATGATGGTGTGCGGCAACCGGCCACTCTGCTTCGACACCATTGCAGGACAGGACAGCTTTGACTGCATACAGATGCCGCCCGTGACTGGCTACCACGTCTCTAGAATCTCATTTTGAAGTATTGCCGGTCCGCTTTGACCAAAACATGCTTGAACCGTTGGACTATGCGCCAATGTCGCCCTATTACGTTCGGCAACGTTGCATTGCATGCTGGCGCTGAGGCTACAACGAGGCACGACGTCGATGCTGACATGAGCATGCGAGGTAACTGGCAGCCTTTTGCGACAAAATCTTCAACAACTTCAGCCCCCGTTGTACCGCACAGCGGCCATGGACGGGGACGTGTGTGACGGCGTCGGTGTATGGCGAGGCGTTGGACGCGGTTGCTGAGCGCAGCTTTACTCTGCGTCGACGAATACTCTACATGTACGTTGTATGTACGTCACATTACCACGACCGTTACTGTCACCGGCAGGGATGGCCGATCGGAGAGTCATTGACGAGAGTTGCATGAACGCAACCCTGTCTGTGGTGGCGGAATCCGATGCTGAGTTTCTTCTGATGTTTGCTGCTCCCCCTTACACACGGTCTCCATGTACTCTGTAAGATCGACGACAATCGAGACCTTGATCGAAGCAGGTGTGGTTACACTCATCACAGTTCCAAACAGGATATTCTACGGAGTACAACGGGTGCTTTGGTCAAGTGTCCCAAGGTGGAGGAGAAGTCAGTTGATGAGCGTCGCTCAAGGTACAACATTGAACAGTCAAGCCATGCTTCCAGCCCAGGCCCGCCTGTGGGCATTGTCCAGTCTTTGAACACACGAGCTTTTCGCGGGATACTGTCTAGCGACGTTCCTGGACAGCAACGCTCCCGAGGCCGAGAACTCGACGACAGCAAGACACGTATGGGTGACAGAAACACGGACAGATTCTTCGTCTGGTTAGCACGATCCGGTCATGGGGATACAGGATCCGTGAACTATGTCGGTCCTTGACGGCTTGCGGGAACCGGTCTCGTCGTCTCCTCTCTTTCGCAGGGCTTTGGTCACGCAGACGCGAGTGGGAGGCGGCACGAAAAGCTCGCTCGCTCGCCTCCTCAAACACGTATACATGCTGCACGGGGGCTTGGCTCTACTTGTTGCTCGCGGCTGCGTAATACTCATAATACCCACCCCCTCTGGCAATGAAGTTGCTGCTCTTCGCCTCCGCGGCGTTGGCTCTCGTCCAGCGCCAGGCCGATGTCCTCTCGGGCCTCGGCGGATGTTGCTGACGTTGCACAGACGCAAATCAACAGCTTCCGAGGCGTCGCCCAGGCCGACGTCTTGATTGCCGCCTCCGAGGGCGTCACCACCGCCACCAAGAAACGCCCGCCGACGCCAATGCCTCTCCCCCGTTGACGCAGAATGACGCCTTCGCCCTCGAGGATGTTGCTGGCCAAGCTCTAATCCCACCCTGAAGACTATTGCCGAAAGGCGTCAAGTGTGCCCCCTTCTCGACCACTTCCGCTACTCAGTCCTCCACTGCTTCTCTTCCCAGCTCTCCTGTCGCAGTTGCCGGCGCTCCTCATGGGGAGATGCCCTCGGCCGCAGCCATTGCTGCCATCGTGGGCTACGTGGCAACGGGCGCTGCTCCTTGACCGATGCAAACCTCGACGTGATGATGAGTTGAGATGCCATGTGGCGGGAAAGAGTGGTTCGCAGACACGGCTCATCTGGTCTTTACTCCACATCTATACATGTTTATCTGGCCACTTTGAGCCGTTTCTATGATTGCAGTTTCATGTTTCCTCCTCTGAAGCCGTGGCACGACGATACGCGCGGCTTGTTGCAAGTGAATACCGTTGCAGCGGTTTCTTGCACAATCGCGCCTGTTGTTTGCGAGCCACCACCATGTTCCACTTGGCACCATCGATACGTCAACAGAGACGTCGAGCAGACGACCGCCAAGACGTCTTTCCCGCACTATCCGCTGTCTCCCAGCGTGTCCTCGAAGAGAAAGGTCTCCACGTGGTAGGGCACTCGTCTTGACGAGACGGGCCTGTTCCATGATTTGCCGCGGCGGCTGTGCCTTGCCCAGCTCCTGACTCCCCGAATCTGCCGCCGTCGGCCCTCTCCCAGCCCAAACGCTTGAACGTAGCATCTCGGGGGCAGTAGGAGCCGACTGGTCTTTTTTGGGACGCAGCCATGGAGCCCGTGGCCGACGGGGCAGGGCGGGAAGGGCCTGCTCCCCCAGATTTTTCCCAAACAGCCTTCGGCCGAGCGGTTGCATTGTCCGGAGCTCAGGCCCGTTTTTGGCCTCGGGAGCGCAAAAGCAAGATTGCTGATTCATGTACTATTCAAATTCACGCAGCCTACAAACGAACTAGACGGCGGGGTACATGGCAAAAGCCCTCGCAACGAGGTGGAACTCCAAGGGGTCCTTGTTTCGACGCCATCACGTATACTACGCCTTTCACTGCATGGCCAAGTTGCGCTTCGTGCCGGTGCGTCCTGATCCGATCATGGCCACGTCTCCTCGGCTGGGTCGTTGCCGCCACGTATCTACAGATCCCCCCGGCCAAGGTCAAGTAGGTCCCTTGTTCTTCTGCGTCGCGGCCGCCGTGCCGATTCCATTCCCAGTTGCCGTGTCTGCACGTCAAAGGCCGCCTCCTGGGCCGGCAACATGTATCGTTGCTGTTGCTGCCGACTCGGCAATTCCTTTGCGGTCCCTCGCCCCGGAATCTGTCACGGCTCCTGTGACTCCTGACTCCTGTCGCTGCGCATTCCTCCATGTTTCCATCGGGACGCATCTCCTTCTTTCCCCTGACCACGACACCAGACGGGCCGTCGTAGCATGCGGCTTATCAGGGGCTATATGGGCAGGCAAGCCCTCGACGCCAGGCTCCCGTCAACCTTTTGCTCGACCACACATGTCCGTGAGTGGCCAGAATGACCACCGTCACGCCCCGAGAGGAAGTTGCCAAGACGGCGGATGTATGTGAAACTATGGGGTAATAAATGTGGTGTAACCACGCTTGTGCGAAGAATCTGCGGGCCGAGCGCGCGCGGCTTGGTTCTCACGAATGCGAACGAGCCTACGTCGTCAAGACTGAGGCCATCCCTATCGTCTTCGCCGAGGCTTCACGAGCAAAGCATGCCCTCGTCCTGCACGATGGTGCCAGATGTCGTCTTGTCAGGGCTGCCTGCGATGTGCCAACGTTTCCTCAAGACACCCAGGGACTGCGAGGTATATAATGCCGTCGTCAGCCCGCTCTTCTCTCTGGTTTTCCAGTCCATCATCTTCATCCCCGCGTCAAACACTGGTCGAACGTTCCCAAACCTACATCCTCTTCGCCTTCTGCCAGTATTCTTCCCGGCCATCTTTGCCAAGGTTCCCAGCAAAGAACCAGCTTCACCATGCCTTCCGTCAAGAACCTTCTCTTCCTTGCCGTCGCCGCCACCGGCTCCGTCATCAAGCGTGACGCTGCCCAGATCACCAATGGCCTCCGGCTCATCAACAAGGACATCTTGACCCTCAAGGTCGCCGTCAACAGCTACAGCGGCGGTGTTTCCGGCGCGATCCCCATCCTGGGCGCCCAGCAGACGCTCACCGGCGACGTGAAGTCGACCACGGATGAGGTCAACAACACACCTAGCGTCAGCGAGGCCGAGAGCGACGCCATCTTCACCTACATCAAGGATCAGCTTGCGGTCAGCTTGCAGTCTTTCATCAAGGCCTTGGAGTCCAAAAAGAGCATCTTCGACCACGACCACCTGACAAGCGCTGTCGTGGCGGCCGTGAAGAGCTCCCAGGAATCCACTGAGCATCTTAGCAACGCTCTGATGGCCAAGGCTCCCGGCAGCTTTGCGGCCCGGGCCAAGGCTCTGAAGGACGAGATTGACCATCAGTTCGAGGATGCTATTGCTTACTTTTCCTGAGCATGTCTTGCAGGCGCTTTCGAGAGGCTGGATCGCTGGTTGAACCGTCTGAGGAGCGCGGGATACGAGTCCGATGTTGTGTCCCAGCGACCAAGGGAACAAAGGGTACCATGTATCTGAGTCAGTTGAGCCGATGTAGCTTTGAGAATTGCACACATGTCCAGACAGCAGAATTCGAAACAGCCATTATCACCTAGCTTCTTCCCGACTGCCCGCGATTTTTGCCGTGGGACGTCGGCGACCGAGGTGAACCGGCACGGCCGTAGTCGTGAGTTGACTTGCCGGCCGTCTTCTCCATGTAATCATTGTGTTCTTCGCGTCTACCTTTTATCCAGCCCGTTGTTCTCGTGCATGCCTCGGACCCGTGATGAAGAGGCCAACCACGCAACCACCGGCGGGAATGTGGTCACGGCCTGCCTTGGGCAGACGAGGAGCCGGCCGGCAGGGTAGCGTAGCCAGCAATCCCGAGCATTTCGACCGCCCCCGCGGCCATCGCTTCCAGTCAGTCAGGTAGGGCCCACGCGTTCCAAGTGCCTCCACGGCCTGGCCTGGCACTCATCTGACGCCTCCAAGTGATTGCGGCAGAATCCGTCCAAAGGATCTGGCTGCATAATCGTGTAGCCACCGGCACAGGCACAGCCGACGACTGCACCCGCTTCCAGAATATCCCACAGCCGACGCTGAAACAAACACGATGGATGGTTGTGTTGTGGGCAGAGGCCACTTTTCGTGTCAATGGCGGGACCGAGGAGCGCGCCGGGACCTGCCCCGATGTTATCCCGCGCGACGACGACAACGATAAGCTGCTTGCTCTTGTATCATGCTCCTTGGCGGTTGGGCCTGGCAAGGCGGGTTCCCCAGAGGACCCATGCCCATGCTCAACCGAGTGGGTGTGCCGTGGCCTGTACGGAGTATCAAGAGGCTTTTTTACGCAACGTGCCCTGAACGTCGGGCTGTTGCGTTCTGCCGTCCTGCATACGATCCAGACCAGCCGCCGGTTCCGGAGTCTCATCGGGCAACTTGTGCCGCCGGGGCCCTCGCCCTTGTCTCCTTGGGCCATCTCTTCCGGAGCACCTGGCGGGAATGTGTGTGGTTCGCGGGCCCAAAACAGCTCTGTGTATCGCTTCACCTCGCCCGCCAGCACAGACGGTGAGTGCTTGCTCCGGACTGAAGGCCCTCGGAAGATGATGGACGTGCTGCCGAGCGCGAGACGACGACGCGAGCATTCACGATAGGCCGCGGCACGGCAAGAGAGCGAGGCCCCTGACGCGTTGGCCAACAGGACAAACACCCGCTCGGGTGCCTGTAGGTCAGGATGCCACGTATCACTGTACACATCAAATCGAAAAGCCTTGGATCGTCGTACAACAGATGCCAGTCACGATTGGGCAAAACTTGAAGGGTGTCGGTGGAGGGCATAAGCAGAAGTACGCAAAGGGCCCACACGTGAGACTTCGTAGCCAGGTTACCAGGTAGTAGATGATAATGACTGCATTGATCTCTGCACCTCCTACTCCCGCGGCGGATGTGTTCTCTCTCACATACGCAGGCCCGCTCGACACAATGCGCAGTAGCCCACGTCGTTTGTTCATGGCAAGCCAAACCAGACACTTCATGTTGTCAGGCAACTGATAAGCTAGAATTGTCCGAACAGCTTCACCAAGGCCACCGGACCTTGTTCCGAGCCTGCCTCCCGCCCGCCCAAGGTAATCAAAACACCCAGACGAAGTGTCACACAGCACCACGGAAATCCGACGCGCCTCCATTGTGCGCTGCAGAGCTGTCAAACAAAAACGTCGTCACGATGCCGACATCGGAGCATGGCCGCGAGCAGGCACAAGTGCCCTCCTGGACTCCGCGTGCCACCGCGAGACTCGGTCAGACGGTTGAGATGTCTCTGTTCCCACTCACCCTGCTGAGCCTCGATATACTCGGCTGTCAGGCACGAATGCCTCATGGCAACCGCGGTGCTCGCATAGGTCGCTTTGCGGCATCTCGCCCAGACAAGCAACCGGCAGCAGGGGAGGGGTGGCCGTATCAACAAGTAGAAGTGGCGCTCAGCAAGTCACACGAGATATGGATTCGCGGTGAAGAGAACTCACCGCGAGTGAGTGCCCAACTGGCTTGCCTCCCGAGCTGTTCCAAACAGGCTCCAATATCCAGGGGCTTTGCAAGGCTAGATGAGGCGTCAGATGAGCCGACAGGCATGGCAACCCGGTCGTCAGGGCGCCGTGCTGTTCGAAGACTTCGGCCTCCCGCACGTTGACCGTTTAGAAGTCTCCATGCATCAATGGACCGACCTCCCCGTCACAGGTCGAGTGGGAGTTGCTCAACCAGGCTGCTTCCGGGAGGAAAAACACCTGTCGTGAGTTGTGACCACTTACATGCTACAGCGCGCAGATATCAATGTCTACTGCGCAGAAATGGATCCTTTGAGGAGCGGCGACGCACAGCCATTCACATCCGGCGAAAGGACCGAGGCCTCTGCCCAGTTGTCGTTGGCGACGAAACAGACCGGCTCGGTGCCGTAGGCCCGTAGTGGCCTGATAGGATGAGCGTCGAGCACGAGGGTCGCTCTGGCAACGCGGCCTCTGGCGTGGTCCTTATGTCAGTACGAAATATGCCACGTCTGTACGGAGTGGCATGCCGGGAAGAAAAGACACGTCAACTGCCGGCATTGAGTCGTTATTTGCCGTGTTGTGAGCCGCATCCGCTGCGCAGCGTCGCTTTGCGCCTTGCATTCCAATGTTTGATAGAACGGACGCCACGGATGGTTTACTCCTCCATAGGACTCTGCTCTGAAAGGAAAAGAAGAAGAGGGCAGACAAAGTCGCTCCAGCTGAGGTGTCCATTTCACCGCGTCGGAAAGGACTTTCCCCCGAGGCCTTCTGTTGAAGCCGCCGGTAGTGTGTCCTTGTCGTTCTGGTCTCTGTTTTCATACAGTGAATGCCTCTTTCGCAATCGTAAAAGTGAATATTTACATCGTTCTATGAAGTTTATGCGTGAACAAAGCACAGCAAGCTTGTGTGTGACGAACTGTGCCATGTCATCCAAGGACAAATTCCAGTGAAGCTGCGAAGTGCAAGTCCACACAAAGTCAGAATAAGCTGCGACAATGATAATAATGTAAATGCAGGCAACGCGTATACACCAACATTGCCGTCCGGTATGGTGTAGTGGCTAACATCGTTCGCTCTCATCGCCGAATCCCGAGCAGCCCAGGGTTCGATTCCCTGTACCGGAGAAATCTTTTTGCCAATGTTGCCTCTCGTCCCACACCAAACTATGTGCGTTCCGTCACCGAGTGAGAGTATACAGGCTTTCTTTTTGTCCTCTGTAATTACCCGGATGGCTCAAGGGACCCAGCGTCTTCATTGCATTCCCGCCTTCCTCACCCAATCAGCACGACTTTAAAAAAAAAAAAGAGGGAACAACGTCATCGTCATGATCATCGTTGTTGTTGTAACTTGTTATTTTGATTGTAGAGCTTCAAAAATCCTGAACCCCCGTCTCGCCCGCATCCCCAACCCAGCTCGGCTCCTCATCGTCAAACCAACGGTCCTGCTCATCCCTCCGCAATACCACATCAAACTCCTCGTTGCCATCTACCTTGCCATAGTCAAAGTCGTCATCCCCACCACGTATGAACCGCTCCCGTAGAAATTCTCTCCACAGCTCGGAGCCCTGCTCCTTGGTGCTCGCCTCCCCCTCCCAAGGGTTGTCTATAGATGCAGCGTGCCACCTTTGCTCGGCTGGCGTCAGATCCTCCCGCTGCTCGCCGGCTGCCTCTGTCGCGAGCGCGGAGAGGCGGGTCTCTCCGCGGGCGAGGTCTGCCTCGAGCACGCGCCCGTAGCCTTTAGCCAGGCCCTCTTGCTGGCGCTCCGAGGACGTCTGGTGCCGCTTGACGAGGCGTTCGTACAGAACCGGGTCTGCGGCTCTGGCGTATTAGCCGCGGCCCCGGTTGTCTGCCTGGACAATGGGCGGTGAGGTGGGTTCAGTTTTACGTGCCTGCGAGCTCGTGGTCCAGGGCGGTAAAGTAGCCTGGGTTGCGGTCCAGATACTCGCGTCGTCGGTTCTGCGCCTGGATCTGAGCCGTCTTGGCTGGCGATTTGTCCGGACGGGGGACCTGCTTGTCGTACAGTTGATCCGCACCGCGCGGGTGGCTCATGGTGGCCAAGACGGACTTTTTAGCACTGGATGAGTCAAGACCAGCCTTGGCCGGCCATTTTTCAACGACTTTGCTCTGGGCGCGTATGGATATGATGGCGAACGAGACGATCCGGGTGAAGTGGTGAAATTTTGGAGAGAGGGGAGGTATAGGTTAGTTGGCTGGTGGGGCAACGTCGAAGCCTTCTTTCCCCACCCCCCCCTTTCACCCCCCTTCCAACCACTCTCGAAGTCTCAGAGCAAAACGCGCAGAAAGCCAGGCAACATTTCAAAGACGTGCTCTAAACATGTCGAAAATCTATTTACTGTTCTTTCTAAAGGCATCACCATGGCACAAGTTACGGAGCTCAGTCCAGCAATCGGCCCATGCCGAGCCCGTCAAAAACCGGAAGCAACATGGCCTCGATACGCGGGTGACTGTGCATCATCTTGTTGAACTCGTCCAAGAAGGCAATGTTGTTCCAGTCCCAGTTGATGGTGTGGCGAGGCACCGTCTTCGTGGCAGGATTGTCGTCCGACTCGTCTGCGACCAGGCCGCAACGGAGGGCATTGTCGCCAATGATCAAACCGCCCGGACGCAGCAACCTCTTTATCTGCCCCGGCTGAGATCGGTCGAGGATGGTCCTGAGATACGCCGGGTAGCCCGACTTCTGAGCATCGATGAAGATGATGTCATACGGCTCCGAGGGCTCCAGTCTGGCCAGACTGCAACTCGTTGCGTCAGCGGAAAGAAATGCCGGTGCCGCTCCGGCGCCCAAGCGAGGACCGGCCTCCGACTTACGTGTGCAAGGCGTCACACGTGACAACCTCGGTGTTGTTCCAGCCAAATCTGCTGAGCTGGTCCCTGGCCATCTGCGCAAATTCGGGGGACTTCTCGAGCCCGGTGACGCTGCCGTCTTTACCTACGGCGTGGGCCCACGTCGCGACGGAGAAGCCTACAAATGTGCCAATCTCCAGGACTTGAAGGCGAGCACCGGCACCAGTCAGCGGATTGGCATACAGGCAAGGGGAAAGAAAAAAAAAAGACACACGCGGGGACCACCCCCTCTGGACTCGTACCCCTCTTGGCATTGACCATTCGTGCCATCCACGACAACAGCCTCGCCTCGAGCAGGGAAATGGTGAAGTTGGCGTTCTCCTGACTGCGCAACACCCACTCATGGTACTTGACGAGAGCCTCGGGCAGCGGGACCGAGTGCTGGTCCGAGTACTCGCTGACCTTTCGGCCAACTATGTCGTTGGGATACAGCGTTGTGCAGTTCTCTCTCATGGCTGTGATCGGGGACTCTTCACGTCCAACTACTCGTCTAGAATGTTGCCAAGTGGCAGACGGCGGCAATGGCGATTGTTGAGCAGTTTAAGTACTTTGCGTCGTTGTGGCGGCATTATGCCGTGCGACCCACATCACGTTGTTGTATTTCAAGATGGGCAAAGCGAACAAGTGCAGAGGAGGAGTCTCCATACCAGAGGGAAGGGGGGTGGGTGCTCGGCCGGGTGCTCTGGGGGTTAGCAGATCTGAGGGTAACTGAGGACTCGGCTTTTTAAACACTTTCAACTGGCTAGGAGAAATCAAGCCGTGGACTGGCTGACTTTGATAAGACATGTAGCAATCTATAACTTCTGTCCATGTGCTATAAGTGAATCCTGCCTACTCAGTACTCAAGTAGATAGTATGAGCCAAACTACACCGCTTCGTCTACGCGGGCACCAGTTTTGTATCCAACTCCATCCCACACAGAGTCGTACCATGTAGAGTCGCATTGCAAGATTAGGTAGATGCAATCGCGCCGCGATACTCCGTATTTAGACGGTACATTGACAATTAACTATTACTACCCCAATTTATAAGCGAGTGGACCTGGGCTTGGAAAAACAATAAAAACTAGGACTACTACACTCGGATTTGCACCTAGACCTTCCCTCGGCACTCGGGTTACCTCTGCACGTAAAACCTCTCAAACCGGCTGGTTCGAGCGAGAGGCTCTCGAGATTTGTAGGGTGTGACGAAAACTGCGTTTGGGTGGAAACTGCGTTACGCTTGCTGCGCAAATAGGTGTCAAGGCCGTCAACTGCCGTCTGTATTTATTCAAGGCATTCCAGTCTTCATGTGACACGAGTTGTCTTGTCTTGGGCAGGGCAGCGTTGGGGAGTACGTACATCGTCGACAAAACTGCCAGCCTGGATCTGGAACCTGGGTCCATGAGCATGCCGTGCCGTTATGGGGGCGACATTCGCGGCCATGTCGTATTCATAGCATCATGTGCTATAGCTGCTGTTAAATCGATGTACAGAAAATGAAGAAAAAAAAAAAGATCTCACAGTTGCTCAACTCACCCGGCAGGCAAACGAATACCGTCGATGTCAACAACCGGCCGCCAACATGAGACATCGCCCCCTGGGCTCATGGCTGCCTGCATCATCCAACAAGGCCACAAACCCTGTGCCGTGCTGTGCAGGGAAACGCACATGGTAGACATGGTGGACGTGTCACTTGCGTCGCTTTGTGCGACGCAAGAGACAACTTGACCGGCAACAGCAGCCGAGGCCAAAGTGCCTCTGAGACCATGATGCGCACAAGTCCAAGACAAGAACCAGGGGTGTCCTGGGCGCGTGAGAAGCTGACCACCCGGCTCTCGTATCATCAACGCCGAGCGGTTCGTTGTTGTCCGCCACGACCGACAGCTGCATGCCGCATCCCTGCCAACCAAGACTGCGCGTGATAGGGGAGTACAAGAGGAGTTGAAAAAAGCTGCAACGGCCAGCAACCCAAGAGACGGCTGTAGATTGACGCAAGAGGCACTGGGCGATGGCATGAATGAGCATCATCGGACCACCCAAATCGAAACAGTTCCGTTGCCGCCTCGAGATGGCTTTTGTGTCATGCCAATCACTTGAGTGAGCTCAGCCATCGGGTGCAAGTTGGGCAGCTTTCTCCCGCGCGGCCACCCTTCCAAGTTCCTTGTGCCTCTGGATTATTCTTTCTCCAAAGTTTGCTCCCACGCGCCAAGGACCAAAACATCCGAGCTTCCTCCAGCTTCGTTCACAGGCACCAAGAACCATGATATGATTGAGCGGAGAGGCCGAGCGTGACACCGAGTCTTGTTCCCGTTTGTCCCCTGACATCTCCCCTGCGGTGTGTTGTCGTGTCCAGCCATCTACCCGGTACGATTGTTCGGTCGTTGGCAGATACGGCTTCGCCGATGGCGTCCGACATTGCTTCTCGCATCAAGGCGCGGCTGTCGAGACGGCGACGTTCGACCGGTCTCGCAGAGACGTCCGTGTCGTCTGGTGGGGCATCATTTGCCTCCCAAACCGGCGATGAACAAGCGGGACCAGCTGGGCATGGCGCTGTGGCCAGCAATGAAAACAGTCATGCGGATGGAAAACGACGGCATCGCGACGAGGGCCACGCGGGTGACGGACGACGACGACGGGTTGGCAACCAGGGCGGCGACAGTCGACAAGCCGACACCAATGGCCTCGACGGTGGACAAGGCCATGAAGATCGATCGCTCCAGCGCTTCCAAGCGAGCGACGGCGGCGCTGGCACCAAGTTTCCAGCAAAGGAACCGCTGGAGCAGCCCGCATGTGGCCGCCCCAGCACTGAGGGAAGCTCGCTGCCGCAGCAATCACAGGGCCATCCGCTGCCACATCCTCCGAAGCCGCCCCCTCAAGGCTCTCAGGTCCCCCAGAACAACCCCACGGGCTCCGTCGCCAAGGACCCGCCTGCCCTCGACCACGATCCATCTCGGCCTCATCCTGATCCTTCGCCACAGCCAAACCCAGCTACGGCGGCTCATTTGCCGTCCCCGTCGCAGTCAACCCTATCGCCGCCCTCTTTCCCCCCTCGAGCTTCTAACGGCTCGACTTTAGCCTCGGGTGACCGCAAGTCGCCGCAGGGTGGTGATGCTGGGCGAACCCGTGGCCGCAAACACAACCTGCGACTTGTCGACATTGGCTCATCGGGCTCACCGGCGAGGGCGCCTCCCGCACATGTTGGTGACGACGTCCAAGTTGATCCTTTCCAGCCCCCGCAACATGGCTGTGAGCCCGACCAACTGAGCTTTGCGTCCTTTCCTGCAGTTGCATCGGCAGCTGTCTCCTCCTCCGCCGCCAGTCCGGCACCTTTCGCCCCGGCTGAATCGCGAACCTCCCGTCGACAGAACCTCTTCCCCGGCCGGCAAACAAGCAAAGCTACGTCCCTTCTCGGATCTAGCCAACCGCACGGTTCCGCAGATTTCGGACACAGGCGCTCTATAGATACCGACATGTTGACCAGGAAGATCTGGGTCAAGCGGCCACATGCCTCTGCCACGACCATCACCGTTAAGGAGGACGACCTGGTCGATGATGTTCGGGATGTGATTTTGCGAAAATATGCCAATTCACTAGGTCGCACTTTTGACTCTCCGGACCTCATTATCCGTGTACATCCTCGAGACCCGGTAAAGGAAAGAGCCCTTGGCCCGGAGGAAGTCATGGCTCGAATCTTGGACACATATTATCCTGGCGGCCAGACTATTGACGAGGCTCTCATCATCGATGTTTCCCGACGAACCCCAAAGGCCTCTCCTCGCGTGCCGATCCCCCCATGCGCTGCCACAACATACTACCTGACAGAGGACGGCCGACCCTCAGAAACCGGCGAGGGTTACTTTCCGCCCGTCGTGGCCGTACCGTCGCCGCATACTTCACATGCTGTTCCCGTCACAGCGCCCAACGGTACAGTTCCACATTCCATCGCAGTCCTTGGAACCGGCCATATCCCTCCCATTCCATCTCCGGGTGCCACCAGCAGGTCTCGTCTCCATCGAGAACGCCTCGACCGACCCAGACTGAATCGAACCCACACATCTTCACCAACGTTAATGGCCGGTCATGCCCCGGGTCCTCAAGCTGCCAGTACAGGCAGCCACTCTATGCAAAATTTTGCCCCGCGGTTGCCCCATTCCAGGACTCATTCAGGCTCGCCAGACCATTCATCCGCACTCACGACAGTAAAAACTCCAATGGCTAAATCGCCTGGCACGGAAGCAGCAGCTCCCCCCAGAACTGCTACCCCCCCTCCGCGATCCTCGTCCCCGAGAGCACCCAGTCTTCAGTGGAGGAGAAACAAAAACTCGGAATATCCCGCCAAGACCGGCAATATCTCAAACGGCACTGTCCCTCCAATCAATGTACTCATCGTCGAAGACAACCCCATCAACATGAGACTTTTGGAAGCCTTTGTCAAGAAGTCAAAGGTACGATGCCAGACGGCTATGAATGGGCAAGAAGCGGTCAAAAAATGGAGGGGTGGCGGGTTCCATCTTGTGTTGATGGACATTCAACTGCCGGTGATGAATGGGCTGGACGCAACCAGGGAGATCCGAAGACTCGAAAGGGTCAATGCTATTGGTGTCTTTACATCGACGCCTGACAGTGCTACCGGGAATTCGGAGGATGGTATCAAGGAACAGGATCGGCTGCAGAATCCCTCTCTCTTCAAAAGTCCCGTCATCATTGTGGCATTGACTGCCAGTTCCCTGCAAAGTGACAGGCACGAAGCATTGGCCGCAGGCTGCAATGACTTTTTGACCAAGGTGAGTCCTATCGGAACACGTGCCTGTTGTCCCGAATCTAGTACTAAGCTGCGCATAGCCGGTCAACTTTGGGTGGTTTGAGCGCAAAGTGAGGGAATGGGGCTGTATGCAGGCACTTATCGACTTTGACGGCTGGCGCAAGTGGAAGGAGGCGTACTCGCAGCAAAATGCAGAGAGCGAGGCAGCCGAGAAAGCTCTGGCAGCAGCCAAAATCAAGCCAAAGAAGAGCCGAACATCTCTCTCCGGGGCTTCTTGAGCGCACTGCTGCACGTCAGCATGGATGAAATTACGGTGCTTGTTTTTAACGCCAGTTTTGTTACCACAGCCAAGGGCACTGATGAACGGGATGGGTAACTAGGATATGACATTTCCATGATGGATCATTGTTGATTGGAAGAAGCAGGAACCTCTTCCGGAACAGCATAGTTAGTTGTGAGTGCAATTCGATGTGCCGTCATCGGAATTTTGTTGGTTGGTTGGGCATACATTGGCGGCTCCTGTGCATGGAAAGGCTGATGAATTTAATTGCCATTACATTTCCGAGTTTGAATACGATTTGTCTACGGAGTATGTTGATAGCATTTGAAAAGACTTCGAAGGAGGCCGTTGCCCACCACACGCCACGGCTGTGCCGGGGTCAATCATGGGCCGGCGCCGGAAAAACATTGAACCGTCCACGTCAATAAAAAATTACACCAACAAAGCTTGGCTCCAACCTCCCGATGCAAATTCACATCATGCGACAAGCTAGCCGCCAGCCCGATTGAATTGGATGCGGCTGGCCAGTGCCAATCTACCAGGCTGAGAAGGCAGTTCATCACGAAGATGCCCCCGAGAATAAATGGCACCTCCGCCTTGCTGGCAGCCGACGTGGCGTTGCCCCTGCAAGCCAGATCAGCAGGGCCATTTGCGCGCACATTCTCGTCGACACAGCACCGCGACAAGATGAGCCGGGCTCGCCAACAAATGTACCAATGGCTAAAATCAAGAGACGGCCAAGAGCTGGCACAGGGAGGCAGGGGACCGCGGTACCTAGGGCCGTTACTAGACCAACCTTTTCCGCAGAACCCGCTGTTCCGCAGCCAGCCGGTTCTGGATGAGCAGACGAGGGAGCTGATATGGGAGAAAATCACCCAGCGAGGAGAGTCTATCAAGGCTGTTTCGGCCGAGATGGGCGTGGACGTGAGACGGGTGGCGGCCGTGGTGAGGCTCGTCGAGGTGGAGAGGCAATGGGTGAAAGACGTGAGTAATGACGACCCGACCGACTCCCTTTCTTTGCTCAACAGTGCTCCACACCGATTCTGGGAAGGGGAAAGAAAAAGCACACATGACATGATGAGACAACCATACAAATTTTCGATTAGTCTTGAAGACACCACCTGTGGTTAGACGTTTAGTTTTGCCTGAACATGATGACGAAATCACGCCTTGCGCTGAAGAACCACTGTTTGGGAGCGACGACTGATGCGGGTAGCAGGGCAAAAAGCTGGCCAGGCCATACGCAAAGGCAGTCATGAGCATGCTGCCCAAGACGTCATATCGCGAGGGGCAGAAGAACGAACCCCACGAGCCGGTCAACGAGGTCCACGTGCACAAGTTGACCATGCAGCAGCTGTTCGTGCCCGTGTCCGAGTCGAGGAAATTCACGCGACAGGACGCCGCCAAGGCATTCCACGAGACGATGCTCTCGGCGGACGCGCGGTCGCCGCAGCCGCAGCTCATCAGGATGGAGCGCGACATCCTCAAGGGCATGAGCAGGGAAGACAGCAGGAAGAAGTTCGAGGCTGCCGTGCTGGAGGAAGAGGATAACGTGGCCAGGAGGCTGGCACAAGAACAGGCCAAAGAGGAGCAGATGACTCGGCGCGTCAAGACGGACCGGTACGAGTTCCGCTTCAGGGAGATTGCCGTGGACGACGTCGGCCGCGACGGACGATCACGGAAGGGCACGGGATGGAGGTACGGCGCGCCGTTTGACGACCGCAAGCGCGGCGTCGTCAAGATCCCCACGTCGGTTCCTTGAGGGGGGACATGCGTACCAAGGTGGCGTGGTATCTTTGCGCAATGTGGTTCACAGCGATGGGTGGCATGGCCAAGCCGTGGGCTTGTTGTATAATACTATGTACAGTGCTGCGCCGCAGCAGACCCGGATACGTACCAAACAAGAACAATCTGGTACCGCAGGGCTCATCTAATGGTCTGAATGCGTGTGTGGCGTGGCAAGACGCGCAGGTAGTTATGTGCGTATGCACGCACGGCTGGCGTTCACAAGGCCGCGCGCGAGGCGTCCAGGCCGTTGGGCGGCTCGGCCACGACAACAAAGTTGCGTCGCAGGCGGTCGATGTCGTCGGGCGCCAGTCCGCACTCGTTGAGGACGTATTCCTCCACGGAGCCGTACTCCTTCCTCATGGCCTCGAGCGTGGCAAGCATGCTCTCGGGCCTGCCAGCAGTCAGCCGTCAACAAGAGCTCCCCTGCCTGGCCCCCGGCGACGGGCGACACGCAGCCCAAGACGAGAGAAACAAAAGCTCACCTGGAACTCAGCATCCTCGACGCACCGGCCTCGTCGACGGTGACGCCGTCGGCACTCATCAGGCGCTGCATGATGCCCTTCTTGAGCGGCGCCAGCCCCTGGTCGGTCAGGGCGTACTCGCAGGCAATGGTGTCGTCGTCGACGCCGCAGAGCGACAGGACGATGGCGCAGACGAGGCCGGTCCTGTCCTTGCCCGCGGTGCAGTGGACCAGGCACGGCGTGGGGTGGTCCTGCGCGAGGTGCCGCAGGATCGGGGCGAAGGCGCGCCGCCCGCCGGCGCTCAGGATGCCCCGGTAGGCGGAGACGAAGCCGGCGGTGGTGTCGACGGCGGCGTAGGCCTGGTACCGCAGGGCGATGGCCTCGGGCGTGTAGTCGACGAGCTGGAAGACGGGGACGTGGACGCGCACCGGGGCCGGCGGCGCGTGCGAGCAGGCGTCGGCGGCGGAGGGCCCGCCCGCGCGCGAGACCTCGACGTCGGAGCGGAGGTCGAAGACGTGCGTGACGCCGAGGCTTTGCAGGGCTTCGATGGCGCCCGCGGTCGGGGCCGCCGAGCGGTAGAGGAGGCCGGGCCGCGTCGTTCTCGAGGCGGACGGCGGCGCAGACGACGTCGCCCGGATGGGCAGGTTGCCGATGTCGCGGAGGTTGGGGAGCACGGCTTGGTGTTCTGCGAGGCCCATCATGGCGTGTGGTTGCGAATCTGATGGGCCGTGGGTGTTTTGCGCAAGCTGCGGGTGCGGGAGGCCCGTTTGTGTATGTGCACGTGTGTGTATCGCCCCTTGTTTCTTTCCGAGTCGAGGCCGATGCTGGTGTTGGCCCAAGGTTGGGTTGGGTAGCTTCTTTTGGGGCCGAGGTTCGGAACCGGGAGGGTCGATGTAGGGTTAGGGTTGGATCGGGACCGGCTTACGGCCTCGGACTTGTGGTTTTGTCAGTGCGGCCGTCCCGCTACTTCACCTCTTTCCCAAATACCAATAGATGCTGGCCACGTATTCATGAATATCTGGTCGACAAGGGTGGCGAGCCCGGTTACAGCATGCGGCATAATCATACCTGCCAGTCTGGGTACTCATACGTGTGCAGTACTCCGTACAATGTCTACATACCGGGAGACGATGCATATTTGCCTACAAAGACGTGTGCGCTACCATACTTGCCGACCGGTAAATACACCGCAGTAGACTGTGCTATATCGCCGTGGTTTTTAGCCAGCGACAATCCAGCGCCCTGCCCTGGTTAAAAGCTCTCCCGCAGCGTAAACCACCACCATGGTTCACTTGCGCTTGATGTCCCCGGTTGCGCCGCGGGAAATCAAGAGACACAATTCTCCTGTGCTCGCCCGCCGCGAATGAGGCAAATATCTGCCGCTCTCTTCGGCTCGTGAGCCTGCGTCTCTGCGAAGCCGGCCTTGCGCATGTTGCACAAGTCATAGTATTCATGATCGCACTTGAATGCCTCGCTTTCTGGCCGAGACCGCCGTCGAAGCCGTCCCTGGGGAACGAGTTGGCGGGCGAGCTCTCCTCGCCACCCACGGCCGGGTAGACGTGATCGAAGGTGCCGCTCATGTTTCGATGCCCGCTCGACTGAAGCACCCCCCGGTTAGCGTTTCTCGATTACACTTTTCTTGTCAGCAGGTAAGCGGCATGGGACTGACGTTGGTACATGGACTGGCGAAGGAGCTCGGGAGTATCACAAAAGCGCTGCAGGCCGAACGGGCCTGCGATGAGCTGCTGCGGATCCGGCCTGTCGGGCAAGACGAGCCATTTCCATCTCACCTTTGGAACGAATTGCCGGTGCGTGTCTTGTTCGGGAGTATCAGCTCGAGATGGTTCACAGCGCCAGCTGGAGATGGTGAGGTGCCGGCCTGGGACATTGCTGCTGTGCCAAGACACACAAGATTGGACTGTTGAGAGCAGTCAAGCTTCTCCCGTTACTGGTGTAGGTTTATCGCTATCTTTAGGCAAGAAGACAACTCTACACGGTGGACAAGTCGCTAGTTTGAAACTTTACCGCACCATACATGTTGTTTGGTGTGTAGAGGCGTGCTCCCGGGAGAAGCGTCCCAGAAATCTTGACTTGGGTGTCCCTCATATGCCTGCACTTCGTTCTTGGACTATTCATTGCATGCAGCAATATGAACTATTTCCGGCATTATTCAGGCCGGTGCCTGTACGTCGTTGGCAGTGCAAGGCTGACTTGTGCAAATGCGAAACCTGGCACATGCGGCGGTGGTGACGGATATGAATGGCAACAGAGCCGGCAGCAAGACGGCGATTCGACGACAGTCTGTGCATTGACGCCGTCGACTCGAAGTACTCGTCGAACCCCAAAGGCACATGAGATGCGGTGGTTAATTTGCACTCGACCTTGACACGTCGTTGATGGCTGTGACGTCGATGCATCCCAGGTGGCAGGCAGGTGGCAGGCGGGTGGCGGGCGGTTGGCAGTTGGCAGTTGGCAGATATATTTTCCCCGCGCGCTTTGTCCAAAACAAATCGCCGCCAGCCAGCCAGTCTCCCCCCCAACGGCATCCTCAACCGCCTCAGCTTCCGGCACCCTCGACGCCAAACAAGCCCTCCCTCCGCATCGGTCAACCCGGCACCATGGCGCCGGAACTCCACTCCGTCATCCCCATCCTGCGCGTCTTCGACGTGCCCAAAGCCGACGAGTTCTACCTCGAATACCTGGGCTTCAAAACCGACTGGGAGCACCGGTACGACGCCAACGCCCCTCTGTACCGACAAATCTCCCACGGCGCCCTCAGGCTACACCTCAGCGAGCACCACGGCGACGGCAGCCCGGGCGCAAAGCTCCGCATCTCCACGTCCAACCTGGCCGAATACCACGCCGCGCTGACAGCCAAGCACTACCGCTACATGCGGCCCGGGCTGGACGACGGGCCGGCCGAGGGATCCAAGGAGATGACCGTCCTCGATCCTTTTGGGAACGCGCTTATCTTTTGCCAGGAGGCCAAGGAGTAGCTCCGTCATCTCCGTGGATGCCCTGGCTGGGGCCTTCGGGGCTTCGTTTGTGACATGTGTGCGTGTGTTTACAAAAATAGCAAGGCAGGACCGTCACACCTCGGAGTACCGTCCACTCTTTGTATTCTATTTTCTCCTCGCCTCTCGAGGTATTTCTCCATGCGTGCGTGGCTTGCGATACCTTGCGGTACCTTGTGCCTTGTGCCTTGTGCCTTGTGCCTTTCGCCTGATGCCTTGTGCCCTGGGTAATCTTCAAGACACCTGGTGGAACTCCGTGCCTCGTGGGCCCAAGATGAAGACGGCGCCGGCTACAACCACACAAGACGAGATCCTTCCGGGCAACATTGTTACAGATGCATACTCCCCAACTCGATCGGCGGGCACGCCACGCGAAAGCCGAACGAGGCAAATCGCGCGCCATCGGTGAACGAACCAAGGCTCGACCTGCCCGCGCTTGCTTGCCTGCAGACTGCTTTTCCGATGGGAAGAAACGTCCACGGTCGGCTTGCGAGGACGAGGCGGCAGCGACAGCGGCAACCAACAATGTGGTTGCCTGTCGCCCGGATCGGGGAATGCCAATTCTCACCTTGGCTCTGCCTACCCGTTACCAACCCCGTGGCTCGTCGGCCTAGTCCCTGACGGGTAGCGCCCTTTTTTTTTTTTTATTCATCAATTTATTCATACGTGACTGGTGCCGCTGCGTGTATGAGTGTGCGTGTGTGTGTGTACCTTGGTTCTGAACAGGCATTCTGCGGGGTGTGGGGATTGGCCAACCGTTTGACTCAATTGCCCATCCTCATCCTGGCACCGGCTGGCTTTATTAGGCTGCAGCTTCGGGTTGGGCAACACTGTACCAAGAGTCCAAGACAAGACAAGATGGTGTCCTCGTACAAGAATGAAGGGAAGAGAAAAACGAGAGAGGAAAAGGGACAACAAGATGCAGCAACAATTTCAAATCAACTCAAACTGTCTAGCAATTCTATCGCCTTGGTCTATTCTATACATGCCTCCTTTTTTCTCCCCTAAATTCGCAGAATGACTGATCCATGACACCATACATGATCCATAGTTCACGTCCCCCGTCTCGTCGTTTCGCATAGTGTACAAGGGTCAACTTATCGCAACAGATGCATCACAACATGGCCGCTTTCGAAAACATGTAGTCAGACCATGATAGTCCTGTAGTTTGTGGCTCGTGTTTAAACCAACATCAATCTTGCTCAAAATGCCACCACTACTATCCTTGAGCGGCATACTGGCAGAAGTGGCATCGCGGCACCTGGCACTGCGGGCAGAAGTAGTCCAGATCGATAGACCACCAGCCATCGTGGCAGCTGCACTGTTCTCCAAGTCAGCCCATCGTCAGAGAGATTGTTAGGAGACGATTGTACCTACACAGCTCCAGATCTCTGCCCGCGTCTTGTTGACGAGCTCGTTCGTCTTGTCCATCATGTTCCCGCACATTGTACTTGTGTCCGTAGATGTGTGCATGAACCAGAGACTCGATCTGGTTGCGGAGGCGCCTGGCTTGGCTTTGCAGAGTCTTGGGCCTGAGGTTGAAGTTGGAAATTGTGAGACGTTTGGAAGATGGTCCAAGAGCCAAGTCGAGACGACTTCAACGCCCATTATATATCCGAGGCATCAAGGAAATGCAAGGCGACAACCGGACACTCCTCTGGCACCGGGTCCCACGCTCAAGCGTCCGGGGACAATTCACGACGCTTCGGCGGCAGCGTGTTTGTCTGGTGAGAAATTGACTGACAGTAGGCTTCATCAAGGCTGCCACGGGCTGCCAGGCCCCGACTGATAAGACGGCCGTGTCATTGCCGAGGAGACCATCGTGCGTCATCATTGGTTCATCGTCGTTGATTCAAGAGGCTAAACAACAAAAATATAACCAGCCTCGTCAACAAGTTTGACTCAGTAGCCCCCAAATAGGCATCTCTGGATGGGGCCAAGTTTGTCTTCGTGAGTTTCATCAGGCACGGGTGGATTCGATTCGAACACGGCCGAGTCTTATCAGCAAGTGCAGACGCCGTGCCACACTCGGCCGGACTCGGTGAAGCAATTTGCGATTCAATTGCCCAAAGAAAACAGCCCGGGTGCTAATACGGCTTCTTGTCCTCCAATCCACCTTCGTCGACTCGTTGGATCGGTTGCCGCCAGCACAAATTGACATGAACAGGCAACTTGTGGGCATAATGTGGGTGGCACTGGGTGCAGTCATCAGTCACGCGGCCGGCATAATCGTGGTACCCCCAGGGTTCAAGACGCCCTTGGCGTGGAAAGCCGGGTTGGATTTGGTCCATCCTCATTGGTAGCGTTGTCCGGTTTCAAAGTTCTGGGGCAGAATGCCGTTAACCAGCCTCGTGTCATCACCGCGAAAAGGCCCAGGGCTTTGCTTTGGTTCCATTGCTTTGCCTCTTGACCAACAGGTGCAGGTCAAATGGCAGGCAGGCTTTGGTCACCACGGCCTTGGCCGCCGCTAGCAAGCCCAGTCTTGTCCTGTCCGGGGGCGGGCCCTTGTTTCCAGCTCAATCGGGGCGTAGACTCGCTCGGCGGCCGTGGGCGCTTGCATTGTTTGTCTTCTTCTTATGCTTCGAACTTTCCATACATGAAGCAATGGACAAACAGGGCTGGCCAGCTCGGGCCGTTTGACGGTGGCCCTTCTGTTCCTGGATCGCGCCAGGCGAGCACCATCGCTAGTCTGGTACTATCGCCAGTACTCTGTATGTGCACATACAGACATCTGTTAGTTAGCCCTCGAGCCTCGTGTGAAGTGGTAATCAGGATTTCCGCGACCCACCATGAGAGCGGCAGTTGGGAGGCACCAGCTTCGCGTCAAGTTTCAGGGCCGCATCATTTTCTGGAAGTCTGGACTCTGGACCCGTCAGGGAGGAAGCAATCGTTGGAACCCGGCGCAGTCCACAGTTGTTCACCCTGGCCCAAGGCCAAAGGGTCCAGAGGTCGGTCGAGACTGTTGGCCGAAGTGTCTGCTTTGCAAAATTGAACGTCATCAGGTCAGGCAGCCATTCGGTTTCGACATGGACGCAGGACAGCCAATTGCAAATGCCACCACCGCTCGCATCATGTGATTTAATCGCGACTGCAAATTGCAATGAGGCCGAGTCGCGCTTGCCGTACCACGCGTGCATGGCCCTTACGTCATAGACGATGAATTGCACAAGCTGGCGCCGGACCACCGAGCGGGTGAAACCTTGATCCTGGGTTTAATTAACGCCTATATGGATGCGACCTCGACGCCCGTCTCGTTCCTGACGGCCTTGCCCCTTCAAACTTCCGTCCTCGTCATCACAAGGTCGTCTGTTGTCCATCATCTGGGTTCATCATGGGCTTCTTCGCCACGTCAATCGGCTACTTTGCCTTTTCCGCCCTGCACCTCGTGTGCTTCGCGCTTGCGCTGGCAGTGTGTGGTTTGTACGGCCAGGACATCAACAATGCCCACCAGAAACAAAAATACAGCGACTCTAAATGGGTGAGCAACTGTCCACGCGTTTGCTGTGCGAAGCCGGCGCGATAATGAAGGGCCTCCATTACAGCCTGTGGCGTGTGTTTGCCTGTCAAATAGACACCGTGACGTACTGCAGTATATTGCGGTGTATCTGCTCTGGTCAAATTTTTTTCGCCTCGCCTTGTGCGACGACGCGTGAGAAGCTAATTTGAGGCCTCAACAATAGGTATATGCCGTCGTCGTCGGTGCATTGTCGGCCGTGACATGCGTCGTGTGGTTTATTCCTGCCCTTCTCCGCCACGCGGGCGTGTTCGGGGCAATTTGGAACTTGTTGCTGTTTATCCTGTGGATTACACTGTTTGGCGTCTTTGGCGCGGTAAGTGACTTCCCAAACGCCACAGTAACCCCCGGCAGAGACTGGTTCAACTTGGGGACTAACAACACAGTCACAGCTCTTCATCCACGAGAAAGCCGAGGGCGACAGCGGGATCCAGCGCATGAAGAACGCCGTGTGGGTAGATCTCACCAGCGCACTTCTCTGGCTGATCTCTGCCATTGCCACAACTATCTACTGGTGGAGGCACCGTGATACCCGATCGATGTTTACTGGACGGGCTCGTGTTTAAGTCATGATGCCGTGCCTGACCCTGACGGTGACGAGGATGATTACAGACGGGCAGCTGCGAGTATTGGTGGCTATTTGTCCTTATTACTCGACCTGGCTAAGTAGGGGTTTGAGCCCTTTATCTAAGGGCCCGTGACATTGAGCGATGATTTGGGATACCCGGCGACGTCAGGAGATGTTGGAAGGTCGTTATTGATACCCGTTGGCAACATCCAGCCTGTGCAACCGGGCTCTGCGTGGAAATGGGTGCCAGAGTTACCGACTCCAGTTTTTGCTTGGGTGTCGCGGTCTCCAGGAGTTGGAGAGATTTGAGTCGGGTTTGTGACTGGAGGGCTGTTCGAGGGCAGAAGGCGGATTGGACAAGGGAATGTTCCGTTTTGCACTAATACCGTATTACCTTTGATACTGTTGGCTTTTTATGATAACTTTCGCCACACTCGTCTGTCATACTTTGCGATTTTGATCACAGCGGTGCAATCAAAAAGCCGTTGCCAAGTGCCCTTGCCGTCAGGACATGAAGGCGGCACAGAAAGGTAAGGGTGCATGCAGGAAGCAGCATCTGCAGATCGACGCCACGGGCGAATCATGGACTCAGTACTCCATAGGGCAAAGTAAAGGGATACGCTATGGTCGCCTACGGGGGCGAAGCGCAGGAAATGTCCTGACGCGCCTCATCTGCAGCGGGCTTTGGTTCATGGCAAAGAAACTGAGTTTAGACGAAAACTGGAGTGCTGGGCTCTCAGGCCCTGAGATCTGCAATCTGAAGGCGGCGTGTGGACGCCATGGTAGTAAGTTAATTGGCGAATGGGGATTGAAGCGGATGGGAATGCCTCGGAGTGATGGACTGCTAGAATCAGGAAGTCGATCGTCTGTTTTGGTGGTACGTAGCAGTTGAAGATTGCTGGTGTTGCTGATCTCGATGATCTCGATGATCTTGTTGGTGTCCGCGCTGGACGGACAGTGTCGGAGTGAGTTCCGGATGTAACTAACAAGCGTTGTGTTTTGACTCCCAGGGGGATCATGGGTCGAGGTCAGGGCGAGAGAGGGGGGAAAGAAAGTTGAGGGACTTGCGTGGTTTGACGGCATTAGGGGCTTAGGCCAAGCTGCGACGACAGGCTCTCCATGCTTACGGGCCGCTCGCCTCTTGGCGATGAAGTCGGCAACATGGACGCCACAGTAAGCGCCAAAGAGGAATACTAGCAAGGGTTGACGCCAACGGCGAGCGGGAGCGTGCAAAAGGCTTGCTCTCACGTGGAATACTGATGGCCACGCTTGCCGTGATGGAATATGCAGAATATGCCACCCGGCTGGACGAAAGAAGATAACGTTATGACGTCCGCCCACGACAGATATGACGGCCAACAACGTGTCGACGCTACCGGCCGTTGATCAGCATGCCCCTTGTTCTGTCGACTCAATGCTGCGGCTCGTGCTGCTTGCTCATCGGAGGTACCTTGGACAGAAGGCTCTCCCAGTACGGAATAACAATTCCGAGTTTTTTTTTTTTTTTTTTTTTTTTTTTTTTTTTTTTTTTAATGCTTTTGCAATGACTGGTGTGGAGTAGGGAGTGCCTGGGGAGTACCCAGTGCCACTGCCCACCGCCCACAGCCCACCGCCAAGCTGAGTGACGTTTGCCGTGTTCCATCATTCATCATCCCTTGGATGCGCTTCCCTTTTGTCAAGTTTGCATTCAACAGTCAACTGTTTCAGTCGACTGGTCTTACTCGTTGCCCCAGACCGAACCCTTGCAGCGACCCTTCAACACGCTTCAAGCCTTCAATTCCCGTCTGTCGGCTCCGTCTCTTGCCAACCTCTCCAACCTCCAAACCCCTATATCTCATCTCGAATCAGGACTTCAATTCGAAATCAGGGCGTTTCCACTTCCATCCTCTGCTTCATTGGCGCTGCCGACCCTTCAATTATCAAGTTCATAGCTTGACCCGATCCAGAGTCTAGACTCTCCACGACGCTCGCTTACGCAGGCACAATCGTGCCCTTCATTAGCACCGCCATTCCGGTCCCAGATGGCAGCCGCTTGACGGCCCTCCGATGCATGCCTGGCCTATTCACAGCTTCATTGAACTATCCGAGGTACACTAGGTCCTTTCAGGGACTTCCTACCTAGGTAATCGCTAAACCATCCCGTTCCTCACCATCTTGCTGCCACTCGGCCACAAACACATGCGCTGAAACAAAATCCAAGGCAAAAGAAGAAGCAAAAAGATTACTGGTCAAGCTGGCAGTGCCTGAAATTGGTACCATGGCCAGCTTCACCAGGTCCTTCAAGCCGCCATCGACCCTCCTCTCGCCCCGTCGACGACCAGGAATGCCCGCCCGCACATTGTCCAACTCGTCCGACCTGTCCTTGACCCCGAGTGCGGGCGTCGCCCATCAGACGGACTACTTTGTCGACCACCCAGTATCATCGGCGCCCAGTTCGCCTTTCCTATCTCCTGCTGTTGGAGCCGTGACAGCAGACCGAGTACAATCTACCAAAGGTATGTAGACATCGCATTGGTTTTCGTCCTCCTCGATTGGACCTGTTTTATATCCCGCCGACGGGGAAAGGAAAAAAAAAGAAGATTGGAAATCTAGCACTCTGAACAAATGTGCCACCAAACAAACACCCCCAGGTAACAGGTCCATCTATCACCCTGACTTCTCCGTGGACTCATTGCTGCTTGGTGCCATTTGCTTGGATGCTCGTTCTGTCAAGGCTATACTGCAGTACGGCACAGGCTTGGCGACTAGACCGTCTTGGAGCAAATTGCGACATGGACATCTCCACATCGCATCAACCACATTTTTCAAGCCATCCAGCGCATCGCGGGGTAACGAAAAGCAGAGCGCCGCTCGTCACTACGCGCCCTCCCTAGCTCCACCCGTCGTGCAAACAGGCCATCCAAGTGGTGCGAATCAGGGCGACGGATGGACCGGAGGGGCACCGTTCGTCATACCCAGGAAAAGAGCTGCCGCTCCCTGGACTTGTCGAAACAATTTGCTTATTCCGTCTAGTTCAGCCCTCATGTTGTTGTTGATGATGGCGGTGGCGCTCCATCACCAATCCATCTTGGTGGCTGTCGATGCCCACATAAATGTCGCTGGGTGCGCGCATGAGCAAGGTCAACTAACGAGACCTCCGTCCAATGTAGGCAGCCCTGACATTTCTTCTGGCTCCTCGCGATCAACCAGCCATCCCATCGCAATTGAACTTCCGAAGCTGAGAAAATTCAATCCTTCCGGCTCTACCGGCACGCCCCCAGAACCTCTTTCTGCTCGTGGTGATCTTCCGGGGTGAGGCCTGCACAATCCTCCCAATGCTTCACGACCGATTCATGAGAAAACTAACCGTGCGAAAAAGGGGATATTTTCCCATGCACGAGGACCCCAAAAGTAGAGTACATCGTCCACATCCATTTTTCCATGATCCTTCACTTTCTCGGCATCAGCGAACCTCGGACTCAATCACTATGCAAGCCGAAAGAGCCAGAAATTCTCACGCATCCACGTCCCCACCCATGGACAACACAAGCGCACCGCTATCATCTTATATTGCTCCAGGCTTCCATGACGCTCCTTTACCAGTGGGTAAATACTACCCGTCAAACTATGAGCAACAACATCCTCATCTCCATTCAGATGGCCTGCAACCTGCACCTTTTACCGATGTGACCTCGTCGTCAAAGCCAGATTCTAATTTGTTGCAACCGAGGCTCGACCCATCTCGAGGCGACAACCCTCAGCTGGAAATGCGTCGAAAGATGCAACAGTACCAACGAGACGTGATTGCACAGGCCACCATGGTACTGGGCGAGTCCGACAAGACCGGGAAGAGCATATCTCTCAATGGGCTGTCTGCTAAGGATATTTGGCGGTCAGGATCAGCCTCGCAGAAACCGCTTTCACCAAGACTTCATCCTCTGGGTAGTCCTGGACCTGTCACACCCATGGAACTTGAGTCAAGTGGCAGCGGCTATGTCGACAGAGGAGTCAAATCACACTCGTCGCTGTCGAATGACAGCCTCGCCGCACCTGGTGCAAGGCACACAGAAAACTTGTCTTGAGGTCTCTAGCGCAGAAACGGAGACGAAAATGTGAAGGTCATCGTTATTCCCATGCCTGAAAGTTTTGCTTGAATCATGGATTTGGAACATTGCTTGTTTGGCAGCATTTTTTTGGCGTCTCTCATTCTTTTATTGGCTTGGCTGCATACCAGTGCTTTCTTCATGGAGATTTGGAAAATGGAATGGCATGTCTAAACATATGTAGATACCCTTATATTTAGACTTGACCCTTTCCTATAACATGGATACTGTTAGTCTTCACTGTATCATGCTTATGTGCATATTTGGTGAATTTCATGTGTCTCTAGTAAGAATTCGATGTAATGACAACCCATGGCAGTGTCAGCTGTCTGTCTTCTGGGCTACGTTCGTTGTAGACGACATCGTAAGACTGACACATTGACCCCCACGACGGATTTGACCAAGATTGGTGATTGCCGGTAGAATGGGCAGGGCGTTGTTCTTCAGTTCTCCAGTCACATTCTAACTTGGATGAGTAAAGTAGGTATTTAGCTGGAATATATATATATGTTTATACATGTATATATAATATGCTCCTGGCTAATTGAAATATGAATGACGATTCTATCCATAATTAGCTTTGGCTCACCTTTCTTCCACCTTATCTCCATCTATCCCCGAGAGACCGGATTGTAGATCGGTTTAGGAGCAGAGTGGAGAAGGAGCTGGAGAGGCGAGTTGAAAGGGCGTCGAGCGGGTTTGCAAAACCCAAATGATGGGAGAAGGATCAATTGTACACTAGCCACGCACGTTTCATCTGTCACGAGAAAAACAGTTCCAAAAAAGGGAAAAAAAAATGAATAAAGGCGTCGACTACTGAACATTTGGAACACCGCAATTTCAACTCAACTGATGACCACACAGCTACTGCGAAGGCGTAGGGTAGTTTAAGAACACACGTGATTTGGCGTCGCGTCAGGCTGCCATGTTCCACTCACTGTACGCGTCTCAAAGCACTTGTTGACGTGGCCACGGAATCATCACCACCAACAGTGACCTCTGGGACGAGATCATTGGCCGACAAGCGTGCTGCTGCCGGCGAGTCATGTCAGTGCTAGAACAATGTCCTACGCTGTGAGGAGGATTGTCGATCCTTCTACGGCGCCAAAGTCATCAGGCGAGTCTCCTCCAACCACAGCCACCGTGGTTGACTACAACTGCCTCTTCACGCATGATTTGCGGAGAAAGCAGAAACGCTGGCAAGATGGCAGGCTCAAATACCACACCTTCAACAAACGAATCATGGTCTACGATGACAGGGGCAACTTCATCGGCGACGCGCACTGGCATGGGGTCGGAGATTTACAAGATGACGAGGAATTGGAACTCGATCGGGGTGCCGCCATAGTCCAGGTTGGCGAGTGTACGGGGTCGCGCGAGCAAGATCTCACCGAGGTACTTGATAAGCGCGTGCGAGAAGTCGAGAAGCGGAGAGCCATGGCGGCCGCTAAGACCTCGGTGCCCAGTAGAGCCGGTACTCAACCTCAAGCTCAGCGGCAGCGGCAGCAGCAGCAGCAGCAGCAGCAGCAGGATCATCAGCTTCATTTTCAGCTTAACCACCGACCGTTGAACTCGATAATTCCTGGCCCGGGGCCTATCGGACGAGCCGTGATTCCCGACCGTTCTCCGTACGACGCCCGTAAAGCGGAAGGGACGGTGACTGGTGCGCCACCCGCAAAGAAGAGAAGGGTCAGTCCTTCGCCTCCTAGTAAGGCGGGATTTGCGCAGAGCTTGTTTGGGGCGAGGTTGGATTTGTGTGGTTCTGGCGGGACGGCGGCCGTGCGATTGCGCGCGTTGAGGGAGAGGATGAATTTGCAGACGAGAGGAGATGGAGGCGAGAAGAGGCCGGGTTTGGACAGTGATGAAGATGTTGTCATTGTGGATGAGAGGCGGTCGAAAGTGGTGTTTAGGAAAGCTAAACATTTCCAGGAACCAACTTTGCGGGAGATCGTGCCGATGGATGATGTAACAAGACACAAGGCGCTTTCTGCAACCACAAAAATCGTCGGTGAGAAGTCGAGTTCAACCGCGACGCTGAGTTCGAGGCAAATGGAGGTTGATATGTCTGGAACGACAACCCAAACAATGCCGGGGAGGTCGAGGTTGAAGCTGACACCGAAAGCGAGACATTTCGATGAGGAGCCGTTGGTGACGAGAGCCTCCGCACGTGCGAAGGAGGATGTTATACTGGTGGAGGAGCGACCAGTCCACACGGAGGGGACTGCGAGCTTGCCTCCCATTATGGAAGATCCCGAATTACGAACCATGACAAAACCGCACGTGCGGGAAGCAGCCTCGACAAGGTCTGTTGTTCGACAAGGTGATAATCCGCGGACGAAGAAACAAACTTTACCTATAGCTGCTGTTAAAGCCCAAGTGGTAGTGAGTGTCACAACGCGGAGCGACACCCGGGAATCTTGCGCCGCCGGCGAGGCTCAACTTATATCCCACAAGGAGCACAAGCAGAGACAAAAGGTCGCGAACAGCGCAGCAACATCCGAGCCACAACGGCCTGTGCCACCTCTAAGACGGCCCGAGCAACGAACTGAATTACGTATCAAGCCTAGACAGAGGCGAGGCCTGTTGGTGATATCAGAACGAAGACAGCAACAGCAAGAACAATCCGCATCTGTCATACCCACTTCAAGCTTGCACTCCGCGCAAACTGCGAATGTGGAAAGTGTTGAACCGTCGAAATTACCAATACTACAAGTTCCGGAGCATGATTCAGAACTAAGCCAAGTGATGGAGGATCTCGACGTAGGGCAAATAATTCAGGCCGCACCAGAGTCCGGCCCTCACCACATTACAGAAGAAGCTAGAAAACTTGATTCCAACATTGACTTTGATACGCCAGCCGTTGAGTCCAAGACAAAGGAATCGCCAAGAAAGAATACCCAGACGATGTCAGATTCTGAGGACACAAGTCTGCAGCGATCACGAAAGAAACGTCAGATATCGCCGAAGCGGTTGACAAACAGCCAAGATAGTGGATCCGAATCTGACAACTTACCACGGAGGCGTACGAGACGACCAGGGAGAAAAGCAGCTGGTAAAGACATCCTAGATTCATCTGTTGACGAAGATGAAGTGAGCGACCCATCACCTCAAAAAACATGGAAAACAAGGACTAGACGTGATTCTGGATCTTCCGCAGCTGGATTTTTCAATGAGGAGGATCCAGCACAAGGGCCAGCCAGACAACAAAGGCGGACTAGGAGCGAACGTGATCCAGTCCCTCATGTTGCGGAGAAGCCCGAGGAACATAACGGACCACGCATCAAGAGAATGGCTCGAAAGAGTGTCAAATGCAAAGAGATTTTTGGCTTTGTACTACCAACGGGTGAAGAGCTTACACCGGCTCCATTCGCAATGGCCACCAGTCGTATTGGAACCGTAGGCAGGCCACCAGCGGTTCCAACTCGGTTGCCAGGCATTTCACTGACGATGAATGCTGAATCTGCGGTTTCAGCACCTCCTCCTGGGTTGGTTGAGAATCAAGATGTTGAAGACGCCAAGGGTTTACCACTGGCGGCAGCGTCAAAGAAACGAATTACGGGGCTGGCGGCGAAGGAAGCCAACTTTGACGACGCGACACACTCAAACACACCGACCGCGGAAGACTCAATTGCAAAGAAGTCGACTGCAAAAGAAGCAACTGTAACACAGCAGAGAAATTCGCACAAGCCCACAATTATCAACCCTGCAACTCGCGGGAGGAAGGCAGCACGAAAAGAAGACGCGGCCGGCCAAGTCCCAAAGACAATCGTCCCCTTCGAGGCGCCAAGGCACGTGCGACCGTCTAGAGCTGAACGGCCGGAGCCCGAGAAGACGGACCAGGCGTTGCCGGGTTTCACGAGTGCGAAGGGCGGTGCATGGAGCAAACACGCTGAAGATTTGCTTGGGATGACTCGGCCGACTGGGAAGAAGGGGTTGTCGATGACGACTTTTGCATAATGGACGTTCATGTCAAGTTGTTGACTTGGGATGTCTTGTGCAGTTGTATACACTTTTTGTTTCTGTAAACCATGACGGCAGAAATAGATATCATGACGAATTCATGGGATACACAATGCGCACATGGTCCACTGCCGCGATACAGGGCCGGGCCAACAAGACGAGCATTACTACAAAGTCCACAGAATGCTCAGCGGTCGCAGCGCACACGAGATTTCCGACGGCGAGTCCGACGTCACTTTTTGATGTGGTGTGGGCTAGCTGCATCCATGCATTTGGTCCGGGGAGGCTGTCGCGTTTTGGCGCTGGCGCTGGCGTTGACGGTTGTGTCGATGGGTGGACGGAGGAGTTTGGTTCACCACAGTAAAAGATGGCCATCGTTGGACTCTCCCGTACGCAGTCTTTGGCGGGGGAAGAAAGGAAAACCCCGTCTTACTTTTTATTCCCGCCAGTTGTCGAGGTTCCTCAATCAAGTTGCTCGGTAACGTTATATAGTTACCATGCAGATTGCTCGAGTTTGGGGTAAAGTGGAGGTCACTTTTTTCCCCGTCCAGTCTTCCGCGCATTTGAGTCACTCCTCCATGCACAGTAAGCAGTCGACTGTATTGTATTGTCCAATCGTCGCGGCGCTTCCTCGCCGAAGGCCCGTTGCGGGTGGGGCATTAGGTGGGGGGTTTAAGCCAACTATCTTTCGCGAAATCGGGACCCATGCAAACACGACAGCTTTTGATTGGATTGTTTATCTCCCTTGTCAACGCGCACTATTCCTGATTGAGCACGCCGAAAGAGTCAGCCTCCTCCACCTGCTGCGCCTGGGTCAAATGCTTCAAAGTGAAATACCGTCCGTGACTCCCTCCCGAAGGCCGCGTAAGGTTCCTTTCGATCTTTCTTTCTTTCCGTCTCTCGTCAACTAACTGACTCGAAGTTCTTGCTAGAGTCGCTGAAAGAGAATTGGGGTTAAGCACAGGGAAAAATAAGTTTTACAATTCTTGAAATCTTGATTCCTGAGGCTTCCAATCTCCAACGACACCCACACCTTTGCTCTCTCCTTTAAGCTTCGGCTTCACATTCTTTTCGCCCTCCCCTCTTCTTCGCTGGGGAATTGGGATTCCGTGATTGAGTCCCAAGAAGAGAAGAATACCAACTCGTGTCAGATAATTGTCGTCACTGGCACTTGCACGCGTTATCCGGCATTGAGATAACGTCTCGGGAAATACGTAGTAAGTTGCAAGAAATTGCATACCGCCGAGGGGCGTTTTTGGCTTACACAACAATGGCCGTGGCTCAGAATCTTCCTCCCGCTTGACGACTTCTGCAACCCTCAGAAGTCGGGTTAGGACTCTTGTTTAGCGAGCACCATTACTCTGTATTCATTTAGTAACGACATCTTCGTCTCCAATCGCGAAATGGCTTCCGCTCAGTCCGCTTCTACTCTCCCTCAAGGATTCTCTGTCTACCAGTCCACGCTTGGTGCTCCATTACAATTCTTCCCAGCTCTTGGATCACGGCAGCTCGACGACTTGATCAACGCCTTCATCCCCGGACCTTCTTCCGCCAGTGAGAAGCGAGCCGCAATTTCCTTGGACTTCCTCGAATATTCTCGCATGACTGGACAGGCCTTCAAGTTCTACGCTGTGAGCACTGCGGCGTCCGTAGCTACTTCTCCTTCAATAACCAGTCCTTCTCTGGATTCGGTCAACTCCTCATTCAACGTTTCTCCCATCACATCCTCCTGGGACTGGAGCGCAACGTCGACACTCTCAGCAGCCTCGTCATCTCGTGGCCCAACGCAGTGCCGACGACAGAGCAAGCGTGACAGCACGCATTCCAGACATCGGACTAATGATATCTCGCATCTTCCTGGTATGAAGATTCTCACAAAAGATGGTCAGGATGTGACCAACTCTGCTTCCCGGGGATCCAAGACCAAGGAGCAGCGCGACCACGCACACCTCATGCGAATCATCAAAGCTTGCGACAGCTGCCGACGTAAGAAGATCCGTTGCGACCCTAGCCACAAGAAGCGAGGAGCCTCTCAAGCTGCACCGCAGCCTGCTTCAAAGCCTGCCAAGAAGGCAAGGACGGTTCCCCAAGACCCTCCTCCTCGTCCACCGCCGGCGGCTGTAACAGACTCAGACTTATTGGTCTCATCATCATTCGACCTAGACTCGAGCTTCGACTTCTCTGTTTTCGAGGACCTTGACCCTACTACTTTTTCTCATGACCTATTCGACGAGTTTATCCATATCCCTGCCTTGGACACTCCAGACTTCGACATCTTCCATGAATCGGGAGATTATGTAGCTTCACAATCTTCGACCACTACTTCATCATCTTCTGCCGCCTCCCCGCTCAAGTCATCTACACCGTCATCCCAGCCAGAGTTGGGCGCACCTCCCGGCATCGAGCTCGTCAACCCCGAGGTGCAGGGAATGTCACCAAACTTCCCTTACCTGGAGAGTTCTGGCGCCTCAAGTTATTACGCCGATTTCAATCTATACTCGCCCGATTCCAGCTTCTCCGAGGACGAGCGCATGGTACCAATTGGCGCCTCGACCGGTAGTCTGCCAAGCCTCAATGAAAACTCACTCTCCGAATGCCCGCCTCGACTTAAGGAGACCGTACCTGACGGCGAGGCAAACGACTTGGAAGTACCTGGCATGTGTCTAGATGAACCACAGCTCCACTCTGCCAGCGGTGTTGTTGGCGGGAGCAGCCACAACTTATTGGGCAGCAATGACAATGGCCAATTTGCTACCACTAGCACTGCCGGCGAATCTGCGAGTGAGCATGACTCCAGGCCAAGCTGGGATCATGTCTCCGAGCCGGTAAGCGAGGTTGTCACTCGTTACCCGGGTACAACTACTGCTGCTATTCCGGACAAGCCGCTACCGGGTGCTCATAAACTAGACAAGGTACGTACACGGCTATACCTGTCATTGGCCATTTAACAGAGCCTAACCTCTTGAAAGGTGCCGACTAGCTTCAATTTGCCTGTGGCATCCGCGTCTGTTGATGTCGGAGTAAGCTTACGTCCATTCTGCGCCGCATCATCGTCTGCATTTACGCTGACATCTTCCCAGGAGTCGCCAGGTACATTTGCGGACCATTCTATCGTCTCGGCGACGCCTAGCGTGCCCATTGGACACGGCAGTGTACGTAACCTCCCGGCGTCCAAGTTCTACAGTACATCACGGAAACTGACCTCAAAAAAGGAAACCCCAGCCAAATCCAACCATCAACTTGCACTTGTATCGACCAACAGAATCCATGTTGTACGTGCACTCATGCTCCCGTGAAATGTGCTATGACTAACTGTGGGAAAAGGACTGCCCTGGAGAAACCTCCGATTCTCACCAAGATTATGTGGCTTCGGTCGACAGTTCTGGCCCGACTCGGTCCGAACCAGCTGTTCTGAGCGTATGTCAAGTTTCATGATTACCTGCTAACGCGCTGTTGCTAACTCGTTCAAAGGCCTCTTCCGACGGAGTACAGGTCCTCTTTACCAACTCCTCACCCGAGTACACTGAGGTGTCAACCGCCCAAACAGTCCACAACAGACTGACTGGACTTGAACGTGTCGTACCGGGAGTTTCATCTGTCCTCTTTGGCACCTCGGATCAACAAAGGAAGGACGTTGCAGCTCCTGAAGATTCCACTGATGGACGACACCAGCCCACATCAGCGCTGCGCGCCCAGACAGGACTCCGCAGTTCCCTAATTGCGAATGACGAGCCGCTTCGTGGTCATGTCGAACCTATCCTGGACATTGTTGGCGAAGACGCCCCCGTTTCTCAGAGGTCCACGGCCAGTCTGTCCTGCGACCAGCATCATCCTTCGTCTGACTGTCATCACGATGGAGGCGCGTATGCTGACGAGCCAACCCCTGGCGCCGACAACCAGGCACCACGGATATCGCTCAATGCCCTAAAGAATGTATTTATGTCCGCCGTCGGCGGCGAACATTCCCTCTACACGGGCACCACACACAACCTCTCAGATGCACTGACCGATGCTTCGCTGGCATCAATGGCACAAACAGCCGCCTTCATGTCTAATCTGGCATTGTACGTGATTGCTGCAGCCGTGACAGCGACACACGGCAGCGTGGCGCCCCGCACACAGTCTGTTGCAGCACCATGCCGCATCATGTCGAGAGGGTCGTCACTTAAGGTGCATTCCATGTCTCCTTTGTGTGTAGTATAGCATTGCCTCCTCGTCACGTCAAAAGATGAGGTGGAGTTTGCGTAGCGAAGCGTGTTTGTGCTTGGAAGACGAATGGTTTACCAATACCCCCTTGATGAACGCGGTCTCTATATACATTGCATGCTATGCCTGTGGCTTTACTTGGCTTCTATATACTCGGATAGATCAGGAATCAAGCGCGCCGGCGTTATTTTATTGGCCTTGTTTGGTTGACACTAGTCACTTGCGAATTACCGAGGAGTCGACAGATCAATTCCTGTTTGGCTGTAATTTGCTGTGTCCCCGCCAAAGATTTATTCCTCGCCATAATGCGAGACTTGGGAGTCCATTATAACATTCAAGGCCCCCGCTATGGAGACCGGCCGAGGGCATTCACTAATTGAAACAACGTCGACAAATTCAGGCCCTGATTTCACAGTCAAATGGAACCGCTGCGTGGTTGAAGAAAGCAGTTGATGGGCGTGTAGTGAGTAGATAGATGGTCAATAGGGTCCTTTCCAGTTCAAACCGCAGAGCTGTGCGGTAGACAAGTAGTGCTCAATCAACCCACCACCAATGGGCCAAAGCCTGGTACATTCGCTTATGACATCTACCGCTGCTTCTGGGCATGTGTGTTGTTAAACGGTACACTCTACAGTCCACGCAATTGTCTGGTGTCAGCCTTGAGATTTCGTAGAACCCGGTAGAGGCTGAACAACTGCCTCGCCTCCTATTGTATCAGGGGATGCGGCATTTTCCGTGACAGAGAGATGGGTGTTGGGCACAAAGATTATCGTGTGCGGGAAGTATCATCGCTGATTCCTCAGCCTTTAGCAGATGACGGCGGCGAGGACAAAGAAAATAAATGACAAAGGGCAAAAAAAAAAAAAAAACGACAGTCGTCGGTTTATTGGTCGGTTTGAAGCTGAATCTATTCTTGGCCTCTGTCAACGTCTGAGAGGTCATTGCAGTGTGGGTCGCTGGTCATGTGATGTGATTTTCCTGCGATGAAAGGAATTTCAGACTCGAGCGAGCGGGCACACGTCGACATACAACTGTACCGCTGCGATTGTTTGGCGGAACTGCTGCTCTGTGCTAGCTAAATTTATCTTGGCTTGTGTCGTGGGCTGTATGTATATCTCGTCGTTGTTGGCAGGGTACTCCTGTAGCTCTCCTGCTCCCCATTGTGCTCTGCGAGACATGCTTACAGGCGCATGAAACCGGTGTTGGGCGTCCGCAGCTCGTGTATTTGGCTGGCTCTTGTATACATTTGCAGCAGGTCGGGGAAGACGCGGCATCGACCGAGTGCGTGAAGCGCAACTACTGTGTGACAGACGTTCTCACTCGACCACTCGTGACTGGACTGACGCGATTGCGAAAAGGGTCGGTTGGAACCCTCTGGACCTGGCAGGGTATATATACATATACACGCGCACGCATATATAGCCTTGGCGCGGAAGGACGCTCTTTCGGGTTGAGAGTCGAGCGTGGTGGTGCCTACGATCTGTTGCGTTGTCGAACCTGGGACAGGTGAACAGTCGAGCTTCGACGGCAGGACGAAAAGGGGCGCTCGCTGAATTGCGGAAGCAAACTTGGCTTACTGTTGACTCTCGAGAGTACTTCCTGCAGTTCCGAGGCTTGCTCTGAGAAAAGGACTTTGCAAATTTGCAGTATCCTTGACGCTTGTTCTTTTTTTTTTTTTTCAAGCTGAATAAAACTTCAGAAAAATCTGAGGGGAACCTCATTGGACAGAGGAAAGAGGAAGGAGCAGTCGACAGACAGCTTCCGATGCTGCTGCTTCAGTTTATTTGGCTGGCAGCTGCCAGAAATGCCATTCGCCGGCTGTTTGGTTGGCCGCGGCCGCCTGGGGGAGAAGAAATGGAAGGCAAGAGAGGACCGAGGGGCCCGTCGTCCTCTGATACAGAATCTGGAGCAGAGAATTCGGTCCGCCATTCATCGCAACCGCAGTTGTCGCCCACGGATTTCGACACAAACGCATCGAGACGGCCACAGCCTTCACAAGCCACCACTCTGCACAACAGCAATTTCGACACCATGGCTGTGGCTGACCCGTGGTTGTCCCAAGAGGACAAGGAGAATCGTCCACCGGAAAAGCACGACGATGCAGAGTTGGTTGCCGCCGTGAAGAAGGTGGTCATTGACGACACCAAAGACGTCGAGGTCGTGGTTGAGGACCCTGCTGTCTTGGCTGAACGGGCTCATCACCTGCGGTTTATCGAGGAGGCTCTCGATATGGTAAGGCTACGATAGACTGAGGCTGCCAGCTTGTAGTGAGCAGATTGGAAATCGCGCTAACATGAGTCGCACAGGCTCGTCTTGCGCTGCGGACAAATGAAACGCCCGTGGGCTGCGTCCTCGTACACAACGGCACCGTCATCGCCAAAGGCATGAATGCAACCAATGTTACGCGCAACGGCACCCGGCACGCAGAATTCATGGCCATCTCGGCACTCTTATCCGAACCCCTCTGGAGTGGCCCTCGCCAGACGTCACTCAGACCGAAGAACCTCCCCAGGCCGTCGCTCAAGACCCCTGATGATGCTTCGGATGCAAGCTCAGTGGATTCGAAGAGACCCGATGAGGGCAACGAGGACGGCAAGAAGGGCCATTTGTATCCATACGGACAGAAACTTCATCCCGCCCGCAGGGTAAGCCGCGACATCATTCGTGAATGCATTCTCTACGTCACTGTCGAACCCTGTGTGATGTGCGCATCTCTTCTTCGTCAGCTCGGCATCAAAAAGGTATATTTTGGGGCCGTCAACGACAAATTCGGCGGCGCTGGAGGTGTCTTCAGCATTCATGCCAACTCTCTCCCTGTCAGGGAGGACGGGAAAACCGCGAGCGCACATCCTACTCCCCGACCATCCCAGCTTCCAGATGGCAGCGGCACACTAGGGACGTCCTATCCGCTAGGAGGAGGGGATGGCGGCAATGTAGAAGAGGGATATGAGATTGAAGGTGGTTGGGGTCGTGATGAAGCTGTTGCGCTCTTGAGACGATTTTACGTACAAGAAAATGGACGAGGTATGTTTTTTGTCGCATTGGTTAGGAGAGCTATAAATGTGCTAATGCCTGGGCAGCTCCCGTACCAAGAAAGAAGGAGGGAAGGGCGGCTCGACTAGCAGCAATGATGGAAAAGGACGAAGAGGCTGGAGTTGAGACTCCCACCGCTGATGAGGGTCAAGGGCAGGACGAAGGACATCAACAGGAGGACGCTGTTGATGAAAATCATGATGCGGCCATGATGCAGAATAATTCGTCGGAAAAAACACAAGCCAACACGGGTTGGATGGTTACGTGATTTATTTCCCGCGATGATGCCACACCCTCCCCAGGATGTGGCTATGGAATAGCAATTGCTTACGTGGACAGATTTGTTTGATACCCGACAGCACATGATATGGAGCGGAAGGGCAACCTAACGAGGATGCAGAGCTCAAACGTATGGGCATGTGAAAAAATACGCTTTGCTGGTTACAGATGTTTCGTGGGCTATCACGGCTCAAATTATAACTGCGAAAGAAGAGTGCTTACTTAGACGCCAGACAAAGTTAATGAGGACCAAGTTGAAGATGACGGGGACTTTTACTGAGAAAGACGCAAAGAATTGGGAGCGAGGCCAATAAACCGTGTTCATCCCATGGAGGGAGAGAGAGAGCAGACGTGACACAAATCAGCCCTCTCCGCTTTCTCCATGTGCATCCGTACATTCGAAGTTCGGGGCACGGAGGTCGACCCTTCCACAGCATCAGGGTGTAGCAAGACGAACTCGGGTCTTTCACACTTGCTCTTCCCCCGAAGCTTCATCCCATCTCTACAGCAAACCAGACATCAGCAATCGGCCGACATGGCCTTCACGGCGGAAAAGTACGACCCGGCTGTCACAGGCTCGTGGCTCGTCTGCAACACATGCGGCACTCAGTTCGCCACGTCTGATGTGTCTGCCGTCAAGACATGTCACATCTGCGACGACCCGCGGTCCTTTGTCCCGGCGTCGGGACAGTCCTTCACCACTCACGATCAAGTGGCCAAGAAACACCGCAACCAGTTTACGGCGTACGCCGGCGATGAGCGCTTCGTGTCCATCGCCACGACACCCAAGTTTGCCATCGGACAGCGGGCCATCCTGATGCGCACTGGCCGAGGCAACATCCTCTGGGACTGCTTGACGCTCCTCGACCAAGAAACCATCAACCACATCCACCAGCTGGGCGGTCTCAAGGCCATTGTCATCAGCCATCCGCATTACTACAGCACCCACGTCCAATGGGGCCGGGCGTTCCGTTGCCCCGTGTACATTGCCTCGGAGGACAAGCCCTGGACTACCATGGACTCTGGCCACCAGGTTCTCGTCACGAATGTCGAGACGAGCGTCTCGGACACGGACGCGGTGGCCATCAAGCTCGGCGGCCACTTCCCCGGCTCGCTGGCCCTCTTGTTCGACGGGCGGCTCTTGATTGCAGACACGCTCGTCACGACGCCCGCGGGCATTGGAAAATGGGAAGTCGACGGCACCGGCGCCGCCCGCGCGAAGCCGCCCGGCCTCAACTCCTTCTCGTTCCTCTGGAGCATCCCAAACTACGTCCCTCTGGACGCTGACGAGTTGGCCCGCATGTGGGCCATCCTGAAGAGGTACCAATTCAAGTCGACCCATGGAGCCTTCTTGGGCATGGACATTGAGGACCCGTGCGTGAAGCAGAGGGTGTTGGAGAGCATGCAGATCCAGGCCAAGGCTATGGGGTACGCGGAACATGGGATTATGAGGGAGACGATTTGACACGATTTGACGCGACTTCTTTTCTTGTCTTGATCTTGTGTTTTGGTTGAGTCAGTAGTGCGCGATTTGCTCAATATACATGTGCATACGCCTTCCACCACCCACCACCCTTGTTAAACTTGAGAATCAACAACCTGTCGGTGGAACAAGGGCTCGGGTCAGTTCAATCGCAGCAAAAGGCTCGACTGCGCTGGGTCCGAGTCTTTCTCGACACAGCAAAGCATGTTCCTCGTGCCCTGAACGGCGACGCAACCGCAGTAGAGCTCAACGGCAGAGGTTCTGCTCGAGGAGAGGCTCTGCTCGAGGTTGAGAGGTGTACGTGCAGGGCCGTCTTTGCTCGGCCAGGCCAGTGGCAGGCTGAGAATTGCTGTATATTCATTGCAATTTCCAGGCTCCTCCTTTGGCCTTGTTATACTTTCGTCGTATAATATTCTACTTCATGTCCTGTTATACATGGTCGCAAAGCGAGGAAAAAGTGAGTTGAGGCCGACGACACGGAAAGAATAATTTGAATACCAGGACGCACGGACTACCTACGGGCTCCAGACCACCGCAGGGTCAACTAGGCCCGGAGACGACAGTCGCGTGAAGGGAACAGAGAGAGACACGACATCTAGGGGGTGGCAGCATCCGGGCAGTAGGATAGCAACGCGGCGCTTACCAGGCTAGAGGCAAGCCGGCAGCAAAGGAAAGCTGTATAGAATACACACAGCCAAGCTAGCGCCATCGATACAAAAGAGGGAGACAATGGCGCCAGCCTGGCAGCAGGCAGGGGGTAGGCTGGAGCAGGACGAAAAGGACGACACGCCGCGTGACATTCTCACGACAGCAACAGCGCGGGGCCACGCAAACACCTCATGGACTGGCAAAAGCCAGACAAGTCAGCCGCCGTAGGCAGTCACATACTTGGGTCAGGAGGCGACTAATCGCTGGCACTACGCATACAAGGATTGCTCCTGGCCGTCATCACCAAGTCAGGGTGGCTGGGCGCAAGTAGACGAGGGGAACTGCCTCGATTCTTTGTTCATATCTGAAATATATACACTGAATAGAGAAGTTGCACCACCGGCTGGAGCGTCCTGAGCAAGCGCCATGTCCGTTGGACCAACAAGTCCGTCGCCACGCATGTATATATGTCGTTTAAATAAACTCCCATCCGCCCTGGACGCGGCCTGGTCCAAGGTCCCCGACGACCTGTTTGAACGCAGTGGGGGACAAGTCCAACGCGTCGTCGTTGCAGGCCTCGCAACGATCAACGACCTTGACCTCGGCAGACCTGCCGCCGTAGTGGATGCGGATCCAACGACCGCAGGGACGAGTGCGGTCATACAGGCCGTGGCCCACGGCGGCGACCATCTCGCCGTCGTAGTTGGTCCAGCCGCAGGCCCCGAGGCCGGTGTAGTAGTAGGTGAAGTCGCCGGTGGTGCGAGCTGCGAGGTGGTTCATGTGCTCGCCTTCGGCGGCGGGAGCAGCCGTGGCGGCGAGGGCGAGGGCCACGACGGCGGAAACGGCCTTGGTGACGAGGTACATTGTCAAAGATGTGGTCGCTTGGAGGTATTTGGCTCTGGTTTGGTTTCTCGAGTGAGGAGGATCTTGCCGTGCAGGCTGGCGGTGCTCCGGAGCGCCTTGGAGGAGACGTGAGGCCTCTTTATACGCGGGGGAGCAGGTCCGGCGCGGACACGTATTCGACTCTGCTCTGGCGATGTGATGCCATGCGTGTCGTGCTGCTGCTTGTTGTCGGTGCCATTGCTCGGCTTTGGCACGAACAGGCCGCCAATTAGGTCGTTCTTGGGATGCTGCTGCTTTGTTTGCCCCGGGGAGCTTGTATGCCGTCGAGCCAACGGGTCAAAGTCTGGACAGATGTCGAGGTTGCCGACTACGCGGGCCTCGATACCGGAGCGACCTGGGGTGTTGGGGTGAGCACGTTTCCGGAAGCTTCACTTGCCACGTCTCCGAGGCTGGGCGTCTGGTCTCGAAACAGGGCATCGTCGCGCGCGGTGCAACGTTGGTCGAGATGCTGCAACGTCTACCGTGCCTCTCTTGCGGTGCTGTACAAGAGCGCTGGCTGGACGGGGGACGACGGGGTGTACACACACGCACGGCATGCCGGACCATCGTGAGTATCTCGAGTTGCGTTGCGTCTCGTGCAGGCGACTCGAAGCAGGATTGGAGGAGAGCGTGGTCGTCGTTCTAGACCATGTGGTGACCAACGGCCATGGCGAGTGTGACGGCGACTTGGGATAAATTAGACGGATGAGATGTAGGAAAACCCCGCCAACACTGCCGTTTGCGGTTGTTGGCAATGGTAACTATGTGAGGGCATGCACCTGCGGCATGTTCGTCACCGACGCGCGTTGGGCAGAGGTAAGCCTTGTGCTGTTCGGCAGTATCCCAACGTTTATTTGTCAGGAGCAGCAAAGGCCCGGGCCAGACTTGGTGCTGCCTGTGTTGGTTAATGAGAGCCAACGCGCTGTGCGTGCCTTGTGTACAGACTATACACTATACTGTCTGCCGGCGTGGCCGCGTGTAAGTGATGTGGCTTCGTGAGGCCTCGGAATCTGCCCTCCCTGGGACTCTGTGCTCGAGGCCGAACTCTATACTCGAAACAGTCTCTCTGGGATTCAAGTTCCTCTCAGTCCTCTACACCTGAGACGGCAGGCCTCAACGATGCCGCGCAGGCTTATCGTGGGTAGCCGGTGGGAAAGAAGAGCCGGCCCACGTGGTTTTCGGCAGGTAGTCCACGCCATGGATGCAGATATCATGCCAGGCCGCGTCTACAGTTCTCCTGACTAACCGGAATCTGGGGACGTGGCCATGGCACGGACAATGCTGTCATATGACTGCAATATACTCCGTAGTTTGAACATGTCAGGACATAAAGCAGGTTGGACCCAAAAAGGCAAGTAGCACAAAGACGTCCGACGTCCAGGCTCTCTCCCCGCGTCCGGCGTCATGCCAAAAGCTCGGAATGCAATGCGGCCCGGGAAGCACGGCGGTTGGTTCCTTGTATCCCGGGATGCCTCAATTTCCACCAGACGGCATGTGAGAGGCCAGCCGAGGCGAGAATACAATGCAGCTCGGTGACCCGAGCATGACTAGTCACACAGACCCCCGTAGGCCGGGAACCAAGAAATTGGCAGTCTGGGTCTTGGTAATAGTACTCCGTAGTAGTTCTCCGTACCTCGAGCCCTGGTTGCAAATGTGACGAGCTTGGAGCCGTGTGACTCGACCAGTCAGGGCCGAGCGGTACCGACCGAAGTGCACCACGTACCGAGTACCGAGCACAGCATGGACAGATCCCAGACCGGATGGAGAGGGAAAGGTGCGTATGGCAATTTGTCAACGGACGAGCTGGAAATGGTTGCCGTGCGTCTTGGGAGAAAGCCCTGTCCCGAGCACCAGTCACGTCCCTGTTGCTGTCAGCTTGTCCACAGCTTCCGGCAAGACTAGGACCTCGATCTCGCTCCCACCCGTCATTCATGGTCGACCGTCGATGGAGTGTAGTGAGCATTTGGCCTGGGCCCTGTAAGACCCAGGTCTCTGTGCCACGAGGATCGATCATCCCGGCAGACGACTCCCAGGAACGTGGCTTCTGACCGCTACACCTTCATCTCAGATGCCGAGATTTTCTCCCCGTTTCATTGGACAGGGTCAAGGGGGCTTGTGAACTGCCTTGGAAGTGAGTGCCAGGAGTCCAGGACCACCCATCTGAGACACGAGGTGGCTTGTGTTGAGAGGGATGGAATGGCAACGAAACCTGGGCTGCAGGATCCGGGTCCAGCATGGGAAGCACGGCCCCTATTTCCAATCCTTCGTCTTGTTGGACGCGTTGTTCGCCGGAATTCCGGCCGTCGCGCAGTCCAGACCCTGAAGGGTCGCGAGGTGCTTCACCACTCCGACCAGAGCTACACACAGATGAATCAGGAGATGGATGCACCGGCCGTCATGTGAGCTGTAGAGTGTCTGAAGTACCAAGCGGAATCGGAGGGAATCGACGCAGACTGGGTTTGAAGTACCTAGGCCATGTCTTGCTTGCTGGGGTTGATGTCCGCGGGAGCAACCCGAGGCCGGGTGCGCGGAGTCCGCCAAACCGGCTTTCGGCTTGGTTTGGCGAGACAAGATGGAACTTGTCCTTGTCGATGCAGCAGCTTGAAACACGACAATGCGGCGCTTATGAAAAGATGAGTGGTACATCACACTGTGCAGCCCAGGCGCGATGGGCACGCATGGGTCTTTCGTCACAACATGGGATTAACATTGAAGGGTTCATGTCCACAAACTTATTCAAAGAGGGTGACGTGTCCAGGGGCTTTGCAGACAGTCAATGTGAGTGCGTCGATGTTGCAGGTCTTGATAAATCCGACTGTTTGGGAAACAGGGCCGTCCCAGCCTCTCCCATCGCCTCCCTCGGCACAGCACTTACACGAAGCTCGTTAAGCACATCTACTTGTTCGTAGCAGAAGACGTTGTGTCGTATCCATCCTCTCCTTGCCCAGGCGCCTCGCAACCACTGCTTACCTCGTATCCTCCTCCTCCTCCTTCACAACCGGCACCAGCACCAACCACAACGACGTGTCGCTCAATACCACAGCCTCATCCCCCAACATGTTCAGCTTCTCAACATGCCCATCCAAGGCGCTCATTGTCGCCGCCGCCGTGCCGCTCTTGCCCCCCACAGCCGCCATTTCCAAAAACTTGTCCCCCGGGACGTGAACCATGGCAGCCAGCTGCTTCGTGTCTAGAAGCACGGCATGAAGACCTCGGCCATCCAGCCAGTCCTGATTCGCAACAGCCGCATAAGTGGCCGCTCGTTGCAGCGGCGTCCTGGGCGTCCTGGAAATAGCAGACACGGCAGAGCCAGGAATCTGGAATATCGTATGGACAGCACCCAACGCAGCGTGCATGGGGATGGAGATTGCGCCCCCAACGACGCCGGCCGCCACGCCCGACACGTTGAAGCGCCTGGCGTCTTTGGCGAGCTGCTTGCCGACACTTTTGGTGTGGTTGGCGAGCGCCCTGCCGTAGTTTTTGGGCGGTTCGCCGAGACTCCTTGCCACGTCTGCCGCGTGGGCTACGGCCTGGTCGGATACCTTGGCCGTGAGAAAGGCGGACACGGTGTCCAGGAACGACCGCCACGTTTGCTCGATGATGCCGTAGGCCAGGAGGCGGGGGGGATAGGCGCGGAGGAAAGGGGCCGCCTGGTCGGGAGCGACTTGTGGTATGGCAATGGGCCTCGCCTGGGCGCCGCTGGATGAGCTTGGCCCTGCGTCGGCGTCGGCGTCGGCGAGGGCCTCGTAGGGCGGAGGGGGCGCCGTCGTTGTTGGAAAGTCGAATGGCGCGTCGACGGTCGGGATTCTTCCCGGCTCCCCGGTGGCCTCGGTGTGCGGAGACGGCCGCTTTGCGGGATCCGATGCCGCGCCGTGGCCGGCGATGTTTGGGGTCGCAGTTCGGGAATGGCTGCCGTCTTGTCGTTTCTGGTCCAGCACCCCGGCGTCTTCTATCCTGGGAGCCATTTTGATGAAGTACGTGGAAGTCACATGTAAAGAGGGGGCCAGCGTGGATGATGCAAAGGTCTTGATTCTCGTACGAAGTCACGAGAGAGAGGGCCGTGAGCTTTTAACCGTCACAGTCTGCTGACGCGGAGGAATGGCCCGATGACGTTGTCCGACATGAGCCGAGCCCCGAGAAGGCTGCGGACAGTATTTCGCACTAGATCGTCCTGTCAGATTCTAAATTTTCCCCGCTCGGCATAACGCAGCCCTGGCGTGCGTGGGCGTGGTTGTCTCACCAGAGACGTGCTGGACGTGAAACACACGAGCCGTGTTCCTTGGACCGCATCTCATCTGACCGGACTCGATACGCAATACTCGGTACCGGGAACGCCCTTGATTGCCCATGCCTTTGTTGCGAATTCGCAAAACGCCCGTGAGGCCCGTTGCGCGTCAGCCCGACGCGAGGGTCAGCGAATGCTTCCGACCCTAAATGTTCGGCTTGGCGCCACGTTACGTTGCGAGGGGTTTCTCGATAGATGGGGTGTATACACATGTGTAACTTGTATATAATGCAAGGCCCATTTCGGCATACATACTCTACGGCCTAACTCGCCTGCTCACTCGGGTACCTGTCCATCATCTCGAGCGAGATATTGCTCCCGCCGCAAATAATCAACACCACCACACTATTCGCGCTGAATCCCGGAACCAGCTTCTCAAGCTGTCCGCTGTAGCAAACCGCGGGACACACCCCGCAGGCCAGTTCTACCAGCAGACGCTCCTCATCCAAGAACCGCCTGCACGCGCTGATGGCTTCCGAGTCAGGCAGAACAAGACTGGCCACGGTGTCTCTCATGCCATACTCGAAAGCCCTTTGACAGACTCGTCTTGCGCCCAGGCTCGTGGCTAGACTCGTGATTGCCGGCAAGGTGACCAGTTCCCCTCCGGAGAGAGCCCGGGAAAGCGAGTCGGCGCCGTCGGTTTCGACAGCAATCACGGTCGTTTTCTCCAGCTTGAGCTCGTCAAGGCCCTGCACGATGCCGGCCAACAACCCGCCCCCGCCGACACTACACACAATGGCATCGACTCTGGGCGCCGACACGCCCAAGTCTGCATCCCCGTCCTCGGCGGCGTCACTGGTGGCATAGTGCCTCTCTGCGGAAGGTAGTTGCCTCACAATCTCCCTCGTGATGCCTGCATTCCCATCCCAGATCTGCTGCGCATCAAAGGGAGGCACGTACACGGCCGTCTCACCTCTCGCCCTCGCATCCCTCATGAGGGCCTCGGTCAGGTAATGGTCCGCCTCTTGCCACGACGCACCCTGCTGGATGACCTCTGTAGCACCGGCCTCCCGTAGCCTGCCTACCATGTAGGGCGTCGTGCTGAGGGGGACCACAATGGTTGCCTCGCAGCCGAGGGTGATTGCACCATGGACGCAGGCGAGGCCAGCGTTGCCGCCGGATGAGCAGTAAAAGTGTGGCCTGGAGCCTGCGCGGGTGCCCGCAGCTTGGGCGGCGGCGAGCTGGCAGACGAGGTAATTGCCTATGCCGCGGGACTTGAACGACCCCGCTGGCTGGAGATTCTCAAGTTTGAGGAAGACGTTACTTGGGGGTTGCTTGTTAGCGAGACTGAGACTGCCGAGTCGGCGGGGCTCAAAGTCTTACCACCCGGCGGCGGCGCTCAGGGCGGCCGACCTGACGAGAGGCGTTTCGATCCAGGGGATCTTGGCGTGGCTGGCTGTCTTGACGGTCATGTCGGGGTCGTCTCACGCTGCAACGCGACGGTGGTTGTGCAGGCTGCGCCCTCTCATGTGGACGAAAGGTCATGCACAGGTCAAATAGTGCCATGGACTCGGCGTCTCGGACCTCCCGACTCACCTTACCCACGGATGGCGTAAACTGTGGGCCCCCCGCGCCCTCCGGTCGGCAGACACGGCATGCCGGGCACGCCCTTCCGATCCGTCATTGACTCGTTGCAGGCAGCAACTTACAAGCCCCTCGCTACCCATTCGCCCGACAAGCGACGAGACGGAGCTTGGTCGCAGCCCCATTGAGGTTCGTAGGGGGGGGGAAGGTGGTTTGGCCTGTGAGGACTGCGCTGGCAATTTCCGAGACTTTCCAGCAGCTCTTCCGGCCACACCATCTCTCTTGGAGAATGCCAGACGCGTAACCTGCCACATCCCGAGGCTTCTGGCTGGCCTCTGCGCCGCGTGCTCAGGCCTCGCTTCTCGGCAAGGTCAGGACAGCCCGGATACCTTGAGCAGCCAAGGCCACCAGTTCCCATGTCAGCTATATTTTTGATGCGAAAATTGTAGTACTACCTACAGTGCAGCAAAAAGCTGAGGTGAACCATTTTGGCTGTGCGTCTACGGAAACAAAGAGGGGTTTCAAGACTTGGGATGATACAGTTAACGAGAAGGCCCTGACAAGAAGGGCTCGATAGGTTTTGGCCATAAACTAGAATTCAAAAGCAATGCGTACAGACGAGCATTGCATACTTATCGTCTGAGTTGCCATAACCACTCTTGCACAACAATCAATCCAGCTCGTCCCGACTCGACACGCAAGGCGGTAGTCATGGCCCGTTACACCTCGCACTGCTGGGTCAGCACTGCGTTTCATCGTGGCGTTACCTACGATGTAAAGCATGACGGGGAGTTTATCGAATAACACACAGCGACAAGTGCTTTCCCATCAACAACGAGAGAGTTTGCCCCCCCCCCGTCGCGTGTTCCACCAACAAGACAGGTCCGCACGGACGTGGGAGTTGCGGCCCCAGACCCCAGACGGAGCGCAGCTTCCCCATCAGGAAGGGCGGTGACGGCCGCAGCTCGCGGGCGAGGCAGACCCACCCGGCCGGCCGGCCGCCCCGACATCTTCGAGGCGGCTCAGCTGCTTGTCGCCGCCCGCCCAGATGAGATGACCACTAGGTGCAGATGCGGACGACAGCGTGGGTGTGATGCCCGACGGCGATGCCACCGAGTCCGTCTCCGCCACGGCATGCTGGGCCGCGCATGCGAAGCACCCCCCGCACCGCGCCGGTTCAACAGCGAAGCCAACCGTGACACCGGGCCCAACGGGACTGAGTGCAGGCCGGCACGGGAGAGCGCGCGTCAAGGACGGATTCCAGTCTACCTCACGTCTGCGGAAAGGAACGACGGGTGGAAAGAGAATGAGATCTCTGGATTCGGTAGTATTCTCAACGTCTCCAGCAACATGACATGACATACATGAAATTAAAGCACGACTTGCTCTGCCACCCGCCCTGCCTGCTGCCTCCTGCGTTTCCCGAGTCGCCTTTTTACTCCCCCTGTCTCTTTTTCTTTTAAAAAAAAAAAAAAAAAAAAAAAAAGGCAAAGCAACAAGGCAAAAAGCAAAAAGGCAAAAAAACAAATCAAGCCACGCCCTGCAGGTAGGTAATGTTTACAGGAACATCGACCTTGTCGCAAGCCACAGTGGTCTCCGAAATCTTGCCCGAGGACGTAGACGACTCCTGGTGCTTCTGGTCGCAGGTCAGGCGGATCTTGACGTGGCCCACGCCGTCGAAGCGGCTGCCGTCCCGGTCGCACACCCACGTCTGGTTGATGCTCAGCAGGCCGGCCCTCCGGTCAAACGTGAAGCGGGACAGGTCGAACGCGTCCTCGGGGCGCGTCGCGCAGTCGTACACGGCGTCGCCGGCAAAGAAGTCGGGCTGCCGCGTCGACAGGGCCGTGCACCTGGCCGTGTGCGCGAGCGCCGAGTTCCGGAGCGTGAAGTTGGTCAGGCCGTAGGCCATTTCGGACCCGGGCATTGCGTACCGGGCCTCGTGGTACTCGAAGTCGGTGACGCGCCAGAGGAGCGTCGACGCCGACGCGGCGGTGCACACCATGTCCGCGGCGCGGGAGAGCGCCTGGCCCGCGAGCGCGAGCGTGACGGCCGCCGTTGCTGAGATGTGCATTCTGCGTGGGTGCGCGGATGTAGTGTTGTTGTGTGTGCTCGTCCCGTCCGTCTTGGCTGTCGACAAGAGCTGCGTCTCTGCGTCTTCCTCAAGGCCAACCAGCCGATGGCGGAAGATGAAGATGAAGATGAGGGTGAAGATGAAGATGAACAGTCTCCCTCCGAGCAGCCGGCAGGGCACACCTAGAAAAGGGGCATGGATATGCCATGGAAAAGGGCACCCAAGGGCAACGAGTGAGCAACGGGTCGAAATCCAGCGCGCGGCTCCAGTGTCCAATGTCTCACCCTCCCCATCGATTATCTCCACGGGAGATTGTGGCTGGGAGGATCGACGGATGAGGTCTGTGCGAGGGCCCCCCGCGCGCGGCTACGCGCAGATTTTCCACTTCGCCCGGGGAAATGGTCAGACGACAAGTTCCACCTGAAACGGATTGCTGCGCGGCCCGTTGCTGTGTCGTTGGCGTCGCCGTCGTGGTGGAGTCGAGCGTCGAGTTATATTAAGGACAACGCTGACCTGGGCACGAGAACCTCGTTGCCAACTTTCTACACGATAATGAGCTGCCGGGCCCTCTGTTCTGAACAGGATTCCAAGTTGGAAGGAAACCTTACAAACGTGCTCTCGCCGTCTGCCGTGTGCAGAGGCAGCAAGGGGCAGGCAGCCCGTTCATGCTGGTAAACGCAAAAATCAATAACCAAACAACGATTCAGTAGGCTTGTTTCACGCGTCTGCACGTACATTGCTCCCTTGAGAAACGCCATGCCTCCGTCTCGTCATTCAACCACTCCCAGCCGCAACTTGTTCAGCGCATCCTCATATTTGGCCGGGCTGTGGTCCGTCAACAGTCCCGTTCCGAACCTTATTTCCCCGAACCGCCCCTCCACATCTCGGATATACTTGAGCACCACCCTCCTCGCCGGTCTTCCAATCGGGCCCTCCTCCTGCACCAGAAAAGCATCTCGTCTGAGAACCCTGGTCGTCTCAATGGCAAATACCTCGCCCGGAGGCACCAGTTTCTTGCCATTCATGGTGCCTCGCAGAGCCTGTAGCATGGGCAGCACCCATTCCTCGTCACCCTCCTTGGGGGCTGCCGGTGTGGTCTGGTACCATTTGTCCGAGACATGTTCCTGGAAAGCCCCCCACATTCTACGCCGGATCTCGGCCTTGGTCTGGTTCTCGTCCCTTTTGAACCCAAGCGCCAGACCTTGAAAGTCATGGAGAACGCCCAGCGACAGGTGCGGTACAATGTCGTTGCCGTGCACGACCGTCGTAATCAGCCCACGCGTTATTTTGCGCAGGGACGGGGACATTATGCCCGGTGATCCATACGCGTACACGTGGATCCGACGAGACCGCGGGAGGCGAATATCACTGAACTTGTGGTCCGTGCTAGGGCCTTGTGTGAGAAGTTTTGAGTACGGTTCGGCTGAAATGACAAAGCCCGGCCCCTCGGGGTTGGGTTCCGACAACATCACGCCGAGGAGGGAGGTGACGCCCCCCCCGAGAGAATGGCCACAAAGGACGAGACCGTAATCCGGAAACTCCAACAGTGCTTCCTTGAGTGTGACTAGAACCCGGCCGTCATCTCCGAACAAGAGTCTTCTAGCCGACGCATGCACGCCCTTGTGCACTCTGTACGCTCGACCTCGCCATGGCAAGTTGTCGTAGTCGCATGTCAAGTCAGCAAGGACATCCTCGAACCCCAATGTTCCTCGACAGGCTAGGACCACGGCCTTGGCCTCATGGTCCAGTGAGATGTAGTGTACCAATGGCACACCCGTCCCCGTCGAACCGGTGGCGTCAGAACCTCCTTGTGGATCTACGAATGACGCGAGAAGAATGTTGCTGTCCTGCGACTCGGTGTGATGTGCAAAATGTCGGACGTCCTGGTGGGTTCTGTCGCCCACTTGGCTGGCGGGGAGCTGGTCCGAGATACCAAGAAGTTTCATGAAATGCGATCCATAACACGCAGACGAGTATCTCATGTACCTCGCAATGTTGGGTAGCAGGTGGCCGCTTGGAAACGTCCCATCCACGAAGCCCTCCCTACGCAACGTACTCAATGCATTGGACGAAGTATAAGCACTCTTCTGATAATAAGAAGACAGGAGCAGCGAAGACTGGGAATCGTTTGTTGCCAGGCTGTAGAGGCTGGGCGCGTACGAAGCCGATTGGCGATGGTGGCCTTTACCGCGAGGGGACGGAGGCACTGACCCGACGGGATATGCTTCACCTGCTGTTCGCGAAATCGTCTCCTGAGTGGAGTAGTCTGCCCGAAGGATGGTCGGTGAGGCCGGACGCAGGCCACTCGCCGAGTTTCGAGAGTATGCGTCTGTGAGCGAGACCACCGAATCTCGTCGCGTTTCATGGATCGAGACGTAGCTCGCTCGTGATGAGGAACGGGGAAAGGGATCTGGCGTCTGGACTCGTCGAGTAGGGGCGTTGCGCTGGCCTTGTTGGGGTTGACCGCGACCAGTTGGCGGCTTCAGTCTACTACTACTTGATGACTCTGCGGCGTTGCCTCGAGTCCCCTTCCACTGCGGTCTTTGTTTGGCAAGAGAGCGACCAGGCTCGTGATCACTGCCATCTCTGTTCCAAATATTGGACAGCGACTGGCTACTGTCCTTCAAGACCTGTTTCAGACCAGGCCGCTTCTCGCTTTGTTTTCCAGGGTTTAGCGGTTCGGACTTCTTTTTCGGCAGAGGCCGCTTGGTCGACTCTGAAGTTCGCTTCTTGGCCGTGGAGACGCGAGATAGTGGTTCCACCGGTGGGGCTCTTTGTTTCTTCTGGTTTGCCGTTGTTTCTAGGCCACATGATTGAGATGAATGGCGGAGTTTGGGAGCTTCAGATGGGCCACTAGAGTGGCTTGCGTTACGCGGGGGCCCTGTCGTCGAGGCTGGTGGTTGAGACTCCTTTCCTTTCAAGGTCGTCGTGTCGGCGGGGGACTTGGGCGGTAGCGCAGGTTTCTTGAAAGGTTCGACGGTCGGGACGGCATCATCGTCTGTAATCTCAACAACTGCAGGGCCAAATTCTTCCTCCTGTTCTCGAAACGTTGCGGATCGAAACTTGTCTCTCTGAATCCTGTAGACGACCGTGTAAGATGTGTCACTGTCTTGACCGAGATCCCGTGGCCGATTGGTTCCCGCTGATGCCGCCGCGCCACGCGTTTCTACTATTTCGGCACCCGGAGGAGTGGGAAGGGACAGAAGTTGAGGTCCCTTGACGTCGACAGTAATAGTCTGGACTGATGAAACGAAGTCGGATATCGATGCCGTGGTCCCGGCCTCAAGATTGGCTGTAATGTGACTCTTGAGTCGCTGCACGACAGCTTCGTCATCCTCCCCTGCTCCGTATCGAATGCCTAAATCGTCGGCACGGTACTCGTCCCCGGACACGAGCTGGGGTCCATCCTCATCGTCGGGCAAGTCAATGCGCTCGCCGTCGCTGAGAACCACGACATCCCAAATGACCTCTTCGTATGCTCGGCGGCGGATCTCCTCGGACGCCTGACGCCGAGCAGCTTGTTGGAGATATGCCAATGCTCCAAGGGCAACCACCAAGTCTGAAACGCCAACTCTTTCTCCTCCGACGCCCGTGGCTGGGTTATTGAACTCCCGTCGAATAAGAGTGATGATGCTCGCCACAGCTCGAGAGGAATCCGTAGAGCCGAAGAGCTTATCGAGGCTTCCTAGCACCAGTTGAGAAGCCTGGGAGGCGGTTGATATCGTTGCGCCTGTCAGTCGAAAGCCGGCTGATGTCCAAAAAACGATTTGGGTAACTGCGAAATGCAGGCTCTCCAGGCTCCGCTCCAAGATGGTTTCTGCTTCGGCGGCGCCCAGCTCCGACTTGGACAACGATGCAGTGTCGTAGGCTGCCGTGCTCAAAACGGTTTCCACCAAGCCCCGCGCCAATCCCAGGCTCGACAAGGTTGTGAATCTGGCAGCATCGAGACCGTAGCAGCCGACGAGAGATCCAACGCGGATAGCCAGGGAGGTCGATCGTGTAGCCAAGCTGACAGCGTGAGTTATCGGACCGGGGAGCAGAGTAGGACCGGGGTATTGGGAGGTCACACCGGCAGAGGCCTCGACATCACGAGGCATGCCTCGGAGCATGGCGGGAAGCGCTGGTTATAAACGTGTCGCAAAAAGTGGACTCGACATGGGCGTTGAGCGCATGATAAGAAGAGACGTGTCAGTACTCGACCGTGGCAAAGGCGACGTGCGAATGATGTCAGGTTGGAGGCGAATGGAGGCCAGGACAACAGATGGTCAGGGAAACGCAGCCGCCGTGTTGCATAGGGCGGGACGTGGCGATATTTTAGTCGTGCTCAGTCGCGACGGGCAGAGGGCGAGCTAGGGGAGCCGTATTGTTCCGTTGGGAATGAAGGAGACGTTGATGGACGAGTGCGCGGGTGGATTTGTTGGGTCGGTCCATGTCTGGTTTGGCTCTGGCGGCGCTTCAACGTCGATGCGTTTGTTTTGGGGTCTGATCTAACTTCTGAGCCTTCAGGTCCCAAGGTCACCGTGGTTCCTGGGAGAAAGTCGCTTGGCTGTACTTCCAGGTGGGGGTTGCCGGCGAGGGGGGACAAAGAGAGTACTTGCATGTGATTGTTTCTTGCACGTTGTCACATTGTCCCATTCTGTCTCCGCCCAAGAACAAGCGCCAGGTGGAACTCTAACTCTACAACGCGCTGCTTTGGCGAGGTCGACGTCAACAATGGGCGCCACTTCTTTTCCAAGCCCTCGGTTTGTGCCTTGTTTCCCCATTGCAATTTTCCACCGTCTACAGACGAGACTGCACCAGCTTTTGTACGTGCAAATCGTCACACCTCCTCTTGCAGCCAAGGGTCCGTCATCAGTTCTTTTGCCGTGGGTCGCATAAGTAAGGGCTCTCCGGATGAACTGCAGAAACTTCGTCTTGTCCTCGAGCTTCGTCTCTGCCTCGCCCAACAAGGTCTTCTCGGATGGGATAGGAACAAAGCCTCCCCAATGCCCTGCACGAGAGGATACATCCTTAGCCAGCAGCCTGATAAACAACGAATCGCAATTCAACGTACCGTTCTCGTCCCAGTATTTACGTGCTCTCTTGCGGTGACGATCTAACAAGTCTCTAAGGGGGGGCCCCAAGGGCGGCTATAAGTTCCGAGAAATGCACCCCATCTGAAAAGCTACCATCCTGTTTCATAGCGCTGAATAATGTTCTACCCTCCAAGAGATCCCACGCCTAGTAACTACTAACCATTAGTGAGCATGCATGCTTCATGAAACTCTCAGGAATGTGCGCACGACATGCCGTGAGCCCGAAGCTCCAAATGTCTACATGAATGACGGCTGCATTACCCGTGTGCACAACTTGGACTTGAGCATGTAAGAAATCAAGAGCTTGTAGAAGCTCCTTGACAGCGCTTTTGACGAAATTTTCATCGAATCCACGACTCTTCATGAAAACCGTATCCATGTCACGCAAACTCATCTGAGAGGCTTGAAGTACCAGGGCAGTGTGAGTGCCATGTGGACCATTGACCTTGGAAGAGCCCAGAAGCTTCCCACTGTTTCCCGCACCAGCATGTTTGTTGGCTTGGCAGGACGTTGTTTAGCTGTTCATAGAAGGGCAGTTCTCGGTGTTGAACGGTATTGTGAATATACATCTTGAGGGCGACACATCGATGATCTCTGCTCTGCAGGGTCAATCACACGCGCTATATGTTGTGCTCCCCGCATGCCACTCACTGAAGATCACGAGCTAGCCATATGGTAGAGGAGGACCCGTAGCCTAGCTTTGCGACTGTCTAAAATATGTCATTGAAAACTTGGCAAAGTCGAACTGGGTAGAGATGATGAGGATTATATCCCGGTAGCCCTTCCTCTTCGAGAAGGCGCGAATCATCAATGAGGTGAAACCCGTGAGATGGAAGCGTGCGTGGCTCCGGCCGACGACGCGCCGTAGTCGGCCAGCCAAGCTTGTGGGCGAGGCGGCTAGCTCGTCACAAAGCATTCATCCACACACGGTATTGCGTGCATAGAGGTGATGATGAAGGGAAAAAACTTGACCTCCGACATGGCAAGCGCGCTATCAACGGCCGTTGCATGCCTGCAACGAATTTTCAAACAGAACGAATGTCCGTGGGCCGCTGCACAGGCTCGTCGTGATGCAAGCTTCGTACACATGTGCTGGCATTCGTGGGCGAGCTCTGCCATTCGATTTGAAGATGCGGGAGCTGAAGGACTGCCAACAACAAGCTCCTGGGTTTCACTTACCGCTCAGGCATGGCTGCAAGGCGGTAAGATCTACGTCCTCAGCTACAGGGACATGAGAATCTTGGAGAGATATAAAATCAGTCTCCTCGGCTGGCATGTCCATATGTGCCAATCACTTCATTTCCCATTTACTTCTCCTCTGGTCTATTGACATGTACACAAAGTTTCTCTACGACGGCCGGAAAGCTACTCCGGCTTGTTGGTCGTGTCACTCGCCGACGTGGAGAGATTAAACGGAATCGAGGGGTTCCAAGAGGGTTGCCAATGTCAAGGGGGTTCTGAAAGCAGTTCAGTCTGAGGTGAGTAAAAGTGAAAGAAGAAAAAAAAGGGGCCAGATTTCTCACTCATATCTTATGATAGCGGACCGATGCTGCGTCGTGTGAAATACAGTGAGTATGAACTCGAATATGTTCCTCCTTCTCTGGATTGGGGAACGAGGATTGGCAGTGCGCACGCTTGCGAAGACGGGACGTATTCATTTCGTCGTAGCCGCGCGGGCAGCCAAAGCACATCTAACTATTGGTCTCTTCTCTTGGATCGCTGTGGTACCCCTTTGCAGGAGAAATAGGACACACCAGAGCAACGTTCCTGCCTTCTCATGAACAATCCCTTCATCAGGCGGAATCATTGCTACAGGACAACCTGTGACGATGTCGGCAGATGAATGATACCATGGCGGATGGATGGACGGAGAAGGCGATTTATGGGCTTCCAGACCTTTAGGGTCTTATCATGTCAACAGTTCAATGTTTCCAACAATAAACACGAGCCGCTAGCCTGCATGTGCCAAGGCTCAGAGGCCAGTAGCCTCCACAGGCAATTGACGTCCATGCCGGCTGCTCAATTGGCACTGGTGGTTCGGCCGTGAAGCATCGCTCTGCGGCATGTTTTCCGCAGTCGGTGAGCAATTCTCCGGGCTTTGTTTCTTCGTTGCCCCGGGTGTGGGCGGCCGCAAACATCTCGGGCCCAAACAATGGAATGGCGCAGAACCAGCCATACGTGCCCCTGACTCCTGAGTCTGACGACGGCGCCACTCTGGAAGTACTGCTAACACAGAGCAATGTTCTCTTTTCCAGGCGTCCGGCAGCGAGAACGAGCCAATCACACGCATCAACTCGGATGCTCTGACTCTCCACACCGGCCCGACCACCGGTCAACCAGATGCGGTCGGCCGTTGGTCTGTTCTGTTGGTGTCTCGGATGCCATCAGCGGTGATGCATGGACTTGCGCCTCAACATCCCATCCCATCCCAACAACCCCCATCCGCCCTCGACTTTTGCATCCCGCCTTGCCCCTCTTTTGCACAACTGCACCCTTTGACGCTCGTTTCTTCACTTCAGTCCACATCGACCGCTCGACCACCGCCGCTCGTTAAGATAATAAAACCTCACCGCTGCCTCTGGCTGCGCCGTTGACGCCAATCAGCTTTGTTCCCCGTCTGTGCGCCACCAAATCCAGCTCCAACGCTCGACGCTCCTCAAAGCCCATATGCCTCATCCGACCATCGAAATCACCATGGCCTCCGACGAGGATCTCTTCTCGTCCAAGCTCATCTCGCCCGACGTGTCTGAAAAGCTCCCCGAGGGCTACCAGCTGCGCGCCCTTCGACCGGGCGACTTTGACACGGGCTTCCTCGAGTGTCTGCGGGTGCTGACGACGGTGGGCGACGTCACCAAGGAGGCATTTGAGGAGCAGTTCAGGCAGATGAGCCAGCAAGGCGGCTACTACATCATCGTCATCGAGGACACCAACCGGACAGACGGGACAAAGTCGGTCGTCGCCACAGGTGCTCTGATAGTCGAGCGCAAGTTGTACGTGCCCATGCCCGCGTCCACGCCCAGCGACGCCGCGGCACCCGTGACGGAGGCTCAAACGCAACGCCCCGGGGCCCGAATCCATCTGCTGACCATGTGCATAGCATCCACAGCCTCGGCGCGGTCGGTCACATCGAAGACATTGCCGTTGCCAAAGACCAGCAGGGCAAGAAACTCGGCCTCCGACTCATCCAGGCCCTCGACTACGTCGCCGAAAAAGTCGGCTGCTACAAGTGTATCCTTGACTGCAGCGAGGCCAACGAAGGCTTTTACGTCAAGTGCGGTTTCAGACGGGCCGGCTTGCAGATGGCGCACTACTACCAGGGAAACAAGAGTACATCTCAATAAGCCTCCCATCGTGCTTGTCTTGCCCTCACGACTACACCTGCCCTTGCGTTTGCTAGCACGTTGGCCCGATGGCTACATTTGTCGATTGAAATTCGGCCCGTCCTGCCATGTACAAGGGTTTTTTTTTTCTGGCTTTTAATTTTTTCCTCTTCCCGCCTTTACCCTCTCGAGTTTATGCATGGGGCTGATGCTTTTTTTCTTTTTTTCATGCGGCGCAGGTAGCAAAATCTAGATTCTGCATGGAACAAGGTTGGGGCGCAGCGCGCAGCGCAGTGCGTTGAATGATTTGGATGGGTAGCTAGCCGGCATGGGACAGATGGACACGATACGTACTCGGCACTTGTATCTATCGAATGGATGGATCGACTCAAGCTTGGAATGCATTCAACGCCCCATTGTGATGGCTTTGCCGCCACGCTGACCGAGTCGGACCGCCACGCCGCCGCCGGTCTGTCCTGCGCCGCGGTCGCAACAGAGTTCCCAATTGACGACGAGCCAATGCAGGCGAGCTGTTTTGGCGCCGTCTCGGCCAGTCACGCCGCGTCGAGAGTCAAACGACTCGAGACGGATGGAACCTCGTGCTCAACCCGCAATGCGCCAAGCGACGACGCATCTGCAGCTCAAGACAAAAGCGCAGTCCTGCCTCCGGCACATGCAGCAGTGCGTCCTTGTAGTCTGCGGGCGCCGCCGAACTTGTTGTCCAAGACTCGGGCCCCGAGCAGCCGTTCGCAGCAGTACGTGGTGCGTGTGTAGTTGGCCATCGAAGCAGCCTGCGCAACGGCTCACTCCGCAACGGCTCACTCGATACTCTGCCCAGCCCAAGAGCCAAGCCGCCTCCTATTATTATTGTCCTTGTCCGTGTCCTGGTCCTTGGTCCTCGCCCCCACCCCACCGGGCGACGCCCGTCTCTGCACTCCGCAGCGCGGACTGGCGCGGCCACGACGCAGCTGGCATGTGAATCGACGCATCAGACGACCACCAGTCTCCCGCGGCCGAGGCCCGTCGTAGCGCCCTGCACCCCAGACGCAGGCCAGACCGGACGGGAGGCGGGAGGCGGGAGGCGGGAGGCGGGAGGCAAGGGAATTGAAGTCCTTGCAAGCCTGCTCATGTGCTTTGTCACTTGGCCGTCTAGGCAGGCGGGCGTGCTTGTGCTTACTCTTAAATACGGCGATTGTCCCCCGGCCACGGCACCCGTCTGCTCTGGCCGTTGTCACGGACTGCGACGGTGAGTCTCTTCCACGGCTGCGGCGGCTTTTCTCGCCCCTTTTTCTATCCCTCGTCACACTAGCCTCGGTGGGTTTCCATCTCGCTCGCCAGATATCACTCATCACTCGGGAGGGAGGTCTTTCACAGAATGGACGAGCTTCACCCCGTCCTGGCGCGCATGCGCATCGCCGCCCTTCAGGCAGAGTATGTCTCGTCTCGCCCACGCGCACGTGCACGTGGGCCCTTGGCGTCCCAAACGACAGGATGATGAGACGTGCAAGGAAAAAGAAACGAGAAGAAGAACCATGCAAGCTGACGAGGTCAATCCAAGAGTGCTGTCGAGAAACATGCAGGCAAACGGCTTTGTACGCTCGCAGCGCAGCAAGGTCGCCATTGTCAAGGATCCCTCGGGCGCCCGGAAGCTGGGCAAGAAGAGGGTTGTGAGGGCGCGCTCAAACTCGACCTCGAGCGCGTGTTGAGGACACGGACACGGACGCGGGCACGGGGGACACTGGACGCTGCTGACACGAGATGGGGGATGGGGAATCGGGGCCGACTCCGACGAGTGTTCCCGAGGGAGGAGCTGGAAGGATGGATGGCTTGCTGCTTCCGGAATGGCCGGCCGGCTTGGGTCTTGTCGCGTGGGTGCGTACGGATCACGGGGGTTCGTGGGTCGGCTCGGGTCGGGTTGGGCTGGGAGTGAAATTCTATTCTTTTCCCTGTTGCAACTCGCAAGCGCGTCTGGATATCTTCTAACAGAGGTGGTGCAAAATCATGGCTCATTTGTGCGAGTTGCAAAGTCGGCAATCGTCATGAACCCGAACCTGTTGACCCTCCGTCTTGACTCTTGGGCCGCTCGACCTCGACTTCCTCTTGTTACGGGGCACAAGCATGGCCTTCGGTTCGTGCCTCAGCGCCCCATCCAGCCGCCGTCGACCACCAGCGTGTGGCCGCTGACGTAGGCGCTCGCGCGGCTCGCCAGGTAGACCGTGGTGCCCTTGAAGTCGTCGGGGCGGCCCCATCGCCCGGCGGGGATGCGGGAGCTGATGCTCGCCAGGCGCTCGGGGTTGTTGAGCAGCGCCGCGTTCATGTCCGTGTCGATGTAGCCGGGGGCGATGGCGTTGACGGTGATGCCGCGCGAGGACCATTCGTTGGCGAAGCTCTTGGTGACCTGGCCGACGGCGCCCTTGGACGCCGCGTACGCGGGGACCGTCAGCCCGCCCTGGAACGTGAGCAGCGACGCAAAGTTGATGATGCTGCCGCGGCGGCCTGTCGTGGCCGACGGCTCGAGGCCCAGCATGTGCGCGCCCACGTCGCGGCAGAGCGTGAAGACGGCGTTGAGGTTGACCTGCATCACCTGGGGGTCGGAAACGCGAGGCCGGGTCAGCACGACGCCGCCGCCGGAGGGGTCAAGGATCGGGGGTCAGGGATCGAGGGCGGGCGGGGAGGGGTTGCACACCTCGTTGAAGTCGCTGTCGGGGAACTCCTCGCAGGCGTGTCTCCTCTGGATGCCGGCGCACGTCACCAGGATGCGAACCGCGTGCCCGTCGGCCAGGACCTTGGGCGTCAGCGCCGCGACCGACTGCGGCTCTGCCATGTCGGCCGTGTAGATGCTCGCCTTGCGGCCCAGCTTTTCCACCGCCTCCTTGGTGGCCGTGACGCTGGTGTCTCGCTGCGTCGCGGAATCAGCATCGCCCCCTTCGTGCTGGGCTGCGTTGGGCTTTTACCTGGACGAGGACGAGGTCGGCGCCTGCTTCGGCGAGGCCAATGGCCACCGCTTGTCCGATGCCCCGGGTGCAGCCTGTGACCATGGCCGTCTGGCCCTCGAGGGAGAACATTGGGGCGCTCATCTCGACTCTTTTTTGTGTCGTGTCTCGTGTGTGTCTCGATGCTGAGGCCAAGCAGGCGGGGGAAGGAGGCTACGTGATGATTGACATCTTTGCGGAGGAGTCGAGCAAACGCCGATGGTTGCCGCTTGTGACCCCCTCTCCTTTGCGGATCAAGTGCCGCGGGCCGCCAGACTAGGATCTCGGCGTGGTGGTGTGGTCAGCGGGTAATGGGTATTGAGCGGGTAATGAGCAAACCGGAAATGCGCCCGACTATTGTTCCGTCAGAATTTGTAGCTAACCATTCATTGTAAGTTACTCTTCGACAGCATCCGCCGTATAACATGACGAAGAAAGCTACCTTGCCATAGATAGATGTGCAACGTCTGGACGCTGGTGTGGCGATTACATTAATGCCACCACACGATATCATTCCATTACTCATTCGTCAAAGGGGCGCTGCCAATTCCTCGACGGGAGTTGTTCAGCCGGAAGTGGAAAGCCTCAGTCTTCCATAGTGAGTGTCCATAGTTTATACATGATACAGCAACAAATAGTTACAAAGTACCCGGCCTTGGACCGCGTAGAACAAGCACCAGCGCCACCAGTGACCATCGGCGGCAGCGCCATGGTTCGTGACACAATTGTCCCGGTCGCTCATAGCGTCCAGCTATTTCACCGCTTTTTGAATCCACTGCTCAACAGCTCCCTGAATCTCGCCACTGTTCTTCTCCAGAAACATCATGTGCCCGTTCCCGAGGATCCCAATGCCGGCCAGCTCCAGATGCTCAACCTTGTCACAACCCGCCTGCCGCAGGAACTCGACGGTGCAGTAGTCATACACGGCATGGTACGACGCCTCGGCCGTCACCACCAGCATCGGCTTGTGCACCAAGTTCTTCAGCTTCCTCGGCGGCGGATCCTCCGCCTGCAGCACGCGCTCCGCCAGCCCCGGCGAGACTGGCGCGTGCGTGACCTTGACAAGGTCCCTGTCCGGATCGCCCACGGCGGGCTCGTATGTCATGGGCGTGTCCCAGATCCCCCACAGCTTGGACCTCCTCCGACTGAACACGGCCTCCTGGAACGGCGGCCCCCTTGGCTCTAGGAGGACCATGGACCGGACGAGGTGCGGCCGCGCGTCGGCAATCAGCGGCGGATACGCGCCCGCCTGGCTGTGGCCGAGCAGGACGGCCGGTCTGCCGATCCTGTCCAGCAGCGCCGCGCCCGCCCTCTGCGCAGCCGCTTGCTGGCACGCCTCGTTGCTGACGAACTGCACCGTGGAGGCGTAGAGGGCGTCGAACACGGCGTCGCCCATCATGCCCGTCCCCGGCCACTGCGTGTGCCTCGCAGCCTGCGGCCACTGCCTTGACACCCGGGGCGCCGTGAACCGGTCCTGCAGGAGTTCGGCAGGATACGCCGCCGGCGAGGGCACCCCGTCGCCGGGATGCCATGCCGAGCGGGCGCGAAGCGGCTGGTCCGGGATGTAGACCTCGTACCCTTGCTCCAGGAAGTTGGATGCCCAGCCACGCCCGCCGTCGGGCTTGTTGAGGAAGTTCTGGTGCCTCGTCTTAGTCGACGGCCATGGCAAAAAGTATCAAGGCTGGCCGGCCGCGAAAGAACGACCGTACCAAACATACCGCTCCAGTCATGCAGTTGCCGTGCATCAACACGATCGGCCACGCCTGTGTCACCCCCCGGGCAGGCACCAGCTTCTCCACGTACATCTGGTTGTGCAGGAAATGGTTGCCTTTGCCATCCTCCACATACTCCCCCCCGGCGTAGAAATACGTGCGCACATGGGGGACTTCTTCCTCTCCAGGGCCACGCTGTGGGTTTAGAAGGGTTAGCCACTGTCCGTGACGAGTTTTGTTGAAAGCCGTACCTCACTGGGCGGAACCATTTCAGGCTTGGATGCTTTGATCTTGATTGATTGCCAGTTATGAGATGGATCCGCGTTTCCGCGCCTCCTTGCTGTCAGTCTGTCTGTGTCGTCGAACTCGTTTTGCTCGCGGGTGCGCTCCTTTGCCTCAGCAATTGCATTTATCCCAGAGCATCGTTTGGCTCAGCTACTAGGTAGCGCCTCCAACCTCCAGCGGTGAGTTGTTGGTCAGTTACTGAAGGAGCAGTGTTGATAGTGGTGAATCGATCGATGCCGAGTCCAAGTGAGGTGGGGAAGCGCCACGCCCGTTCTTCACCGAATGACTGTCTCCTCATCTATCATCAACCACTATACACCAAGCTGGTATTCATACGAAAGAGGCGCACCTTGAACTATTTTCGAATCAGCTAAATCATGTGTATTTTTGAAAGAAAAGAAAAGAAAAGAAAAGAAAAGAAAAATGGACCTCAGCTGGTACGGGCTCCAGCCTTTCTGCAAATGTATTTGCGCCGGACTGCTCAGCAGCAGGACGAGCTGGCTGAGCAGGTACTCGTCGTAATTTTGGAGCCAACGGTGCTGGACGCAACGGCCGGGTATCTTGCGCACCCTTCGGTGTAGCCGTGCTAGAGATTTCAAGCGGGGATACAGCTAGATGCCTCAAAGGTAAATCGGGTCTTCTGTCTTGGCTCCTCTCTCGTTTTTGTTCGTGCTGTTGGAAGGTGAGCTTCACTTGTCGGCCATGTGGGCTATGTGCATTCTCCAGAGGACGAGAAGCCTAATTATTTCGGGCGGGAGTAGTTAGGACTTTGTCAGAGTCCTCGTTCAGTTCCTCGAACAATCGGGTAGCTCGAGTTGGTGACAGGGCTAAATACTCCTTGGGATGATCGGATTTTTTCGTCAGGTCAGTGTAGAAGTCGATGGCTTCGATAACGGCTTGCGGGTTTCGTGCGTAATCTTCCTTCGTTATTGCCGACGCGCTCAACAACTGCACCCATTCGTGGGGCAGGCCTACGAATTCCTTACTAGCTGGATTGAACCCAACGTGAACAGCATGCGAGATGTTGGTGGGATTGCTCACACCCCCTAATCCTGGACGTGCCGTATGTATCACGTCAATCCAACCGTATAATTCATCCCCCGTTTTTCTCGACGTGTAAGATACGCACTTCACCCACCTTCTCTCCGGGGCTAGATGACGTGCCACCGGACTTTCTCTTAATTTCTTTCTAGCATTGGGGTATCCGCCAATGCTAGTGACCTCGCTCAACAAGATTGTATACACGGACTTGCCTCCTTCTGCCTTGCAAAAGTCGAGCCAATCCCTGCAGAGGACCAAGTATCTGTCTTTCCAAGCCGTGATAAAGCTGCCCTCCTTGACGGCGGCCCATCCTTGGTGCTGTATTAGCGATGGCATCAGACCTGCCGCTGTGTTCTGTTTCCGTCGTGCAACAGGCAGTGACACCGTGGAGCCTGTGTAGGTGGTTACAGTCGTTCCAGGAACTGGCGAGATGGCGGTATTTGCCAAAGAGGCCCCCAGTGTACGTTGATGACGCGACATATTTGTCGACTGCCTGACCAAGGGCACCGACTGATTTAGCGAAAACCAGTAGCTGCGAGCGACTCAAGTCTGGGGTTATAGGACTGATTTGCTTTCAATTTTGAAGAGCGATCAAACGATCTAGGTGGGCACGATGCATGTTGGCTGACAAGTGAGTGGAGCAAACTGCCTTGCCTTCCTATGCTGAACATCAGTTCAAGACCCAAGAGTATTGAGATAGCCCTGAGTAACAGGAACCCGGCAAACGGAGCGAGTTGCGCGAGGCAGCAAGCCGGCCGCGTGACACGCCGAGTCTTCCCGAGGAGTGTCTGGACGGCCAATGACCGATGTCAGATATGGTGATGTCGCGATCCAACGTTCAGAGGCCTTGTAAAAGTACCTTCTTCGTACTTTGTTTCGTCAAGACGGTCTTGGTGTGCTCGTGAGGCTTGGTTTGAAGGAGAGTAGGTGGGCAAGAATGGAAGTCTCCGACCACAAGCGCTGTTCCCGATTGACCTGGACGTGATCCTCCAGTCAGCAGGGCTGGAATTTCAGCTGCCGGGCCGAATGGCGACATGCTGAAAAGGTGAGGCTCATTGTCGCACCGGATGGGTGATAATTGACGGCGGCGTGGAAGCTTGTCGCGGAAGCACAGGCAAATTGTGTTTCCTTGGAACTCGGATTGGCGATCTATTGACTTTGGCTCGACTGGCCTAACCGGCTTCCGGCTAGATGCACGAAGACCGATGAGTGCAAAGAACTGGCAGAAGATTGGCACCAAACAACCAGCCCAAACAACATTGGCGATATCTGTACAGAGATTAGATTGCCCGCCTTCCTCGAGTTGAGCGTGTTGCCATTTACGGCTACTCCCTCTCGTGAGGCTGGGGCCGAGTGTCAGAAGTGGAGTACTTGTGCCTGTGGCGCAGTCCCGCCGCCCCCTCTGCCCTCAACCCCGTTTTGCCCCGTCGCCGGCTATTGAACATTGACAATCTTAACTTTCTTGAGACGTCGTCGGCGAATGATTTGACTATGCAGCAAACGCTGAATCATCATCCCCCGGCGTTTCGGCTCGCGAGGTCAGATCCTTGACGGCAATTTAATATCTGATGTCGTCTCGTGGAACCTCGTCTACCACAGTTGTCATCTCCCCCGCGTTTCTGGATTTCGTGCTTCCTCGCCGCCTGCTGCTCGCTGCTCGCCACATTCACCGACCCCAAAGATTTGGAGCCACGTTGGATTCGACCGGTCTGGAAGAGCATCAGATATGACCTTGCAGAGTGTCAGAGCTTCTGTCCTGCACGGAGCGAAGGACTTGCGCATTGTACAAGACCTGCCCGGCTCCTTATCCGAAGCATCGCGTATACTGAGTAAATCTCGCTAGGAAACCCGCGACCTGCCAGCTCCTGCGGCCGACGAAGTGCAGATTGCCGTACAGTCTACCGGCCTTTGCGGCTCGGATTTGCACTATTTCAACCATTACCGGAATGGAGACATCATCGTTTCCGAGCCTCTGACGCTCGGCCACGAGTCGAGCGGAACAGTGGTCGCAGTGGGATCCGACGTCACAAACCTTGCACCTGACGACAGAGTCGCGCTTGAAGTTGGTCTGCCCTGTGAGAACTGTGAATATTGCAAAGAAGGCCGATACAACATCTGCAGGGGCATGAGGTTTAGAAGCTCGGCAAAGGCCGTTCCTCATGCGCAAGGCACGCTGCAAGAAAAGATCAACCACCCTGCTCGTTGGTGTCACAAGTAAGAGCCCTGGATCATGTCTCTCTCTCCCTCTCACTCTCTCTTTCTCTCTCTAAAAAATCCCTTTCCGACTCGTATAGACTCCCGCCTCAGCTCTCTTTAGATCTAGGCGCAATCATTGAACCACTTTCCGTTGCCATGCACGCGCAAAACCGTGCCAACCTACCAGCTGGCTCAACAGTGCTGGTCTTTGGTGCCGGTGCTGTCGGGCTGCTTGCCGCAGCAGTTAGCAAGGCCGACAAGGCCGCTGCCGTGGTTATTGCAGATATCCAAAAAGACCGAGTCGACTTTGCTGTTGCTAACGGCTATGCCGATGCGGGATTCGTTGTCCCGATGGCCCGCCCGCAGACAATTGAAGAAAAATTGGCTTACGCACAGGATGTAGCTGCCAAGATCAAAGAGACCCAAGTCAATGGCAAGGCCGTCGGCGAAGTTTCCGCTGTCTACGAGTGTACCGGGGTTGAAACGTGCACTCAAACGTCCATTTACGTAGGTTGAACGCTTGTTGCTCCTTCACGAACGGGGCTAACAGTACGACACAGGCAACAAAGCCCGGCGGCAAGGTCATGATTATCGGCATGGGCAACCCCATCCTCACGCTGCCAATGTCGGCGGCCGCACTACGCGAAGTCGATCTCGTGGGCGTTTTCCGGTACGCTAATGTCTACGGAAAAGCCATCGAGCTCCTTGCAAATCGTCCTTGCGGCATGCCGGATTTGTCTTCGCTTGTCACGCACCGATTCAAGGGTATGGACCTTATCAGTAAGGCATTCGCGATGGCAGGCAAAGTCAAGGATGACGAGGGGTGTCTAGTTCTCAAAGTAGTAGTAGACATGAAATCGCAATAGGGACCGGTCAGAAGCAGCCGGTGTAATCTTAGTGTCGCCATACAAAACGAGGGAGCAAACGAAGCAGGAGTAGAGCTAGACGATTACAGGGTATTTTTTAACTGCCGTCCGCGCACGCCACCGTCATGAACTCGGAAGCCTAGGCTGATAGCAAACGCCGGAAACACACACCGCTTCAATCCGCCGTGGTTGATGGGATGATTGGGGTAATCTGTTTAAATCTTACATCTTGAGAGCCCAGCCCGACGACTTCAAATTGGCCTTGATATGAGAGCCCGTGACAGAATTGGGCATGACAGTGTTACGACCTACGAAGCACTCCGTCCCGAGACCGTGTTTATACTTATGTTGATCCCAGGCGGTACGATTGGTCTGGCACATCGACTGCCACCCCGGACCCGGGTGCGGCTGCAACACGGCGTGGCCCGATGACAAGACAAGGGACGAAGCGCTGTGGTATGACAAAGCTTGGAGAAGACATATCAAAAAGACCAAAGCGGCTTCGTGACAGGCCTTCTAGGTGGTATCTGGATTGCCATCCAGAGATGGCGGCCTATTTGAAAAGAGAAACAAAGTTTCACCTACCGCGTCGAGTGGCATTGCAAAACGGTCTGATATATCCGCGACCCAGGAGATAACCCGCAATGTGTTCCAATACAGCACGCGATGGCCCGGGACCTGCTTCGTTGGTGGTTTTCGCCCCCGTTCAGCCTCGTGTGCATGTACCAAGGTCAGGAGTACCGGGCTTGCGGCAATCGAACTAGGGCAATACAGACAGCAAATCGACTAGAGACTCCAGTTCCTGGGTTTGAATGTAAAGTCCTCGGGCTTCTATGATCGGGACATTGTGACTCCTCTTGTGTTGGCGCCAGGTTGGCCCAAGCCCTCCGTAGCCCAGCCGTGTAAATCTGAATAATGCACCGTGTTGCTGTCAGGCCACTTCGACGCCGAGTACCGGTGACATTGTTTTGCGTTTCTTGACTGAAGAACATGGCGCACGACCAACAGCGTCGCATTAGGCACAAAACAATCACACATGTAATAACTATGTGCTGCTTCAAAGCGGTGGAGAGGCATCTCTTCCTCCCTTTCACATCTCAGTGCTTTTCTCTCTGATGCCGCAAGCGGCAAACCTTCATCAACTGTCAGGACGAGAATTTCTGCACATAAGACTCTTGAAACACCTCACGAGTCCTACGAGCCAGCGAGCGGCCGGTGCGGATACTACGTTGCGAGACGTCCTCTGCGAAGAAGCCGACAATACGCTCTGAAGGAACGGCAGCAAGAAATGCCGCCGGCAACAAGCGGCCGAGAATGGAGTCTGTCAATGTCTGGAACGGATTCAAGTTTCTCATTTATTCCAACCTAACATGTCCAACTGCCGTCAGTATGAGTCTGTCCCTTCCCCACGCGCCGAGGTAGATTGGGAGATTGAACCAGTTGAGTTTGAGAATGACTTGCTCGGGGCAGGACTCTGGCCGTCTTGGGCTTCAATCTGACGCAGACAGTATATTGGTAGTGATCCTCAGCCAGCGTTCGCTGTGCAGTGCCAGAGCGTGGTTTCTTGAATGGAGAAAAGCCAAGCAACGTATGGTGCTTGGCGATGGGCGGCCGAGGCTTCAAGGTTCGCTGCGAAGAGACAAGTTCTACCCTTGATGTCGTTGTACTGATTGCCACCGATGCAGACGGCCGAATAAGCACGACTGCCGTGGTCTCAACCATTGGCGTACAGTTCCTCCCTGGCCATGTCGCTCACCCGTCTTCCGTTGCCCTTCATCCCGCCATCTGCGACGAACTTCCAGGCCAGGAAGTACCACGAAGTCGCGTTCCCGACGGTGCTTATCTGGTCGCCGCCTTGCCCGGCTTCAGCTGCCGCTGCGGCCGCGGCCGACATTGCACTGTAGAGGCCGGCATTGGTGAAGAGCTCCGTCAGGTGGCTCGCCACAGCGTCCCAATCGCCCGCGCGAGCAAGATAGCCGTTGACGCCGTGGCTGATTTGAAGGGGAATGCCGCCGACCGAGGTTCCGATCACAGGGCGTCCTGCATGCAGCGCTTCCGAGACCTTGATCTCGAATCCCTCGGCGGTGGACAGCTGCAGCACCACGCGGGCGTTCCTGATGAGCACGTTGAGGAGCTGGTCATTGGCTTCGAGACGGACAACGATGATGTCCTTCTTCAAGTGGCTGTATTTCAGCTGGATATGCGTAACGGTCTCATTGAAGGCCGCGACGCCATCCGGGTCGTCGACGGAAGGGTTGCCACATCTGTCGTGTCGCATCAGCCGTCAGCATTTCGTACTGGTCGGGTCTCTGCGGTGCACCCTATTGTGAGTTGGAGATTGCGCATGTTGAAAACCTACATGACGAGCTGAGGTGGACTCGCGAAATCCGACCGATCGAGTCGCCGCCGAAGCTCGCCGTACGAGTCGATGACGGTGAGCAGTCCCTTGGACGGGTCGAAGCGTGAGATTTGGATGACGTAGTTGCCTGAGATTGGTCAAATTAAAAGCCATCAACTACGGTCTTTTTGCCTGCCAGACTCACGGGCAGGCCATTCAAGCTCTGGCATGTTGTGTAAATGACACTCTGCGTTGAAAACCTGCATGTAGTACTGACTATCCCGGGCGCTCAACGTCTTGTTCAGGCCGTCCAACCTGCCGTCCCATCTGTCAGCAGTGAGTTCTGAACCGCAGTAATGGCGACCTGCTCCGTCAACGTGACGCTCACCAATCGGTGGCCGCGGGAAGATGGGCAACCACGTCTCGAGGCACTGTGCGAGGCACAAACGTAGGAACGGGATGGCTGAGGAAGGCATCTGCGTTTTTGACAAAGTTCCAGATGAATTCCCAAACGCCCGCTTGTGGAGATTGATTGGAGTCGACGAGATCACTGCGGATTTGGATGTGGGAGCGGAAGAGTACAGGCCGTTTCGGTGAGACGTGCTTGATCAGCGGTATCAAGCCGATCATTTGGGGGTCGTCAATCTAAACTCACGGGGTCAGTGTTGAGGCAACAGAAAATCGATGCGATGCAGCTATATTTGCTGAGGATCGAAGCATAAAGTTTTAAAAAAAATAGGACGTACGACTACGATATCAGCGCCGCCCTGCTCAGGCATGCACAGCGGTCCACCATCAGTAAGCCAGTAACGCTTCGCATTGTCTGTAACCCAGTCAATGATGGCAGACTTGTCTGCATCCGAGATGGCCTGGGTGCGGGCAGCTCCCTGCAGTATATTATGGATGTTCTTGGTTATGCGAAAAACAGCCTGTCGAGGCTTGGGGACTGGCGAGACAGGGGATTAGTCTGAGACGAAGCTGGGCCGCGTTGCTCAAGGCGCAAGGCGAGGAAGAGCGAGGAGAGAAGGGACGGGACGGAGAAACTCACCATACCACTTGACGTCGACGGAGAGTAGCCGTGAAAGACGAACCAGTGCATGGCGCATCAGAGCGACACCACCGCCTTGCGGCGTGGCACTGAAGAAGGCTATCCTCGTTCCCGCAGCTCGCAGCTTGTCGACATAGAACATCAAGGCCTGCCACGAGGCAGCGGAACAGGTTCTTTGGTAGTCTTGGAGGCCGCAGAGTCGAATACTGCCTCCGGCGTCGACTTGCACGGAGCTGTGCCGACCGATTTGGAGGGCGGGAGTCATGGACGGGTTAAAGCATCTTTGCCGAAGTTTAGTCCAGTTCCCTTCCGCTGTTTCCGGAGAGAGCCTAAACGACGCCTACCTGATGCACCTTCGAGCCATTGAATCAGCTTGTTCGTCGACATTCTTGTCGCGCCATGGTGTGCCCGTCCAATTCTCCTCGGGAATGACAAAGGGGATGACATCGAGCTCGAGCCAAAGTCGCGGGCACAAGGTAGAGCAGCGGTCGCCCAGCAGGCTGGGGAGTCCGGCAGCGATGATTTTGGCACTTTTAGCACGCGCATATGACTCTAGACAGCCGACGATGCCATCTGTGATGGGCGTTTCCCCAGCCAATTCAAGGTCTGCGACGTGGAAGTCTACGAGGTGGACAGCGTTGCGGAAGGCGAAAGCAACCGTCATGCGCTGCTTGCGATGCAGCGTTGCAGAGATGCCCACGAAGCAAGACTTGCGCGTCTCGTCAGAAACTACTTAAGACAAGCGTCGTGTTGAGCGGGATTGCAGAGGAAGTTACCGTGAAAGGCATCTTTTCCGCTCGCAAGCGCCAGGGTATCGATGGTGACGCGAGCCCGGTCGAAGCGGCGAAATACTGCTCGTCGCTATGTGAGTGGATTCTTCTGAAGACTCGACGCCCAGGTACACTGGCCCAACGTTGGAATGAGATGACGGAGAGACGGCAGCATGGCCATGGGCGCGTACGGTGCACGATGCAGGCGCCTCGATTTGAGGCTGCGCCACGTTTGCTGCACCCGACACCAGCTCTCCGTCGCAAGCTCAGCTCAGCCGACGGACGCCTGAGGGCTTTTCGTGCTCGCTGCCTTGGGCATCACGTCACGCCTCCGCGCAGAGGCGACCAAGGCTACGACACACAAAAGTGTGACGTGGGCCACGTCCATTTTTTAGTGTGACAGGATCACGTAGTGAAGTCGTGCGTGCCAAGCACAAAGCAACAACCCCCTCGGTCTGTTCTGCTGGCACTTTTTGCCGACCGAAGCGATGCCCCCAAAGCAAATTTTGACCATGACCGTGCCGCCGACGAAGACAGGTTTTCCGGCCTTGGGTCAAAAGAACTCACGACACCAGCACGGCTGCCAAGAATGCGCACTACATTTCATCCACGGCGACAGCAAGCACAACGATGGGCTGCCCGTCTTTTGGCCCAACTGACCCGGTCGGGATGACAGGGAGCCCGACGGCCAAGTACGAGTCTGCAGTCTTCTCGATGACGCAGACCTGGACATGGACAGGGAAGCCGCCGTACGAGGGCATGCGTGCGTATTGCTGCGTTGGTGTCTGCCCGAGGTTATTCCTGGAGCATCTCGACTCTGACAGACGGGACCGCAGCTGGGATCCGTCATCCTGGCGAGAGGCAATGGCTCCTTTGCCGACATGTTCTTCACCCTGGGCCCCGGGACTGCTGGCAGCATGGCATTGTCGCGTGTGATGGCGCCATGAAAACGACACGTTGGAGATGTTGCTGCGTGAAGTTGCCCATGCGGCGTCTCGGAACCAAGCCTGACGTGCATGTACTCGAGCACGTATCGGTGGGAGGTTCCTCTCCCTTCGAATTTAGGTCCTTAGGTACCTAGGTACTTACTCAGGTAAGTACCTAGGTAAGTAGCCAATGAAAACCTAGGACTAAAAGATAACTACTACATGGAAACACCACGAGGTCTCGTGTCCCGGCAAACAACGTTATTCCAAGCCACAAAACGCTACATTGCTCTTTGCGCAGCTCTGGGTGACACAACTCGCTGCCAAAAGGTCCTTGGGCACTTGGGAGGGCACCTTCACACACGCAAAGGGGCATGACCAGACCGTGACACTTCGTCCAACCTCATCTCCACCAAAGTGTGGGCTTGATCCCGCGACGACGAGCGTCGGCGTACTTTTTTCCTTGCCGCCGCAGATCGATGCGACGGCCTAGATTCCTTGAACCGCAGCGGCCTCCCCTCGCCTTACCGACTTCCCGGGCCTCCATCTCGCCGTCGTGGGCCCGCGGTTCCACACGAATCTGAGACGTGCGAAATCTCTCCGACCCTGCTGCCTTGGCTATTCCCTGGTCCCTGGTCCCTGGTCCCTGGTCCCTGATCCTCAAGCCTCGGGTCTTCCGGCTGGACGCTGCGTCGCTGGCGCTTCGCCGGTTGTCGCGACATCAAATCCAAGTCCCGTCTCCGCCGCCACCCCCAGGCGGCGAGCCCTGAACCATCTATTGCTGTGCAGTTCGCCGAAGCCCGTCTGCAGGAGGGCATCGTCGTCGTCATTGTTTCCAAACCCGAGCTTCGTCCAGCGCGTCGGCCCGTCCTCAGTTTGCCGTTGCCAGACGCCGTCTTGCACAACTGGATCCTGCCGGCCCACGTATGCGCTCATGATTCCGTGGAGCTTGAGCTTGGCCGACCAAAAGTACTGGCCCCTTTAAGTCGTGACAAGTTACAGCCATGCGTTGGACTGTAAACAACGAGACGTCTTGTGGCAGCAGCCTTCCCCGTTCCGACAAGAGGCTATATATCGGCATGGTGGTCCGTCAACCTCGTGCGCCGCCCTTCCAAGCTATCGCCCGGCCTTGAACTCGGCATTGTCTGCTGGCCCTATAATTGATAATCACAAGAAACCGAGGCGAAAAAAAAAAAAAGAAATCATGTCCGTCTACCGCATCGGCGTTGACGTCGGCGGGACGAATACAGACGCCGCGATTCTCGACATTCACGCCCTCGACCAGCCCGGCCGAGGCGTGCTCGCATCACACAAGGCGTCGACAACACCTGACATAACGAGCGGCATCGAGGCCGCCATCGCCGCCATCCTCAAGAGCTCTGCGGTTGACCAGCGCCGGGTGCTCAGCGTCACGGTTGGGACAACGCATTTCATCAATGCGCTGGTCGAGGCGGATGCCCGCAGGCTCGATCGCGTCGCCGTCGTGAGACTGTGCGGCCCTTTCACGAGGCAGATACCGCCCTTCTCCGGGTTTCCCGTCGGCCTTCACGGCGTCCTTGACGGTGGCGCCTACTACCTCGACGGCGGTCTCGAGATGGACGGACGCCACATCGCACCCCTTGGTGAGGAGCAGGTTCGTGCCGCAGCACGGGATATCATGGCGTCGGGCGTCAGGGCCGTCGCCGTGGTGGGCGTCTTTTCTCCCCTGGACCACGATGACGTCTACGAGGAGAGGTGCAGAGGCATCCTTCGCGACGAGGCCCCCGAGCTGCGCGTCGTCTGCTCGCAAAACATCGGCCCTACCGGCTTCCTGGAGCGAGAGAATGCCACCATCCTCAATGCTGCCATTCTGCGGACCGGCCACAAGGTCAAGGACGGCTTCAAGCGTGCCATGAAGCGGCTCAAGCTGGGCTGCCCGCTCTATCTCTCCCAAAACGACGGCACCCTCATCGATGCCGAGACCGCGGCCGACTTTCCCATCAAGACGTTTGCGAGCGGGCCGACCAACAGCATGAGCGGGGCTGCGTTCCTCGCCGGGCTGGACAGAGATGGCGCTGGAAAGCTCGTTGATTCGACCCTCCGCGCGGACGATGCCGACGAGGCCGTCGAGCCCCAGGTTCTCGTTGTCGATGTTGGGGGCACGACCACTGACGTCTGCGCCCTTCTGCCCTCGGGCTTTCCGCGTCAAGCACCCGGCTTTGTGGAGGTTGCTGGTGTCCGGACTGCCTTTTCCATTCCCGAGGTCGTCTCCATTGGCTTGGGTGGCGGCAGCAAGGTCATGTTCGACCCGGAATGCCCCGAGTCCGTCTTGGTCGGCCCAGCCTCTGTTGGCCACGAACTGCTGTCTCAGTCAAAGATCTTTGGCGGCCCCACGTTGACCGCCACAGACATTGCCGTTGCCGAAGGAAAGGCTTCTCTGGGCGATGCGTCGCTGGTCGAGGATGTGGCGCCGGACCTTCGCCAAGGAGGTCGAAAGGGCATCGACGCGCTGTTGGCGACCGTCATCGACAAGATGAAGGTGTCGACGGCGCCCGTCCACGTGCTCCTCGTTGGCGGCGGTTCAATCTTGGTGCCGGATCGAATCGCGGGCGTTGACAAATGCATCGAGCCCATCCATCGCGGCGCGGCCAACGCAGTTGGTGCCGCCATTGGCAAGATTTCCGGCGAAGTCGACACCGTTGAGATTCTCGAGGGTAAAGACGAGAAGGCGCTCATTGCCGCGGCCTGCCAAAAGGCGACGGACCAGGCCATTGCCAAGGGGGCCAGGCCGGACGATGTCAGGATTGTCGAGGTGAACAAGATGCCTCTCCAGTACATGTCGCAGGTGACGATCCGGATCCAAGTCAGAGCCGTGGGCACTCTCGCAGTCCCCGACGAGGCAACGTTGTTCGAGGCGTCGGCGCAAGGTGACGGCGCGAGTGGCGAAGACGACGACGGCCACGACGAAGGAGAAAAGGTCGGCGTTCCCAATGCCCTCCACCCGACGACGAAACCTTCCCTGGGTGTCGATCTGGCTACCTATCGCCCACACGTGCGAGGCGGCACGTGGTACCCGTCGGATATCGACCTTGAACTCATCTCAACGGGCTGTGCCATCCTGGGGACCGGTGGCGGCGGCCCAACGTACTATGAGTATCTGAAGAGCCTGCAATGCCTGCGCAGCGGCGCGAGGGGCCGCATGCGGATTGTCTCTCCCAAGTCGTTGAAAGACGATGCGGTCATATGCCTTGGCACATGGTACGGGAGTCCGAGCGTGATTAATGAACGCATCGCCGCTGGCAATGAGATTGTTGATGCCATCAAGGCCGTCAACAAAATCCAGCGCATTGAGAGTTTTGATGCCGTGCTTGCTGATGAGGTGTGAGTTTCTCCCCGAACCCGGCCCGTTCATGAACCGCAGAAAAGCTGACGGCGGAATCAGCGGTGGTGGAAACGGTCTCTCGGCCCTTCCCGTTGGCGACTATTTCGACGTTCCCGTCGTGGATGCCGACGGCATGGGCAGAGCATATCCAACAATGTACCACAGTAAGACTCGGACGCTGACATTTCCCGCAACGTGGCCTTCTGGGCGAGAAGCTAACCTAGCCATCTTTCAAGTCACATTCAGCGTATATGGCCACAAGATGACTCCCGCAGTCATCACCGATGCCCGCGGAAACGCGGTTGTTGCCATGGTGAGGCGCGGCCTCTCCCGACGAGCCGCTGATTCGCCCCCCCGATGACCATGACGAAGCCGTCACTAATCTCCCGCCAGGGCGTCGACAGCGCGAAGCGCCTCGAGACGATTTGCCGCAACGCCGCCGTAGAGCTCGGCCTCGCCTGTGCCTGCGGTACAAACCCCATCTCGGGCGAGATGGTCAAGACGATTGCGGTGCCCAACACGCTGTCCCAAAGCTGGTATTTGGGCCGTGCCGTGCATCAAGCCAGGCGAGCAAAGACAAGCTACACGGACGCAATCGTACGTCATGTTCACGTCACGGATATCCTGCATCTGTCTGATGCGCTGTTGTACGGGAGCGCGAGCTAACCCGATCCTCTCTTTCCCCGTCCTAGTTCGACGTCTGCGCCGGCAGGGTGATATTCACGGGCAAGATTGTCGATGTGCAACGCCACCTCGGCGGCGGCTACACCATGGGCGCCGTCGTGATCGCCCCCTTTACGGATGACGAGCGCGAAGCCGAGCCCAGGACGGTCAGACAGCGCCCCGGGCCCGACAAGCACATGGTCGTCCCCTTCCAGAACGAGTTCCTGTACGCCGCGCTCTGCGACGGGGTGGGATCCCAGGAGTCGCAGCAGGTCGTTGCCACCGTGCCGGAGCTGATATCGATCCTGGGCCACGACGGCGAGGCCATCGGCTCGCAGGACCTGAGGTTCGGCCTCCGCGTCAACGTCATCGCGCTCCCCGCCCACCCGTTGTGGAAGACGGAAGAGGGCATGGCCGTCGGCGGCCCTGCAGGCTTCGGGCTGAACATGGAGCCGGTTGATGGCGGAATCCCGTTCACCGAGGCGCGCAGCGTCATTGACGAGTTCGATGCGTGACGCGGGAACTCTCGTGCCGGGAGCGAGCGCAACGTGGTGGCTGGCTCGACGACCAAGTTGGCGTTGCATGCCGCGGAGCCTAACTGGCAAAAAATTAAAATCACATTGTCCCATGGCAACACTAACGGAGACGGGGGGCCCAAACTGTGATTTGCTCCCATGACATGGCGTCTCGTGGAAAGGGCTGCGGGAGCAGTACGTCGGCCGCGGGAACATTGGCCTGCTCTCGGCGCGCATGGGCAAGGACTCGCTGGAGAAACGTGGACGGGTACGATGCGCGTTGCGAACCATGTATTCCAAAGAAATATAACGAGCCTCACAAGCCAGCCAGCACGTGTAACCATGCAAACATGTATCCAGTAATTGCCCACACCAGCGCGGCCGCGTGTTCGGAAGCCATGCTCACACGCCCACCACATTCTCCTCAGAACACGTCATGCCGCCCTCGACAGACGATGCCAAACGTCACTCTCCCCCGTGGCCATCTACGACACGGGCACTGCCGGCGGTGCGACCTGGTAGACCCCGAAGAGCATGAGCCTTTCGTCGTCACCGAGGAACGAGAGCCTCGGCGCAAGCGGCTCCGTCAGCTCCGCCTCCACGCGCCACCTCGTGCCTGTCCTGAGCCCAATGTCGTCCCATAACTCCTGGAAGCTCTGCCGGTCGTGCACGTAGCACCTCGCGTGGCGGTAGTGCCTCCCCATGGCGTCCATCTCTCTTGGCCGGAGAGAGCCGACCTGCAGCCCGAAGATGAGGGCGTCGGTCGTCCCGGGGCGCAGGAAGCGCACCATGCGAACGCCCAGCTCGACCTGCTGGGTCCGCGTGAAGAGGTGGAACAGGTTGGCGGCGTGCATCATGGTCACGCGGTGGTCCAGGTCGCGGAGGCGCCCGTCGTCGGCCAGCAAGTCGCCGGCCGCGAAGGCCGGGCCGGAGTCCGGGTCCCCGAACAGCTCGTTCCCGACCCGGATGAACTCGGGGTGCAGGTCTGTCCCGTACAGGCGCGAGGGAGGCACGCCCCTGTGCGCGAGGTGTCGCAGGACTTGGCCGATGCAGCAGCCCACGTCGAGGAGGGCGTCGTTGCTGGCGCCGCCGTCGGCCGAGAGCAGCCGTCGCGTGGCGGCTTCGAGGCGAGGGCCCTGGAAGGCCCGCAGGTCCGTGAAGCTCCGGAGCCCGATGCACGGGTACTGGACTACGTCCCAGAGCTGGCGGTGCTGTGTGCGTGTCAGTCTCGCGTCTGGCTTGGCGCGGGTGAGGCGAGGTGAGTTGCGGATCTCGTCTGCAGGCGCCCAACTTACTGCCCGGCGGAGTGAGGCGTCGACTTGGGCTTCGGGGACGTTGCCGTACTCTCGGAGGAGCTTTCTGAACGGCTCGATGTCGCTTGGGGGTTCTTCGAGAAAGACACATTCCTTCCAGTAATCCTGGGGATCGTCTGGTGCCATCTCCGTGGCTGGTTTGCGATTCGCTTCGTCCATTGCGGCGTGTGCTCGTCAGGTCGGGCGGGGTTTTTTTTGGGTTTCCCGGAGGAAAATGGGCAGAGGAGGTTGCAGATCGCAGGAATTCATCGGGTCCGGGGTGGTAGGATATAAGAAGAAAAGCGGCATGGCATGGAGGAGAGCAACGGTACGGTCCTGCGTGGTCACGATGCGCGGACAATCCGGTCCCTCGACGTCGGCCAAGGTGGCGTTTTTCAGGCGTTTCTCAGGAACAGCTAATGAGGTAAAGTAAGGAGGCTGAAGTTGCAAAAGTCCGCGGTCCGCCGAGCCGAGGCCGGTTTCCTCTCGGCCGGTCCGACTTCATTCATGGCTGCGCATTGACAAGGCGAAGCCGCTCTCGATACGGACTCTAGCCGGCATTGTCATGTAAATCAAGCTAGTCATGAGTGGCGGCGTCGTCTACACGGCCATTGGACTCGTTCCGGAAGACCGATGACTCTTTTGATACAGGAGCCTTGGCGGGAAGCCAACAAACCCTCCAAAGTTCCAAACGCACATTGCGCCACCAAGTATGCGGCAACTTTCGACGGTTCCGTCGGCACCAATCGTCTATCAGGACCTTGAAAAAAGACAAGCACATCCCTGGCCACGGACGTTATGCCGCCATGCTATATCCCACCCCATCCATCATGCAATGTACTGTACCGAGGTGTGATCCAGATCCAAAAGTAGGCCCCGTCGCGCGTCGTCACGACCCAGCCGTGCCCGAGACAGCATCCGGGTGCACGAAGAAGGCGATGCCGACAATGAAGTACCTGCAAGCAGTCAGAAGCACGTACAAGTCGAAACGTCTATACACACACACACGGCTTCACCTACGTGCCGACCAGCAACAGGCCCTCAAAGTAATTCGTCGATCCGTCGTGCACTATACAGTTGACCACCAACGTCGACATTGTCAGGACAATGGTCTCAAACGTGTCAAACTGCAGCGACATGGGCTTGCCCATGACCCAGCCGACGACGATGAGGAAGGGCGTGACGAAGAGCGAAATCTGCAGCGTCGCCCCGACAATGACGGAAACGGCCAGGTTCACGCGGTCGGACCTGGACCACTGGACCGTCCCTACCAGACACCCTGCGTTGCCGACAATGGGCACGATGATGAGACCGATGAAGCTCCTGCTGACTCCCAACGCTTCGACAAACCCGTCGACACTATCGACGAGCGCGTCGGAGCAGAAAGAGACGCCGAGGGTGGCGAGGACGAGAATGACGCTGCTGGAGAGTCCGTGGAGCTTGTCCTCGGGCTGGTCTTCCTCCTCGCTGAACAGGTCCGCATGCGTTACCGACTGGAAGTACAGATATATGAGGTAGAACAGCAGGAGTATGACTGCCGTGATGCGCGACAGGAGCAAGACGTGCTCGCTCGGATGGTCGTTGGAGCCGCCCTGCGTCGGGTCGGCCATGTGCAGTGCCGAGGGCATGATGAGGGACACACACGATATGATCATGAGGGATGTCAAGACGCCGGCGACATCGATGTTGATCTCGACTGTCTCTTTCCCCAGGCCAGAGAGCAGGAAGCAAGTTCCAAGAATCTATTTTGCCCTGATGAGCACAACGACAGCAGATGAATGTGGCCACGCGAGGGGGGGGGGCTCGAGGTTGACAAAGACTAGAGAAAGAGTTCGACTGACCAGCAGAATAGAAGACAAAATGCTTCCAATCATGCTTGACTGGACGATGGATATTTCACACTCTCTCAGGGCGCTTATTCCAACCTGTGCGGGAGTGAGCTTCGGACAATTCGCGTTCTGGTCGAACCCGGCGGCGGGATTCCACAGAGGCTCAGGGATCGTACAATCATCTCTACAGCATTCCCAAACGTGGCGTTGATGAGGCCACCGGCAACGGAACCAACAATGGCGGCCAACTGCTCGGTCCCAAACGTGAGGATAGAAGCCAGCGGCAGCATGGCCAGGAAGTTGACAAGGAAGACGGCGGCTGGCGGCCATGCCCATCCGCCTGCCATGAGGCCCAGAGGGACGCAGGGGAGAAGCACATTGGAATAGCTGCACGTCAACACTGCCATGACGGCGTGTCTCCCCTCCCCAAGCGCACTCTGCAGTAATCCTTTTCGACGAGCATCCTGGCCATTTCGCGCAGCGGCGAGCAGCGGCCGGCTCTCATCATGCCCACGGCGTCGGGTCTCCGAACACGTCATGATGATGAAAGCGCAAGTTTTCTGGGAATCTGAAGCGTTCGAGAGAGAGAGAACAGCGATGAGGGGCTCTCTCACAAGCTGGGGCCTGGCTCGCGGTCCTTGCCCAGGCTGCATTTCGATGCGTGCGAGGGAGCCAGGGTCTGCTGGTGAGGCGGCACGTCTTTGCCGGGCCGGGCCAACAAAGAAGGAACAATGCAGCAAGTGTCTCACCGACACGGCGAAGCGCGCATTACGTTGGATCAATGAGCAACTCGCCCCGCCGGCAATGACACAAAGCGTGCCAATTTGAACGGCAGTCAGACTTGTCCTCGAACCCGCTTCGCACGGCGAGGGCCTCGAGCCTCCGTCTCAACGCGTCTTCGAGTTTCAAACTTGATCTCGTCTTTGGGTATATCTCGGCAGAGTCGAGCTCCAAAATGCAAGTCCCCGACAGCGATCGGCAACTCGAGCGTAGCGTTCGAGCTCGAAGACGCGCCATGGCAAGCGGCAGACCTGCCTCGGATGATTCCGACGTGCCTGGACGAGACGGCTCGATTCCACCCATCTCCGGGACCCAATCCATGTCTCTACGCATGCGGCGGGCGGAAACCTACTACCAAGAGATCGGTGCTCTGTTGCAGGACCTCTCCTCGAGCCCGACCAAGGCGCTCCTAGTGTTCGCTCCTGCGGGAATTATTGCTGGCCTTCTGCGTCTCCACCAAGTTCTGGTATTCGCCCTCAACTTTGTCGCCCTCGTGCCTCTTTCAGCCACGATTCTCTACTCGATTCTAGCATTTACACCCGATCATGCCCTGACTGGCGGATTGCTGCGAGCCGTGTTTGGAAATGCTACAGAGCTTTCGGTATGGCGTATCCGAGGACCTGGCAGCCTGCGCTGCGTGGCTTCGCCCATTTAACGGGTTGCGTTCCTAGCTCGGCGTCTGCGCTTTGCTTCAGGGCAAATCACAATTGGCTCAATGGATCATGATAGGAAGCATCTTGACATACTGTCTCTTTGTCCGACTCCCAGAGCCCCCATCTCTTCTCCCACGTCGACTCCGTGCTAACGAGGGAGCATTGTGCAGGTGCTGGGCTTCAGTTTTCTGGTGGCTAGTTATGGCAAGAAAAAGGAGCCATTCAGCAGAACCCGGACCTCGATAATGTCATCCCTCGTCATGGGCGGTTCGATTTGCCTGGCAATCCCGACGGTCATCGCCACGGCCGTCGAACGGGATCAGACTCGACAACTAGACGACACCGACAAGGTCAACAGGGACCCCCTCTTTCTATCGCGCGCAACTTCCCTCGTCCAAATGTTCCTGTTCCTTGCATACCTGGTGTTCCGCTTCCGAACTCATAACCGACTCTTTCACCAGAACCCTCACGCGCGTGGTCTAAGCCAGACCCACAGCGGCTTTTCAGATGCATCCGGGTCGGACCGCGGATCCGGTCAATCTCACGCAAGCGCTGTCCTCGTCGGGGGAGGGGCTCTCCTCATCGCCGCTTTGTGTAGTTGTTATTTGGTGGGGAGCTTGGCCGGCGCAACCAAGGCCTTAGGAGTATCCGAGTCCTTTGTTGCCTTGGTCGTGGTACCACAAGCAGGTAGTTTGATGAAAGCCGTCACCATTATCAAGCACAGTCGGTCAAGCACCGATACTCTTTTGCCAAGTGGCATGGGCCGTCTTGACTTCGCAATCCGGTCAATCATGACCAACGTTTTCGACACGGAGCTTTTCATCCTCCCCATGCTGGTCCTGCTTGGCTGGGTAGCAGGCGAACCGATGAAACTAAGTCTCGGGGTCTTCGAAGCCGTGATATTCTTGATGGCGATCTTGACCATGACATACCTCGTACAGCACGGAAAGACGACGTATTTTGAGGGAACCATGCTAATGGGGACGTATGTACTTGGCACATTCATCCAGCGTCGCCCGCTCACCGGATTCTGCTTACATGGAACGTCCGTTAGGTACCTATCTATTGCCATCGCATTATATGTCCGACCCGACGTTACAAAGGCCAACATTGGTATTGGTCGTTTTTGAGAGGCCAGACGATTCGGCATGGACCCATTGGAAAAGGGAGGCAGTTATGTGAAATAGGCTGCCATGATGACAACGTAGCTGTAGACCTGGAATTAGTATTGTCCCTTTGAAGGAGAGAAGATCAGGTATTCATTCCTACACTGATATAAGTAGAGCTCCGTGCAAGAAGGTATAGTGCTTGTCTTGGAGTACTTGGTTGACCGTGATGACTGCCAAAAGAAGAATGTAGGTTTGGGACGGCTCGAAGTAAAGATCCATGTGCAGACGCAGTGCCCATCCCACGACCACCAGCAGTGGCAATACAAGCAGTGATATCTGCAGGATGCTGCCAATGATGACGCCAATGGCGAAGTCAATCTTCTGGTTCTTCGAGGCAGCCACCACTTGTGCCAATTCTGACGCATTGCTGGCCAGTGGCATGATTATGATGGCGATGAAGGTTTTGGAAATATTCAGCGCCTGGGCGGTGCCGTGTAAAGAATCCATAAAATTTGCCGTGCATTTGGCAATGAGAAGCCCAGATATGACCAAGGTAAGCGCGGCGACAGCAATATCAGACATGGAGGGCCTGTCCGTATGCGAAACCTCGTCGGAGGCGACTTGACGTTGGGGCAACGGAGATGGAGGCGAGGCACCTTGATCATGGTGTAGGTTCTCGTCATGCTCGTCGTCAGCGCCTACAAAAATGGACGAGTGTGTCTTGAGTTGAAAGTACAGGTAGGCGGCGTAGACGCAGAGAAGCACAACAGCCGTGGCGCGACTGAAGTTGAGGACCATTCGGCGGAGCTCTCTCTCGCTGCCCGACTTTGAAGCAAAGGTCGAATACAATGCTGCCGGGAGGACGAGGGCGACGGTGGTGATGATCATGAGGGTGGACAATGTGTCTGCAATGGCCGAGTTGACGTTCAATACGCCGGTGCCACGGGCGGCTGTGATGAAGCAGCACCCTTGGACCTGTGGTGGCATTAGAGAGCCTTCTGAAGCACGGGGAGGACGGGGTAACTGACGAACCAAGAGGATATCGGAGAGGATGCTGCCGATCATCATGGACTGTGCTAGTCGGGGCTCATGTCGGAGGATGGCGAGGAATCCCACCTGTGGTGATTAGTCTTGACTGTTCTCCATCTCGCGGGTACCAGTCGTGTACTCACGATGAGCTCGACGGTGTTCCCAAAGGTTGCGTTTATCAGTCCGCCTACCAAGTCCCCCCATCTATTGCCAATGGTGTCGGAGGCAGCAGACAGACGGGCCGACAGCGGAATGATGGCGGCGACATTGCACAGCGTCACGATGGTGTCTGGCCATGATGCCCAGTGTGCCACGAAGCCCAGCGGCACGAACACGAGCACCAGGTGGACGTGGAAGAGCCGGTTTATCAGTGCATGTGTGCTCATGGCTGCCCGTCTTATTGTCAATAGGGGCTGCAACTTGTTGCTGTCATCCAACTTGATAATTGATGCTTGAACTCAAGGTGAAGGCGTGGGCGTTGTGAATTGGTCCGTAATTCAGCCGGCTTTGGTGCGGACAGGGCGCGCGAAAGTTTCCTCCGATCTGATTGGCCTAAATTTTGTATGCGCAACCGGATGAAGCTTCCAGGCAGGCCTACCCATCTGCACCTGAATCGTTTTCTCCTTTGCTTCGCTTCGGAACTTCATTCAAGCAATTCTGCTTCATCTCCTTCGTGCTCTCATGAGCTCTGGGTCTGCTCCACGGTTCCAAGGCGACTGGACTTCTGTTGTCTTCGCCCGCCATAGCGATGACAAACAAACAGGAGACTTCATAAGCAAATGCAAATCTGCCAGTAACACCAAGAACTATCTAGATTGTTGTAACTCCCGTAACTCTTATGTCGGACAATCAGCGCTAACTGAGCGAAGCGCTCTACATCTAGGGACGTAATCTAGACGTCAAAGAACCTTGCTGTCGGCTCATTCTCAGGCGAGAGTCCTACTCTTAAGAAAACAGAAGAAGATGCTGGTCCATTCATTACCTCTAAATGATAGATCCCGAACCCAGCCTACATGGTCGGAGAGGGTATGGCAATGCCACATAGCGAGTACGTTATTTGAAGCGGCGATAAGCCAGCCGCGTGTGGAGCTGGGGACGCCATTGCCGCCAACCCAGCAAGACTCACAGGCTCAGCTCTTCCGGAAACTGGCTCTCTCACCTGCCGTGCAGCGAACGACCCATCCGATCGTGACACTGGGCAGCTTTTAAGATTTAAAGGTTGCTGGAGAAGGCATTCATCCTTTTGCTGTGGTAAGCAGCATCTTCGGGCTGAACAATGGACATGGATGCGAGCCAAGGTCGACTACGGACAGGTGGGTTTCAAGTTGGGGGTATTCTATCCAAGGAAGAAGACGACTGGTAGTAGTTTTTAGAGTCTGATATTAACGCTGAGGACTGTGGCAACGTACTGCCTTCTCCCGCTCGTCCGCACAGCCAAGGTGTGGCCGCTGTGGTCCCGCTCTAGGCGCAGGACTGCGGCCAAGAAAGCCACGACGGAAATATGGACTAGCTCAAGGAGCTATAGCGGGTGCCATCCCGGTGGTTTGCCGGACCACCCTGGCCCTGACCGTTGATCCAAAAGGGTACGTAATGAACAAGCTGCCGTAAGCTTGTTCATCTAGCACTATATAGGTATACTGCAGCAGATGTTGTGCGTGTTAGTTTCGGATAGACGTAGACTATAATGGCACTTCCTCGTATTCCTATCAAAAGGATGAGAAGCGTGGCCCTACCCAGTCTTACTTCTTCTCTGCTAAAAATCATCTCAACTTCAGCCCCATCTGACCTGACTGCCTAGGCTTGCGCCTATAGAAGGGGTATTAATATTTGCATCTACTTCTATATAAATATTACACCAATATGTCCAACTAGGCGATATCGTGGTTAGTGCTCTGCGTAATGGGAATAGCGGCGTACTCTAATACGACTTCAGCAAGACGATCCAATGTGAAAGCTTCCACATGACGGGTTTCCTAAATCAGCCGCCGACTGTCCTACGAGCTGCGGTGAATGAACTCAAGGCAGAGTATAAACCTACGGCCATCAAATTGAACAGGCTATTAGTGACATCCTTGAGAAGCTACTAAGATTGCGGGAGGAGTACAGACGACCAGATTCAACTAGCGAAAAGCTCTACTGTAGTTATGTCGTCTATCCCCCTAGCACGAAAGCAAGCTGCATGGCAGTTTGTAGTGATGAACTGTTAAAGTTGGTGCCACGACGTGGGCGGATAGAGTATAAGGATAATCTGACTATTCACTATGGCTTAATTGCCTCCGCAAATAATTTGATGAAGGACGCCTTAGTTTAGGATAAGCTTACAGCAGCGAGAGATGTTCTCTGTTTTAAAATGGAAGCAGCTAGGCTTATGAACCACTTCCCCTGTCTTTTTGTTTAAGGCATTTGCGACTACTCTAACTCTTATAAGAACAAGGCGTGGCAGGGCTATGAAGCCATGGCAGCTGCCGCATACACCAGAGACCTACTCCGTCAAATAGCCATAGATAAAGTTGAAGCTGAGGAGAAGATTGGCGACATTCTATCTGGTCAGTCTAGACTGGTTTATAGATCGCGATAATAATGTACATTAAACTTGCAATTACAAGAGGCCTTCAAAAAGTAGTCAAAGAGCAACGAGGCATTACAGTAGAGAGCCTGGATATTGCGAAGAAGCAGCTCCAAAGCCAGAAAGATCTAGCTAGGAAGAAGCTGACTCTGGAAGAACAACGATGTCACCAGCTGTTCCGTCTCACAAATGGCACCAGGGGCGCCACGTACGAGTGCTATAAAGACCGAGTGGAAGAAAGGGTTGAAGGCACATGTGAGTGATTTCTCAAGCATGAGCACTTCCAGAGATGGTTAAAACAGAACAAGTCTGGGCCGCTACTGGTCACGGCGGACCCGGGCTGTGGTAAGTCGGTCTTGGCCAGGTATCTGGTCGACCACAGGCTGCCACGATCGACAAAGCATCTGCTACTTCTTCTTCATAGACCACGACCAGAACACCGTTCGATAAGCCCTTTGTGCACTTCTTCACCGGCTCTTCTCTCACTAACCGCCTCTGATCCAACATGCCATGGTACGGTTCTGCAAAGATGGGCCAGGCCTGATCAACTCGAAGGAATCTCTGTGGGAGATTCTAGGGAGCGCTATACACAATCTTCAGGCAGGCCCTGTAGTCATTGTTCTCGATGCATTGGACGAATGTTCCGAATCAGAGTTTCCGGACCTGATGCGGAATGCAGAGCGCCAATTCTGCTGCGACCAACCAGGCTGTGGCCAGTTGAGGTATCTCCTAACATGCCGGCTATATGAGCAGACTGTGTCAAAACTACATAGCCTGCTAGATGCCTTTCCAAATATTCGTATACTAGGAGAGTAAAAGTTAAACCTCGTCATTACACACCAGGTCAAGCAGTTATCGACGACAAAGCGTCTCTCATGCGAAGTCGAGAGGCACCTGGAGAAGAGACTCCAGGGAACTACACACCGCACCTAACTATGGGTATACCTTGTGTTCAGCTACTTGGAGAATGGAAACTTCAAGAAGACAACAAAGGTCATCAACGCCATCATTTTGACGCTCCCAAGGAGCATTAATAAGGCACATGAGAAAATGCTTGACAAGTCCAACGACTATCTGATGGCTTAGAAAGCCTTGAGTATTATCTTAGCAGCGACTCAACCGCTAACACTTGCGGAAATGAACGTTGCCATGAATGTTAGAAACACATCAGAGTCTCTTCACAATCTTGACTTGGAGTCTGAGGAGGCTTTCTCATTGCGTTTCAGATCTTTATGCAGATTGCTCGTCTTGGTCGACTATGTCCTGGTCGACTATGGTAAGACTGTTCTCCTTCATCAAACTGCTCGCGCGTTTCTCCTTACAGATTCAGTTTCGCCTAAAACTACTCCATCAGGACTACGCTGGCATCATGTCACCAGCAACCAACAGGCACATGCCGTTCTTGCCGAGCTTTGCGTGCGCTATCTGAACTTGTTCAACACCAAAGATAGCCTTCGGATAGGGACAACCAGGAGTGCAGGCGGATGCAATGAGACACATGCTTTCCTGGATTACTCAGCCCAAGCTTGGGGCGCTCACTTCCGCGAGGCAGATATCACTAGTAACGGAGCCAGGTGTAAAGGTTGAGGTTAATTTCGGCCTGCATGACTTTGTTTATCACAAAAGATAGGGAGCGACTGTCATTGCCTACGATTCCGTATCATCAGAGGGGAATCCACGAAAGTACTAGGTAATAGTATTGTGTTATGGGCAAGATGCGTATAACTGCTCCATGGTTTAATTGCTAGCGAGCCACCTGCCATCTCAGCACATCATCGGTCACCTGGCCTTTGAGGAACTGCAAGGACTATTGATCATCTGCCCTTGAATTGTTATCAATCTACTCTGCCGATCATACATCGTACGACGGTACAAACGTCAGAAGTAAGCAAATATAACATGAGCTCTGTCCTCACTCTACCAGACGATTGTATATGCCATGTATAATCACGAATTTCGCAGCACTCATTTTGATGTCGAGCTAACTTTTCTTGCATCAAGGATCTTCACTGCACTTTCCCACCAGCATCATCAAATTATTTACTTGACAAACACCATGCGTTTTTCGCTTGTATCAATTCTCCTTGCTTCCTATGCAGGCAACGCTGCCGCCGGCGTTGCCCTCGGTGCCGGCTGCGCTGCCGTGGGCCATTCGGCCTAGGCCTGTTGTCTCGGGCATACCGGAGTTGCATCAGCCTTGAAGTTCGGCGGTGCAGCTCCAGTTGGTGTTGCGTTTTGCAGCACGGCCTGCGCTGCCTGCCTGGCGCACTGCAGTGTCGCCCTCGTTGCTCCGACACCGTGAAGAAGCATGGTTGACGTTTCGATAAGTGGCCGTTCTGGCAACGATGGTGTAAGACAGTCTCTTCTGGTCGTCGTTCATGTCTCGGTAGCTTCAGGCTACGACGATTCAAGGCGTTCAATGGGGGTTGCAAGCTGGTGGTGACGGACCATGCATGCTCATGTAACATGTCGGGCAGGGTTTGCCGGCTACTTCAACCAGCAGACTTGGTGGAAGGGGTCACATCTCCTGAAACTACAGACATCAGACATTTGTGAGGATTCAAGCCACTCGTTCACAGAGAACCTCCGTTGCTGAGCGGAAGTCGGTTTGCCATGTAAGAGATCAAGCATCCGTTCTTTGAGATAGAAGATCAAGAGCCTCGCATAGCAGCACTGTCCTGCTGTGTTGCCATCGAAATATCGACAGGGGTTCCGGACGCTGCTTTACAAGCAGATAGAGAAGTCATGACATCCAAGGCGCGAGTCTGTGCCGTCTGCGTGGGGGTGTCTTCTCATGGCCATCGTCATCTGTATGTTCAAGGAAAACGAAACATGCCATGCTACTACTTGCCGCGTTTCCAGTCTCTTACACATGCAGGGAGCCTCTCATTAGAGGAAACCGTCCAACTGCCCCTGAAATGCCGGACAAGCGACATTTGATGTGACAACATGGGACCAATAATAAGAGTGTTCAAATCAGTAGCGCCGAGGTTGGAGTAGTTCAAGATGACTCTTGGAAATCGTCTCCGCCACGGTTGCTGCCAACTGGAATGGGGAATAGGAAATACGTAGGCATTAGGTGGCAAATGAATTAGCGGTTTCCCATCCCTGTTCATGTTATAACCCTCCTTGTACGGAGTATCCGTACGGCCAGTTACTCCTCGCAAGGGTAAACTTGTTACAGGGGTTGGATTGCATGCTCGTAATGCGTCTCAACCCTTGGTGCTCGACATACTTGGATGTTGTGCCCAGAGGACGGTGGGGCCAAAACGGGCAACTTCTCAGCCACAAAACCGAAAATGGATGCATCCATTTGTTGTCATTGGATCAGCTGCAGACAGGCCTTGTGCCGGGTTGCCGAGAAAAGTCCCAGGGTCGTGTATCGGAGCTTTCTGGTGAAACGGATCATGACCGGCAGCTCGGTTCCGGCTGCTGGATCTGGTGTGGGACGACCTCAACTGCACCGCGTGGACAAGCAGAAAGACGGAAAGAACATGCCATGTGTGTGTTGGTGATGGAATGATGCTTGGACAAGCCACGCCGCTGCGTCGCTCGTCTCGTCCTCGGCGAGCACTAGAGTCCAGAGTCCAGACGGACGTGCTGTTCACAGTGCACACGAGTCACGTGAGCCCTCCTTCCCATGAGCCGCCGAGTCGCAAGCCCCTTCCATGGACGTGACCACTCACCAATCTGTCGCCTTCCTTGGTTCTCAATCTCCATCACGCCACCCCAACCCTGTTGGAGAAGATGTGCAAGCAGCGCCCTTGTCTGCGCCTCTGCCTAGACAACAGGACGTTTACTGTGCAATAAGGAGCCGGGCGCCGCCTGCGTGTGCCACGCCGTCGCAAGCCCTGTCTATTCCATCTCTTCAGCCGCGATAGTTGACGGATGCTCTGCTGACTCGACGACGCATCCAAAGACTGGCATGTCGCCCTTGCCAAACGGCTATGGCGAAGAACCGCAAGAGCCCGAGTTTTCCTCATGGAATGGAGCCCCTGCGATAGCAATACACCCTGCTGTGAGTTTGCGAGTCGAAACCATCTGGCGTGTGGCGTCTAAAGCTCTCCTAGGATGAAGTTACTGCTCAGAACAAGCATTTGCACACTCGGTTCGCGGCAAAGCACCACATCTCACCTGCTCGATTGTTTTCCAACCGTCCAACTTGCGACTGTCCGCCGTCCTCGCCTTCCGACGGCATGCGTCATGGTCAGACAGCCCTCCAGATACCAATCATCGATTGCGCAGATGCGGACCTGGACAACGCTTCAGCCACGACCATTTCACCAGTGTTTTCCGCCATGAGGTCTCGCTCTGCCTCTTCCTGCAGCACCTTCCCGCCGCGCTGTAGGTCAAGTGGTCGTGTCGAACATCTCTCCAGCCCATGGGGTGCGCCGTTTCTTCTGTCTCCCAAGGCCTTGGCAGAGACCATTGCTTCCAAGAGCATGGCTGAGCTAGACGCTCTCGGCGGACTCGAGGGGCTGGCTCGAGGCTTACAGACTGATTTATACGCTGGCCTGTGTGAGGACCTTCGGTCGACCCGTGCCGCCAGCCCTTCACTAGAGCAGCATGTTCACGGGCCACATCAAACCAGAGTCGACGTCTATGGCGTCAACAGGATACCGCCCAAACGGGCAAAGGGCATCCTTCAGCTGATGATGATTGCCTTGGGCGACAAGGTCCTGGTTCTGCTGTGCATCGTCGCGGGCGTCTCATTATTCATTGGGCTGTACCAGTCCCTTTTCCAGCCACATTTACCATCGCAGCCGAGGACGGAATGGGTGGACAGTCTGACAATCATGGCGGCGGTGCTCATTGTTGTAGTGACGGGGGCGGTGAATGACTATCAAAAAGAGAAGCAGTTTGCCCGTCTTGTGAAAAAGGTAGGCAAGTCATCTGGACCCTTTTGCGTCTCGAGATACTCGTCTTGTTCCTGGCCGACGGCGACGTAAGGGGCCACTAGCGCGTTCTGACCATGCCTTAGACCGAGGACCGGGTTGTGGAAGTGATACGCGCCGGCAAAACTACAGAGATATCCGTCTTCGACATACTCGTTGGCGACATTCTTCGTGTCGCAGCCGGCAGTGTGATTCCGGCTGATGGCGTCCTAGTAACGGGCTTGTCAGTTCGATGCGACGAGTCTTCCATCACCGGCGAGTCCGATCACATTACCAAGACGCCATTGAACACTGCGCTATCAAGACTGCGCGTTGGCGAGGTCGCAAAGGATATTGACCCCTTCATCATCTCTGGTGGCAAAGTGCTAAAAGGAACAGGGACCTACCTGGTCACCGGGGTTGGCGTTAACAGTTTGTATGGCCGACTCAAGATGGACGTGACTGAGAGAACAGAAGCTACGCCGTTACAAAAGAAACTGGGCGGCATAGCGGACAGGATCGCCGTGGCTGGCGTGACTGTCTCTGTCCTCTTACTCGGAGTCCTTGGGATCAAACTTCTAATTCAGATACCTGGCTCCGAGCGGACCTTTGTTGAGTTGGTGCAGATCCTTCTTAGGATCTTCATGGTGTCCATAAGCATCATTGTCGTTGCCGTCCCCGAAGGCCTGCCACTGGCTGTAACTCTTGCTCTTGCCATTGGCGTGACAAGAATGCTCAAGGATAACAATCTGGTCAGGGTCCTCTCGTCGTGCGAGACAATGGGTAACGCAACCGTGGTGTGCTCTGACAAGACTGGAACACTTACAATGAACAAGATGACTGTTTCCGCCGGCTGTGTTGGGTTGCATGGTTTGTTTGATGGCCGGGGACGCCATTTGGAGGAGACGAATCTGAATCCTCGACAAGGGGAAGACGGATCGCGCTCCTCGGCTCAGCCGAGTATGTCTCCTGCTGAATTCCAGTCGTCAGTGCATCTGCAAGTCAGAAACGTCTTGGTGCAGTCAATTTCTACCAACTCCACGGCATCAGAGGGGTTGGTAGATGGAACACCGTCTTTTATCGGATCCTGCACTGAAGTGGCGCTTCTCAGCTTTGCGAGGACGTGGCTCGGTATGCGACCATTACACCAAGAGCGAGCAAATACACAAGTCGTCCAGACCTGTCCATTCGACTCCAAGAGGAAGTACATGGCTACTGTGGCTCTGCAAGCCAACGGCCTGTATCGACTGTACCTGAAGGGTGCTCCCGAAGTCATCTTACAAGCCTGCGACCGAGTTTTGTGTGATGGAATACTGCCATTGGCAGAGGATGCAACGCTCACTCCTGAACGCCGCCATTCTGTTCTTCAAGTCGTCGAGTCTTATTGCAACATGTCACTTCGGACAATCGGATTTGCCTACAAGGATATGTCGTCTTGGCCGCCAACAGATGCGTTGTCGAACGAAGATGACATGTGGCAGCACCTTCTCACCGGCATGACCTTCCTCGGGACATTGGCGATCCATGACCCTCTGAGACCCGAGGCCACCCATGCCATAGCACAGTGTATCCAAGCAGGTGTATCGGTCAGAATGGTCACCGGTGACAATGTCCAAACTGCGCGGGCGATTGCGCAAGAATGTGGAATTCTAACTGACAACGGGGTTGTAATGGAAGGATGGCAATTCAGGAACTTGGATGTGACTGAAATGTACGACATCCTCCCCAACCTACAGGTCCTCGCCCGGTCTAGTCCCGAAGATAAGAAAACGCTCGTTCAGCGACTCAAAGATCTAGGCGAGACCGTGGCCGTCACCGGAGACGGGACAAACGATGGGCCTGCACTTCGGGCCGCAGATGTAGGCTTCTCGATGGGCATATCCGGCACGGACGTTGCAAAGGAAGCATCATCTATAGTTCTCATGGACGATAACTTTTCCTCCATTGTAAGCGCCATCGAGTGGGGAAGGAGTATCAACGACGCGGTGAAGAAGTTCCTTCATGTAGGTTGCACACCCGGCCAAGGTCAAGAAGACGGGACTAAACGCCTGAGCAGTTTCAACTCACGGCAAACATCACGGCTGTCACCCTCACATTCGAATCGTCCGTTTCTAGCGACACTGGCGAATCCATCATATCACCTGCCCAACTGCTTTGGATCAACTTGATCATGGACACTCTGGCTGCGCTGGCGCTTGCGACGGATCCGCCAAACGCCTCTGTTCTTCAGCGGGCTCCCGACACGAAAGCAACGCCATTAATATCCGTTACCGGGTGGAAGATGATTGTCGGACAGGCAATGTACCAGCTTCTCGTCATGTTCATACTCGACTTCAAAGGGTCTGATCTTCTGAAGCGCATGAGACCCGACGACGCGACTACATTGGAGACATTTGTGTTTAATACATTCGTGTGGATGCAGCTATTCAACCTGTACAAGTGAGTTTGCAAGGCTACTTTTGTGATGACAAGGACTAATCCACACTCAGCAACCGCCGTTTAGATAACAATCTCAACATCTTTGAAGGGCTGCACAGGAATATATATTTCGTGGTTGTAAATATTATCATCATCGTGGGCCAGGTCCTTATCGTGACCGTCGGCGGTATTGCACTCTCAACGACACCACTTTCGATCACAGAATGGATAATGTCGATACTCCTCGGCGCATTGTGCATGCCTGTTGCTGTCTTGCTTCGACTTCTCCCGGATGACGTGATTGTGAATACGTTGTCGAAGCCGTCGCAAGCATGGCTCCGCAAAAGATCGCCCTCGGCGTCGCCAAGTAACGCAGCTTGGCTTTCGACAGTCGACCACATTCGTTGTGAACTCATTACGTGTACGCAACCACGGAGTTGGCGGCTGCGGCGCCTCATCCGCGGCCCGTCAATTGGCTGGAGACGCTCAAGCCCCGGTGTTGACTTCGAGCGAGGCCATTCTGGCAACGAGAGGACACCGTTACTTCAGAATAGAGATGCTGAGGTAATCGGCAACAGAAGAGGCTCGGTATGTGCTCCGTCGGTGGTCATGGCCGGTATGGTGGCCGGTGGCGTTGGGGGATTGCCTCGTGTTGAACCACGAAGCGGCGTGTAGGCGCGTCTAATAGCGTCACTTGAACAACTATCATCCCGTTTGAACCAATGTACATAATGACTTGGCACTCCTATACTTTTGTATATCAGCTGACCGAACACACAATCTCCCTGCTCGGGGGTCAAACTTGTGTCACGAGATGTAGAGCGTATTGACGCACATGGAAAGTGACCTCTAGCTAGGCCATTTTTTGTGCGAATTGACTCGGCATGACAGCCGAGACAAATATCAGGCATGATTCGGCATATCAACTACGTTGTCTTGTTGAGCCACTTGTCCATGAGTGCTTGATGCCCTCTACTGTTTTGAAAGCGTACAACATGAGCTGGTAGAGATTAGCCACATACACACTGTCCAACTTTGAGGCGGTTGGTTAACGGAGCTGTGTCTGCACATCTCTATTGCCGACATGGAGTCATAAACTGCAGCCCGAGCATTACTTTAAAAGCACATGACACCATATTCAAGGTCGTGGAACTGAGCTTGAGACGAACGCCGCCGGGCGCCATCCATAACCAGGTCTTACATATCGACCACGATGTCGTTCCCATGGCTCTGTGTCGATTGCGCAACAAGTTGGACTAATCGTCGTAGTATGGTGTAGGTGCATGTTTTGGCGCAGAAACGCCATCGCCGGCCGATGTGTTATATTGGAAGCCTAGCCGTCTGCACACATTACTGTTTCGTGAAGCTGGTGATGAAGCGAGAATATGAACGTGTCGCTGCAGATCTGCCTCCGCTTCTTTCGGCTGTGGATTTGGGCTTTTGCTGGACATTCGTATCCTAGTCTCGTTCTCGTTTCTTGATACTGCCGAATTTGGTGTGTCTTGGCAATATTGCCAAAGACGTCAGATGGTTTGCCGAAACGGGCTCGAGGTGCGTTGTTGAACACCAACTAACGGCGTGGACGGGTGTGAAGCATGATTCGAGCGTCCCAAATTGAACCTTGCTGAGCTAGTTTGGTGATGATTGTGGACCGCTAGTCCGCTTCTGGAGGAAGTGGGGTGGAGATGTGGGGCGCCGACGCTAGCTCCGCGGCTCCGCTTTCTTCTCCCGCCTTGGCGCCTTGGCGCCTCGGCGCTTGCTTGGCGTAATTGCCTTCAGTCATTCTCCTTCGGAGTCCGTACGGCGATATGTACCCTCGCTGGCCTGATAGCAGCTCGCTCAGCATAGAGGGGATAATGGCAACGACCTGGCATGCTCGCCCTCTTGGCCATCTGGCCCCTGGCGGGAGATTCCGGAAGTCACTCGGTGTTGAGGATCTTACATGACTCATGCAATGCCAGCTGGATTGACTCGGGGTCGTGTCTCTGGTTGGTAAGTACTTGACGAGGAGCTGGCTTGTGTATCCCGCTACTGAGTCTAGCAAATTAGTACGCAAGCAGTTGTTAGGCGGGAGCAGAATCGCCAAGTAGATCGCCTGTATCAAGGACGGATTTGACTCTTCACAATTGTCCATAGATGCCCATCGACAGCTATGATAAGAAGTTGGATGGCAGGCTGGCCGCAAAGTCTTGGTCAAGGCGCCAAGGCTCCTAAGGATCCAGTGTTCACCTGCCGGCCTGTCAGACGTCGAGTATTCTCGGCATGTTTGACTGCCGAAACCGCTGCACCAAATGCGATATTGGTCCGGCCCTCTACCGCATCGCGCCATCTTGGCCACGTCGTGCTGGAAGCCGATATTCCCTGCAATGAACCCTTTCGTCTTCCGTGTGGGGGATCGCTGACCATCCGGGTGAGTCCCTGAGGTTGATTCCATATTCCACGTTACGTTGCATAGACCTTTTGCAGCCTCCTCAACTGTTCCACATGTCCGCTAGCAACATGCATTCATGGACTGCTTTTCCCAAGACGCCGTTGACAGGTACTCAAGCCGAGTCACAAGGCCCGTGCCGCACTTTGTGGCCAAAACGCGACCCCGGCCTAAATGTCGCGATAGTTCCACCACACCACGCCATGAGGAAAATTGCCGAATCATTGGTCATGGGCAGAAGACGGACAGAGAGCATGTGGGTCGTGTCCCCTTTCGATTTCCAGGGCCCCTTGGCGCCAGCACGTGTCCAAACGCACTTCGTGCCTCTTCATTGTCGACCACTGCCTCGAATGAGTGCCGTTTAGCCTCGCCGTCAGGCCGGAGCCTCGGCTTCCCAGTGAAAAGCCCATGTCGCTGCAGGAATTTCGGAGGGAGACCTCGTCCTCAAGTATCCGACACCCCGCTGACTGTTGCCTGAATCATGGTGCCTCGATCATTTGCAAGCGGCAGAGTTGAAAGGGACCATCCAAGCACGGCCAGTCCCTCGTCGAAAACCAGGCAGTCCCTTTCGTCATCGCCAGTCCCATTCAAGATGGCGGTACCATTGTTCTTGCTTGCGGCTCTTATCCTCACTCTCCGTATGGCCGGTGGCAAAGAGCTGAGCAAGATGGATCTGAGGCCAAATTTCATCTTCATCATAACGGATGATCAAGACCTCCACATGAACTCGCTCGACTATCAGGACACGGTCAGAGAGGAGCTCGTCCAAAAGGGCACAACATTCAACAAGCATTTTTGTACCGTCTCTTTATGTTGTCCGTCAAGAGTGTCTCTGCTTACCGGAAAAGCCGCTCACAACACAAATGTCACTGATGTGAAATATGTACGTTCCTCGACCACGTCTTCCGCGGCTCACCTCCACCATTGTGACCTGGGCTAAAGATGTGCACGGCAGCCATGGGGTAGGTTGTCCAGTTCAACGACGGTCCTGCATTTCGCTCCGGCTAGATGCATGCGTGTACATTCTGCTCGGAAGCCGAGGATGGGGCCAGCGGCATGTCAAACTAACCAGCTTTTCAATTTCCCGCAGGGGGATACAGGAAGTTCATCACACAGAAGCTCAACGATGCCTATTTGCCCGTGTGGCTTCAACAATGGGGCTACAACACATACTACGCGGGAAAACTCATGAACCAACACAGCACTAAAACGTACAACTGGAGCTTCGCCAAGGGATGGACTCGGTCTGACTGTGCGTAGCATTGATAGCCGGCTGGTGCAAATCCCCCGCCTGCCGCCGAGTCTTCCAGCTGACCCTTTGCGTCGCCAGTCTTGCTTGACCCCGGAACCTACAGCTACCTTGACGGCATCATGGCCCTGGACAGAGACGAGTACAGGAGTATCAAGGGGCAGTATTCCACCGACGTCATTGCTAATAGGTCCCTGGAGTTCCTCGGCAACGCCATGGACGCCGGCAGGCCGTTCTTCTTGGGCATCGCACCCATCGCCCCTCACGCCAATACGGGATTCACGAGTCCAGTTCCCGCCGAACGTCACAGCCATCTCTTCCCAGATGCCGTGATTCCTCGCACTCCGAGCTTCAACCCGAAAACAGTACGTAGAACGAGTTGAACACGTAGCATGCCCGCAGCCGAGCTTCAGCAAGGCTAACACAACCCGCGACACAGCGCGGCCACGTCAGTTATCTCAAAACTCTTCCGCGACTAAACTCCACACAGATAGAATACATCGACGAGTTCTATCGCTCCCGCCTGCGAGCACTCCAAGCCGTAGATGATATGGTTGGCAGCATCGTCGATGCCCTACAGAAGCAGCCGGAAGTCTTGGCCAACACATACATCATCTACACCAGCGACAACGGCTACCACCTCGGACATCATCGCCTACCCCCCGGCAAGACCTGCAACATCGAAGAGGACATCAACGTGCCCTTCATCGTACGGGGCCCCGGGGTGACGCACGGCGCACAAGTCACGTTTCCCACCTCACATGTCGATATCGCGCCTACGTTGTTCAAGCTTGCGGGTATTCCTCTCCGCGAGGACTTTGACGGCGTCCCCATCCCCGTGAGATCCCAAGACCGGCTGCACCAAGTACGCGACAACGAGCACGTCAACATAGAATACTGGGGGAGTCCCTACGTCGAGGGCGAGCTCTTTGACAATCTACGACACGTCATGGCGAAGAACACGTACAAGACCCTCCGCGTCGTCGGCAAAAGCTACGACTTCATGTACGGAGTCTGGTGCACCGACGAGCACCAGCTATACGACATGCGCGCCGATCCGCACCAAATGAACAACTTGTACGGAATCCAGGGCAACACCTCAGGCTACGACGTTGCTGCCCTGACTGCACGTCTGGAAACGTTGCTGCTCACGCTCAAGAACTGCAAGGGCAGGGTGTGCCGACAGCCCTGGGAGAGGATATTTCCTGACCCCAGCGACCTTGTCTTTTCTCTCGAAGAGGCCATGAACCCCAAGTTTGACGATTTCTTCCTCCGCAGACAGCCGAGGATTACGTTTTCAGAGTGCACGGTGGGCTACATGCCTGAGCTTGAGGGGGCCTCGGGCCCGGTCGTCTACACGGACTGGAGTAAATATTTCTCGGAGAAGGAGTGGGCGGACGGCATTTGAACGGGGCGTCCGCGGCAGTTGTTGATCGTCAGCCCGCGGACACATGAGTGGTGTATATGTCGAGGGAAGGGAGGATAAGCTGGGTGTACTGAGTGCGAGCGGGACGATCTTGGCCGTTGCTACTGTGCTGCGGACGGGGTGCGTACGACTTTGTCCTTGATTTCAAACTACTATTCTATTCGCCAGACTACTTCCGAAATGAACGTGCGCCGGACGAAGTGGTGGTGTGCTTTGCGAACAAGTCCGCCGGCGACTCGTGTCCGGTTCACGGCCTGGAATATGGTATAAATTTCGATATAGCGACGCGGCTGTGCACTTCCCAAGGCCAACGAAGCCCACAAGATGCAGTTCCAGGGAACAAAGGACGAGATATAGACGGTCCAATAGATTGCGCAACGAGTGTCAAGCGTAAAGCTCGATTCATTTGTATTTACATGCGTAAGTGCCCGCAACGACGGGACGCTCGCCCCTTCATCACAAGCCGCCAGCAGCGCAAATGGCGGCAGCGGCTCGCGCCTGCGCACCGTAGCGACCGGGATAGCTTGACTGCTGGACCGTCTGGCTCAAAGTGCCCGTGGCCATGGTGTGCCAGCCACTGACGCCCTTGATCCGAGCAAAGAACTGGCCGGCAGAGCAGCCGGCGTCCATGTCGCAGGCGATGTTCCTGTACACAGAGGCACGCTGCTGGAAGAGACCGATGGAGTCATGGTCGGAGCCGACGCGGTCGTGATGGTGCCTCAGCGACTCCGGGACCGCGCTGTTCGCGTACATCATCAGCGTAGACTGTGGTTTGGCCGTGTCAGCAGGGGCTCCGACGTGTCGACGTGCCTGTTCTCAGGAGGACACGGGTTTCTTGGTGGCCGACCGACCTCGACAAGACCAGTGGCAATCGCGGCTGCGCAGCCACGTCGACCGACGCCAGCGGTCTTTGCCTTGGCGATGATGGACCTGGCGTAGCCGCTTTGAACGGCATCGAGACCAGGGAGGCCGCCAGCGGCGCCAGCGGCAGGGGCAGGGGCAGCAGCAACGGCCGCGGTGCCAAAGACAACGGCGGCCATCAGGCTGATCAACTGCATGTTTGTCTGTCCGCTCCGTCACAAGTCGTTGTGGAGGTGTCCGAGGCTGGGTGAACGATGCCCGTCAGTTGACGAGGCTACGAGTCGGAGCGTGCTGCTTGACCAGAGCCATGACGTCCTACTTATATCATCGAGAGGGCTGTCGACCCATTGCCGTCGTCGACTCGCGGCAGTTCCTGACTTGTATCAAACATCGGCATGGTCCGAATGCTGCAGAGCGGGACTGGCGCGTCAAACGTCGTGGCGTATGGGAATTCCGAACGCTAATGTCTGTCCTCTGTCCTGCCCCCCGCAGAATCCCACTTCAACGCCCCCTCCGTGTGGTTACTACTCGCTAGTGGTTATTTGTTGCAAGTAGAAACCGTCTGTAGCTCACAAACCGCACTCCCTCTACGGCTGAATTCGTATGCTGAGCCTGTTGACGCGGATAACTTCAACCCTACAGAGAGTCGACAACAGCATTCGTTAACGGGGAGATCAGGCTTGACAGTCCTGAAAAAAATAGCAAGAGCATCACTTCATTTGGGGTTCTCCTTGACATGATTGCTGCCTGTAAGTGTTCACCGTGGTATCCGAGGAAATTACCAAGAGCGCTGAGTGGCTCTAAGCCCGGCCAGCCCCAGGACTCCAAGGCGACTAGTCTCAAGTTGATGGTTTAGATATCACGTCTTGGATAAAAAGCCTTGCCCTACTATTAGCACTTCCCAGCTTCCCTACTGAGATCGGACCTGCCGCTACGCAATTAGTGACAGATGCTCGGCCTCTGCCGTCCGGATAACAAAAAGTGCAGCGCAGCAACGGGTGACCAAGACCCCGTGTGCCAGTAGCTTGAGCCCGTCAGCCTTGGTCGACTGTTAATCGCTGGGACCCCAAGAAAGCCAAGGCACCTCTCTTCAAGCTGGAAAAGGCCACCGCGCGCGACTTGAGTTGCCAGACACTAGGAACCCACAATGGGTCAAGGCCAACTAATACCGCCCAACAAGTAAGTTAACTAGTTAGTGTAGCCCATCGCGGCATGAACCCTAGACGAAATACCGCCGGCCCGGCACTTCCGTGGGCCCCGACACCGACACGCGGTGCTTCCGAGAGGAGAACGCAACGAAGGAAGACTTGGCTAGGTCTCGCCGGCCCAACAACTGAAAACATCAGAGGCCACCTGGGGGCTTCGGAGTCCGGACCTAACGAAAACGTTGTCTCTGCATATCAGGATCCCATCAAAGGCCAGGCCGGAGCTACGCTGCGTACTTGGTCGTGCGGCGAGGAAGCCATGGAGACACGGCATATATTGCAATAGGGTGCAGAAGGCAACGGCCTCTCCGGCCACATTTTGCAAAATGGTTCACGTACAGGTGTAAAATTCTCATCAGCCATGGAAATAGACTTGGTGGCCTGTGGCCCTTGGCTTTTCACTGCCTGGTGCTGAATGCCGCAGAGGCACAGCTCGTCTTCGCCGCACGACCATTTCTAGCGGGAACGCAGCTGCAACAGAGTCCAACTATAGATATGACAGCTTGTAAGCACAGCATGTCGCTTGGATAGGTACATGTATATCGGAAGAACGGGTCATGAAGCGTTTCCAAGGATGAGACTCCTCTCCGCTACGGAGCCTGATTCACTCGACGTATTCGGGGAGTTTCAAACGCTCGGGATGCTTCAACTTAGATTGCTATTGGAATTTCCCGTCTTGCGATTTCCAAGCCCTCTTATCGTCAGCTCATCCGGCCAAATAACCCCAGACTACTATAACCTCGTAATTACACGCGTGTCTGGTGCGCAGGGCGATAGTCCCATCGGCCAGCTTGGCGGGCCTCAATACTTTTTGTCCTGGTCCACGAAATCGCCAGAAATTCGGATATACTATTTCAAGCACAACTCACAGTAGACACAACAAGTATTTGAACGGCTCCTTGTACCCAGGGCTGGGGTTGTCTACAAATTAAGAACAGCGGAGACTCCGGCCGCCCACCGTAGAAAACAGCGTCGCGGACATTGCCCTGGTCGTCCTTCTCGTTATATCGGTCTCGCAACCCTGGCCATGGGCTAGGGTTAGGGTCCGGAGTCGGCAGAAATTTTGCGGGCTGGTGGAGCACGGAAGAAAAGGGTTGCTGATTTTAATCGGCAAACTTGCGATCAGGCCTTGGCATCTAAGCCGTTTACAGGCATTGACAGGACCTGCACCTACGGAGTAATGACACCGTGAATGCCTACCCTTTCCAGTATGGCGCCCTTTTTCATGTGCATGTTGTGACGGATATTCTACCGATCCGTGGACCAGGGCGTTGCACAAGATTCGCTAAAAAAAAAAGTACGGAAAAAATGTACAGACAGTCAGTCAACTAATCGTGCCCGCCCCACTTTATGTGGTTCGGCTAGCAAAAGCCCTCACCACACCTTTGGTGGTGAGGGCTTTTGCTAGCCGAACCACATAAAGTGGGGCGGGCACGATTAGTCCGGTCTTGAGCCAGTCAATCAACATCAGCCGGGTACGCCGTGCCCGGGATCCAAACAGCGCGCAGTCGAGAGCAAGGAGATCGGCCGACCAACTCCTTGGCAGGGTAACTTTGATAGAAGCCGCATTTTGCTGTTCCAAGTCTTCTAGAGGCCGACACCCCTGGAAACAGCATCAGCCAACGCTGCCGATCAGGGGCTCTTCGGCTTGCCGGATTCTCAGCTTCGGCCACTGCCACGCCGTCTGTCGTCGGCGTGGAGTCTGGACAACGGCCTTGCTGACAGGATATGCAACCGCCGGAGGATTGAAGCACGGGTGAAATTACTTGCCGCATCTTGGCAAAACGGCGCGCTGCCGCCGATTTCGGCTCCGGCTGGTGCGGCCCAACGTGCAAGGAGCAACCAAGGAAGGGGCGACCCATCGCGGAAGGCAGGCAGGACGCCGTAGCTGCAGGAGTTGCATAACAGTGAGCGCCCAGTCAGCCAATGAAATGCCGGGCTGAGCCAGCCGTGAGCCAGCTGTCCACGGCTGATTGCCTCGAGCAAAGGCCCGATGGTGGCCAAAGACGTCCAAACATCTTCACCGAGGCAGTTTTGTGAATGCCCGGTGGCAGAAGCAACAATGGATGGCGGCTTTCACGTTGGCGCCGAGGCCTTGCGTCGATGCATTCAGTCGACTCCAATCATCGACAATCACGCACACCCACTGCTTCAGCACAGTCACGCTGACAAGTATCCCCTGCTCACAATCGTGACAGAAGCTCATGGCGATGCTCTCGACTCATCACGGACCAGCTTGGCTCACATTCGGGCCGTCAAACAGCTTTCCGAGCAGCTCGGGTGTGCCGCCACTTGGGACGCTGTGGAGAGCGCCATTAAGCAAGAACGACGCCGTGACTACGCCGGATGGACACGGAGATGCCTTGCCGGTATCGAGTGTGTCCTCGTCGATGACGGTTTGGACGACGAGGACGCTGTGGAATCCTACACCTACTTCGACCAGTTTGCCCCCAGCCCCAGCAAACGTATCGTCCGCATTGAGCAAGCTGCGGCCAGGCTTATAGAAAACGCGTGCATCTCACAGCCATCGCCTGCGCAAGCTTTTGACCTTGCCATCGCCAATTTCGAAGCCGAGCTTAGGAATGCAATATCCGATGCGGAGGTTGTCGGCTTCAAGTCGGTAATTTGCTATCGAACCGGACTGGACATTGCCTCCAAAGCTAGCGAGCTGGAGGCACGTTCAACTTTTGCCGACATCTACACGCAAAGGCAGGCAGCCGATGCCCAGAGCTTCACGAGACTGCATCACCGCGCGCTCAACGAGTTCCTCGTCCACCGTCTAGCTCAACTAATCCGCGACTGCTCATCAACCCACAAGAAGCCCATTCAATTTCACACTGGTCTCGGTGATAATGACCTCACGTTGACAAGATCCTCTCCTGCGCATTTGCAAGACTTTGCGCGGGAATATCCGACGGTCCCGATTATTCTCCTGCACTCTGGTTATCCCTTCGATCGGGAAGCAGGGTATATGGCGGCAATGTATGGAAACGTATATGCTGATATTGGCGAAATTTTCCCCTTCATCAACCGGGATGGGCAAGAAAGCGTAGTACGCCATGTTCTCGAGCTCTGTCCGTGGGAAAAGATCATCTGGAGTACTGATGGCCATTGGTTCCCGGAAACCTATCTTCTTTCAATACTCCAAATGAGAGATGTGTTCCACACAGTCTTGTGCGACTTCGTGCGAAAGGGGGACATCACATGGAAACAAGCTACGCAGATGGTGCAGGATATGTTGTTCAACACCTCGAACAAGATTTATGACCTCGGTCTCACGATGAGGTGTCGACTGCCCAAGAATGCACAGCCATCCGGGACATTGCCCACAAAGTTTGAGGCACAACACTTGTTGACCTACTTGGCCGACACCGAAAAGCCACATTATCTTCGCCTGTGTTGGCTGGACTATACGGCCATGCCAAGAATGAGAGTCATACCTTCGCGACAAGTCTTGTCTGCGATGAAGACGAACCAGCCGCTCTGGGTCACGGTGACAAAGGGCTGTCTCGGCATCCTTCAGAATGATACTCTGATTCCTGGTGTCGGGCCAGTTGGCGAGTTTCAGCTGCAGCCGGATTTTTCATCCCTCCGCCCAGGGCCGCGCGATGGACACATTACAGTAATGTGCGACTTCAAGGAAAAGGATGGCTCGCTCGTCAACCTCTGCCCTCGAACAATGCTGAAAAGGGCCATAGATCTTGCTCGTGATGAGCACATCGAGCTTTTGCTCGGCTTCGAGATTGAGCTCGTACTCCTTCGCCGCCCAGGGAACGGGGGATACAGCGTCGACAGTTATGACGGACATGCTTGCTCAACCGTCGGAGCCATGGACCACGAGGTGGTCGAAAAGGTGCTGGAGGCGGCAATACAGCAACTCGACCACGCCGGCGTATACGTCGAAATGTTGCATGCCGAAAGCGCCACGGGCCAATTCGAAATAGTCTTGCCCAAGGCCAGGCCAATGGAAGCCGTGGACACGTTGATCTTTGCGCGGCAAGTCATAGCCAGCTGCGCAAATGCGTCGGGATACAAGATGACGTTGCATCCGAAGCCGATAGCCAATGCGTGCGGCACCGCCGCGCACGCTCACATCTCCATCACTTCAGACGGCCGCAATGCAGCTCTATACGAACCCTTCTATGCAGGTATTTTATCTCACCTGAGAGCTATATGCGCGTTCACGTGCAGCAACATGGTGAGCTATGAGCGGCTTCGAAACGGCGTCTGGGCAGGAGGAACATGGGTCACTTGGGGCACGCAAAATCGCGAAGCGCCTCTCCGCAAAATCGAAAACAGTCATTGGGAACTGAAGTGCGTGGACGGCCTTTCCAATCCGTACATGGCCATGGCGGCGATTGTCCTGGCGGGGCTCGACGGTGTTCGGAAAGGGAAAAAGCTCACCTGGGCCGACTGTACAAGGGACCCTGCGTCGCTCTCGTCTGGGCAGCGACTGCAGTTGGGTATTGACACGAGGTTACCAGAGAGCATCGACGAGGCCTTGAAGGCGCTCGTTGAGGATGGAGATTTGACCAACTTGTTGGAAGTTGATGTTATTAAAAGATACGTGGCCGTGAAAGAAGCGGAAGCGGAGTTGATGAAATCCATGGACGCAAAGGACAGAAGGGATTGGATTTTAGACAGGTACTGATGATGGGGAAACGCTTCAAACGCAATCGTTGGACGTTTCCAAGTTCGGGGAAGGAGTATTCAATACACTGATACACTTGCGGATGGCAACAGCAGCATTCTGCCGGGATGATGGCCAGAGTCAACGTCAACCACACCAACCCTCTTGCAAGCTGACTAAAGTCAGCAATCTGTCCCGTTTCCAAGGTTTCCTGCTTCCAGTTATGGGGGCTCTGGAACCGTGACGTTGAGCAGCTTTGGAGTCGGCGAAGGCCTCTTCCCTCCCACTATAGCCTCCGCGCTATACATATCGGTGGTGACTGTCCGGACGTACGAGGCTACGGCGACCATGTGTTTCTGGAAACCAAGAACGTGTTATGTCTCTCTCCAGTCTGTTCAAGACCTCAATGAATCCAACTTTGCCTTTCAACATCGGGGATCAATGATGTTTTCAACCTGAGTAGTCATGACAGCGCTCACGGCCACCGATACCTCGCATATTTCCCAAACTAACCAATACTCTGGGGTCGTGTGTGAACAACATTGACCGTGTCCATGCTGAGAGGGACGAGCAGCCCGCCACGGGCGGCATAAAAGGTCAATTGTATCGTAGATAGAGCTCATTCCCAAGCAAAAGTGACAACGCATTCTCCGGTACAGTCAAGCCTGGGCACATGACGTCGACAGATCAATATACCGGCCAGACACCTCTCGTCATCACCTCTATTACATGTCCTTCCCAATCTTTTACATAGACTGACCTCCCGCCCAGCTCCCAACTCATTTTTGCGATGATGCTGACATTTTTGTCCTTGAAATGCTGCTCCCACTGTGAGAGCTCCTCATGCGAGGCACACGCGAACGCCATGTGCTGGCCAAGGCCCGTCTCGGTCCCGTGCTTGGGAATAACGCCTGCGGGGAGTATTTTATCTCGTTTAGTCTTGTTTCGATCGAACAGGAGCAGTATTGTGTCATTGGGCAGGCTGAAACCGGCACTTCGCGGGTTCTCGTGGAATGGCACGATGCCCATTATGTCCTTGTACCATTTGGCCAGGCTGGCCACGTCTGAGGTGTAGAGGATCGTTTCCACGATCTGGCCTAGCTTCGGGGGCATGATGGAGACCTGACTTTGTTGAGGCTATCGTATTTGCCTGTTTGGATGATGACGTCGATCTAGAACTCCGGGTGGGTGTTCCCTTTTATACTTTGAATGTGACTGGTTGAATAGGCGGGGTTGGCCAGCCACCTTTATGCCTCTACACTTTCAGTAACAGTTTGATAGACCGTCGATTGGAGCTTGGAGCTGGTTGGAGCTGCATCACTGTTGAATTCGCCCCCGCGTCGCGAGCATACAGACTCCCTGGGTTGGCTTTTGTTCGGAGTGAAGTCGGATCTTGGGTGTTTCTCGTCAGCCGTACTGCCGAAAGTGGAGGCCAACCTGCCATGCAGGTTGTTCTCTTTTTGTTTCTCCTTCTCCATTTATAATATTAACATTCGGTCGCAAGATACATGACGGGATGAGAACCGGACAAAAAGTGACCTCTGGCTATGCCACTTTGGTCTGACCTTTTCATGACATGGCATGCTGTCGTCTCTTTGGCGGATGGCAAAGGCACGTCCTTGGGAAGACTTGATAGATCCCCGTCAGCGGCTATGATACACACTTACACAGCAGCCTGGTCGTTGTGTGTCAACTTTGCCGACTTGTTATGGAAAAGAAGACTTGACGAATCACAGGAAGCTGGCTGGACGACATCTGAGGGCCCCTCTCGTTCGCTGAGGCGCGTGTCGAGTTGACGAATTTATGCTGGCGCACATTTGGACCCATTAATCGGCATCGGGGGGGAGGCCGTGCAACGAGGCGCAGACACGCTTAATGCTGCACGGCCAAAGGCATGGTGATGTGACGTCGCGGCCGGGTATTGGGGGTTGGCGGGCGAGACTCGTGCGTGAGAACTTGAGAACTTGTGAGACGCGCGGGGACTCGCGGAGAAAAGGCAAGAGCGACCGACACCTGGACCCTGTTGCAGCTTTCTCGCCAATCATCTTGCAATGTCTGTCCCCCTCGAGTTGCAGGCACGATCCTCGATGGTTGCCCTGCCGTGCTTGGCCGTGGCCGATGAACCAAAACTCGTCACTCGAGAGTCGAGGAAGGGGTCCGGCCATGGTCATCACTCACCCCAAGAGCGAAAGGCCTCCGAGGCGCAACACGGCCGTCATTTAAGACCCCTGGCCTGGCCACTTTTGGTCAATTGCACTTGGACTCGCCCTCAGCCATTTCCACCAACATGAAGATCCGGCCCGCGACACCAGAAGACGTGCCCGCAGTCGCACGCATTGTCTTGACTGCTCTGCGTGACGAAGCACCTTGGAAGGCGTTCTTCCCGCGAATGGCCGAAACGGACCCCGAGTATGTCGAATACTGCGAGGCAATCCTTCAAAGCTATTTTGCACCCGCCAATAAAAATTCCTGGCTCTTCTTGGTCGTCGAAATCTCCGCAGCCGAGGCCAGGCTAAATCCTGGGCCGATGATCGTTGCTGCTGCCGTGTGGGACATCTCCACCAGTCTTGGCCACGGCCAAGGCCACAAGGGGCGGCAGAGCAACAGTATGTCGTATCAATCCGAGTATAACTCTGCCTACCACACATACTGACCAGTTCATGCAAAGCCGCTGCACCTATGGACTTGAAGCAAAATCACGGGCCCGTTTTCTCCCAGGACAACATACCAGCTAAGCCCGTGGCCCTCAGCCAAGCCGTCAGCGACGGGAGAAGGAGACACTTCTCCAACCATGTTCCCTACATTTTCCTCCATATATTGGCCACAAGACCTGATTACCAAAGGCAGGGCTACGGGAAAGCCCTTTGCAACTCTGGAATAAATCTGGCCAAACAAAAGCATGCTTCGGTTTGTGTTCAAACCGCGCCTCGAGGTTACGTCCTCTTCTCAGGGCTCGGTTTCGCCGACCAAGGACCCATAGCACTTCCCGCAGAGCCAGATGCTGATGGCGCCCTTGTCAAGGCCATGGTCCTAGATTCACATCTGATACAGCGCCGTTCATCAATTCTTTACTCCCTAATGCGCTATATTACGGGCTGACGTATCTGCCCGTGGGTGAATATTGAGTTTGGGTCAGGTGGTGTTGCGCGTCACGACTCACCACTGTGCACATCCTGTGGTTGACACAAGCAACCAATGCCATTTGATAAGGATGCTGGTCTCTCAAAGACGCTTACGTTGCCTCGAAAGATGAGATACTTTACTATACAAGTCGCCTGTAGCAACGCACCACGGAGAATATACCCTCATTTCTCTCTTCCAAGCTCTCGCGGCAGTTTTGTGTGCCTGCAATGCATCCAAGGCCTCTTTGTTGCTCAAGTCCCCTTTCAGGCACTTCCAAATAACATTCTGCTCAAATTTTGGTGACATGTTATCATTTTGTGGTGGATTCCGATCCAGATTCGTGGGATGTACATCCTCGTCTCCACAACCGACCATGGCCTGCTTCTCTTTGGCGATGACGTTGTGTGCGGATATTGAGTAGAACCTCGGTTTGTTTGGGTCTGTCAAATACCTCGGTGGAATGAGATCATCGACTGAAGCCTACGAGGGTGCGCCCGATTTGGCGGCGGAGATCCCTGGACACGAGATACAATCAACGCTGAAAAATAACCATCTCATTCACGCAACTAAGAATAATCTTCCCTCAGCGCGGACTCCAAGCACCTTAGGTAGGGCTCTACGAATCTCTCCTCCCCAAGCGTCGATCGAAAAGCAATGACTTATTATGGCTCCGATTGGAGACGTACCAAACATGGCAACTCTCTTGGAGCTCCTCTTCCATCGCATCAGCATTTATTCCAGCCGGCCTGGCGTTTCGGAATTTGTACATTAGGAAGAGCGAAATGAAAGCGTTCTAATATTTCGGCAAAGTCACATAGGATTTAGAGCTCCGCTAGTTCTGGTGACATTCCGCCGCCAGGTATTAGTAGAATCAGCAGTCAAACGGGAAACGAAGCCTCCTGCTGCGCGCTGTGTGTCCTGGGCCCCTAGAGAGGGTGAAAATGGCGAATGCGAGGCATTTGTCTGTCCATGGGCGAGTTTGGCGACATTCGGTAACAAACAAGCAATAGAAGGGCCTAAACTTGCGCTATCATGGCTACAAGACTCAATTCCCTGGAGTGTTCGCAGTCTCAAAGTTGAGTTGTGAAGACTGGGGGTTCGCTAACATGGTCCTTTGGGTAAAGAACGTCGACCGGCTATAAGATGCCGTGAAATACTGTTGACAGTATCATCAGAGGCTGGGGTAATGTACCAAAGCACTCGAGGACATCCGAATACCTATTGCCCAGCTGCATGAGAAGAACATCTCGCAAAGAAACTGACAGGCTACATTGGGGTTAGGGTCTCGAAAAACATTTTCAACTATTCCTTCGTTCTCGATAACTCAACCCGCATGATGAACCCGGCAACATTTAAGTCAGCTGTCCAGATTCACGTTCAAACAAACATGGACTCGTCGGTGCGGACTTCTCGCACCAAGGTCAGCTTGGACGGCTTTGGATCCGTTGGCCTTGCATGCATCATCGGCAACAAGTCGCGTCAAACTATCAAAAGCCGGCTTCCAGCTTACCAAATTAATGTTATTGTAGTTGTACAAACAAATCTTTTCATCCAACCATTGGCAGGGAATGTAGTCACCATAGACCTACATCCAGCCAAGTCGGCGCCATACAAACGTCGCACCACTCATAACCGCCGTCACACCGGTAAAGGCGATCAAAGGACCGTAGCCCGTCCCATAAGCACCTAGGAGTTGTCCCTTCCACGGCATGGCCCTGACCAGGACCTGACTCAACGGGCCCGACACGATATTCCCGACTCCTCTCCCCGTGGAGAGAACACCAATAACCATGGTAGGGTCAAACGAGCTTCCCCCTCCGACGCCGCGGCGGGTGGCCATCTCAGTAGCGACGTCCCTCATGATGCCCGTCCAGGCAGACGCGTACGGGCCCGCAAAGAGACCATACACGACGCAGAAGACAAACAGGACGGGGATGGAGTTGGCGAAGCCCCATAGCAAAAGCGTCCCCAGTCCCGCGCCAGCGGCCGAAATCACCAAACACGTGGTGACATGCAAATGGTCCGTCAGGAAGCCCATGAGGGCGCAGCCAAACGTGGAAGCAACATTGACGAGCAACAAGGTCAAGGCAGACATGAAGGTGCTCGCGCCGATGGATCTCGCATACGTGGGTAAGTAGATGCCCGGCAGGAAGAAGCCCAGCGCCTGGACGGTATTCGCAATCTGATGCAGCACAAAGGTCCTGGTCAAGGCAAAGCCAAACTTGAAGGGCTTGATGTGTGTCGTGGCGGCCCGCGGCAGCCGGGGCCTGATGAAGAAGGCAAGCGGCATGGTGAGGAGGAGCAGCGCGGCAGCCCAGATGCGAAGGGTCGTGCGGAAGCCGTACTTGTGCAGGAGGAACTCGAGAACAAGGGGCAGGGAGAAGCCCGCCAGCCCCGTGCCCGACCACATGATGCCGTAGGCGAGACCCTTGCGCCTGGCGAACCACTCGTCCATGTAGAGCAGGCACGGACAGTAGGCGACGGAGCCGCCGACGGCGTAGAGCACGCCCTGGGTGAGGATGAGGTGGCCGACGTTTTGGGACAGGGAGCTGGCCGTCAGGGAGGCGCACATGAAGAGGAGGCCCATGATGGGTGACCATCTGCTGAAGCGGGGGTACATTCTCTGGATGCCCATGACGATGGGGATGTCGAGATACATGATGCCCTGGGATGCGTAAGTACCAAGACCAAGCAGCGTGGGAGGGCCCGAGCCTCAAGGACGGCGCACCATGGCACAGGTACCGATGATGGGAATCTGGCTGGACGCCGCGAACGGCTCGTGTGTGCTGTAGTAGTCCTGGAAGACTCCAAAGGAAAACGGGAAGCCTACGGCACTCGGACGACACGGTTAGCTGGGGACGTATGGAGCCATTGACTCTATCGAGGGAGGGGGGCAAAGGCCGGGACAAATCATCACTCGACGCATGAGGCATCTTACCCCATGTCAAGGCTTCGACGAAGAAACAGGCGGCGAGAAAGAAGCACGCGTCCTTGCCCCCGTCGACGGGCGGCAGCGAGAACTCCTGTCTCCCGTGGCCTGCTCGCGGCCCGTCCTCTGGCGGTCGATGGCCGGATTGGAGCGAGGCCCGGGTCGACTCGCCCTGACGGCGCAATTCCATGGCCGAGGAGGCAGCATTTGCGACATCCATTCCGGGCTACTCGACGAGGTAGAGGCCAGCCGGCTCATGTCGAGCAGCCTCCCGGAATTGCGCCGGCGCCGCAGGGCCATTTATACGTCGCTCCGTGTTGTTGCTGGCGACAGGCACGCCCTTTGTCCCACTTTTGACATGACGTGAATCGCGGTGACGAGGCGTCGGCGTCGGGTACGTGCGAAATCGTGGCGGGCCAACGTCGCCGTCTACGGAGTAGATCCATTGTTCGACACATCGTGGACCACATGAATCCAACAATGCATTACGTACTGGCTGCATACTATCAGCAGTCCACACTACAGTCACGACCCGCCCAGCATCGATTGTCTCGCCTTGTCCAACTTTGCGGCGCCAAGGATCTCTACACGCCCCTCGAGAGGCATCATACGCTCCTACCCTACACCTCCGATAGCGGAACGCAACCACGCAGCGCACGTCCGCCAGGACCAATTTCGCCTCGCCCTGAGCAGATCCCCCGAAACACGCCGCTCGACGAAGCATCTCCATGGCAGAAAAACACACGGCCGCTGAACTGCAGCCAGGCCCGGCGCGACGACGACGCGGTGCTGTAGCTGTAAAGATACAATTCGGAACCAGGAACGACTACAAGGTAGTAAAGGCCATGTCCACCAAACACCGAATCGACATGCGTTGGCAGTAGAAAATTCCAATCTTTTTCATACCAACCACAGGCCGTATATGCCCAAACCACCAACCACCCAACCCCCTCGACCTCATGCAGAGCCTAGACATCCACGACACCACGCTCCAGTGTCGGCATCGTGTCCCCTCGGTGCTTGCTCGTCACCACGCGTTCCGGTCCCAGTTGGGATCTACCCCCCGCCGCCCGTCAGCGAGTCCCGACACCAAAAGAACGCGACAGGAGCGTACCTTGCACAAACGCCGCCAGGACCTTACTACCGGTCTGCAGCAACGGATGCCCCACGACAATCTTTAAAAACTTCTCCAGCCCCGCGCGCCGGCCCTCAATCACGTCGTCGCTGAACCGGTTGGTAAACACTTTCCCGGGCAGAGGGGGGATGGTGACGCGCGCGCTCTCGCGCTCCAGGATGTCGCGGAAGTACTCAAAGTCCGAGTACCGGCGGCGCACGCTGCTCTGGCGCAGCTTGAAGGCGGGGATGTTGGTGCGGCACAGGATCTCGTAGTCTGTGTACATGGAGCGGCCGATGCCGTGAGTCCTCGGGTTGCGGACCTAGAATGGGCGGGCGGGCATCGAGGTGAGGCCAGTTAGCTAGCACACGCCGGGTCTGGCGGCGACGCACCCCGAGGAAGAAGCGCCGAGCGTACCTCTATCTCTAGGAAGTTCTCGGGCGGGCCGTAAATCTCGTCGAAGCTCTGCTGGCGGGTGTCCGGCATGGCCTGCATGATGGGCCGATGCGGCGACGAGGGACTCTTGGGCGGCGAGCTGGGAGACGCCGAGGACATGGGCTTGTTGTCGGCAGCCCGGCCCGAGGCCTGCTGCTCAGGCAGTTTGGGCGGTGTTGGAGGAAGGGGCTGTTTGGCGCGAGGAGAGGACGGAGCCGCTCGCGCGCAGGTGAGCGGTGGTGGCTTCGTCGCCGTCGGGGGTTGCGGAGCAGAGGAGGGAGGGGATGGCGCGGGCGGCGCGGAGGATCGCAGACGGGTCCGAGAGTTGGCGCTGCTGCCTGTGTGCCTTGGCGCGGGTGCTGCGAATCGCGCGGGCCGTCGACGTTGGTTTGCGGATGTGGACGAGGACGAGGACGAGGACGAGGAGGAGGATGAGGAGTGCGGGTTTGCAGAGCGCTGGCGAAGTTCCCAGGTTTGCTCAAGTGGGGTGATGGGTGCTGCCGGGGGATGGGAGGAGGGACTACTTGACACTTTGGCGCGGGCGACGAGTGGCATGGGTCGACGGGGCGTCGACAAATGGGCTTTGACTGCGGGCGACACAACACAGACAACCGCTGCCCGTGATGATGCCGTCATTTCGTGTCAACATGGTCCGTGGTCCGTCTGCAACGCCAATGTTCGACAACGAAGCCATGACCAAGTCCAGGCCGCGGCCGTCCGTCCCGTCTTGATTACGTACATTCCCGAGCAACGCCGCGCCGACATTCAACACCGCTTCTGACGCCTGGTGTAGTTGTTGTACAAGATTATCCTGCAAATAAAGCCGCGCTGCTGCGCCGGTACCTTCGCCGCGCCAATGTCCACGTCCCCTAGGTGGTGTTCATCTCGTACGTCTCCCTCCTCCGGATCCCCCAACCACCGGCGGCGACGACGTTGCCTCTACTTCCTGTCACCTGCAAATTTCTGGTGAATAGCCCGAATTTGTTCTTCGACATTGACTGTTTGTGGACTCGTCGCCTGCGGCTTGCTCTCTTGGTGGGCCTCGGCCGGAATGAGCGCAGCCTTCTTCCTTCTCGCCGCCTCCTCTTCCGTCACGGCCAGCCCGGTCGCAGGATCAAACACATCGCTTCGTTGACTCGCAAGACGCTTGAGGTTCTGGGCGATTTCGGAGCCCGTAATCGTGGCCGAGTACCGCGACTCTGCCGCCGCCTTTTGCTCTTTCCATCTGGGATCCAAGAGCTCAACTACAAAATCTGTTAGTCTCGTGGGAGCAGAACATCGACGAGGGCCGCGCGAATGGTACGTACTCCGGATGTGAGCTTCGAGCTCGTGGATGGGAATCTGCTGTTTACAGTTGGGACACAGAGCGGTCTGGCTTGCCTGCTTGCCTCGTTGGGCCGCTCGAGGCACGTAGTTGTCTCTAATCTTCATTGGGGGCGCGCCGCCTCTTGCTTCCGAATGTGCTTGTTGGACGCGGGCTTGGGCGTCAGCTCGTTCCTGGATACGGCGGGCTTCCTCCTCCTCCTGGGCAGATCTCTGTGACGGGTAGTCACTGGACTGCGCCTGAACGGTGGGCATCTGGCCCGGTTGCGGATACGGCTGTGCGGGCTGTTGAACGCCGTAACTTGGCTGGAGGGGCACGGGCGAGGGTGCATACGGCACAACGGCAGGGCCGCTTCCGACGGTGAATTCCTCGCCCGGCATGGCCTCCTCGATGCGAAGCATGCTCAGCGAAGCCTTGTTTCTGTCTTCGAGAGAGGCGTATTGGAGTTCGGACAGATTGGTCGGAGGTGGTAGGTTTGCCGTCTCGTCGGCCTCGGTGAAGGTGATGGTCTCGACCACGACAAAGTCGGCCCAGTCGATGCGCGAGAACTCTTCCTTTTTCTTCTCCTCCTCCTCCTCCTTCTTCTGGCGTTCCAACTCCTGAAACTTGGCGTGGTCAGCTCGTTGCCTAGCCCGGGCCAGGACTCGGAATTTGTCCTTCACGTTGCGCTCCAGCTCGGCCGTCTTCTCTTCCTGCAGCTTGCCGCCTTCGCCGCCGAGCCCGGCAGCGCGTATAAGCGCGCTGTACTGATCAATGAGATGCTGGAAGAAGTTGTGGAAAGTGTGGTTCGGGATGAGGAACTGGAACTGCGGGTTGCCGGTCTCCCGCTGGGCCAGTTGGGTCATGAACTGTCTTCCGTTCTTGGCGACAAACAGGGCCGTCAGGCGAATGACCTCGAGATCTTTTTGATTGATGCGCGGCATGCGCGCGGAGAATTCGAAGTCGGGGGGCTTCGGGGGCCCTTTTGGTTTCTCGGGCTCCGCAGCCGCCTCGCCTGGTCGGCCGGCGGAAACACCCGTCCCTCTCCCAGACTTGACTTCGTCTAACCGCCACTGATAGAATGAATGGTAGGCGTCGGAAGGGTTCAAAAAGCTGAACTTGGGATTTGCCGACTCCTTGTCCCGAATGCGGTCCTCGAATACGGCACCATTCCTTGCGACATAACCAGCAGTCTTTTCCAAGATGTTGCGTATTTCGCGTGGAGGAAGGACAACGCCTGACGGAGGCTTCAGCTCATCCAGAGCCGCAGACGCGTCGCCGTTTGTCGCAGCCGCAGCCATGTTGTGCCGCGAGAGGTGAGGTGGTTTGGCAATAAACTGTCGCGAAGCTTCCCTCGTGTTGCTGCAAGATTCGCATGCTGGGATTCCATACGGCGACGTGCGGACATACATTGACCCGGCGGCCCGGCCCCATCCTGAGCCACAGTGGAGCGGCTGTCCCAACCAAGTCTTGATTGATCATTGATCTCGGGACACGCGGGGGAAGTACGTTTGCAATCTTGCATTGCGCATTCACCGGGTGACATTGATGGCCTCCACGTGCCAATTAATAAAGCCGTGGGTGCGGAGGAAATGAGCAGGTTCATCTTTCAAACCCAGCTCGGCCACATGCCGAAGAAGTCTGCCACGGACTTGAGATGAACCTAATAAACACCCAGGTACGGAGTATTGACGACCTGGTACCGGAGATGGCTGCCTAGGTACCTAAGTAACTTAAGTACCTACCTACTTATGTACAAGTAGGTAGTGATGCGGCTGCACGTATAGATATGTCACTTTCGCTAGACTTGTCAAGACCGTGTTCCGCTTCCATGCATGACTTGTCTCACCCGATAGACGAGGACGGGCTGCCAGTCAAGCCGTTCCCGGCCCATCCATCTGTTACCGGGCACGGAGCGTTCCCATCGCCATCATGCTCGGTACAGTAACAGCAGTAACTCCGGTTGATTTGACGAATACTACTCCATCAATGGACAGTGCCATCTTCCGGAGGTCCCAGGAAACACGACGAAACGCGTGTCAAGGGCACCAGGATATTGCAGCCAAAAGTACTCAGTACTTGGTACGTGGCAGCGGCGGCGCACGTGGAGTTGTCGCCGCATTGGTCACAAGGAGAAGGCGGGTAGGGGTTCAGCTCGACTACTAGAGTCCAGCAAGCGGTGGCTGCAACCATCTGGACGCGAGCTGCCCGAAAAAAAAAAAAAGGTGCGCGGAGGCTGGCCGTGGAAAGCGGCACCTGGGGCAGCTCCAAGTACCAAGTACTCCGTACTCTCTACTTCGGTACCGAGTACATCAAGGTGCTAAAGCCCCGACAGCTCGGCGCCGTCAATCAGCTCTCTTGCTTGCTTGCTTGCTTTGCACCAAACACTCCCGTGCCAACCCGCCCCAAGAAATCGTGCCCCTTATCATCCCACAACTCTATTCTGCACCTCTCAACCGAGCTCTTCTGTTCTCCTTGTCCTCCCTTGTCCCATTCCATCTTCTTCCTTCATCATTTACGGACGGGGGCTCCTTGCCTTTTCGTCCTGGCCATTACTTTGTCTCTACATGGGGCCATTTTAATCATCATCTTTTTCGTTCGACACTTTCGTTAACCCTCTATTTTGTTTCCCACATCTAGACTCGTCCCAGCTTGGCCGAACCGCATCCTCGACGAGTCGCCGTCCTACGAACTCGCCATACACGCTCCGTCTCGTGACTGAGCCGCCATAATCATGGCGAGATCGAGTTCGGCTCGCGGCAAGAGCCCGTTGCCGCCGGCCGCCGCAACCAAGAGCAGAGGTGCCAAGGGCACTTCCTACAAGTCCGACGGCGTTGAAGACAACGACATCTTTCTTCTTCCCACCTCCGACTATGTCGTGGCCCTTCTGCTGACGCTGTTGGGTGCCCTTGTACGCGTATTTCGAATCTACCAGCCCAGCAGCGTCGTCTTTGACGAGGTGCAGTAAGTGTCAGCGGGCTGCCAGCATTCGTATCTGCTCTCATGCACCAACCAGTACTCACCACTCCTGCTTCTTAGCTTTGGCGGCTTCGCATCGAAATACATCAAGGGTAAATTCTTCATGGACGTACATCCACCACTGGCCAAGATGCTTATTGCACTGACCGGTTGGCTTGCTGGCTTTGATGGCAACTTTGACTTCAAGGAGATCGGGAAGGATTATCTTGAGCCTGGCGTTCCCTACGTGTCCATGCGATTGTTCCCCGCCCTCTGTGGAATTCTTTTGGTTCCCTGCATGTTCCTCACTCTCAAGGTTGTCGGTTGCCGTACCATGACCGCTGCCATGGGTGCCTCCCTCGTCATCTTTGGTAAGTACTTCGCCCGTCCCTTTGACCCTTGGCCCCCTTCGTGCGATGCTGCCCCGCGCTGGCATCACTACTAACTGGAGCACCAGAGAACGGCCTCCTCACCCAGGCTCGACTGATACTGCTCGACTCTCCCTTGGTCGCCGCGACTGCCTTCACCGCCCTCGCCTTCTCCTGCTTTACGAATCAACATGAGCTTGGCCCCGCCAAGGCATTCCAGCCTGCTTGGTGGTTCTGGCTGGCCATGTCCGGTCTTGGCTTGGGCATCACCGTCAGCATCAAATGGGTTGGCTTGTTCACCATCGCCTGGGTAGGCGCATTGACACTGCTGCAGCTCTGGGTCCTCCTGGGCGACAACCAAAACGTCACCATGCGCCTATGGTTCAAGCACTTCATGGCCAGAGCTTTCTGCCTCATCATCATTCCCGCCACCTTCTACATGGCCATGTTTGCCATTCACTTCCTCTGCCTGGTCAATCCCGGCGATGGCGATGGCTTCATGAGCTCCGAGTTCCAGGCCACTCTTAACAACAAGGGGATGAGTGATGTTGCTGCTGATGTCGCCTTTGGAAGCCGCGTGACCATCCGTCACGTCAACACTCAGGGTGGCTACCTGCATTCTCACCCACTCATGTATCCGACCGGCAGCAAGCAGCAGCAAATCACCCTGTACCCTCACAAGGATGAAAACAACATCTGGCTTCTCGAGAACCAGACGCAGCCCCTTGGTGTTGATGGTCAGCCCTTGAATGGCACTCACGCCTGGGACAACCTCCCCGACGGTCCTGTATTCGTCCAAGATGGTGCCGTTCTTAGACTGTACCACGTCCCTACTTTTCGTCGACTGCACTCACACGATGTCCGCCCCCCGGTGAGCGAGGCCGACTGGCAGAACGAAGTTTCCGCTTACGGATACGAAGGTTTCGAGGGCGACGCCAATGACTACTTCCGAGTCGAGATCGTCAAGAAACAGTCCCATGGCACGGTTGCCAAGGAACGTCTGAGGACTATTGAGACCAAGTTTCGTCTGGTCCACGTCATGACTGGCTGTGTCCTGTTTTCTCACAAGGTGAAGCTCCCTGACTGGGCTTCCGAGCAACAGGAAGTCACGTGCGCGCGCGGAGGCAGTTTGCCCAACAGTCTGTGGTACATTGAACACAATGAGCATCCCCAGCATGATGAAAAGACCCCCAGGGTCAACTATCGCAACCCTGGCTTCTTCGGCAAGTTTTGGGAGCTCCAGCGTGTCATGTGGACCACCAACGCGGGCCTGACCGAGTCTCACGCCTGGGAATCCCGCCCTCAGTCTTGGCCTATTCTCCGACGAGGTATCAACTTCTGGGGTAAGAACCACACCCAGATCTACCTCATTGGCAATCCTATCATTTGGTGGGCCTCCTCCATCACCATTGTTGTCTGGGCCTTGTTCAAGGGTGTTGCTCTCCTGAGATGGCAGCGCAGCTACAACGACTATGCCGACCCAACCTTTAAGCGATTCGACTATGAGCTGGGTACTTCGATTCTTGGCTGGGCTCTGCATTACTTCCCCTTCTTTCTCATGCAGCGTCAGCTTTTCCTCCACCACTACTTTCCTGCTCTGTACTTTGCCGTCATTGCTCTCTGTCAGCTATTTGACTTTGTGACAGTTCGATTCCTCGGGGTCAAGTCCAAAGATGCGGCTATTATCAATAAGGCGGTGACCATGCTTTTCCTTGTCGCATCCATCGCTGCGTTCTCTCTACTGGCTCCTCTTGCCTACGGGAACAGCTGGACCAAGGATGATTGCAGGCGAGTTCAGTTGTTCAGCACATGGGATTGGGACTGCAACAACTTTTTCGACCGTGTAAGTTCGGCTCGTCTATCTGCCTCGTGAAAATCTTATTGGTAAAACTAATCTGTTTTTTTAGTATGATGAATACACTTCCGTCAGCCCAGAAGAGCTTAGTTCCTCGGCTTCCAATATTCCCAGCATTCCCAGTTCTCCTGTCCCCCTTGGCCAAGGACAGCAGCAGCAAAAGCCGCTTGGAACCTCGCAGGATGCACCGTCTGTCAAGGTTCTTAGTCACGAGGAGAAGGTTGAGTTTCGCGACCAAGACGGCAACCTCTTGGACGAGGAACAAATCAAGAGTCTTGAAGGCAAGGTCAGGTTCGAGACCAAATATGAGACGCGAACCCGCGTTGTCGACGAGGCAGGCAACGAGCTGCCTGTACCCGATGGCGGGTGGCCCTCGGACATGGCTGCAGGCGTAGCTCCTCCCCACCCCGATGTCCAAGGCGTCGACCAAGAGACAGTCAAGGACGAGCATGTTGTAGCTCCCCAGGACGCAGCTGCCAGCCGTGACGGCGAGAAGGAAGCTGAACGGTCCAAGGCTAAGCCTGCCAGCGATTGGCAAGAAGCCACCGTCCGTGACGAATTGTAAAAAAATCTTTTTAAAAAAGGACTGAGACGTCGACTCCCCACTTCCATTGAACTGTTACAAAGACGGGCTGTACCTTGGGTATTTACCTCTTAATACTGTATTGTTTCCGATTTGACGACGCAGTACGAGGCACAAATGGCGCGGACAAAGTTATTCTGTTTAGTGAGTGGGCGAGCGCGGCCATGGGCTCGAAAGGGCCCTAAAAATAGGCGACGTTGAAGGATGAAAATGGATGGAGGGGCAGGGAGAAACAAAGGATCCTTGTTTCGCATGTATCTTGGCTGCAGTCAAATGGAATTACGTATTTGGTATGAAGACTCTGCTCAATGCGACGTGTCGCAGCAATTTACGCGTCCGGCTCTGGGCCCGCGGACCCTTGCCCTAGTATCATTGACTGCATTTCTCGACGTAGCCAGCCCCGAAAGCATCGTTGATCAAGGTGGAGAAACAAGGTGGACTCGACTTCATGCTCACGACGAAACGCAGCAGCTTCGGAAAGCCACGTCATCAGGTGCAATGGGCAAGAATTGACGCCGTGGCCAGCGGTAAGCCCGTGCATTAAAGCAAAAAAATAATTTCTGTATGCCTGTCCAGACTCCGTCCTATGCATTCGCATTCGTCGTGTGCTGCAATTCCGCCCGTGTGTCTGTTTACCCGCGAAAAACAAAAACAGACAAGAACAAAAAAGAGGAAAAAAAAAAAAAAAAGAAAAACCCGTGGTCATGAAAAGAGTCCCTCGTTTCCGTCCAAACGCCGCCCTCGTGCAAGTGCACCGCGTCCGTCCCATTAACAATAGAGTTATGCATGACGTGTCGTCATGAATGCAAAAACCTGGGTAGAAACAAACAGGGGCGGGCTGTGATTCGCCACGTGTCTGGATGCCAAGTGCGACGGCTTTTTCGGTTTATTCCGCAGACTGTCGCGTGGTGCTGTCAGAGTTGCTGGTTCCAGTTCCATTCGAGCCGGCAGAGTGTACGGAAATGCGTCCGCCGTCAGTCTGTTCGGGGGGAGTGTGGGGTTCGAGGGTGGCGGGCGCGGATGCGGATGAGTGGACCTCGTCGTGGGTGCGGTGCTTTGGCGTAGAGCAGCACACAACCTTCTTTTCCGACGAGTGCGCTGGTTCGGACGCGCCGCCGGACGACGACTCCGGGTGTCGACCGACCTTGGCTTCCTGGCCCGCTTCGTCATCAGCGTGGCCGGGAGAGGCAGGGACGACGCCGCCTCCGATGCGTGCCCAGAACATCTGATCTCGAAGCCGCACGCTCTCTTCCCAGGCCGCCTTCTCCTGGTCCTCGTCGTCTGCTCGCCAGTGGCCGTCCTTGATCATGCGTAGAAAGCCAATGTAGTCGCAGGTGGAGCGAACTCTGTTCAAACAATAATTGCAAAGCGGATACCTCTGGGCCGAATCCGCCTCGCTAGTCCTGAATCGGTGGTTTCGCAAGTACTGAGAGTCCTTTCTCGACTCCCCACAAAGGGAGCAAGGTTGCATCTGCGGCTTAGCAGTGCTAGCATTGCACGTTGCGCCGGCCGGGATTGGTTCGACGACCAGAGACCCCTCTGCAATCGAGTTGAGCACGGTGCGGCGGGCAAGCCACGAGAGACCAGGGGCGATGTCGAGACGCAGGGTCGGCTCAATGTCCTCGGTCAGCGCCCTCTTGTAAAACCGAGTCTCCTTGAGCGCAGGAAGCGGCACGCCGCTTGAGCCCGCGCTTGCGCTTGCTGTCGATGCTGGGGTGTTTGGCGATTGCGGAGCGCTCTTGTCGGCCGGCGTGGAGGCGCTGAGCGAAGAGGTGGAGGCGTTGGAGGGATGGGCGCTCGACGTAGAACCACCGAGGCCCAGTGCAAGGGCGTTGATGCCTCCCAGCGATCCCGAGGAGATCCTACTAGCGGAATGCCTGCTGTGGGACAGTCTGACCAGACTCATGAAATCGTCGAATACCGGGAGGTCGGTCCGCAGAGCGGGCTGAATGAGATGCGACAAAATCAAGGGCGAGCACGGGGCGAATGAATCCGTGGAAGGGGAGACGAGGTCGGGTGAATACGGAACCGCTCTGTCATCGTATTCATGGTCGAACCTGACGACGCCCGGAGACGGCGGTGCTGTGCCATTCGTCTGCTCGTCGTGCTCAGAAGCCATCGTCTCCATGACGCTTTTCAGCTCGGAGAGTTGCTCCTGCTGGGATTTCAAGAGTCCCTCCGAATCAGCAAGCTGGGCCTTGAGCTGATCAATCTTGCGCCGCAAGGCCTCGTGCTGGACCTGCGCCTCTTCCTTGGCCCCAATGACCATTTTGTTTGCCTCCTCAAACAGGGCCGTGGTAAGGTTCTCCAGTTCTTGTTCGATCTTCCTCTTGTCCTTTTCGGTGTCAAGACGCCGGGCGGTTTCTGCGTCTAGTTTGGCCTGCATGGCCTTCTTTTCCATGGCAAGGGCCTTTTTCTCTGCGTCCAGGGTTGATCGACGAACCCAAACATCGCCCTGAAGGGTGTCCCGCATCGAGGAATTCTGAGACTCTAGCTCCCGTATGCGGTCCTTGGCTGCGGACAACTCGTGCCGGGTCGCCGTGAGGGTGTCATCGAGAACGGTCTGGTAGTTGATGGCGTTGATGAGTTTCGTGCTCAGAGTGGCGACTTCATCATCGAGGTCAGGATGGCGACTGGAACCCGGCTCGGCGTTGTCGTTGGCCGGGCTTTTGGCGCGACTCCGCGGATCGGGCAGGGTGCTCATCTCATCGTCGAGGACGGGGGCGGAACGGGAGGCTGCGAGGGAAATGGTGCGAAGCTGCGAGGTGGATGGTGATTTGAGAGGTAGACGAGTCTTTTGCTGCGTCGGAGAGGGCGGCGTGGACTGGGTTGTGGCGGCAACGGGCGACAGGGAGCGCAAATGGCCAAGGGGAGACGGACCAGCGGAAGGTCGAGAGGAAGGTCGAGAGGACGCTTGGTGGTGTTGTGGCCAGCCGGCGGCGTAGACGAAGCTGAGTAAGTGGTTAGCCACGGCCATGGTCTAGGCTCGCAAATAACTAAATCGTCTCCATATGGAGGCCAATGTCCACAACTACGGTATACATTGTATCCTGCCGCTCGCGTCGAGGGAGGCCTAGGTTCCAGGTTCCAGGTTCCAGGTTGAGACACCAGACTCGGCGACGCGGGACGTCGAGAGCAGTGGGCAGGCAACGAGAGCCCAAGATGGAAGGGACGGGACGCGGCAGGGAGAACTTACGATTCCATGGCCACAGGCACAGGGCAGAGAGAAAGGTAGACACAGCAACAGCTGTGAGGGTGAGTGGTGCGGCAATGAAGATGGGAAGACGTCGTCCAAGGTTTCGGAGCAAGGCAGCAGGAGCGTGAGGCATGAACTGATTGGCGACTGCCTTTTTACGCTACTCCGCACGCCGACAAGCCTTTAGCTTGGACCAGGCCGAATCTTGCGAGGAGCCAAACGGCGTCGCACGAAGCAAACTGCAGCCACCTCGAGGCTAAGTCGTCAAGCAAGGTTTGACGGCGGTGGGTGTTTTTTTTTTTTTTTTCCTCTCTGTCTTTCTTCTTCTTCGTCTCCGGTCAATTGGTTTTGGGCCGACAACGGGTTGCACGCGGCAGCAGGCCGGAGGAGGCGTGCGAGGCCAGCGCAGAGAATCGGGCGGGTGGGATGAGGATGAGGCAGGCAGAGGATTGCAACTGATTCAACGGTGACGTGACGAAACATTTCAAGGCAGACGCCGGCCTGGGCCACGTGCAGCGCAGCGCATCTGGGCAGTTTGGTCAAGACTCAACGGCCCCCCGCTGCCCCGGTGCCCCGGTGCTCTCTTCTGCGTCCTAGGGCCCAGATGGCTGGGAGTCTGGCACAAGGACCGGCTTGGCGGCGCTCGGACTTGACTGGAGACAGCAAGCACAGAAGTTCAGAACGCTGCAGGCCAAGCGCCTACACGCGAAACATCGAGTCCATCTCATCGTCGCGATGCTCACACCCATTACCGTCAACGTCGCTCGGATCAAGAATTGACGGCATCAATTTTCGCCTCTGTCGGCTTGCGGCTGGGAAACGAGCACACCCCGGTTGCCGGGCTATCACGGGCTATTGTCATGGGCCGTTTTGCCATGGGTCCCTGGTCCACGAGAAGCGTCATGGACTCATGGATGGATATGATTGCTGAGCAGCAAAGCTCGACCGGTGGGCTCAGGCACAGCCACGCCGCGCTGCCTGGGGCGGCTACTGGCCGGCACGTAGCCGCTCCTCCTCGTGCATTGACCCGTCTTGGGGCCACGACAAAACAGTAAGTGTTAATTGGCCGTCGCATCTTATTGTTCATGTTCCGTACTGCTGATGCTGGTAAAATGCTATTATTCATCTACTCCGCATGTACACAGCCTAGTTGTCCTCACTACCTCAAATGTGCCGTTCGCTCCTCTGCTTCCGCAATCCACTGCCTCAGCTTGGCCTCTGATCGCGGCCTCAGGCCAATCTTGAACGGCTTCGGGTCCAGCGTCAACGACGTGGGCGTGGCGTTGCACTCGATGCAGTCCATGCAAGGCGCGTCCTCGACATTCTCCGACGGCAACATTTCAAACGCCGTGATGAGGCGAATATACGCCGTGTACAGCTCTCGGTTCGCGAGATGCGACCCTACGCACATGCGAGACCCTGCGCCGTACGCATAATGCGGCGTGCCGACCTCGGTGTCCTGCAAGAATCGCTCGGGGATGAACTTGTCGGGCATCTTGAAGCGCTCGTTGTCGTAGTCGGCGGCGTAGGCGTTCTGGCCCCCCCACCCAAAGCACCGCCGCATTAGCTCGCATTGATGACGAAGAGAGAAAAAGGCGGGAGAGACAAGAGAGAGACGCAGACAAGGAAAGCACGGCCAGCCGACAGTAACACCACTCACCATGAAAAACGTCGTTCCCGCGGGAATCACAGTGTCTTGGTAAGGAATATCGCGAATACTGGTGCGGGGAAGACAAATCGGTATCACTGTCCAGTATCGGAGCACTTCCTTGACCAAGGCAGTGACGTAGGGCACCTTCTCCTCCACTAGGCATTTTTCCCATGAGTCGCCCTCGGGGTACACGTCTTGGATGGCCTGGAGGGCCTTGGCTTGCACCGCCTGCCCTTGCTCTGTGGAGAGGAATGCCATGCCCATGATGATATTGCCGGGCACGGTATCGAGTCCAGCAGAGACCATGGTCAGGCAAATCGACTTGACCTCGGCTGCAACCACACCCCCATCCATCAGTATCGACGACACACGTCTGGGGAGGCGCAGGACATACCAAGGTTCAACGTTGCCTCTGGATCCTTCAAGATGTGTCCCGTAATGCAAGGCTTATCCGTGCCCTTTGCAATCTCACGCTTGAGATGGTCCAGCATGTCGGTCAGATACTTGTCACGCCGTCGTCGATACTCGTCGGCCGACGAGTTCCGCGCACTCCACAGCCGCAGCAGGGGCACATAGTCTTGCCAGTTATTGCTCGTGGACCGAAAGTTGGAAATCTCGCGCTCCACGTGGGTGACTTCGTTGAGGAGTTGACTGTCGACCGTCCCGTCGATGCGGAAGCCGTAGTTGAGCGTGAGCGACGTGTTGAGGGCGAAGCGGGCGATGTAGGCGATGGGGTCTACGGGCCGGGTGCCGCCCCTGCAGTCGTCGAGAAGCTCCTTGATGCTCACGGTGGATTCGAGATCGAGAATGGGCATGTATGACTGCGTGGCCGGGCGGTTGAGAGCGGTGGCGGCGGCCTTTCTGCGTCGCTTGCACGACTCGTCCCAGGGCGAGGTGCCAATGGTGAATCCCTGCGACGACGACACGACCGAGTGAAAGGTGTGGAACATGGGCCGGGATATGAGGGCCGACTGGTGAGTGATCCAGAAGTGCTTGACGGTTTCGTATGAGTTGACAAAGACGACGCGGCGGTTCCCCAGCCGGGTCTGGAAGACGGGCCCATGCTTGCGCGCCCATCGCTGCGCAACCCGCGCATGATCTGTGCCCAGCTCAATCAGATTGCCGAGTATGGGGACGCCCGGAATCTCGGGCAGGCCCTTGATCTTGGGGATATCGGTCGCGTTGAGGTATCGGACCACGAGGTAGAGGGCGGCGACGACGCCGAGCGCCACGACGGGGTACGACATGGTGTTGTCCCTTGATTTTGCAAAACCCGACGCTTTTTGTGAGTCAGGCAAGGGGGCATGTTGCAGGGCGAATTGACGACATTTACCAAAGAATTGAAAGAAAAAAGACGACCGGAGGTGGGACGAGGGAGCCCGGAAATGCTCGTTCGCCCGCCCGACCCGGTACTACTTTCTAATCTGACGGGAGATTCGAGGGTCACAAAAGGTCGCTTCACCCACTCACTATACGACATCAACCTCAATCAAGACGCTACCCGTAGAGTCGTCGACGAGTGACGGGTGAAGCGGCGGCCACCGCAGCTCGGTCGTAGAAGTAATGGCAATCGGAAGCGCGGTTCCGGCCGTTTCAAGGAAATGCGGACGGTCGGCTTGTCATGACGCAGAAGTTATTCTGTCACTTACTACATGGTAACTGGCATGCTGGTTTGACGGGACAGAACAGAAACGCGGGGAAGACAGATTGCGACACAAGGATGCAACCATGCTGACATGACATGTCTCCGGAGTCCGTGCCGAAGAGGCTTGTTCCCTGTGTCTGAATGTGCTAGTAGTATAGTAGCAGTACGGCGGAGTAGTACGGAGAACCAGCTCCTAGCCTTGATGGCTTTGCTCTGTTGCTCAATGCCCATTGCCTGGTAAAATCCAAGTGCGCACGGAGTACGACAGGTCAAGTACGTACTCCGTACCAGACGAAAGGCGGCAAGGCCGGAGAAGAAGAGAGGCAAAAGCACAGACGATGCAAGGAGGTTGAGACACTTCACTTGAATGTCGAAGCTGAAGGGCCAGTCTCAGCAGGGCAGCAACGCAACTATATGACAAGTTACTACGGAGTACACGACGTGCCGTTCGCTCCTTCTGCTTTGGCTGCGGAGGCGAGGCTGGTGAGTCGTGAGTCGTGAGTCGTGACTGCCTACCCAGGCTTCCCACGGCAACCTGACAGTCCAGGCTCCATCTCATCTCTACTCAAACATGATGCCCACGACGACCAAGGCTGTCTCACCGCGGCAAAGCCTCACAATTAGCGACGGCGCAGTTCGTGCCAAAGTTATGGTGAGATGCCGGTTTGGTTTGCGCCGGACCAGAGTCTCCGCCGCCACACGCAAGAGGCTTTCTTGTGGCGCCCGCCATTGATGTAAAACAGCTGAGAAAGTTCATGCCGAATTGGACAAGCACCAAGTCACCATACTCGGGCTAATAATACATACGTACGTGTGCCCGTCCACGGGTCGCGAGACGGAGCTAATCTTCACCTCGGTGCCGTCTCTTTCCCAGCATGTCATGTTGACCTGGCTCGACCCGACCGTCTTGTGATAGCCACTCGCCATGCAGAAAACATTGCTTCCAGCCCGAGGCAGCTCCAAGCAGGCTGTTGCGGACTGCGGAGAGATGGGCCTCGACTCGTTTTGGGACGTGTCCCCGGTCCCGACTCTCGTCGTGTCTCCAACCCACCGCATCCGCAAAGCGTCCCAGAGCATCGCGAGCAGGTGGGACCGCGACGTCAACGATCTCGTCGGCAACAACGTTTTCGTCGTCCTCTACGGGGGCTCGCCGCTCGAGCGCTTCGACCGCATACCGCTTGCCAGCGCAATCGAGAATGCCGTGGCCGGCCGGGCCTTGGCCCTGTGTCCCAACGCCTACCACCAGGGCGCCGTGTCTTGGTCGGCGCGAATCGTGCCGATATTCAAGGGCGAGCAGCTGCAGTTCCTGGTGCTCGAGTTCGACACGGACGAGCACCGACACGCCAAGGTTTCCGGCATCGACGGCTACCTCTGCGACCGCATGGTCGACGACATGTTCCGGCTCCTCGTCGACACCGTCAAGGACTACGCCATCTTCCTCCTCGACACGCGCGGCTACGTGGCGACGTGGAACGCAGGCGCCGAGCTGCTCAAGGGCTTCCAGAGGGAGGACATTGTCGGCCGGCACTTTTCCACCTTTTACGGCCAGGCCGACCTGCGCGCCGGGAAGCCGGAGAAGGAGCTGATGACGTGCCTGCGCCAGGGCCGCGTCGAGGACGAGGGATGGCGCTACCGCAAGGACGGCAGCAGGTTCTGGGCCAACGTGGTCATCACGGCTCTCTACCGCAACGGCGTGCACATCGGCTTCGGCAAGGTCACGCGCGACCTGACGGAGCGGCGGGAGAGCGAGCTGCGCCTCATCGACGCCTACGAGGAGAGCTCCAAGCTCAAGAACGACTTCCTCGCCAACGTGAGCCACGAGATCCGGACGCCCATGCACGGCCTGCTCTCGGCCTGCTCGCTGCTGCTCGACACCAACCTGTCCGAGGACCAGCGCGAGACGGCCAACATCATTGCCGAGTCGGGCCAGGTGCTGCTCGGCGTCATCAACAGCATCCTGGACTACTCCAAGCTCGCCTCGGGCACCTTCTCCATCACCTCCGACGTCTTCGGCGTCGGCGACGTGGTGGCCTCCGTGATCCGCACCGCGCGCACCACCGTCGTGCCCGGCGTCCACATCAAGTTGCATCTGGCGCCCAACTTGCCGAGACGGGTGCGAGGCGACCAGCTTCGCTTCCGCCAGATCATGCAGAACATCATTGACAACGCCGCCAAGTTTACGAGCGCAGGCTACATATCCGTGTCGTGCTCCGTCAGGGAAGAGACGGACACGGCCTACTCCATCCTCACCGAGGTGGCCGACTCTGGCATCGGCGTCAAGACCAGCGATGCCAAGAAGCTGTTCCAGCCCTTTATGCAGTCCGAGGTGTCCATCAAGAAGCGCTTCCAAGGCACAGGCCTGGGCCTGTCCATCGCCAAGTCCCTGGCCGTCTTGATGGGCGGCGACCTGGGATACAGACCCAACTCTGAGTGCCGCGGCAGCGTATTCTGGTTCGCCGTCAGGCTCGACAAGGCGGCGGCGGCGGCGGCGGCGGCGGCGACGACGGCCAGCGAGCCGCAGGAGGCTGCGGACAAGACGCCCTTGCCGGCCATGGCGGGAAACAAGAACTCGGCCGCGGTGCTGGACCGACTCAAGGAAGTCGGGGCCACGACGCGCATCCTGGTCGCCGAGGACAACATCATCAACCAGAAGGTCCTGGTGGGCATGCTGCAGTCCTTCGGGCTCAAGAACATTGCCGTCGCCCCCGACGGCGCCCAGGCGGTGTCGGCGCTCACCGGCTCGCCCGACAAGTTTGACCTGGTCATGATGGACGTCAGCATGCCCGTCATGGACGGCTTCGAGGCCACTGCGCACATCCGCCGCCTCGGCAGCCACGTGCCCATTCTGGCCATGACGGCAAACGCCCTGCGCGGCTACAAGGAGAAGTGCATGCAGTCTGGCATGGACGACTACGTCCCGAAGCCGGTCAGCAGGAACCTGCTGCTGCAGAAGCTACTGCTGTGGCTGGACCCGATGAAGCAGCATGCCGTTGAGTCGAGCATGGCCATGGCCATGGACCTGCTTGAAGCGCCGCCCATGCCCCCCTCCGAGCCCTCTACTTCCCAGGTTTGCAGCGGCGGGTGAGCGTCTGCCACCAGACTCGGCCACGCTGGCGCTGTCCCTTTACCCTTGGGTTCCCCTTTGGTCGACGGCATGATGCCGCTGCTCAAAACGCCTATTCCTGGCTCTGGCTAGGAACACGCGCCTGTATGGGCCAGGATTTTGCGCCAGGGCATGAGCCCGGCGCCTTCCTTGTCCTGCAGCTCCCTCGATGGCTGTCGATAGTACTGTGGTGTAGCGCTACGAGCGCCACGTTGGTGGTTAAATGCCAGCCCGTGTTGGAGGGACCGTGGAAAGCGATTTCGCGTCGAATGCCAGCAACCCGGCATCAAGAATAACCAATATGCCTCCCCCCCCCAAAAAAAAGGTGGGAACCACGCGCAGTGGCGTCGGTTGGCGTTGAGGGGACAGTGTTCAAACGGCAGCGCCACGTCGAATCCAGCGCGCCCGAAGATTGTCGGCTGTTTGGCCTGGTGTCGCTATCGACGGACGTGGCCTTTGCTTGACGCTCAGCCGTGCGGGCGTTTGGTCGTTTGGGGGCGGAGGCGCTATTTTGCCTTGAATGCCCGCCTGCAAGGGCTGTGTATTACAAGATCAGCAATCAAACGTAGATGTCAACAGGTCTTTTGATGCTGGAATAAGCAAGACATGTGCGTGCCATGCCAACGGGCGCGCGGGTCGAGTTTAGATGTACAAGGTGAGCAAACGTATGGTGAGTTGGGCTGGTTTGGCATTTGTGGCCGCGGCAGTCCAAACTCGACCATGTCAAATCCCCCTTTTTTTTTTCATGTCCAGACCGGTGTCTTTGCCGGCAGCATACATACTCGCCGTACTAACCAGTCCGGGTGTACAGTCGGCGGCGCTGTCAAATCGCCTTTTGGACATACAAAGCATTAGTATTGCACGCCTCTCGATCCTGGACCCTGGCATCCGAGTCGTTACAAGACGAGACATACACTACGACGGCGCGCGAGACCGTTCGAATAGACCGATTTGGACCTTGGTTACATGCTGAGGCAGAGCTAGCAACCTTGGGAAGATGCCTTGCCTGTGCAGCCCTGTCGGAATGAATGACTTGACTGGGCTCTCGAGTGGCTTTTCTTGGCGTCGAATGGGAAGGGCTTGGAGCACCGGGAGGTGCGAGGTAGGCTTTGGTTCTAAACGACAGGATGGACGCAGCCTACGTGGGCCTTGCTGGGTGGCTTGGGTTTGGTAGGGGAATCTTTGATATATCTCAGTAAATGAGATACCGGAAGGGGATGCTGGCATGCGGGTGCGTCGTCGCAGGCTGCGTCGCAGCTGGTGCAGAAGATGAGGCGACAGGACGGTGCCCGTTGGTATGGCCTCTGCGAAGCAACCTCTAATCGATCTTCCCGCCAATTTGCCGATTCATGGGAACTGCTGTCAGGAGAGGAATTGCCTTTGTGCAGGCGAGGCTGCTGGGCTTCCTCTTTGGCCCGGCGATGTGCGTAACTCCTTTCCCTGCGGACGATATTGCGCATCCCTCCAAGTCCATGGCGGACGAATGATTATGTGCCAAAAGTTGAGTGCAAAGTGTCACAACTATATTGGCCTCTCGTCGAACCTCAGTCCACTTCGTCGTCACCCTGTTACATGACTCCGCTAGATGCGCCATTTGCAACGCCGGCTTTGGAGAATCCTGGCAGTGACTGACTGGCTGTGAGCAGCTATTCACCCTGTGTTTCCGGACCTCAACTGCACACAGAGCAGAATCAAAGTCTGGGTCCAGCATGTACGCCAACCGCCCGCCCTGCTTCCGCGGTCCATCAAAACGTGGGTGTGGGTGTCAGGCGGAGGAGCATCAGGGCTACTTTTTCGGAGAGTGACCGAAGAGCACTGGCCGGGTGGCCTATTGTTGATCGTGCGTTGGAATTCTGCCTTCTGCACGGAGTATATATGCCCGCCCATGAGCTGGTGTTGTCGATGTGGCAGCACGGCAGCGAGGCCAGGAGCGCTCTGCTGTCCCTGCTTCAGGCGACCACTGGGCTGAAGGCGCCGCTTTGCGTACATGACACGGGTTGGTTGAGTGTAGTCGGTGCTGGTTTTGCTTTATTTCCATCTCGATCCGCTGCAGCACCCGGCACCACATGATGTCATGGGCCACCACGCATGCCCTGGCACGATGGTATGTGTATATATATGTATATATATATATATATGTGTGTGTGTGTGTGTGTGTGTATTCGCCGGCGCTCAGAATCCTGGTTGCCGGCTGTTGGAATCCCAGCTCTGTTTGCGGTGTTGGGGTCTGTATTGTACAGGCTCGGGCAGTTTGAGTCGCTCCAGTTCCTCCAGTTTTCTCACCTTGCCGTGTCCCAAACTCATCAGCTCCCTGGAGACGACTTGGCAGACCGCGGGGAACATTTTTGTACATGTACAAGTTCCCGCGTCAGGTTGCACGGGCTAGCCCAATGTCGGCAGCAAACATGTTGGTGATGCGCAACATGCTGCATGCCCCAGCGTTGTATGCCACAGAAATACCTGCAAGACCAAAGAAGCCGCGTATGTGCCGGCAATCGCGGTGCCGCCGCAGCCTGCGACTTCATTGCAGCCCTTACAACTGCGCCCTCTCAAACGCCCACGGAACCCTGGTTCACATCCATGTGATGAACCAGGTCCGCGTTTCTGGTGTAAGCGGAAGTCCTGAAGTCGAGCTTGACCTCGCCACTACAGCATCTTATCCATGCTCCCAAAAACCAATTTGTATCAAGTCGAGCGAGGAGGAGCCGTTTCCGCGTCCTCGATGAACGTTGCTCTTGCTCTCTACATTGCACGGAAAGGGGGGGATAAAAAGAGAGATTTTTTTTTCTTAAAAAAAAATTCCATCCTTGGCCATTGTCATATTTAAATGTCACGCTGGATACCATCGGGCTTCACTTATGGCGACCGGCACCGTGACTTCCAGCTGGGCCGCGTCCTTCTGCCTCGGGTGCGACAACCAGGTCTTCGAGTCGGACTACTGCTCCGAACGATGCCATCTGCAAGACATAGAGCACAGCTTGGCCATGAAACGGTCCGACATTTTCCAGAAACGCCACGACGAGCGTCGATACTCGCTCCCCGGGCCCGTCCGAGACTCGGCCCGGCTATCCCCGTCTTCGGGTGTCACGGGGCCCCCGCGAGCCGCCACGCTGCCGAGGCGCAGAAGCTCCGCGGGAGCCTCGGACGGTCCAGCTCGCGACGGGCCGCCGCCGGACTTGACGCCGTCGACGACGGATCGAGCTTGCGCGGCGGGCGTTGTGTGCAAAGATGCCGAGGCGGCGCGGGGCGATGAATCAGCGCACGCTCGCTCCGCAGGGAGGAGCGTCGCGGGCGTGCCCAGGACCGAGGTGGTGACCTCGACGGGGTGGGACATATGGCGGGCTCGGGAAACCTCCTTGGCTATTGAAACGGAGGAGATCACGGCGCGGCTGCCGGTCGACAATTCGAGTGGGTGACTGCGTGTGGGGGTCTCGGGGGTGGCGGGCAGAGAGAGAGTCTGTTCTGTTCGAGGGTTGAGATTGAGAAATCGTGCTTTGCGAGCCATGCTCTGCGGGTGCTCTGCTTCTGAGTCGGTGCATTGTTGACGCGCTTGGGCTGTTGTGCCGTTGGGCCGCGGACACGGTTCTCCTTGCGTTTTCGACTGCAGTCTTGTTTGTGCGTGTTCGTTTCTCATAAGCATTATCGTAATATAGCTACTGGTGGTAGTAATCTTGTATACTTGGTCGCCAGATGAGGGGCGTCTTCCCTGCCTGTTCAAAGGAAGCGCCCAGCAAGATGCTCCCACTAGTCTGCGGACTCGGTGCTCCTTGCGTTTTCGACTGCAGCCTTGTTTGTGCATGTTTATTTCTTATAAGCATTATTATAACATAGCTACTAGTAGCAGTAATCTTATATACTTGGTCGCCAGATGAGAGGCGTCTTCCCTGCCTGTTCAAAGGTAGCGCCCAGCAAGATGCTCCCACTAGTCTGGCGCCTCGTGTTGTAATGTCCGTGGTTGCTAGTATCCGAACGAACACGACGTGCAGGACCGGCTCCTTGTCCTTGGGACCGCTGCCGCGCCGGGGCTCCGTGCGGCGTGTGCGGGGCCGGCCGGAGCGTGTCGTGCTCCACCGGCCCGCGTTGTCGGTCGTCCGGGCCGGGCCCGTACGCACGGGGAGTACTGTGCGGTCGCTCTTTCGAATATCCGTCTTCTTGCCGTACGCCGTTGTGCAGCTGCCGCCTTGAATCTCCTGCACACTCTCCGCGTTGCAGTATCCTGCGTTGGGCGCCGAAGACATCTCTGTGACTTGCATCCTTGGCCTTTCCGTGCAGCCGGGCGTCTGAGCGCGCGTGGCGGCTTCGCTATTGATGACAACCGGGTCATGATAGGCCGTCCTGGTCACGTTGCAAGCTAGAGCCACCCTGGGCCGTTTTGGAGCAGCGGATAAGCTCGTGTTTCTCGCGACTGGCTGGTATGTCACCGATCTGCTCGTCATTGGAAAATCCGTTCTAGGCTGGCATTGTGGTTGTCTAGTCCGGACCTGGATGCGCGCCGGGATGTCTGATGACACTTGTTGCACGGGACTGCGGTCAAAGAGCATCTAGCAGCGACTAACTGCAATGCACAAAGGTTGCAGCTATGACGGTCGATGCCCTCGTAGGGCGCGAGGCACAACGGCCCAACGCGTCTAGACCCATTGATGCCGCCCTCATGTAGTCGGGCTACACACATGGACACCCTGTAGTATATGTAGTGCTTGTTGGTCGAGTCCGTCAAATTCAGGAACCCTAAACCTCTTGGTTCCCGGCAGCCTCGGGTCAGACTACCCCTTAAGCTACGCTACATCGCTGGGGCAGAGATTACTCGTCTAGCTCTCCCCTCGGCAGCTTACTTGGCTTTGCAATACGCCACGCTGTTGCTCTGTGAGGCACACTTTGCACTTGCTCACGTCTTGATTTAGTGCACCTGCTCCGTGCCTCACCTCACGTCATACGGGACACTTTTACGAGTGTCATTGCAGCTCTTGTCACATGGCAGGCTTGCGAGGAAACCCATCTCCATGTGATTTGGCCAACACCTTGACCCATGGGAGGCCAAGTTGTGGAATGAAATGGAACGCAGGAAACTCAGGCTGGAAAGGAAAACATCCATCCTTTGGCAGGACGCAAGACAAAATTGTTTGTCATCAATTTCGCGATTCTCTTGCGTCGACTAGCAGCGCTGTTACTCTACCTGGAGTTCTGGACGCACTTTCACCCACTTCTTTCCGTACTTCGCTCCGAGCTCAAGCAAGCGGGACCAGACGTAAATCTGTGATAAGCTCGCAAGCTCGCATCGTTGGATGCGGCACGTGTTTGGCCCAGTTCGCCATCTAGACTGTTCCTCGCTTCTCGATATGCCTTACCAGGCTGTATGGTGTCCGCCCTTGGCCTCAAGCAGCTTTAGCAGGTACACGCTCATAGACACTACCTCGCACGTCTCCGTCTGGCCATGTGTTCCCCGAAATTGCTCTCGCTAGCCGAGGAACTCACTACCTACATGTCGTCGGACACACTGGTTTCCGGGTCCGCACATGTAGTCTGTATCTTTAATACGCCTGCCGCCGGACGAGGACGAGACGCAATCCCCGTCAAGGGCTGCGCAAAGCCGACCACACGATGACACGGCACGGTCCGTATTCGTCCCAAACTGGATGCCGGAACCGGCGCGCCGGCCCTTTGCCCACTCCTCCCATGCTCTGTCGCAGAATTCTGGGACATTGCTGGCTGGGATGACGATGGGCGAAGCTGGAGCATCGCAACACACTTTGAAGAAGGTGAGTGCGCACGCGGCAAGAATTGCGCCACTGCTGCAAAGCTTCATGATTATCCTATCGGCTCGGGGGGGGTCGTGTCCTCTGGGTGGAGGGAGGAAGTAGGGAGTTTTGGGTTGAAATTCTGTTGTATATTTGCAACGGATAGGCCGAGTTGTTTCAAGAAGTATGCGAGAAACTTTGGAGCATTAGAATAGTCAAGCCGAGTAGGGGACTTTTGGAGGAAAAGGCCGATTTTGATCTGAGTGGTGTGGCTCGGAAAAGGATTGGAAAGAGTGAAAAGAAGGCAGGCCTTGTATACATGATCCATTTTGTGCCTGTCCCATCTTTGCCAGTTGCAACACTAACTGTGATTTTGAACTACATCTATGACTTGCTGTGCTCTGAGAGTGCTCCTTCGTAAATCCTACTATTGGACTTGACCAATAGTCTATGAAGCCCGATTCGCAACCCGACCCATAGTCGAGACCAATCTATCCGGCGAGTTACGACGTTGGTCGCCACGGCCCCTTTAGTCGTTCATTGCTACTAGTGGGTTGAATCCTTCCGGTTTGCGGGGAAGAAAGATTGCCACCATCGACCGGTGTGTCGACGTAGGGGGGACAAACTGCAAGAATATACGAACAACGACGTTGGCTCTCTGTTTTTACCGGTGAGGAGCACGGTTTCATGGGCGGCTTTCAACACGTGGCAAGTGGACGCCGGTGGAATCGCAAAGTTGACGCGGGTCATCTCAGATTAGCCGAGGGCTCGGCTCGTTAGCCTAAATCCAGTACAGTACATGATTGCGCATGATGTGTGGGATGCATGGAAGTTCCTTACGCGCAATAATCAAGTGGCATGGGTGGCACAACTCATCACAGTCAATGCGACTTGCAGTTACACCGCACCATGGAGGTTGTCACGCACCGCTCAGCTACGAAGCCGGCCTGCGTATCGATGGCTGGAGCGCTACGAAGGATGTTTGTAGGTCTACGTGGCCTCCTGAATAGAATACTAAATGCTCCAAGACGCATATAGATATTTCAACTTGTCCCGTTTTGCCGCAAGTCGAACAACAAAGTCTGGTAGAAACCAGGACATTTATCAACATGATGTACACGGGCTACAACCACCCGTGAGAGCGGCGTCTGGGCACACCGACAAGTAGCAGTAGCATTATTGATTGCTGGAAGAATCTCGTGTAGCATGTGGATGGATAGCTCTCGACTGGGAGCGGAGTCCAGGCCGCAGAAGGAACCATACAACATGCGTGCGCTTCCCGTCCTGGTGATGATAGCTGGCCAGAAGCCGTGGGTTACAGTGCAGAGTCGCAACTGCTGTCGTCGATATGGACCCTATCCCAGCCGCACCGGACATGTTGCTCGTCGCCTTTTACAGCCAGAGCGGGCAGGGCAATGCGCCATGGACCGGACCGGCTCGAGGCTAGTTTAGGTGCGGAGCGATTGCCGATCAGACAAGACGGAGAGCCTTGTTCGGTATTTGCTCGATCTCGCTGGCGCAAGTCGCCGGGTCGCCGTGTCGCCTTGATTCCCGTGACGCCATGCAACTTGTGCAGATCGCACGACGAGTTGGTCATAATAAATAATGGCGTGACTGCAGCGAGCAGCGGCGTAGCTGCCCCGGAACCGGCTTCAATGATATCTTACCCGGCAATATCGCCTTGCTAAGATCAAGTATCGGTCCATCAATGCGACGCTGAGGTGTGACCGATAAAGAAGCCCTGTGTGCCTGCGCAGTAATCAAAGACTAGCCTCGGGCCCAATCGCGATAGCTGACGGTACGTTAAGATGGAAATCGAAAAGTTGTCTCTTCCAGTAGCGTCTTCTGTTCTCCGTCACTTACGTGAGCGACGAAGCTATCAACCGGCCGGCCAACCGGACCGTACAACGACAGCGGCCCAAGGGGAGCCATATGCCGCAGACTAGCGGTCAAGAGGGTGACAGTTCACGTTGGTTCACTATGACACTGATGCTGTGAAATCACGATGCACAGTAGATGTCTCATTACTCCGTACCTTGTCCAAGTCCCGGGCCGAATATCTAGGTCTGACGGGATAGAGGCTGGACGAGGGAGCAAAAAGTCTAACCAAGGTATCCGATTCCCTCGCCGAGCATGATTGCTCCTCGGAGCATGCCAAACACCGCCGTTCTTCTCAGGGGCTCGACCAGCTCGCCGGCTATGATATTGACCACAAGACTAGCCACGATTAGCATCTTGCGCCCAGTCGCACAGCGACACGGCTTTGCTTGACGCGAAGCGCGGGGCCTTGCTCACATGTACCCTGCTGGCCCGCCCAGAAGGGTAATCAACTGCGTCGCCTGGATTATCATCATGCCGGCGCGCTTGCCGGCGACCAGCCCGAGAATCTGCACCGAGGCGCGAACGGCCGGTTCAGCGTCTGCATCATGAGTGCCAGCCCCGGGCCAAATCTCTTGGAAACCCACCCGCACACGAAGAGATTGAAGGTTCCTGCAGCGGCCGCTTAACATGCAACAACTGGGCGAAGTCAGCCGGGACAGCTACGGGTCGAGGGGCCGTGAAGCCGCACCGCAAAATGTTGTGCTCATGCCCAGGATGCTGAACTTCGTTGCCGTGCCTGCCGCGATCTCGTCCCGGCGACATCTGTCCCCGGATCCCCGATACGGCGGGTGCGTGTCGTAGAAGACGCCGCATTCCATCAGATGGAACACGTACAAGAGTCTGGGCGTCGAGGTCCGTCTCCAACAAGGCCGGCGCCATCTCAGGAGGCCGAGTCCAGATGTCAGATGCCGCCAAGAGTCAGGAGTCAAGACTCAAGACGACGTCGACATCGGGAGTGTTTGGATTGCGGCCCCATTAAAATTTTGCGATTCCCCGCGGCTCCCCCGACTTCGGACGGTCATTTGCCGGAGGCCACGGTATAAGCTGCAGGAACATGCCGCTTCGTCGGTTGCGCTTTGGACGGGGCGAGTCCTTGTTCAAAACGGCTTCCTCCATCCATACCGCAGGGTCTCAAAGGCGCTCCGTCCGTAACCCTGGAGACCAACGCGGGCTATTACTGTGTAGCCCGACCCGGATGACGGAGGCATCACGGGGTTGAGACATGTTGGGCATTGCGCCTGGATGCCCAAGCTCCCGTGTGGCTAGTGAGAGCATGACGAGGCCCGCAACCCTTGTGCATCGCAGCACGTCATGCGAGCGATGACGACGAAACGGAGTCGAGGGCTGGGGACATGCTGAAGCAAAAGCAAAGGTCCCCTGTCTGGTGTTTGAGATGGCGCCATGGGGTCCAACCGATGACCTGGGAGCAATGAGTCTATGACGAGAAGTCGCGAGACGTCAAAAAGCGACTGGCCGCGCAAAAATCAATTACTAATCAATTGCCTACTGGTTGTCTCGCCAGCTGCAGCTGTCGCTTCGACTGGGCCATCTGATTCGGCTGGCAGGAAACCGGTGAGCCGGGCGAAGTACTGGTACTCCGTACGGAGTATATACATGTCCATGTCCATGTCCATGTCTTGATCTATTCGCCACGTGCGTGACGTTTGTTTCCACGGCAAAACTACAACTACATAGTCGAGCGCAAAAGTACAAGTACCCGGCAACTTGGCCTCGGGAAATGAATCAATCTTGGCGCAACGCCCAGGTTGACCTCAAATTATCCTTCCATTGCACCCCGCATTGCCGTCTTCACTCCCGCCAACATCTTTGATCATCACTCTGAGCATACCATTACTCCTTGTCGACACTGACACTCTCAACACTCTCAAGGATGAAGTTGGTCGCCGTTGTCGCCGCCGCTCTGGCGTCCCTCGCTGTTGCTTCAACTTCTGAGGCCAAATGCCGGCAGGCTTCTTATCGATGCAATCGCAGTGCTAGAGCTTGGGAAATGTGCAACTCCAGCGGCGAATGGGTGGTAGGTACTCCGTATCCTGTTCAAATATGACTTGATCAACGGCTTGTCCTGACCATGGATGCTACTAGTTTGCTGGCCGCTGCCCTCCCGGGACTGTCTGCAAGATCAACTCCAACAACGGCTCTCCCTACTGTCTCCCACGTTCCACATCCTAGCTTACACGCACGACGAAGTACACCTGGAAAGAACGGCCTCGGGGAAGTTGTTTGAGAAGTGTCATGCGTTCTGCCTTTCTCTCGCTTGTACATACGTCTTGCCAGAGCCTGTTAGATGGCTGCTGGGGCGCCATTGACGTATTAGCTTCCAGGAAACAGATGCATGCGGCAAAGAGGGAGTGGAAAATTAAAAAAAAAAAGTGGGCAGATAAATCAATCGAAGCGAATCTTGACTCTGTGTCCTCAACCTCAACCCACCTCTGGCACAGCAGACAGGACTGGGTGCCTTTTAAGCTTTGCATACATCATCTTGACGACGACGACTCACTTGGTGATTTGCAGCTGTGTGAGCCGCCCTCCTTGTCCCTCGCAAAGGCACCTATCTCGCAATCGTGCGCTGAATGGTGTTGCCGTTGTTCGCCAGGCGATTTGGAGAGCAACGCAGGGGTCCCGTAATGACATTCTTGCCCGAGTTGCTAATAAGGTGGCTGGTGACAGCCTTGGCCCCCCGGACGCCGTTGACAGACATGGCGTAGAGGGCCAGCCCGGTCACGTATGACGTGGCCATGGACGTGCCGGAGTCGAGCCTGACGGCAGAGTCGCTGCCGCTCCCCGCCGACAAGATGTTGTCGCCCGGCGCAAACAGGTCCAGGGCGGTGCCGTACCTGCCCACCGCGCCGACGGTAACGGCGTTGGGCGCCGACGCAGGAGACGTTGTTTGGGCGTCGACCTGGCCGTTGCCCGCGGCCACGATGCTCAGCACGCCGTTGGAGAAGGCGGACTCGATGGCGTCGTCCCACGCCTGCGAGTACGAGCCGCCGAGCGAAAGGTTGATGACGGACCTGTCCTGCCTGTTCTTGGAGATGATGTCGTTGACGGCCCAGGCGAAACCGGCCAGAACGACGCTATTCGCTGCTCTGTCTCCCCGGAACTCCCAGTGCGCCGTGCTCACGCCGCTGTCAACAATGTAGGCATAGGTTCCCGTGCACGCTATGGCGACATGCCTCGGCGCTACTGCTCTCTTCTACTGTCTGCTCGTCAAAACGGCCGGCATAGCCCCGGAACGCCGGGCCGTTGTACTCGCGCTCGACGCCGGCAGGGTCATTCTTGCCATTGCTTCTGGCGTGGATACCTCTGACCCAGGACATGTGGGTGTCGGTAGCAACATTCTCCTTCAGCCTGACGATGTAGCTTCCTTCAATCACGGCCGAAGACGAGGCGCGGCTGTGGACAGGAGCTGCAGCAGCAGCAGACAGGCAAGCAAGGGCCGACGCGGCGGCAGCAATGATTTTGAAGAACATGATTCCAACGGCAGAAGCGGCTAATAAGTAATGTATATCTTGGGCTGAGTTAAAAGACTCTCCCTCTCTCGCATGACCGAAATCATTTACTTATACCCGATACGGCGGGTGATTATTCCAGCAAGCTCATCATCGTTTCGTACGCCAGGCATGATCCACGGGCTTCGTACTCAGCAGAGTTTATTCCGGTGCTTCTCTGCTCCAAGGAGTCAGATAATCCCAGTTGTACGCGCGGCCATGGGACGAGCTACGCCGTCGGATTGTGGCCACCGCTGGGTTCAAGGTTCACTGGTCTGATACAAATCGCCGCTGCTGAGTGTCAGCTTCCCGAGATTGCTTCACAGCTCGCATGCCCCTGGCGCCTTCTCACCTGGAGTTGAGTTTTATGGAAGATTCCGTGATTGAATATCAATTGCAACACCATAACCGCCCCTCCCCCCCGATCCACGATGCTTGGTCCCAGCCGAGGCCCCGTCAATGCCGACAACCGGTGTGGCAGTCTGATAGTCAGTTCATCTGACTACCGTCCGACTTGCTAAGAAGCCAAGTAGCATGAGGGACAACCCCCGCCCCGAGGAGGTGGACTTGGCAGTCGGCTGACCTTCAGCCGCAGCGATTCGGATGCGCCGGGTCAACCACTTTAGAGTTTTGTCCGATGAGCTGAGAGGGTGGGCTCAGCCCCCGGATTGTATAGACCACGACAAGACATGTCTCGATTTATACACTGAAAGCCGGGAAAATAGGTGATGCGGCAGTCATGCGCTAATAGTCTACGCCGTGGCTGCTGCTTGTCTTGCGCCTCGAGGACTGCTGACAACACGACACACCGTGTACATAAACCCGGTGCCAGGCGTGTACACGGATTCATACCCAACTATATTCACCTAGCCCAGCTTGGAAGTCTGCCCTGAGGACTTCTCCATGAAGCAAGTCTTGCTTGCCTGCAAAAGACAAGTCTCCACAAAAACGATGCTCCATCGTTTATACGTCGTGACTAGGTAGTTGGTTGGCAAGTTGACCCGAGGATGACGAAACAAACGGCCAGGCACATCCACCGGCGTCAACCGAAACCTGACTCTCATCAAGGAGATGGCTGCTGTCGCCAACTACTTTGCAAGGCGCCAGTGGCAACGAGCTGCGAGAGTCTCCGCTCGGCCAAATCGGTCGGTGAATGAACTCTGTTCGCGCCTGAAAAAAGCTAAACAGGAGCCTGGGATAACAGACAGGTCAGGAAGTCCGAGACGGGACTCAACGCCTCGCATTTAGCCAGAGATACTATTCACCACAGATAGCGTCAAGGGAACAACGTATGCTTGACATGTGGTTGGAGCTGGGGCAGGCCCGTTTTTCGTGTGTGCGTATTCGTAGATGCTCTTGTATACTATATCTTTGGGGGAATTGCTACACGGGCATGACACTTTGGCTACACGGGCATGACTCTTACACGGGCATGACTTTTACCACTTCTGATTGGTCGCATACTTTCTTGGCCCCACAGATACTTCCTCGGAAAGGCGGTGTAGCCAACTTCACTAACAAGCTCCTACATCACCATGAATTGCAGTGTCACTTATCGTTGTGGGCGCGATTGGTCTTCTGCTATCTTGCAAGCCTGCATTTCGGATTAAACTACCGTCCTTGTACTGTTAGCCAGTAACTGTCAAATACTGGCAAAAGACGTGATGTGGTCTACTTAATTTATTGCCTCACAACGATACAATCTGGATCTTCGTCATCACTCTTAGCCAGTTCCCATTGACTCCTTGTCCTGCGAATGTTTCGTTGCGTCCTCCGTCCACTGTACCGCACGCCTGTCGTATTCCCAGCATTTAGGACTTTAGAAGGTCTACCTGGCCCTTGCTGGGCTGAGATGCCAATTTGGCCACCAGTTTGTGTGATGGTTTCTCGAGTAGCTTTATGCACTCTCCTAGCAAGAGTTGGCTTATTGAGACTTCCTGGCGGTCGACCTCGTCGCCCACTTGGTTGATTATCAGATCGGCTACTTGATGTAATAGCTAGGCTTTCTGGGATAACCTGCGCTGTATTCTTTGGCCTTCCACGTAGTGCAGTGGCAACTTTCGGGTCAAGAATTCGTCGGTATGGATCTTGAGATGCCGATTCCCGTAGTCGCCAGCGTGGGTGGACCTCCCATTTAGTGAAACGTGTGTCAGAATCTAGCTTTGCGTAGACTTTATGATAGCATGGGATTCCCAGCTCAATAGAGACCGTACAGTCGTCGTCGCAAAGTCCAATAGAGTCGGGGAAGGGATTCTTCCCCGTCGGCAGAAATTTGCGAGCAATACAGTATTGCTTGTTGATTAACCCAAGTCCTTTCGATGACATGGTTGTTCGTAGTTCACCAAGATAGTTTCCCATCGAACCTAGGTATTGTGGAGCAGTCAGGACATCATCCTGTCCACAGGCATCCTTAAAGGCACGTTCTTGGTCATGTATCATATCCTGCATTGCCTCGACGAGTCGGTAGAGGTGGCTCATGCCATTTAATAGATAGCTTTTGATATTATTGTTGCTTGCTTCTGTGCCGGACGTAACTCGGATTCCGAAGTTACGATAACGACGGATAAAGCAACGTGCCCATTGAGCACTAACAGGCATATAAGTCGAGTAGAGGTATTGTAAGATCGCTCGTTGGTCGTCGAACTCTTTACAAAGATCTCTCCATGCCTGCTCAAACGCTTCCTCAGTCTCGGCATAGAGAACCTTTTTCCACATTAAAACAACGCCTTGGTAAGTATGAGGAATCTTATCACTACTCGACCGATCTTCGATCAGATGCTTATCTGTAGTGCTCAACCCGCCATCCGCCTGTGAGGGAATGTCTTCACTGTCACTAGCGCTAGGGCTAGTAGTACTGTCCTCACGTTGGCCCGTCCACCTAGTCTTCGATTTAAGCAAAACGTTTGAAAGGATATGATGAATACAAAGCTGTTGCTGTGCATTTGGAAACTGATCATTAACGGCAGCTTTCATAGCCTTGTCGAAGTCTGTGATGATGACATCTGGTTCCCTGAGTGAGTGTTTTGTAATGAGCTTGCGAACACTCTCTGCAAGGAATTGGAACCCCTCCCTCCTCTCGTTATCTATTAAGCCAAATGCAGCATTGAACACAGTTCCAAGACAGGTTTGGCCAGTAGCCTGGAATAAAGGAAGCTTGAAGCGATTAGTGTTATATGTGTTATCAAAGCTAATAACCTCGGGGAAGCGCTTCCACATCTGTAGACAGTACGGAAAGGTCCAGACAAGACCAAGCAGTCTATCTGGATCATCATCGGCCCATTTCGCGATGTATGGGATCTTCTTCTCATCAAAGAGTTTGATCAATGCCGCAGTAGGTGTATAGCCATTTAGCTTCTCTCGGTTAATGAACGAACGGGCATTATAGATATCCTTCCGCAGGAGTGTTGTATCGGGGAATTGCTCCTCAACCATAGCAGCTACATCACTGGCTCGAATACCCGCGCGACGGCTTGCTGACTCGATGGTTGCTTTAACTGGTGTAGTAAGGCGGCGGTGGGAAACATGCGCAGATGGCGTAATACTCCGTTCATGGTTATGCTGGTGATGTTTCGGGTCTCTATGTTGTCGAAGAAGCCACTTGCCTTCCTCTAGGGCTTCAGCAATTATCATCCATTTGCAATCACACTTCCGAGACCTTCGGGTTCGAAGACCAGAACCCCCCGAGGCCCGAGATTGTCCAAACCGGTCGCATTGAATGGAGTACCTAATCAACCGTCCCTTATAGGAATATTTATTCCGCCGAATAATACCAAATCCGTTCTCCTTTGCAAATGCGTTGGTTGTTTTAAAAAGAACTTCGGCCGAGGGCGCTGGGTCGCCAGGGATTATTGGGTTCGGAATTGGCTCCGGGGCGGGAGATAGAGACTGTCGCATAGGCGAGGAACTAATATTTTCGGGCGTCGGTGATATTCGAGGAGGTTGTGTGGGTGACCTACGAGGTGGAGAGTACGGTGGAGGAGAGTCATATGCTTCGAAACTTAATGGTGACCATCCCCATCTCTCTCGCCAAGCTTGTACACGTTCGTATGATCGAGCAAGGTCTACAGTTAGCCTTCGACCTTCGCCGGTAACCTCTCGTACTATGCGCATTGCGGACTCGAACTCGGCTCTTGTCCTTGTTGGGAGATGCTGGGCGGATGGGGGTGATTCGGGAGGTTCAGAGGCGAATGGATCAAATTCTGGGCCTGGTATAAGCGCTCTGACTCGCTGGCTCCATCTTTTTCCACGGAAGAAGTCATTTTGAAGATATATCTCATAGTCAGATCGAAGGCCCCATGCAGGCTCATGGCGGCCCTGTGAACCATGGGGGTGTGGGAGACTTGAAAGTGTTTGCGGGAAAGAGGCGAACAGGTTATCGAGTGCATTTTCGTCCCCGAGGCCGTAGAACTGACCGATACTCGTAGCAGAGCTACTCGCGGATTGTGGTCGGTCTTCAACTGTGGAAGGACTAGATCTGCGTCGCCGACTGGATTTGTGTCGCTTTCCTCTTTGTGATTGATCACTGGGACTAGGGCTCCGCGACCTGCGAGGAGGTGTGCGAGGCAAAGACATTGACGTCTTGAGAAGAGAACAAGATTGTAGTGAAAGAATTGGTCGCTATCTCTACAGCATAGGGTGCCGTATTATGGTTTATTAAAAGCTACGAAAATGAAGAAAGCAAGCTCGAGGGGGTCGCCCCGACTGCGCGACCACTGGGTTGCTGCGTAGTAGCTTAGCCGAAATGAAGTAATTTACACAGAAGCAAGGTTAAAATGGCCCAGGTACTTGCGGCTGAGGTGGCAGAATCCAGCGTCGTTAACAGAGACAATGCGACCAATCAGAAGTGGTAAAAGTCATGCCCGTGTAAGAGTCATGCCCGTGTAGCCAAAGTGTCATGCCCGTGTAGCAATTCCCATATTATAACTACTATATATTTAGTAAATATAAGCTTTTTAATAAGTTTATACTTATAAATAGTATTAGTTAAGAAGTTACTACTTTTAGTAGTAGTATTATACTAATTATAGTATAGTATATTAATAATACTTATTTTATTAAGCTATAATAAGTACTATATATACTTAGCTTATTTATAAATTTATTATTTATTAAGATATTTATTATAAGACTTAAATTTATATATAAGTAAAATATAAATAGTAGTTAAGTTACTTATAATAATAGTATAATTATTTAAGGTATAACTTATAGTAAGTTTTATTACTTAAAATACTTATATATAGAGATAATATATTACTAAAATATCTTTAATATTACTAATAACTTTATTACCTTCTTTACTATTAATACTATTAATAGTATATCTTTATATATTCTCTATCTTTATATAAGTTATCTTAACTATACTAACTATATTAAGCTAGCTAAGTATTTAGATATTTAAATTACTAGCAAAATTACTAACTTTTATAAAGCTTATATAGCTAAAAAAAGTTAAGTAAAGAATACTTAAAGTATTACTTATAAAGCTTTTAACTATAGCTAGTAATAAATAGCTAATTTAAATAGTTTAATCTCTTTATTAATACTTATAGAAAAGTATTATTACTTTCTAATTATTAATAACTTTACTAAGAAGCTAAAAGTCTACTTACTTTAAGAAAAGTCTTAAGTAAGTATTTATATATAAGTAGATATATTAATAGTAAAGACTTAAACTTATAGTAAAGTATAGTAATATAAACTAAATCATAAGAGAGAATTTAAAAATACTATTTTATTAAACTTCTTTACTAGTAAAAGTATTAAATTAAAATAAATAATACTATACTAACTAAATTAAAACTTTATAAAGTAAATATATCTTACTATTTAAAATAAAGTTTATACTATATTTTATAATAGTAAGCTTTTAAAAAAGCTTTAAAAAGAGATTCTATAAGTAGTAGTATATATATAAAAGTACTTTTTTTATAGTACTCTTAAAGAGATAATACTACATAAAGCTTAAACTAGTATTAAGCTTTATATATACTATTTATACTAACTTAGCTATAAAGCTTATAAGCTAGTACTAAAAGCTAAGTACTTTAAAAAGCTAAATAATTATATATACTTATACTTTCTAGTAAGCTATAAAGCTAATAATATTTATTACTTATAGAACTTAATTAGTAAGCTTATAAAGTAAGCTAAGAAAGTTGCCTTTAATAAGTAGATATATATAAATATTAAAGTAAAATTTAAGCTTCTTTAGTAAAGTATAAATTTACTAGTACTACTTTATATAAAGAAAATTCTACTACTAAAGCAGCTTAAGAGATATTTTATACTTAACTCTATAGCTATATTAATAATTAAGCATCTTGCTAATTATTTTAAGAAGAGAACTTAGAAGAGAATCTAGCTTAATTAGTAATATAAGACTTAGAAGGGGATTTAGCTTAATTAGCAATATAAAACTTAGAAGAAGATTTAGCTTAATTAGTAATATAAAACTTAGAAGAAGATAAAAGCTAGCAATCTGCTAAATAAGCTACTAAATAACTTATTAGCATACTACTTAACTTTATTATAAAAGCAAAAGAATAATATACTATAGAAGAGTAATATACTATACTTTAAAATAACTTTTTAAGAGCTTTTCTTTATAAATAAACTATAAGAAATACTATTAATACTAGCTAATATAATACCTCTACTAGCTGCCTACTTAACTATACTAAATAAAGTAATAAAAAAGAAAGAGCTTAAGTTTTATAAGAAAGCTTAGTAGCTATTAAGCTAGCTAAAATAAAGAAATATAATAATAAAGAAATATAATATACTTATAAAAAATAAAACTTTTACTATAGTAAATAAAGAAGAGTTATAGTATATATTTAGTAGTAAATAAGTCTTTAAGGTAACGCTTAGCTTAACTAAATAAGTTAAATAATATAAAGCTTACTATATAGTATAAAGCTTTAAATAAAAGTATAGTATTAATTATAATAAAACCTTTACCTTTATTATTTAATAAAAGACTTATAAGCTACTATTTATACTAGCTATAATATTAAACTAAAAAATTAAATAAATAAATATTAAGATAGTTTTTCTTTATAAACTTATTAGTAAAGTTATTTATATAGAACTTCTAGAAAAGTTCTAGTAGTAAAGTAAAGTTTAGTTACTAAAGAAAGTACTTTATAGCTTAAAGTAAGTACTAAAAGTATAGTTTAAAATACTATTAGTAGAACTTACTTTCTATAAATTTAAATAATTAAAATATAATAAAGCTATATTTATTAAAGAAAATATAATTATTAATATATATATAAATAACTTACTATTCTTTAGACTTAATAAATAAGTAATAATAGTAGTAAAAAAGAAGCTTAATATAAAGTTTAAAATAATTAATATAAATATAGTAACTTTCTTTTTAAGTATAATTATAGTAAGAAATTAAGCTTATTAAACTATTTTACTTTCTTAGTAGCTATACTTAAAGAAGTTACTAAGATAACTTAAGATAAAAAGTATAAAGCTTTAATATATCTTTATAAATATATTAAAAACTCTTAAGCTTTATATAAAAAGTAAGAAGTATAATAAAGAAAATAAGTTACTATATTAATATATACTTAATATATTAATATTTATAATAATTAGTACTTAAGTTAACTTTATATATTTAGTAGCTAAACTAAGCTACTTTATAACTAACTTTTTTAATAAGTATTTCTTAATAGTAAAGTAAGTACTAAGATATATTAAATATGTATTAAACTTACTACTAGAATTAAAATATTATTAAGTATTTTAATATTAAATAAGCTTATAATTAAAGTAACTTTAAGTTAGTTAACTACTATATTTTTATTCTAGCTAGTATTATAATTAGCTAGAAAAGTAAGAAATAAAATATAGTAGTAATATTAAGTATAAAGGTAAAATATATTAAACTCTTTAGTATAAAATTAAAAGTAGTTTATTTAGAGAGCTTAATTAAAGAGATTTATAAGCTATAAGTACTACTTTTACTATATACTAATAATAATAGTACTATAATAATATTAAATAATACTAAATTCTATAAGTAAATAAAATATATATAAATATAATATTATAAAATTAAAAAGCTTATTTAAAATAATATAGTAAAAGTTAGCTAAATACTAAGAGAGTAGAACTTAGCTAACTTAGAGATAAAAATACTACTATAACTTAAACTAGAGAAATAGTTAAAGAAGGCAGACTTATATAGAAAAGAAAGAAAAGTTACTAGAAAGAAAAATAATAGTAAAGAAAGCTATATTAAAAATTACTAAACTACTAAAGTTACTAAAAGCTACTACTTTTTTTTCTATAAAGTTTTAATAAAAGTAGTAAGAAAAAAGAGTACTATTACTAAAAGCTTTATAATAAGCCTCTATAACTATATTAAGAAGAAGTATTAAATTTCTATAGCTAATTATAGTTACTTTAGCTAGGTAGAAAGGTAGATAGTACTTTAGAGCTTATACTGCCTACAATATATACCTAAGTATTCTATACTTAACATACTATACAAGCGTGCAATACATACAATTCTAACACTAGTTATAAGCACAGAGCGTGGACATAAGGGGCTTTTTATGTATAGATACAGCGATGCAATTTAACGAGAGAAACTATCTATTTTGTACCCGACCCGGTCGCATATCCTATTCTACTGCAGGTGTTTGTATTAGCATAGCGACGATTATTCGAAATTAGAGACTCACAATTAAGCAATCTGACGCCCCCTCCTTCGCCCTTAGTCATGGTTGACTGTTGCGTCGGCATCTTGCGTGCCGCCTTTCCTTGTTGGCAGAGGCACTCATCCTTTCACGGATTATAGTCATGGGCGAATATTGACGCAAATGTAACGTGGCTGTCGCTTAAGTGCGAGAGGACGACTGTCGACCCTGCTTAGCCTTGTGACCCGATCCGAACTGGTGGTAACACCGGCGCCGACATGTCACGGCAGCCGAGGTTGTTGACGGCGATGAAAGGCGTTCGCATCTTAGATCGAGGGGAGGGTGCCGAGCACTTGGTCTTGGAGGAACTGCGTTTGCCGAGCACCCGTACTCGGCTCACTCGTATGCAGTATATGAAGATGGACTCTGGATTGCTGATGGGGATATGTCGCACAAAGAACGGCGTAGATGGCCAGAGGCCCGTCTTTTGAAGCGTGTCGACGCCCTCAATCTTGTCACAGATCGGGTCGGACTGCCATACGGTCTAGTCGATTACTATGGTGCAACAATAGACGTGGAACCTGCACGGGCTGGGAGGATCAAGAGGATGGCCGTCACGCACCATGGACGACATCGATCCACGTCTTCTCGGAACGTTTCATCGAGACTCTTACGGCCCAAGCCCATATCTCAGTGACTTCCCCCCGAGTGTGGGTGCACACTCCGTTCGCGAGGATCGCGAAGGAATAATTCGTGTCTCGACACCACCACGACCTATCGACTCGTGCCTCGGAGCCGCGTCTCACACGCCATACCAGCAAGTGGACTGGGCCGGCCAGATGAGAAGTCTCCATAAACTTCAATCGACATATATAAGCCCCTTGTTCGTCGTCGATCCAGCTCGGTCCTCCAGAGTCCAGCCAAACTCCCATTCATCCACGTACACACATTCTCGCATCCTCCAACGACGCTTATACTCCCCCACCAGCCGCCACCATGCTTTCTCCCAAGTCCATCATCCTCGTGTCCTGCGTCGCACTTTCTGCGGCGGCGGCGGCGGCGGCAGTCCCGCCCCCCAACTACGTCGATCTCTGCTACGCCGACATCACCAACCTCGACGCCGACGTCAAGAGTCTGACCGCCAAGGTGGACAGCTTCAACGGCGACCTGGTCTCGGTCCTCCCCCAGCTCCCGCTCGCCCTGCAGGCCGTGGTCGCCACGGCCGCCGCGGGCCTGCACTCCTCCTTGCTGCCTCAACCTCTCCCGGCGGCGGACCTGCTCCGCCTCGCCGGCCGCGTGAACACTACCATTGCGGCAGACATACCGGCCGCTGTGAACGCCTTTGTCGCCAAGGAGTCGGCCTACGAGAAGGCCGGGCTGAAGACGCCTGTTCTCCTGGGGCTGAGGCTGTTCCTGCCCTTGTACGAGCGGCTCGCGAACAACATTCTCGACCGGGTGCCCGCCGATGCTCCCAAGGACCGTGTGGACGTTCTGAAGAGCGATGTCCAGGGCATCATTGACTCCTTGTTGAAGGGTATCCGGGCGTATGAGTAGGTTGAGGCGAGGCGAGGCACGGCGCCGCAGCTGGGCCACGGAGCGTCGCCGCATCGCGTGGCTAGATGTATCGTCGATTCACTGGGCCTCATAGATTTTCAATGAAATTTGATTGATATGTTTAGTTCTCGTGGCGCGGGTGCTCTGGCCTTGTGGTGTGCAGTTTATCGGCAAGGCCACCGTGATACTACACGCCGCTTGCTGCTGGCTGGACGGGGGATTCGGCGCAAGTATCTCGCAGTATCTTGCCAGTTGCACTTTTTATGCTTTGAATGTACGGGTTTCTCATGGTCCGTCGGCCACGTGTCTACAACAATGTGTCTGTGTCTGTGGTGTTGAACGACCGGGGGGCCAAGGGGGCTTCGTCTGGGCAAAGACTTGAATGCTTTGGTTAGAACGACATTAGTCGTGCTGCGCGGCATTTTGCTGTGCCTATAGTTACATTCTTTAAGTAAGAGAGACTTTCAATAGTCTTACTAGAAAGGAACGCAGGCAGTTAAACACACAACTGAACTTACTAGCTTTCTTGAAAAGCATACCTAGGTTCGTCGACAGCAGGGCTGCAAGCTTTGGAATTTGTGTTTTTCTAGCTGGATTGAACTTTTTACTTGCTTCATATTCACTCTGACTAAACTTTCTCAAAGTATCTCGGTCTATTACGATGGCGCCAGACGAAAATGGCCGAGAAGGGCAATGTAGAGGAAACCGTTCGAGACGTCTGGCTGGCATGAGTGACAGTTTAGAGCTTGCACCACAACTGCCTCGGAGCCTCGCCTGCCACGCCAGGGCTCTGAAAGGGGGTGAAAAGGGCGGTGCAATCTGCTGACAGGGACGCTTGCACGCCAAGGTCTTGGGATAGAATGCCCTTGACGTAAACCATGCCTGCTGAGTTGCGGTAGCCCCTCGGACGCTCTGGACTTGAACAGCCTGCAAACTCGCGCTGCTTGTTGTTACGGCCTTGGGGACATGTACAGGGATCAGGAGCTTCCAGGCGGTCAATGACCTCTGCGATGGCGTTTTTGATGTTGTCCCCGCGGAGGGGCCAAGGGGAGCTCTCTGGCTTCCCGGATGAGCCGGTCAATCTCTCGAATAATGTGAGAGCTCTGGGGCAGTTTGATGCCCCAGAATCAAGGAATGGACTTGGTAGCCGCCGCCCGGTAACCGTGCAGGAACTTCTCCAAGTGGTCTTTGGCCAGGTTCCGGGCATGGTTGAGGGCTGCCGATTCAAGCCTCTGCCTTGGTTGGCATTTGCTGTGCGCTATGGCTGCGCAGAGGTGTCGTCTGAGCCTGGGCTGCATATGTGCCATGACTTGTGTAGTGGCCATGTTGAACTGTGCCGAAGCAGCCTTGTGGGAGGCGTGAAAAGTCGCCAGACAGCTGCCATGTATGGTACAGAACGAGGAGTTGGTGAGCTGAGAGCTTCTTCTTGACGGACGCGGCAAACTCGTCGGACGCGAAGCGATCCAGCATTCTCCCCCAGCTGTGCTCCCACCCTCGCATGCCCTTCTCCCTGAACACGCTGGTGTCGAAGAGCGCCCTCTGCTCGGCCAGCTGGTGCATGGCGTCGGCCAGCGACTCCAATGGTTGTATTCCCACGGCGATTTCCCAGAACCCAGAGACCATTAGAGCGTCTTCGACAAAGCGTAGCGCAATGTGGCCAGCGCTGACGTGTCCCCTGTGCATCTCGTCCGCAAGCTCGACGGCGCAGCCTGTACCGGGCACGACCGCGGCCTTGTCGAGGACGCTGGCGTTGCTTGAGAATACGTCCGCCACCGCTTCGCCGTAGACCGCGAGGCCGGCACCCCCTAGCATGCCCTCGCCGACCTTGGCCGTGAGGCTGGCGATTCCTTCGCCGCGTGGCGGCGTGCTGAGCTCTTGCTGGCGGCCGTTCAGATCGCCATATGATGGTTGTGATCTGCGGCGCTGTCATACTAATTCTCCGAGGAGACTGTCGAAATCCTCCTTGGACCGTCGCTCGGCCATCTCTACTAGTTCGTCTCGGCCTGCCTCTTGGCCTTTGGCAGGCGGCGCCTCGGCCGTAGGGCCATACTCCTTGGTTTGGCGGCTGACGCAGTCCACGGCAGCCCGTCGGCAAAGGACAGAAGAGTCCACTGCATGTCCGGCTGGCGGGTCATGGCTTTGCTGGCCCCAGGACGGGCCTCGCTTCAGCTCTTCCTCGGATTGCCCGGGGCCTTGCTCGTCCGGCCCAATGATGGTTCCCGTCTGCGCATCGTAGCGGCCGATTCCGAACCGAGGAATGTCAACTCCTTCCTTTGAATGTATCGTGGCGCCAAAACGTTTATTTTCATACTCTGTCACCTTGTTGGGGAAATCCTTGGTGTCAAACAGAGAAATCATGTTGTTTTCGAGTAGCTCCTTTATTCCATCCGCGGCCCATGTGACGCAGCACTCGGAATTGCCGCTTGGCAGTTGTACCTTGGAAAGCACCTCGCTCAGATTGTCAAGCGACACTCCACTGGGTGTCGTGCCGATTCTTACGCGTGCGAGCAGCAAGTCTTGCCCGAGTGGGTTAACCTCCCTCCTCTCATACCTGAAACCTTGCCCTTCAGTGATGGCATGAAACATGATGGAGTCCTTCAGCCTTGTATCGATTGCTATCTTGGCCAATGGACCCCGAAACATGTAACTACGTCTGGGGTCGGCGGCGGACGACCTGATGGGGCTGCGAACATTCGTCACGTACCGCTACTCCGTATCCTGAGCGATATCCGTGGGCTCGTGTCGTCAGGAAGAAGCGTCATTCTGGCAAGTCGCTGGGCTGGGTATAAGAGGCTTTGTACGCCGCAGGTGAGTTGTTGCGAGAGAGCAAGAAAAGAAAAAGACACGTCACGCCTCACACAAGGGCCTCACTTGGCAGTGGACTGGAGAATTCCGTAGAAGCCAGTTTATTTACATCTTGTGCCTGTGTGTCTGTATGTGCAAAGCAACTAGTTAAGTGGGGCCCCTTCACGTGGTTTAAGCCGCCCTCGCTTAAAAGGTAAAAGTTGTTAGTGCCGGTTTCAAATCGATGTGGGGCTGCCGGCCCCCAATGGGAGCCCGAACAGCAAAAGCTTAAATTGTTGGCGCCTAAGCTACCATAGACTAGCCTGATCGGGCCGTCGCGGGTGCCAGGCGCGGGCATAGCCGGGCTTGAAAGCCAATGAGAGACGGTTTCAAAAAAGAGCACAGGGGGCAGCAAAGTCCCTGATTTTCCGAAAAACACTCATCAACATGAGCCGCGAATGTATTCCCCGGTTATTTTACCCAGATTATGCATGCTTGGGTCGTTGACAAGTACTGCTAGGAATGAGCCGAGTTACACACCAAGGTCCCCATGCACCCGTGAAAAATCGTAGGCGCCGTGGCATGCCCTTTTCTGTCCAGCCCATCTCAGACTGAGACCCCGAAGGGCGGCTCTTGTGAGCGCCTTGTTAGCATCTTGTTAGCATCGATAAATAAATCATGTCCACACGTCTGCGTGTAGGTATTGGAAGGCAAGCGGAAGCCTGCCTACGTGCCGTTTTCAGCGTATGCCGGCCATCTTTTGATCCGCTTTAGTTAATAAATAAATCGCAAGGCGTCCGGCGCAAGGCGCAGATATGCTAGCTAGTCCCAGGGCAAAGTGGCCGGCGGCATCGCAAAATCAGTCGATGGAGCGAACTGAAAACAACTTGCAAGTAAAATACAACTACTGACGATAACAGTATCCGATTCATAATACGTCACTGCTTCACCGGCAAGCCTCAAGGTTGAACCTGGATGATCTGAAAACAGTATTCATCGGCTGTATGCTATTCAGAAAGTAGGCTGCCGCCGAAATAAGACAACATAAACTGTTCTGACTCGTCATCAAAAACTTGCCGTCGAGATGATTGAGTAAGAATTGCAAGGGACCAGCACCCCTATCCGCACCAGGTTTGTCGTGAAAGGCGGCGACAGCATGTCCGTCTCCCGCGCAGGTCGCTCATTTGGCAAACGTGACTTCCTGAACATCATGCTTCTGTCCATTATGAAGAAGGAAGAAGCTGGTCTTGGCTGAGCCCTGCACCATATTGATCTCGAACCTCTCGTCATACCAAAAGCTGCCGTTGCGCTGATGTTTAGGTAGCCCATCCTTGAATACGATCTTGAGAGTGGCCAAAGGTCTCGCAATATCTTGAACGAGCGTCAGACGAGGTCGTCTAGCGTACCAAGGCATAGAGACGCGGGAGTGCAGATACACGTACCGGGACTGGGATGAAGCGGCGAGTCCGGGTAGTCTGGAGGATGCTTGCCCTCGTAGGCAAAGACCTCGCTCACGATCTCAAGACGGTCTTGCTTGCCTCTTTTGGCTTCCTTCAACCACCGTAGCTTGAAGAATTTCGGCTCATCCTCTCTCAGCTCAGTTCCCTTGGCATTATCAGCAACCGATGATGCGCCGTTTAGCGGGCAAGCATACGAATAAAAAGGGGGACACGCACTTGGTGGACGAACCATTCCATCACTGGAATCATTGTGGCGCCAGACGAGTCTCTTCTACTAGTTACGCTGTCAGTCAATCGCTTCAATGTGTACAAGCACGTGGACCTACAAGTCGTGATTGCCCAAGTGTTTTTTAGGGTCGTATGTCACGTATCGGATGACGCCAAAGTGCGCCGGGGACAGCTTTGCAGGGACGTCTGCCATGATGATGCCCGGGTCGAACTCGTCCTTGTAGTCAGTTTCCTGGCTGACTTTGCCTGCCGCTATTGCGTCCGCACGTCTCTTCTTGAAGGCCTTTGCGCGGCCGTAAATCAGCGCGCCTCGGACAATTGCGAGTGCGCTAATTGCATGCATGTTAGCCGTGACGAACGCCGTTCCACGCCAAGTACGGCCGCCTACCTCTCATGTATGGCATGGACAAACACCGAGCTGTCCTTGCACATTCTCTCAAGACAGGTCCTCAGGTAGGCGTTGTTGCCAAACCCACCGGCAAGCAAGACGGCCGTCACTGTCTCACCCTGGTTGACAGTGAGGGTGATTTGGTCTCGGACGAGGACCTGGATTCTCTCGACGACGGGGTCAAAGATCTTCTCCCGGATATCCTTACCCGAGATTCTAATCATGTTATTCGGAATCCCTGTATTTTCTCCCAGCGCGTCTGTTTCGCGGCAGAAATACCCGTCGTCACTACCGTCAAAGTGAGGCTTGACTTCCTGCTCAAACCACTTGTCCACCGACGATTTCAACCATCGCATTTCCCGGGCACCCCATTTCTTGACGTGGCCCTGAAGCCGCTTCTTGAGGTAGTCTTCGAAGATCCTGTTGAGGAAGCTACTTCCGCAAAGGCCGCCCGAAGCCCTCGCCACTTGCAGCAGCGAGACGGTCGGCTTCAGCGACAGGACGCGATACGAAGACAGATCGACCGTCCTGTTGTTTCACGAGCACGGCGGTCAGACCTGGGCTGTAACTGCTGCTGCCGCTGCTGGCGGTGTATATCAGGATGCAAGGGATCACTGCACGGGAAGGGAAAACAACGTACCCTCCTCCGGCGTCGCAGATGACGCACGTATCACCTTGGCGCAGCCCCGTGTTGCGCATGTTGGTCAAGGCGTATATGCCCGCGGCTTCAGGCTCCGTGATAAACTGAAGCTTTCCCTCGTCGTCGCCGGCGAGCTTGAGTGCTCTCTGGGCACAACGCGCCGTGGTCTGCTTCGCCCTGTCGCTCCACATGGCCGGTATAGTCATGATGTACTCCTTCTCGACGGGCACGCTCTCGCCCCGGAAGAGATTGTCCGCGAGATACTCGTCGACGGCGTTGCTGAGCCTCTTGAGGTAGTGGATCACGAGTCTCTCACAGTCTTCCCCCTCGACGGGAGGCAGAGCCGTCGAGCTCGGGTACATGTGCATGAAGTCGGATTCCGCGGCGAGGCTTTCTTGAGCCTCGCGATGCAGCCCGAGCTTGAACCACTCGTGCAGTCTCTCGCCTGGCATGAGCGACCTCGACGCCCCGTGGCCCCATTGGAACAGGCCGCTGGTTCCGCCGTTTTCATACTTTAAGACGCTTTTTTTTTTTTTTTCCATTTGTCAAGGTCAGCCTGTGCTCGACGACGTTTGTGCCGAAACGAGCACTTACGTCGGGACGGGTTTTTCTTGAACGTTGTCCCATTTCGAGACGATATTTTCGTTGCTGGGCTGCAAGATGGTCACCACATCAGAGTCTAGAATCCAGACCAGGTGTCATGACTTTGTAGCACTTCCGTTACTTACGTCCGCGACGTTCATGTAAGCCACGTAAGAAAACGTCGTGCCTGTGGACACGGAGAAACCCATTAGACCTGGCGTGAGACCCTGCAGCACACGAGCCGATCGACGTTACCAAAATCAATCGCGACGAGGAACTTGTCGGTCCCTGCAGCGGATGCATCCTGCCTGCTCGAGTTCCTCGGCCGGAACGACGGCGAACTGGAGCTGAACGAGGCTGATTTGGCCGGCATCGTAGCTGGAACAGGTTGAATCGACGCTGCCTCTGTGCTGGCTCGGGGCCGAGAGGCAGCGAGCAGAGGCCTGGCGGCAGAAGCGGCGAGGGCTTATAAAGTGAACCCTCAGAGCCTCACGAGTGGCCGTGCTGACGGGTAACATTTTTCAACAGCATGGTCCGGTGTACGCCTAGCAAAGCAACGCCCGGTGTCAGCTTCTGGGGGGTGCTTTGTGCGACTCTGTCAAAGACGACGAAATGTCAGTCTTGGTTCGACGCGTACGCGTGGTCCAGACAAGGCAAAGGCAGACAAAGAAGACAAGTCAGGAACGGGAACCACCCCGGCACCGAGTGAGCACACAACCACCACGACTGCGGACGTCCAGGCAGGGCAGGGCAGACGTTCAGAATAGAAAGGAGATCTGAGGGGGTTTGCTCCGGACTGAGCCCGCACAGCCGTGATGCCGCGGTGTCACCCACGGGCTACAGCCCTGGAGGCTCGAGGAACGTCGACGACACCACCTCGGAGACGAAGGCCTGTTTGGGCCTCCTGCATGGCGAGTGAGGGCTTTTCTACAATTGGCCGCCGGACTTTCGTGGCGCTCCCTCGACTCTGGTGCCAGCCAACTCCCGACTGCGTGTCAACGGCTTCACTCTGCCGTCGGGCTCGCACCGAACTCGCCAGTGAGTCCATCACTCGATCCGGGAACCTGATGCGCGTTGGGCCCGTCTTCACCGACATCTGAGATGTTCTTAAAGGCGAAAGGCTGGAAGGTTTCTTGACCCTTGGGCACCGCAACATTCCCATTCCACAGCCACTTGGATCCTCACAAAATTGCCCGAAAAAAACGAAGCCAAGCCGAAAAATGGTCAACGAGGACGACGTCGAGTCGCAGCGATCCCATGGGCAGGACGAGCTGCGGGAGCGGTATGACCGTCTCATGCGAAGGCTGATGACGCTCCAGGGACGAAAGGAAAACGAAACCATGGCAGACAGCGAGGCCAGGAACAAGTTTCAGGGGCTGCAGCAAGCCATCTCCAACTGGGCCAACAAAGTGCGACAGGATCTCCTGAGGACCGGCAAGCTGGACTTTATCCTGAGGGCGGTGGACAAGGGCGACAGTCACGTCATGAGAAAGCTCTCGTCGCTCTTCTCTGCGAACCTAGACGCGGACGCGAGCCCGAACGGCCCTCATGCCGGCGAGTCCGACGACATGGCGTGGGCTCAGTGGCTGGGGCGTCATCCCAGGGCCATCAACGTCGTGCTCTCGCTGGGTGTGTGGTCAGGACTGCAGAAGTACGTTATGTGCAGGCCGTTCCCCGTCGGGATCGACGCCTACTTGGAGCAGATGTTCAACGAGGCCATCGACGCCATGGACGAAGGTGAGTGGATTTGCAAGTCCCAGACCCCCTCCCCCCTCCCCCCTCCTCCGGGGCAGGCACGCCGTATGACTACGTACTGACTGGTGAAATGCTCGGCAGAGAGCGTCCAGGGGTGGACGTCGCAGACCATGAAGGCACTGTCCAGGACGGGCGTGTTTGACGCGGAGAGGAGCGCGCAGGTCAAGTCGATATCGGCCAAGATGTGGCGTGCTCTGCATGCGTGGCCGCTGCAGCACTTCTCGCGCAGCTCGAAGCACTATCAGGGTCTGAAGGGCTTGGTCGAGTCCGCGGCCGACTTGCACCGCGACCTGAGGTGCTCCTGGGACAGGTTTGACCTGGTGTACCCGCGGGACCTTGTTCGCGGCCCGCTCCCCGACGACGTCTCGCACTGGCACCTGTTGAACATCTCGCAGTTTCTGTCGCTCTCAGGCAGGGAGGACAGCGAGGGCGCGCTGCTTTGTCTGTATCCCGGGCTGGATCGGCACCTCACCGATAACAAGGCCACTAGCGACATTTGCAAGCCTACTATCCTGGTGTACGATGGTGACGACGTCAAGAGCATGGAGAGCTTCCATCCTGCGCGAGGCTCGCCACCAAGCCGTCGACGACATGTCGAGTGGTCTGCGCAGAAGAGCAAGAAGGCGGGTGCCTCGACGAAGCGATCCGGGCGACGTGACAGGAGAAAGGACGCGAGAGACGAGAGGAGAAGCTCCAGGAAACGGACCAGCTCCAAGCGGAGGAGCAGCAAATGAGGGAGTTCCAAGAGCAGAGTACGTTAGGCGGGAGCCGGAGTCACGGAGCCGTGACAAGCCAGAGACGCCCGGGCAAGGGCTCCAAGACACCGCCAGAGGCAGCTGGAGGGTCCATGGACAGAGGCGCTATCTGGCTCCCGACCCGGGCCCGGAGTCTCCGGCGGTTGTGACGGTGGAGGAGGAGAAGCGCTCCCACGACGACGACTTCTCGTCCCCGTCAACAGCGTCTAGGGGGGACTCGGACTCCCGGTCAGCTACTACGGCGGACGAGGGGTGGATAAACTAGGCGTCGAGGGAAGGACATGTTCAAGTTTAGTGTTAGACGTGGGATCATGGCGTCAGACGCCAGTCCTAGCATGAATACAGAATGTCGATATGCCAGCAAGCCACGGTGCTCAACCCCGCCACGCAAGTCACACTGCCCCCGGTCCCAAGCTACCATCGACGGCCTGGGTCGACACGAGACCCGCGCCGGCTTGCCTCTCTCTGTTCGTCACCTACGATTATGCCGGGGTCGTAGGCCATCTCGGGCGAAACGGGTGGCGTAGGCAAGTCGTCTCGAACACGACGTCCATCTCGGCCGTCCCTCCCATCCCGTCCATCCCGCCCGTCTCTTCCGTCTCTTCCGTTTTGTCCGTCCCGGCCATCGCGTCCGTCTCTTCCGTCACGTCCATCACGTCCGTCACGTCCGCCTCGTTCACGTCGGCCGTCTCGTCTTTCATATCTTGGCCTCGCAAAGGTCCAGCAGCAGCCCCCTTCCAGCACGTCCTTGTCGCCCGTACAGCTCGGGCCGCAGCAGCAGAACCACAGTAAGCCGAGGACCAAGAGGCCAAGGAGCACACCGACGATTATGAGGGCCGTCTCGGAAGAGTTGTTGTAGCTGCTGTCGTTTTCGCCACCGCTCGCGGGAGTCTGTGGCGTCGGAGTCGGCGTCGGCGCTGCAGTAGGGAAAACTCGGGGCTGCTTCTCTGAGACGGTGCCGAGGACGACGGTTGTATACCTGGTCGTCGAGTCCCTCACAATTGTGAGAGTGACGTGGTACGGGGAATTATTTTGGGCTTCTCTGGGCAAGACATTGGCGACTGGCTGTGAAGATTGCTGCACCCGGGATATGATCATACTACGGGCGAGAAGGAGAGCAACAGCACGAGGCCTCAAAGGGGCTCACTGGGACCAGGGCCTCGGCAGCACAATGGCCGAAGAAGACTGAGAAGATGCTTTGCGTCTACTCCGTACTCCGTAGACGAGAAACGATGCAGGATGGGCCTCGATGAGGCTCTTTCCTCACACCCGGCCACCACCCGGGACAATCCAGATTGTTGGTAGTCATGTGTTCCCGTACGCCAAGTCCAGGACTTGGAGAGAGATCGGGGTTCCGGAGGACAAAGGTGTGCCACACCTCAGGAATTTGGAATCCCGCCGACAAGGCAGCACGCAGCGAGACGGCGGTGGATGGGAAAAGGCCATCTGACACTGTCGGGATCCTGGGGGTCGCAAGCCGCGCACTACTTGGCGTTGCCGATTTGTTTGCAAATGGGTTCCGGGCAATTGGCTGTTCGGAACTTGGGAGATGCTAGCCCGGGGAGTTTCCGTAGTTGCGGCTGCTGACGCTTTGGAAGCCGAGCTCTTTGTCGGAGCTCAAGGCGTCATGTAGGCAAATCAGCCAGGCGTATTCCAAGAGCAACTGCTGACACGCCGTCTGGTCGCCGTTTAACAGTACGAAACTTGCTAGGGACGGTCCGGCCCTCAATACCAGTTGGCTCGTTAACTACTACCAAGCATCGAGGTACGGAGTACAGAGCGAGTGCTACATTAGCACACTTGCATGTCCGCTTCCAGAACCGGCGTGTCTCGGACCGGAGAGGACTCGTGGCTGAAACAATGCGTTTGTACGGCTCTGTACAGAGTAAGAGACGTGCTCCTCGGCTGTCGTCGTCAATGTGACAGGAATCAGCGTGGCGTCGGCAGACCACGATCCAATCGCCCACCCGCTGACTTGGTGTGAAAGAGTATTGTCTGCAAGGCGACCATGCGGTCCAAGTTGACGAGCAGAGGTGAAGTCGTCTGCGGCCCGGAAACCCAGTAATACTAACTACTCCTTATTCGTCAGTCTGACTGGGGTTTGTATGTGAGCCGTCTCGCCGACTTTGGCTTTCTGCATGGACGATGACGCGTTCCCTCGCCCGGATCAACTGCCGAGCCAACAAGTTGCGTTTGCCATTGGGCCCCGGTCCGGGCTGGCTCAAGTCGGATGGCACAGAGAAACTTGTAAGGCTGCAGCGGCTTCAGCCAAGGTTGTCATCGTGCAGCCTCTTCAGAAAGGGGATGTAAGCTGAGTGCCAAAATGGGAGCACACGATTCCTTATGGGCAGACACCCGCCGTCTGCCCGTTTGACGGCGTCTCCGTTATCCGATTGAGTGTGTCGTGGCGTGGAAATGGCTGGCTGCGAACCCTGACTGCCCTCAGTTTTCGTGGTTATTCCATCGTCATCGTCATCGTCTGAATACATGTCTTGCAGCACCAACTTTCGGTATTGATGCTACTACGGGCACATTGGCTCCTATACCAACATTTACACGGTGGTCCCCTTGTTGACGGGCATGGACTTGTCATTGACCATCTTTCTACTGATGTGGAACGTATTGCCGCGGCAGCTGGGAAGAATAGCACGGCGAGCCCTTCTTAATCTCCGGAAGGTCATACGAGAGCGCCAGTTGCTACGAGCTTGCCGAGTGTCGACGCCATAGTCCTAATCTTATAACGGCCATGGCGACACCACAGGCACAAGACGAACACTATCTCTGACTTGATGGATTGTAGACTAGCCTAGCGAGACTCACATGTAAGCAAGTTTACTACTTTAGATGCGACATGTGCTAGTCATTACAGAGGCCAATTTTATCAACGGGAACGTTCGAGTCTCATGACAGAACCAAAAGTTCTGCAGCAAGCCCTTCACGCTAGAGAAAACCTAAATATCTACCGAGGAGCTTACCATTGCCCGTAGAGACGGGCAAAGACAAGCCATTTTACCTTGAAACGCAGGGCAAACAAGTTCCAGGAAGCATTTGGTCAAATGTAGTCGTTGCTGTTGCTGACCCTGCCCCCTGACCCCCAAAGATGGGAATTGCTACACGGGCATGACACTTTGGCTACACGGGCATGACTCTTACACGGGCATGACTTTTACCACTTCTGATTGGTCGCATTGTCTCTGTTAACGACGCTGGATTCTGCCACCTCAGCCGCAAGTACCTGGGCCATTTTAACCTTGCTTCTGTGTAAATTACTTCATTTCGGCTAAGCTACTACGCAGCAACCCAGTGGTCGCGCAGTCGGGGCGACCCCCTCGAGCTTGCTTTCTTCATTTTCGTAGCTTTTAATAAACCATAATACGGCACCCTATGCTGTAGAGATAGCGACCAATTCTTTCACTACAATCTTGTTCTCTTCTCAAGACGTCAATGTCTTTGCCTCGCACACCTCCTCGCAGGTCGCGGAGCCCTAGTCCCAGTGATCAATCACAAAGAGGAAAGCGACACAAATCCAGTCGGCGACGCAGATCTAGTCCTTCCACAGTTGAAGACCGACCACAATCCGCGAGTAGCTCTGCTACGAGTATCGGTCAGTTCTACGGCCTCGGGGACGAAAATGCACTCGATAACCTGTTCGCCTCTTTCCCGCAAACACTTTCAAGTCTCCCACACCCCCATGGTTCACAGGGCCGCCATGAGCCTGCATGGGGCCTTCGATCTGACTATGAGATATATCTTCAAAATGACTTCTTCCGTGGAAAAAGATGGAGCCAGCGAGTCAGAGCGCTTATACCAGGCCCAGAATTTGATCCATTCGCCTCTGAACCTCCCGAATCACCCCCATCCGCCCAGCATCTCCCAACAAGGACAAGAGCCGAGTTCGAGTCCGCAATGCGCATAGTACGAGAGGTTACCGGCGAAGGTCGAAGGCTAACTGTAGACCTTGCTCGATCATACGAACGTGTACAAGCTTGGCGAGAGAGATGGGGATGGTCACCATTAAGTTTCGAAGCATATGACTCTCCTCCACCGTACTCTCCACCTCGTAGGTCACCCACACAACCTCCTCGAATATCACCGACGCCCGAAAATATTAGTTCCTCGCCTATGCGACAGTCTCTATCTCCCGCCCCGGAGCCAATTCCGAACCCAATAATCCCTGGCGACCCAGCGCCCTCGGCCGAAGTTCTTTTTAAAACAACCAACGCATTTGCAAAGGAGAACGGATTTGGTATTATTCGGCGGAATAAATATTCCTATAAGGGACGGTTGATTAGGTACTCCATTCAATGCGACCGGTTTGGACAATCTCGGGCCTCGGGGGGTTCTGGTCTTCGAACCCGAAGGTCTCGGAAGTGTGATTGCAAATGGATGATAATTGCTGAAGCCCTAGAGGAAGGCAAGTGGCTTCTTCGACAACATAGAGACCCGAAACATCACCAGCATAACCATGAACGGAGTATTACGCCATCTGCGCATGTTTCCCACCGCCGCCTTACTACACCAGTTAAAGCAACCATCGAGTCAGCAAGCCGTCGCGCGGGTATTCGAGCCAGTGATGTAGCTGCTATGGTTGAGGAGCAATTCCCCGATACAACACTCCTGCGGAAGGATATCTATAATGCCCGTTCGTTCATTAACCGAGAGAAGCTAAATGGCTATACACCTACTGCGGCATTGATCAAACTCTTTGATGAGAAGAAGATCCCATACATCGCGAAATGGGCCGATGATGATCCAGATAGACTGCTTGGTCTTGTCTGGACCTTTCCGTACTGTCTACAGATGTGGAAGCGCTTCCCCGAGGTTATTAGCTTTGATAACACATATAACACTAATCGCTTCAAGCTTCCTTTATTCCAGGCTACTGGCCAAACCTGTCTTGGAACTGTGTTCAATGCTGCATTTGGCTTAATAGATAACGAGAGGAGGGAGGGGTTCCAATTCCTTGCAGAGAGTGTTCGCAAGCTCATTACAAAACACTCACTCAGGGAACCAGATGTCATCATCACAGACTTCGACAAGGCTATGAAAGCTGCCGTTAATGATCAGTTTCCAAATGCACAGCAACAGCTTTGTATTCATCATATCCTTTCAAACGTTTTGCTTAAATCGAAGACTAGGTGGACGGGCCAACGTGAGGACAGTACTACTAGCCCTAGCGCTAGTGACAGTGAAGACATTCCCTCACAGGCGGATGGCGGGTTGAGCACTACAGATAAGCATCTGATCGAAGATCGGTCGAGTAGTGATAAGATTCCTCATACTTACCAAGGCGTTGTTTTAATGTGGAAAAAGGTTCTCTATGCCGAGACTGAGGAAGCGTTTGAGCAGGCATGGAGAGATCTTTGTAAAGAGTTCGACGACCAACGAGCGATCTTACAATACCTCTACTCGACTTATATGCCTGTTAGTGCTCAATGGGCACGTTGCTTTATCCGTCGTTATCGTAACTTCGGAATCCGAGTTACGTCCGGCACAGAAGCAAGCAACAATAATATCAAAAGCTATCTATTAAATGGCATGAGCCACCTCTACCGACTCGTCGAGGCAATGCAGGATATGATACATGACCAAGAACGTGCCTTTAAGGATGCCTGTGGACAGGATGATGTCCTGACTGCTCCACAATACCTAGGTTCGATGGGAAACTATCTTGGTGAACTACGAACAACCATGTCATCGAAAGGACTTGGGTTAATCAACAAGCAATACTGTATTGCTCGCAAATTTCTGCCGACGGGGAAGAATCCCTTCCCCGACTCTATTGGACTTTGCGACGACGACTGTACGGTCTCTATTGAGCTGGGAATCCCATGCTATCATAAAGTCTACGCAAAGCTAGATTCTGACACACGTTTCACTAAATGGGAGGTCCACCCACGCTGGCGACTACGGGAATCGGCATCTCAAGATCCATACCGACGAATTCTTGACCCGAAAGTTGCCACTGCACTACGTGGAAGGCCAAAGAATACAGCGCAGGTTATCCCAGAAAGCCTAGCTATTACATCAAGTAGCCGATCTGATAATCAACCAAGTGGGCGACGAGGTCGACCGCCAGGAAGTCTCAATAAGCCAAC